TAGATTTGTAATGCAGGATTACTCAGGCGAGATACTGACTGATAAGGAAACAAGAAGAATAATATTATTTGGCTCGTTTGGGGAGGCCAATCCTACACTCAGGCAATGAAACATTTTACTACTTTTGAATTATTACTGTATTCGAACATGACAGTACATGCAATAATAGAAGGCGAGAAAGATGTATCACAACTACTCATATGAAATTTGACTCAACCACTCCAAATTTTGAATTGAATAAGCTTAGCAACTTGATCACTAATTCAGTGGTCATAAGCAGCAATAGATTTTGGGTTTTCACCTGATGATTTCATTATTATAGTTGTCTTGACCTGTCCCATCTTCAGTAAAGATGATCCAGTTCCCAAGTCGAATTTTCCTTTCGGGTATTGCCTAGAATGTGACTTAACAAAAAATATTTATAAATAAAATAAATAGTTAGGTCTTACAAAATAATATTGTAGACTAAAATAATATAAAATAATTATAAAATAATCTCAGCTGTACTCACATGCATAGTAACCTGCAAAATCTCTGTAAAACGAGAAGTAGCAGAAAATAATTTTCATAAGAAAAAAGAAAGCAAATAAGATCTTGCTTGGAAAAATATTATTGGACTGGACTTTACCTTGGATGACAAAACCAGAAAAGAATCACAGAGGGATTGATTAGAACAATAAACGACCGACTTCACACATTTCCTTGTTAAGGTTTAGGCTTTTGGCTTAGACTTCAAGATGGGCAATAGTGGTCACCGAAAGTATAGAAATTCACTTTATAAACTTAGTACTAAACACAAACCAAATCAGTTTAGTCAAAAAAGGCCAAAGTATTCAAAAAAATATCTTATTTGTGGTAAGAGGCGAAATCGAACCAGTATAAAAAAATAACATTGGTTAGAATACCGATAGTCCATAGCGAGTTCAACCGAAGGCAGAGGAGAAAATGACCACATGTAGTTTATAACCCCTTACCCACATTCGGCGAGTCTAGTCACGAAGAGAACTACGCTTAAAAATATATAATTTTTTTCTGTGTTTTTCAGAGAGGTAGGGAAAACAAAGAGCATCTATAGAGAGGAAGGATAGACAGACTATCATTCTCTAGACTTTCAAAGAAGATAGAAAAGGCACTAGAAGTAGAGAGAAACTAAATGGGATTATTAATAGGTATGGAAATGTGCCTTTCTTCCGCATATTATGAACCGAAAGCGCCAAGTTTAATACATCTTAATGAATTAATGAAATTTTGAGTTATAAAATAATACAATATGCAAGTAAATAAGCAAATCATGAATAAAAATAATAATCAATGGAAAATATTAAAGCAAATAAGAACAGCAAGTAAAGAAGCATTAAAGTAGATCAAAAAGTAAAACATAATATTGCTAACAATAATAGTTGGAAAAAATTGCTAGCAAATAATATTAGTACAATGAATTTTTGAATATATGTGACAATGAGCGCACAAATAATTAAAATAAGGTAAACACATACAAACTCTAAACTTCCGCTAGTTTCTAAAAGTGTCCGCCTTTCGGTTGTTGTTGATTAGAAAGAACAAAAGCATGTAGGCATCTAAATCCGTAATTTTACCGTGTATAATTGCAATTATAATTACGTCTTACAGTTTGGGATCATTGATAGAACAATTGAATTACAAAATTGAAGTCGAAAAGCTGGGCCAGCTTCTTAAATTCCATAGATGCAAGATGAATCTTGTTGTAGATAGATAATTAGGCAATTAGTCCGATATAGACAGAAAGGGGTAATGTATATTATAGAGATATCTATAATTGGCGAAGAACCTCATTGCAGATGAAATTCTTGGGGAAAACTACTGTAAGCAAACTCAGGACAATACCAAAAAATAATTAGTAATGTAGGGAGTTTTTCAATCACGTACACCATTTAAATATATTGTAATGTTTCTTTGTATGATTTGTCGTTTATAATTATTTTAGTCTAAAAAGTTTGATTTGACTTACTGTTGTGCTAGCAACCAATTTCGGAATAGTTGAGGCTACATTTGACGAAAAAAGTAGCTACATAAGCCGACTTATCAATGAGTACTGTTGAAACCAGAGCCCAGAACCCTAACACATAAAATACACATTAATCAGCGTAACCGAGATGTCACTAGAAGCACATAAATTTACATATTATTAAAGACTTTATTATCCTAATTGTCTTAGGTTATTAGAGTGACAACCGCATTGCAGTCCTTGACCTACCCATATTACTGTTTGCTTGTCAGACCTGCAGACTTCAATTTTGTTCAACTCGATTCGACCCAGTGAGTTATTTATAATTTTATTTGCAGGTTACTTGTATTATATAATGTGGGTATCTATTTCCGAAGCGGGTGCTGCATGTCCAAACATGACATAAATAATTTCAAAATGTAAGAATGTATAGTATACATGCTAATCTCCGTTTAAATGAGCTTAAAGTTATACTACTCGATTTGTTTTCCTATTCCGGCGGTCCTTGTATATATAATGTATTTATAATATGTTTGCACAACTTGAAAATTTTGAAAAAAGATTATGCGAATTGAACTAGCTAACAATTATTACCGCACAGTACAGCATGGTACAGCTCAAACCGGACTTAGAGACGTGGAATTGTAACGGTGAATAGATAATTGTAAATGGAACAGTAACGGGATCTATGCTTGAAGTGCATATTCATTATAGATGCAGTGTAACTGAATTCCCACTTTGGGGGGGGGGGGGACACCTGAAAATATTAAAGTAACATCATCGATCATCTCGTAAATCTATTTCATACATAGATTTGTATTTTGACTGTATATATGTATATTCAATAATATTATTTAGCAACACTGATATTATTCCAAGTTTTAAAAACTGAGGATGGTTTAGCCTAATATTGCCTGCTGTTACTGTGATTTATTTTTGCTTTATATTTAGCCGTAACTTAATTCGAAATGTTTTGGCACACTGACTTGCATTGGCCGTTACCGTTTCTTTTGAGAAAAATCATGTCCGTTACCAGAGACAGAGAAAGCAGACAGACAGACAGACAGACAGACACAATCAGCTAGCAGGCTGACCTTTAATACTGACTTAATGATTATTTTAGATCAGAATCTTAAATTCGATAACTGCTTTACTAATGTGTTATATATTATAACTGGTTAATACAGCTCAATTTAGTGTTTATTGATCGTAATTCTTTTTATTTGATTTAGTTCTTTTATTGCTCATATTATTAGTGTCATTCTTGATTCCACTTACAATTTGCCTATTCCATCAGTTTAATACATATACAAAGACAATACTAAACCCTGACCCTGATTTATTCTTTAAGGGTATATAATCCATTTCAAATTATTTTTTGCTTTTCTTCTCTTACTTCGATCGCACCTGTGCTCTTCTGCAAATGAATGTTTTAGTGGATAAAAACTTCCATCTACTGTATCTATTTTTTACAGTTTTCGCTTCATAAGTATAAAAACCCAAATTAGATAAATACTATAATCTACAGAATGATTCACCAAAGTCATGGATCGACGATTAATGTCTTATACCTCGCCTTTAGAAAATAGAAAGACCAAATTAACACAAGATACTGGAAATCCAACTAATGAAATTAATTTGAAGCCCAACGATCAAGCTTTAAGTAATCTCTTCGATCTTATAATGCCATAAGTGAATACAGAGAGGAACATCAGACAAATTATTGAAATAATTATAAAAATGTACAATTGGTGTACCGATGGTACAAAATATATTAAGCTTATAGTGCTGTAATTGTGAAATCTTAACGTACCTGAAATATAACAGTGATAATCAGATTTGAGGCAAGAATTATTATCCCGATATCGATTCGCTTTCAAATATTGGCTTTGAATTATGTTTCCGGTGGGTTGAAACGACGAATCGATTAGCTATGAAGCCTCGAAATGAATTTTTCAAATCCAGGCAAACGTTGAGGCAACAGTCTGCTTTGAAGAAGAAAAGGCAGAAACAAAAATATTTAAAAATTACGAAGCGGCGACGCATCGTTGAACTGAGAAACCAAAAGATAGGAAGAGTTAAAACATTATTACGAATGTCGAATATTGCTTTGATTTTAGTTTTACTTTTTGTCGTTTCATTTCACTTGCATTTTGCTTGACTCCTGACATTTGGACTCGTGTGAACTTGCATGTAAATGTGAATGTGATTCATGACAGCGAACCATATGACTTAAAGACAGAAGTTATTAGAAGTAAAAAATTATTACCACTTTAAATATAAACACATAAAGAACAGAAAACATCAATGACGTGAAATTAATTAACTTCAAATGTATTCAAAATCTTCGCTATGACTCTTTAATCATTGTGTGAGTGAATGCAAAAAGTAAGTCACTCGCCACTGACGTTTTTTTATTTTCTGCTCTTCGTACTGTATGCTAGTCATTATTATTTAATTTTGTTACGTCTTATAATTTTTAGAGTAATGAAATGTATTAGCCAGAATAGAAGTGACTTTTGACTTATTCTACGTACTGAGGACACTAGTCTTTTAAACTTGCTTCGTCTCCACAACTAATATAAAGAAGCCAAAAAATAGAGGTCTTATGGTGGACGCTTATCTTCCTTACTCCAGCCAATTTAACTTTTGGGTGTTACTCTTTATTTTTTATAGGATTTTACATGTTAACGGAAAACTGCACTTTTATCTTAACAGACAATTGAAGCGAGGAAATGTCTGAAAAATGATTTCTAAAATTTTAAATCTGTCAAACCAAAAGAAAAGACAATACAAAGATAAAAATGACTGTGCATAAGTAAAAATTATTTGTACAACTTGCGTCTACATAAGAAATAAATAAAAAATAAAATAAAACATCAGAAAAATAATAAAAAAAAAATAAGAATAAAAAAATAAGAATAAAAAAAGGAAACAATAAAAAATAAGTAAAAGAAAAGACAAAAACCACGCTACACACAGTACTTTCACAAAATTCTATTACTGCTAAGTAATATCTAAATCGGTAAAGGACCTTGGGATCCATATATAATTCATAGGTGAGTACCAAATTTAAATACATTTAAATTATTATATTAAATTCGAATTATACCAACTTATAATCAAAGTTTCTTTGGATTCCATTCATAATTAAAAAAAATCCTTTGATCAGTTTTCCATTTGTGAAGGTTCACTAAAATCTCACACAGTTTATTATAAGTCTATATCTGGATATATAGCTGTATTATAGCTGTGTCTTTGCTAGTGTACATCTTTGTCTCAAGGTCACATTAAATTCAATTCTATTATATTCACTTCATTTTTCATTTTATTTCATCTCAGCTCCAATCCGTTTTATCGTTACTTTAAGTGTCTTTACTTTCGTCGTTTGTGTTTATTTCATTGCTGTTATTATCGTTTAATTTATTATTTGCATCTATCTACGACTATTCATTTATCATTGCATAATCTCTAATTCAATCATAGTCACAATAATATCACAATGGCCCAACAGTTACCTTCAGTATCAGAATTAATAACGACCACCAACATACCCAATAATAATAATAATCAACTTAATAAACAGAATACAACACCATCTCCTGCTTCACTACCTAAAAAGTTATCAATATCACCTCCATCCCCAAGATCTATCATACCTAGAATACCTTCAAATAATTCTAGTTATAACCCTGCATCAAACAACAAATTGGGCCCTCCTCATGCAAATATATCTTACAGTTCTTTGCCTCACCCTCCTATTAGGAGGTTAACAGAACCAAGCTTAGGTATGAGTAGATCAACTAGTCAAGAAAATATTAATGGAACCAATTCAATAAACACTTCTCCTTCATCTGTGAATAATGATTTCTACAATTACAGAATGCATTCAAGAGAGTCAATATCTTCCTCAGTAGATCCTTTGCAAAGATCACCAAACCAACATCATAACGGCCCACCACCACCACAAGTCCAACAACATCAACAAATGCCTTCTCCTCATCATCTACATCAGCATCAACATCCTCAACAGAATCCCAATCCTTATCCACCAGTGTATTATGCTCATCCTCCCCCGGGTATGTATGTAGAAGGTAATAATGGTTTACAGCCACAACCATCTCAATCTCCTCCAGGCACAGGTTACCTTCCACCAGGTTATCCTATGCAGGCACCCCCTGGTATGTATCCTCCTCCACCACATCATCAACATCCCCAAGCATATCAAGCTTATTATCCTGCCGGTCAAATTCCACAACAAGGTCCTCCACAAGGACCTCCACTACCACCATCACAAGTGCCTCAAGCACCAAATGGGCTCTTGCCTCATCAACAGGATGGTAGAAGAAATCACCAACAACATCATACACTCCAGCACCATCAGCATGTTCCAATTCCTTCTCATATTCATTTTGATGAGAATCAAGCATTGGTGAATAAGAGAAGAATCATTAAGAGAAGGACTAGAACTGGTTGTTTGACATGTAGAAAAAGAAGAATAAAGTGTGATGAACGTAAACCAACTTGCTTTAATTGTGAAAGATCTAAAAAAGTTTGCTTAGGGTACGAGAATTTATCTAATTTGGGTAGTACTAATGGAATAAAAAGGAAGAAGAACAGTACAGTCAGTATTGATACAGTTGATTTCAGATCACCATTACCACCTCCCCAACATCAGGTACAGCCTGGTGCTAGCCCGGTTTCCGATCATCATTTTCAAAATCCTCTTAGCAATGGTAAGAATACTGGTCATTATCATCATGATCAAATACCCACGTCTGTGCCTACAAATTCGAATACTTTCAAATCATCTATTACTGATAGTACATCTGGTTCCAGCACCACTTTACCTTCACTTTCCCTTCCTCCTCCAATTAAGTATTCAAGACCTAACAGTAGTAGTCATTTCCTTAGTCGACCATTGGGGCTCGTAGGAGGAATTATAAATAAAGCAGAAGAGCCCTCGACTTCATCAGAGGCTCCTAAGGACCGTTATTTACCATCTACTAATTATTCAATGAATAAAGTTTCAGTTCATGACTTGATAAGATAATTATTTTAGTTGCTATATTGTATATTTATTACTATTATTATTGGTATTTATTTATTGCTTATATATCTATTTATTTATTTACTGTATATTCATTTTAATATTAATGACATGATATGATATAAATGTTTAGTACCTTGATTGTAGATAAGTATGATTGATTATAACCTACATAATTGTAATGTAATCATTATTTAGAGCAGTATTTAGAGCATTTTGGTCTTGCAAGCTTAAGAATTTTAATTTCACTTGCATATTCATTTTCAAGCCAATTTCATATTAATTTAAGGTAGATGGGGCGGCACACTTCGGAAAATAGGGCAGACCGTTGTCCGTTTACTTTGTCGACAACAAAAGATCTCGTAAATCGTCAGCACAGTAACACGAAACGTTACCCACTACCCAATTATTGGCCACGAGAGGTACTACGATGATGCTGCAGACGTAGACGTTAATGTGCAAACGAGAGAATGAAGAAACAATGGAAAGTTTCATCTGAATTACATTAGATAAGATATTTATTTATATTATTATTTCTGGATGAGATGTACATGCGGAGTAAATATGTATGTGAATTAATCGGTTTTGAGTAAACCAGTATTTTTGATGCCGTAGCAAAAAGAAACCATAATAAAACAAAATAAGACTAAAACAAGCGAAGATGTAGCGTAATCCATGTTCACGTAAGCTGAAAGTTGCGGATGGCTTAGGCAACTACCCTTCGTAGTTCGTAGGAATATATTTGGGGGTATGGTTGATGCGAAATATTTACTTATACGTAGGATAACCATTAATAAACCACATTAGATATTAGCAGATCCTTTGGTTCCCTTCATTTGCAGAAACACAGGAGGATTGACATACGGTAACTGCATATGAAGGAGGTCCAAATAATAATCCATCTTTTATCTCTAAATATCACTCAAATAATGCAACGTTATCATTACAATAATCAAACAATACTACGTATGGAAACATCTGAAATTGGGTTTAGATTATCGTTAAGAGAAACAGAAACAGAAGAAAGCCAACACACTGACAGTTAATTGTTTAGTCAGTACATTTGACACCAAATCAGTTCCAAAGTCCGTCTATTAAGAAATTAAACAGTCTAACGCACCCCTCTAATTGTATACTATTTTATAAATATAATATGCATATTTGTAGTACAAATTTAATCAATTACTGGCTAACTTAACAATCTTACAGTCTGTGGTTGGGTTCACTGAAACTAGTTGCTGAGGAGTAAAAATTATTATCTGATTATTAACAATACTTCTTTCTTTTTTCTTAGTCTTTACATATGAAACGATGCAAAGAAAAAATAATAGATAAATTTCGTTTCTTTATTAGAATTTATTCCAGAATAACTGCCAGGGCTCAACCTGAAAAAAATTTAAGCACATATTTTAGTCCTATTGTAGTTATAGGAGTTAAATGTAAAATTGAAATATTTGTGCTTGGTAAGTGAGATGACCTTCTAACTAATGCTTATCTCATTCACAATGCGAACTTCCTGTGCGGACATTGATATAACACATTTCCGTTTAATATAGACTTCTCAAACCTGTAAAATTTAAGCGGTATATGTAATTGAGATCTGTACTTGCATCTTAAACTGTAAAATATGTTTCTTTTATTTCTGTCACTATAACATGTAAAGATATATTATTTTACACATTAGTCTTTGTTTATTTATTTATCAGACATTAGGCATCATCAGACTCCCAAGACATCCAATTTAACAAAACCGCTAACACTACTTAAAGGTAGACATGGAAATACCCACAATAGAGAAACCCCTTACGCCATTAATATCATTGGTAGATATACAATGCAAAACTAATAAATAATAATGTTAAATAATAAGAACTTTCATTAAGCTTCATTGAAAAAATATTATAAATTAACTCTAATAAAATAATAACTAAACCTAATTCCAGAAAATTAAGAGCAAGTGGAAAGGATAAGGCTGAAGAAGACAAAAACCCAATATTTCTAAGTATTATACTTACGCTTAGTTGCACAATAATAATATAAAGTATAATCCGATTTAAAAGAAATTGAATTATTAATAGACTTCACTGGCATTATTGATCTGTAATAGTAGTTAATCTTGCTTACAGTGAAAGTCAAATTCAAAAGATTTAATTAAGCTTTTCCTAATATCATACAATCTATTCGAAAATTCTTTATAATCATCGTAAGCAGATTAACTAAATCCACCACATAGTCTCAAGACATCTCCATATACAAGCTTCTTATGAATAATAAAAGCTTCCCGTAAATTAATCAAACTTCGTAGAAAACTGCTGATTATGCTACTTGCAGTGATCCTATACTTTCTTGGAACCCTGCTTCAACACATCTAAACGATTGGCGGCGGAAAAAGTTGCTGCCCAAATAACCAAATAATAATCATATTCTTTCAATTGAATCTAGACCGTTTTCATGGGGAATGGAATGTTTAACGTATAACTTTTTGATAACTTCACATTAGTAGTAGCACTGACCCAATTCTAGGATGTGTAGTAAAATAATTGTGCTATACCTACTAGGATTCACATCACTCTCATTTATAATATAGTCGAATAAAATAAAATGATTAACTCATAATATCTAGGCTATGCATGGGATATATGACTCTCTCCCATATTGTAAAAGTGATGCTCTAGCTATGGAAAGTTATTCATCTTATTCGGCTATCTCGCTATCCTCTTCGTATTCTTCTTCGTTACTATTGAAATTATCGTTTTCAAACACGGAATGGCTTGCCATGAATAATCCAGCATGAACCTTACCTAATTTTTCAATTGAACGATATTGGTTACAAGTGATTTGAATTAGATCATTGAAGTCGTTTAAATTGGCATGCAACTGAGCTATTTGTGAGTTTAAATGACTCAATTGACGTTGTTTAATAGATGATGATATGGTAGCACTACTGCTATAGTTATTATTATTTCCTACTGCACTCATTATTCGTTATAGCCTAAGACTCTACTACTTATAAGTTTAATATACATTATAAACCATCTCAGATTTAATCAAGATGCAATCAAGTATTGTTTACGTTTTCGCTCCTACATTAATCCGGATACTGAGGCCGAATTATATGCACACCATCCCCATTAAAAATTTTCCCACGCCAGTTCCGAGAATTAACGACTTGTATGCAGGCTTAGTCACCATCATCAAGATGGTCAAAAGGAATACCGGAACCGTTTGGAGACTCAATTTACACATTATATTTATTGTTGGGGTAATCATCCAAGACATCAGTTGTCATCCATTATTCATTCTATATTGCAGTTTACTTAGTGCAAGTTTAGTCGGCCCTTAACTTTCAAATAAAAAGTAAGTTCTACCTAGACCGATACTGTCAGAAAAAATCGTACCATACCCAGTTTTACAATTACCGCAATAGTGATTGTATTACGAGATATTCAGAGGATTCATTCGTAATCGCATTGATTCCGAAATTGCATGAATCCCACATAACTGTTCAGCAAGTGGATCTATCCTAAGTTAGTTGAAGTGTGCCTGAGTTCGTTGGTCTGAGTGTAGGTCTGCTCTTATCTACACCCCATCCATCGCACGAGGTTTACTACCACCAATTCATTAGGATTGTCTCCACAGGCTATTAAACAATACTGACTGCATTATAATCCTGTACGATGTCTGCATTGCCACAGATATCGCAAGACGTTACGATGTTAAAGAGGAAGCAGGACGCATCTCCGTCTACATCAGGCGACGCTACCAAGATCAGTAATACTACTACGCCAACTATCAGTAATAACAATAATAACAATATTAATAACAATAATGTCACTAGTATGCAAAACAGTAAATCGCCTTCTCCAGGCTTGAAGACTTCACTGTCGTCGTCTCCTACACATAAAGTTTCCACTCCGCTTCTAAAGAAAGAGTCCTTGACAGCAACAAAACTCACTAATATATTCGCCAACAGTAATGCCCAAGCAGCTACTACTTTAAATAGACATCACATTAAACCTAAATCATCGGGTCAATCTCCAATTGCCATAAAACCGTCTCCTAAATATACCAAAATACAGCCTGCCATAGCTCCAAAGCCAATGCAACCTAAATCAAATGGGTTTTCCCCGGTACCGAACCAGTCAAACACGTCATTGGATTCAACATTGAATACTTCGAAGAGATGGGTTCTTCCTCCAAGGCCAAGACCTGGAAGGAAGCCAACAACTACTTCTAGTAGCAATTCGAATGTTGGGCATGATCATAACAATGCATCAGCAACCACTAAGCGGAAATCTAAACTCCCTAAGAAGGAAGTTGGACCGTTACCAGATCAGGTTCCTATTAATTCACCTACTCCAGTACCTGTAGTTGTTAAAACTGAACCTAAACTGGAAGCAACACCATTGTCGGCATCCTCCACAATTTCTGCCGTAAGTAATGTAGCCTCATCAACACCATCAACATCTCCAGAGTCAAACTCAATACCAATTACAACACCAACAGCACCTGTCACTACTTCGAAGTCTAATCCATTGTCATCATCACAAACTCCAATACCTAATATATCTAATCAACCTTCATCTGCTAAAGTGACTCCACTTGTACAACCATTAACCAAATCCACCACATCAATTAAACTAGAAAGTGATCAAGCCAATTCAAATATTTTACCCAACCCAACTATTGCACCTTCAGTAGTTAATCGTACGCATACTGTTGTTGATCCAAAGACAGAAATCATTGATCTTAAGATGTGTTATTTATCTAAATTGAAGGAGCAAGAAGTTATTCGGAATTATATTGAAGTGATAACGAATCAGATCAAAGAATTATCATTTGTTCAAAATGGAGTTATCACATTTGATGCTTTGAAGAATAATGTTAATCCGATACATAATCCACTTAAATTAAAAAGAATGCAATCAACTTCATCAACATCTACTCCATCAGTTATGAATGTTACTAACAATGGTTCAATGGGGAATGGTAGTACAGGTACGACATCCCTTACAGGAACAGGCACAGGAGCTTCTATTGGGAATATTGATTCCATTAATAACTTGAATGATCTAAATAAGGCATTGAATTATTTGACCAAGTCTTCAAGTATCATTCACAGTGCTACAAAACAACAACATCAACAGCAACTGAATAATGGAGCCTTGAGTAATCTTAACTCCGAAGCAGCCTTGAATAATCAAATCAGTCACTATTTAAGTATAAGAGATAAATTCAAAACTATGAAGACTGAAGAATTAAAGAAGTTAAACAGTTTAAAGAGACAAAATAATAAAAGAAGAGTTGCCAAGCAACAACAACAAGATGAACTTCAAGGTCAAAATAGTTCAGATCAAGGTGGGTTCACACCAGATTTATTAAAACCTCTTAAGTCGATTAATTTATTTGATCCAGACACTAATGATGATGTTGATATGATGATTGATATTTTGAATAGTACAAGTAATAATGCAAGTGGAGTTGGAGTTGGAGTTGTTAACAATGATATAACTGGTAATGATGATACCAAAATAAATGATGGCCAATCTTCTGTAAGTGCTATTTTAATGAGCAATGAATTAATATCAAATGATGATGATATAGACTTGATAATGGAAGAGCCCGACTTTCTTAGTCGATTAATGTTGAATGACACTTCTGTAGGAAGTACACCTACTAGTAATGGAAGTAGTAATAATACTAATGCTAATGATAATATTAATATTAGTAACAGCAATATCAATGTGAACAATAATAATAACAACAATACTAATAATAACAGCACTAATAATAACTCTGACTTGGTATTGAAAGAGCAAGAGAAACTTGGTAATGTGACGATACACGCACAAATTGCTAACTTGAATGGTAGAGGAAGTATGAATAATAACAATAACAATAACAATAGTAATAGTAATAATAACACTAGTACTACCAATGGTAAAGGTATCACGAATGATGCACTTATTAAGAAGAAATTAAAGTTGAATTGTGGTTTTTGTACCAATGACACACCCTGTCTCTGCTTTGATACTGATTTTGATTTACGATAGTGTATATGTATATGTATATGATTGAATTTCTACGAATATATGACCACACTTTACATTTAAAATGTTTATTGACACTGAATAAATAAGTAGTATATGCTAATGAATTAGAAGAAAGCAAGGTAAGTACCTAATAAACCGGTAGCACCTAATACAATGTAACCAGTAGTGTAAACACCTTTAATAGTTAATTGTTGACCTAAATCCCAAACAAGATGTCTAATCCCATTAAAGAGGTGGAAAGCAAATGGATAAGCAGCAACAAATTTAGCTCCTAATTTTACTACAAATGGTAAAGAAGCAAATACACCAGCAATTGTTGCACCATCAAATTGAATCCCTAATAAAGATGTAGCAGCATAAGAACAAGTAAGAGCATAAAATCCAGCAGCTAAACCAACTCCAGTTATTCTATGAAATGATGATAATATCCAAGTTAATTGAGGTTGATATATAGACAAATGAGGAGATGTTGGTCTATTTTTACGTTGAGCTACTAAAAGTTCTTGTTCTTGATCATGACTAGCTTTAATAGTTGTAAGGGATCTAGCTGCTAATAATCTTGTAGTTGGAAACTTCATAGTAGAAGCCCATGGCTTTCTTAATAACCCAAGTCCTTGACGTGCGAGCATAATGAGATGAGGTGATTGGCAGTCAGTTCAGTATATACAAACTAATCAAATAGACTAATCAAATAGACTAAGACTAATACTAATACTAATACTAATCCCAATCCCTTAGTGATAACTTTTGCTGGGGCTAGAAAAAAAATCCCGGGGATGCTCTAGCCAATAAAAGTCGATTCATAAATAATGTCGGAAGCGACAGGGAGACACAGTTTGTGTCGCAAGCTGAGTCAGCCCTGAGTCAGCACGCGACACAACTTTACATAACCGAAGAATAAATTGACAAACTGGATGAAACTATCAGGGCTGGTTAACGACTCATTTATCACTAAGTCAATAACATTAACAGATAGTGGAGTTCTAAGTTAATCTGTCTATTCCTGGTGTATTCCCACGGAAGTTTTATAGTGGGATATTTAAGATTTGGAACTATTAGTGACATTTTTCATAGAAATTCCCATTAATATACCCCATACCATATTATATTATGAGTGACGCAATATCAGTAACCCAAACTCATACGGTTACAGTTACCGATTCTAATGAATCTGAACCTACATCTATTCATCCTCAACCTAAGAAATCATCTGCGACATTTTCATTTGCATCTCCTGATAGAGATCATAATAGTAATGATGTTAGTGGAAGTAATGATGAAGATAATGCTAATGGTAATAGTAATACCAATACTAATAGTAATAGTAATAGTAATGAAAGTAATGATGATAGCATTGAAAAAACGGAAGATAATAAATCGGATTTCTCTTCCGATTTAACCTTTAAGAAGAAAGATGTTCGAAGGAATAGGACTCAATCATTCCAATCCGTATTATCTACTGCATCCTTAAAGTCATTAAAACAACAAGCTTTGAATAGTTCTAATTCTGCTTCTACCACCACTATGCCTGGTAGAAATAATAGTATAATAGGTGGTTCTTCAACTACAAATTTAACTTACAATACTTCATCAAGAAATTTTCAATCATTTATTCAAGCTCCAGTTTTATCTAGTATAACAAATCCTAAGATAGATGATGAAATAGAAATAGGTCAACAACTTCCTTTTAATGATACCCATCAACAGCAAGCAATTGTTGAACAACGAAATGATCATAATAATATTCATATTCAACGGGAACATGAACATGAACACGAACAGGTACAGGAACAGGAACAAGCTGGAGATGAAGATTCAGATAATTTATTGCAACAAAAGAATTTAACTTTAAATGCTTTAAAGAAACTTAGTTTATCACCAATTTCTATTAATCCTGATGATCCAATGGTAAGAAGAGCCAATAGCAATAGTAAGAGTGATCCTAATATTGTATCAAAAGTTAATAAACTGAAACCGGTTCCAGAACCATATCAACCAGCAGAAGTGGATTTATCTACATTTGCTAGTCTTACAAGACAACCTAAAGTAATACCCGTGGCTTCTGAAACAACTGAAACAACTGAAACAACTGAAACAACTGAAACAACTGAAGGAACAGCATCTATTGAATCACAAGTTGAAACTCATAAACCCTCTACTTCCTTTTTACCTGCGGTACCTGAAGGTATTACTGTTTCTACTACTGAAAATACTACTACTACAACTACAACTACAACTACAACTCCAGAGCAAGAACAATATCATAAAGATTTACATGATTTGCATTTGAAAAATATACAGACAGTAGAAGTATCACCACCACAGCAACAACAGAATCTTCATCAACCACAACCACCGCAACAACAACAACAAATACAGGTACAACATCCTCAACCTCAAAGCCAAACTCAAGCGCAAGCTATTCAATCTCAAGTATCTCATCAAAGATATCAACAACCACTTCAACAACGAGTTCCTCCCGCAGCCGTTGTACCTCCTCAACTTTTACAGAATAGAAGAATTCCTAATCAAGTCCATCAATCTGCTCCTGTATCACCTCAACTGGTAAATCTTTTATATCCTGAACCTCGTAGATTACAACAAATTAAAGGATTTAGAAGTCCAATGTATGTACCAGCAGTATTAAGAAAAACTATGAATGGAGGTTCACCAACTAATTCAAATTCATCAGCTAAATCTAATTCTCCATCAGATTTAATACCTTCTACTGGTAATATAACTCAAACTTATGAGGAATTCATTAATCATTCTAATAATATTGATAATATTAGTAATGGTCAAAGACCTTCCTCAAGAAATTCAATTCGTTCTAATGAATCAGTTGCATCTACAGATTCTAATATGTCAGTATTACATAATACTATAATTAATTTTTTGAATGGAAGTTCAACTAATAAGCATTATGCCACACCTACTAGATCACATTGGATTAAAGATGAGAGTGCTACTAAATGCGGGATTCCAAATTGTGGGAAATTCTTTAATTTCTTTGAAAGAAGACATCATTGTCGTAAATGTGGTGGAATATATTGTAAAGAACATACTTCACATTATCTTTATATTAATAAAAATGCTAATTTTACTACAGGTGGTAGAGGTACATTATCAAAAGTATGTGATTTATGTATTCATGATTATAATGAATTTATTAAGAAAGAGTTTGGAGTTGGATTAGATAAGAAAAAGAAAGATTCTGCGACTGCTAATGAAGAAAGATATGAGTATGATGAATTAAGACCCATTCATAAATCAGAATTGGAGCGGTATAGCGCTTACCGAAGAAGTCAGTTACAGTTGCGTAGTTCTCAGTATAGTCCTCAGCCCGATAGTTCGCAGCAACAACTGCCACAACTGGAACAACAACAGCAACAACTGCAACAACTGCAACAACAGCAACAGCAACAGCAGTCCAAATCTCGGGCAGACCAATTGGTGGGTAGTGTACCTGCCAATTGGAGTTGGAGTTCCTTCTGAATTCCACTTACATAGCTTACTTAGATTTAATTAGGCTTTTATTTATAGTATATGTATCGATAGTGAATCGCTGATAAATTTAATAACTTAATATAAATTATATATTCTAACAATATTTGTAGTAAGTATATAGTATAGTAGAGTAGAGTAGAGTATATGAACATGTGACAACATACATGTGACCATAGTCCTGCACACTGGCTGCTCAACCCACCCAGATACACTACCTTCCCAGCCCCAGCACCAAACACGGTGGTCGATTTTTCAGTGAATTAACTATAGCAATTTGCGAAGTACATTAAGTTAAAACAGACATAAACATCAGCAATGGGGACGGAAAAGACTCAATTGAAAGTTCTCGGAGTAAGAATCGAAACCATTCGATTACTCTTACGAGTTATTATTTTCATATCAATCGCTGGTGCTGCCATATCGTCTCGATTATTTTCCGTAATTAGATTCGAATCAATTATTCATGAATTTGATCCATGGTTTAATTTTAGAGCTACTAAATATCTTGTATCTCATTCATATTATGAATTTTTAAATTGGTTTGATGATAGAACTTGGTATCCATTAGGTAGAGTTACTGGTGGAACATTATATCCTGGATTAATGGTTACATCAGGTATAATTTGGCATGTATTAAGAGAATGGTTAAGTTTACCAATTGATATAAGAAATATTTGTGTATTATTAGCTCCAGCATTTTCTGGTTTAACGGTAATTTCAACTTATTTCTTAACAAAAGAAATGAAAGATTCAAATGCTGGTTTATTAGCTGCTATATTTATGGGAATTGCTCCTGGTTATATTTCAAGATCTGTAGCTGGTTCTTATGATAATGAAGCAATTGCAATTACTTTATTAATGGCAACTTTTTATTTTTGGATTAAAGCAATGAAAATTGGTTCAGTATTTTATGGAACTTTAACTGCTCTCTTTTATTTTTATATGGTATCAGCTTGGGGTGGTTATGTATTTATTACTAACTTAATTCCTTTACATGTATTTGTATTATTATTAATGGGTCGTTATACTCATAGATTATATACTGCTTATTCAACATGGTATGCTTTAGGAACTTTAGCTTCTATGCAAATTCCTTTTGTTGGATTTAATCCAATTACTTCAAATGATCATATGGCTGCTTTAGGAGTATTTGGTTTATTACAATTAGTAGCTTTTGGTGATTATGTTAAATCAAGAGTTCCATCTGTTCAATTTAAAACTTTCTTAGCTGTTTCATTAACTTTTGTTATTTTATTAGGAATTGCTGGATTATTTGGTTTAACTGCTTTAGGATGGATTGCTCCATGGACTGGTCGTTTCTATTCCTTATGGGATACTGGTTATGCTAAGATTCATATTCCAATTATTGCTTCTGTTTCAGAACATCAACCAACAGCTTGGCCAGCTTTCTTTTTTGATACTGGTATGTTAATTTGGTTATTCCCTGCTGGAGTTTACTTTTGTTTCCAAGAATTAAGAGATGAACATGTTTTTATTATCATTTATTCTGTCTTATGTTCATACTTTGCTGGTGTTATGGTTAGATTAATGTTAACTTTAACTCCAGTTGTTTGTGTAGCTGCAGCCATGGCATTATCTAATTTATTTGATGTTTATTTAAATATTGTTGATGTATTTACAACTAGTTCAAATGAAATTCAAGAAGATAAATCAACTACTAAGAAATCTACAAAGAAATCAGGAGTACTTGAAGAAAAAAATGTAATTTTACCATTGATTACTAAATTGGTGGTTACTTTAACTTTTGCTTTCTACTTATTTTACTTTATTTTACATTGTACTTGGGTTACTTCTAATGCTTATTCTTCTCCATCAGTTGTTTTATCATCTAGAAATCCTGATGGATCTCCAACCATTATTGATGATTATAGAGAAGCTTATTATTGGTTAAGAATGAATACTCCTGAAGATGCTAAAGTTTTAGCTTGGTGGGATTATGGTTATCAAATTGGAGGTATGGCAGATAGAACCACATTAGTTGATAATAATACTTGGAATAATACTCATATTGCTACTGTTGGTAAATCCATGTCATCATCAGAAGATGTTGCTTATGAAATATATAAACAACATGATGTTGATTATGTTCTTGTTATCTTTGGAGGTTTATTAGGATATTCAGGAGATGATATTAATAAATTCTTATGGATGATTAGAATTTCTGAAGGTATATGGCCTGATGAAATTAAAGAAAGAAATTACTTTACTGATCGAGGAGAATATAAAGTTGATAAAGAGGCATCACAAACTATGAAAGATTCAGTTATGTATAAATTATCTTATTATAGATTTAGTGAATTATTTGGAGGTAGAGATGGACCAGATAGAGTTAGAAATCAAGATATTCCAGCAGCTGATCCACCGGAATTACATGTCCTTGAAGAAGCATTTACTTCAGAAAATTTTATTGTTAGAGTTTATAAAGTTAAAGATTTAGATAATGTTGGTAGAAACTTATTTGATGCGACTAAGTTTGATAATCAATTATCTAAACCATTAAAAAGAGCTAGAACAATTAAAAGACCTGTGTTACCAATAAGAGAATAGTATATATAGTATATAATAGTTTATATAGAGTAACATAACATATTAAAAAATAAACCCCCCTCCCATATTAAAATTTAAGACTAAGCCAGCAATCATAATGAAATTATAATGAAATCATAATCATAATGTACCCCCACTTTTATTTCCGCAATGGGATTAAGATTGGAAAGTCCGCAACCGAAAATATCGCTAACATCAACACAACATGCCGAAAAATCTCCTCCTATAAATACCGTGCATTATCTTTGCTATTTGAACAGTTTCAATTGAACCTCCCTTTAGAAGTCATTACCCTCGATAGTTAAATCACGGTAAAGTAATCTAAAGTAATCTAAAGTAATCTGAAGTAATCTAAAAGCATAATGACAGGTATATTTGATCTTCAAGGGCATTTGATTTTTTACAGATCGTACCACATGAATCATGTAAACGTGGCTATACATTTAGTATGTATTCCAATAATTTTATTATCATTTATAACTACAATTATTCCTTATGATATTGTAGGATTTAATAATCCTCAAATTAATTTAGGTTCAATAATTGCTTGGACATATGGAATTTATTATATCTTATTAGATTGGACACTTGGAATTCCAAGTTTCTTAATATTAGCATCATATACTTATGCTGCCAAGAGTTATTATTTAGGATTAAATAATTCTACAAGTTTAACTCCTACTCAATTTGTTAACTATGCTTTAGCAGCTCATGTAGGAGCTTGGTTAGCTCAATTTTATGGTCATGGAATTCATGAAGGTAGAGCTCCAGCTTTATTAGATAATTTATTACAAGCTTTAGTTTTAGCTCCATTCTTTGTAGTATTTGAAATAGCTTTTGCACTTGGCTATAAATTAAATATTAAAAAGCATATGGATAATAAAGCAGGAATTCTTATTCGAGATTTCAAACAAAAGAATAAGAAGAAGACTAAATAATCTACTTGTAATTCTTCTTCTGTATATATATATATATAACTATTTACGATTTTTAATGTATGACTCATATTTTGTTTTAACTTCTTGTTCAACAATATTAGTACCTTGTAATTGATTACCAATAGTTAACCAACCTGGTCTAGTATTATGATCTCTACCAAAGATTTCTAATTTACGAGAATGTATGCCAACCATTCTTTCAACAATATCATAAATTTCATCAGGCTTTCTCAGAGTTTCTCTTGTACTACTAACTACAACATCAAAATCCATTTTACGATTTAACCATATAGGATTTCCCTTAATTCCTACTAATAAATGCTCCTTTGAATGATTTAACCAATGACCAGTTCTTCCAGTAACAATGGTTCTTCTTAATTGATTTAATTTAACCCAAATCATTTCATCAGAAATATGATACCCCCATTTTTGTAAAGCTCTTCTACCAATTTCAATTGATCTACCAGTAACCCAAAGTAATATAATTCCTTCATCTTGTAATTCATGCATTGGTAAAGCTAATAATTCATCATCTTTACATGTACCATAAGGTAATGACATATGAATATCCCAAGCTGGATCAGATATAATGGCTGCGAATTTACCTAATATTTGAAATGGTAAATATCTAACATCACAATTAATCCATTGAGGAGGAACAATATCTCGATTATATTCTGTAAAACATTCTCCAATAGTATAATCATGAGCTTTACATAATTGTAATTGATTTTCTTTATCAAATGAATCATTTGATGAAGGAATTAATGTATAATAATGTAAATATCTACAAGTTTTCATTTTATGACAAGTATCTAAATATGAACAATCTCCTAAATAATGATCAGTATGATTATTAACAATTGCAAGATAATGAACTTTAGTTTGTGAACAATTATATATATCTTGGGGCATTAAATTCTTATATTGATATAATTTTTGATGAAGTATACTAGGATCAGGATAAGTTTGTTTAGTTAAACTTTGATTACCATAATCTTTCTTACTAAAACAAAAACTTGTAAGCATTTGATTATGACTTGAATCATTACAAACTTCATAAAATGGTTTCTCTAAAACTTTCAATCTAATCTTTTCCTTAGAAAGTTTAGTTCTAGCCGTTTGATTTCTAAGTAACTTATCTAAATCATCATACAGACAATGGAAACTACTATTAATTATTGAATCACTAGAGATCTTTACAGTGATTTTACTAAAGAGTGGATTATCAAGTAAATCTAATAATTGATTATGACAAGAATCATTATTATTTATTAGTTTTAATGGTGAATGACACTCTTCAAAGGAATCAATAGATTCACCAATATTATTATTATTTAATCTATGCTTAAGAATTATAATTGCAGCAAGATTAATCCAATTAAGTTTAGGCATATCAATAATTGAATTAATATTCATATTCCCCTCCACTATTGGATCCCATTTAAGAGCTTGACCACTTATTAAATTAAACTCTTCAATATAATAAGTAAAAATATCTTGTTCAAGATTATTCACTTCATATCCATTACTCATACAATATAATTTAAATACATACATTAGACAATAGAGTTCTCCACGAATTGGATCAACTAATAATTCATCTCTCTTATCAAGAAGAAATTCTATAAAGGGAATAAACTTATCTAAGGCTTTATCAATCATCATATAAGTATGATTACTAATACTAACTATAGGGGATCAATAGAGAAGTAAATAAAAAGTAGTGAGTATGTATCACCAATTTGGCTGCCATTTCCCTTTATCAAAAAGGGGGGTATAGTACAAAAGAAATTCCCACATTTCGAGGTATACCAAGTTACGCATTACACATTACACATTACACATTATACATTACGCATTACGCATTACACATGCAACAGGGAAAAGTTAAATTCATATATATTGGAAATATTTTTAGTAATTAATAATAATATAAGGCAAGAATGAATAAGAAATATTATATGTAGTATGACGAGTATGAGTTCGAGTTCATTAGTACAGATGCTATCTAAACATTTTCTTTTTTGTATAGTTATAATAGTAAAGTGTAAGTAAAGTAGTTAGAGAAAATTAGGTTAAAAACCAAATGGATTATCAGGAGTGGCTGCCAGTAAGTTTGCCCTTCTACCACCTGTTTGTTGAGATTGTAAAGGTGCATTACCAAATCCTACACCAGTAGGTTGATTTTGTAATGGTTGTCCACCAAATCCTTCAAATTGTGGTTGTTGACCAAATGAAGTATTGGGAAATTGTGCTTGTGCAGGATTAATACTTGTTTGTTGGAACATATTATTCAATTGATTAACATCTGGTTGATTAAAACCAGGCTGTTGAGTTTGTTGAGCAGGAAATTGGTTAAATCCCGTTTGATAAGATGGCTGTCCAAATCCATTAACAAATGTTGGCTGTGGTTGAGGTTGTCCGAATCCTGTAGCAAATGCAGCTTGTGGTTGAGGTTGTTGCTGTTGTTGGAATTGAGGTTGAGGTTGAGGTTGAGGTTGAGGTTGACCAAATCCAAATGGATTAGAGGCAATTGGTTGTGGAGGAGCTTGACCAAATCCAAATGAAGTAGGAGCTTGAGAAATAGGTGGATTACCAAATGATGTAGTTTGTTGTTGGACAAAACCTCCAGTAATTTGTTGACCAAAAGCAGATTGAGGGACAAAACCTCCAGTCCTTTGAGCAGGAACTTGTCCAAAAGTAGTTGGTGGTAATCCACCACCGGTTCTTTGAGCTGGTACTTGACCAAAAGAGGTTGGAGGTAAGCCACCAGTTAATTGAGCTGGTACAAAAGATGGAGGAGCTTGATTAAATGATGTTATTGGAATTCCTCCAGTTAATTGAGGTGGTAATATACCTCCTGTAATTTGTAATGGTAAGGATTGACCAAAAGTAGTAATTGGAGGTCCACCAGGTCCAGTTGTTACTGGAATAAGTGTAGGTTGACCAAAACTAGTGATTGGTGGACCAGTCTTTTGAACATTAAAAGTTGTACCACCAGTTTGAAGTGGAACTATACCAAAAGTAAGTTGAGGTTGTAAACCAGTTTGTTGAATTGGTAAAAATCCTGTTGGTTGAGCTGTAATTGGCATAAATCCAGTAGGTTGAGAAGCCAAAATACCTCCTGTTGGAATTGGAATTAATCCAGTCTTTTGAACAGGTACAAGACCTCCAGTAACTTGAGGAGCAACAATATTATTAGTTTTTTGAATAGTAAATTGTTGACCTGGTTGAATAAGTGTACCAGTTTTAACAGGGGTAAGAGCTGGAGCTGATGGACCTTGTTGAATTGATGGAGTTGGAGCTGGAACTGATTTGACAATATTTGTACTAGATCCTGCTGGTTTAATATCAACTAAATCTTGTAAAGCACCGGTATATTGAGGAGTTTGAGGTTGAGAACTTGGTTTCAGAAGATCTTCACTAGATCTAGCTGCTGGTTTTACAGCCCAAGCATCATCTTCAAATTTACTTGTTGTTGTAAGATGATCAATCTTTGGAGGTTCTGGATTATTAACTTTAGTAGCTGAAGCTGAAGGTAATGAATCAGCACTAACTTTTGGAATATCAGTCGATGAATTATTATTCTTTAATGCACCATTAGGATCAACAAATAAACTTCCAGAAGGTGTAGAACCACCATCAGTAGTTGACTTCTTTCTATCAAATTTATTATCCAAAAATTTCATAACTCTTATTATATCACCTTCTCTTAATCCTAATGTACGTAATAAAGTAGGAGAAATATCTTCAAGAATATTTTCATCCATTTGTTCACGACCGAAATTAAGAGAATAACGTTGACAATTACCAATATCAACTCCACATTGAAGGAAGAATTCAAACCAATCATAATCAGGTTCAGATGTAGTAAGTTTAGTAGTTGTCTTGGGTCTAGCTGGTTGAGGTGGTGGAATATCATTAATAGTTGCAGTAGCAGAATGAGTCTTTTGAACTGCAGTAGCTCCTGAACCAGATGATGATGTATGAGATTGCGATTGAGATTGAGATTGAGATTGTTGTTTAGCTGCTGCTGCTTTTGCTCTCTTTTGTTGCTGCTTTTCAACTTCTTCTATGTAATCCTTCAATGAGGTTCCCGTAACTTTTTCAACATATTCTAAATCTTCTACTGATAATTTAGTAGCAGCAACAGCAATTTTAACACCATTCGTCTTATGTAAATGAATTTTACCTTCAATACATCCTAAAAATTCAGCTTCAACTTTAAAGGATCCTGAACTATCAATCCAAGTTCTAACTCTATGTAAATTAGGTCCAGATTTATCATCCTTTTTAGATGGAGAATCAAGTTTCTTATCTCTTTGAGCTTTATCCTTTTCTCTAATTCTTTCTCTTTCATCTCTTGAACGATGATGATGACTTTTCTTATCACTTGATTTACCATTATTTTCAACTAATTTACCTTTACTAGATTTTGTTGATTTTTGTCTTATAACTCCATCAGTTAATTTATCTAAATTAGATGTACCAATTATTTCAATATAAGCTGATGGAATAACTCCTTGCTTTCCTGTTTCAATATTTTCACAATACCACCAATCTTTAGATTTACTTTCATCAACAATATATACTTCATCACCTTCTCTACTCATTAATTCATCACGACCTTGAGCTTCAAAATCATATATTAATCTACCAATTTTTTTATTCTTTTCATTGGTAGTTGCTTGAGAAGCCTTAGCAATTTCTTTTAATCCTTTAGCATGCTCAGCACCTTTCAAATCACCTAAAATAGAAGAAATTGCTTCGGCAACATCTCTAGTTCCACAATGCAATTCAATTGAAACTTTTGGATTCTTTAAATCTAAAAATACATGTTTCTTTTCTTGATTAAAGTCAATTAAATCTTTAAGTCTCCATTGATTATCTATATTTGAAGTATCAGATGATTTCAATTTTAATTTCTTACCAGTACCATTATCTTTATTATTGGGTCTAATAATAACTAAACCTTGACCTATAGAAAAGACAACTGGTTTCTTCTTACGACCATCAACTTCATCAATATACCAAGTAAAAAATTCACCATCAAAACTATGTTCTTGATGTAAATCTTCTACTTTTTCACCTCCACTTCTTGTACCAGGTGATTCATTAATTGGAAGTTCAGGTTGAGGTTTATTAAGATTAACAACTGGAGAAAGATTACTTGAAGTTCCTGGTCTTGATGGCATAGGTGGAGCTTCTTCTTCTTCATAATGATTAGAATATTGTTCTTGTCTTTGAGGAAGCTTTTGTGGACTTGGTTCATATGAGTAGTCTTCTTGATAATGATTATTATTATTGTAATTATTATTATTATTACCATTATTATTAGAACTAATTGCGGCAGCTGGTTCAGAAACTGCTTGTGCAACTGGTTCTGGTGGTGCAGATTCAGATCTATCTCTATGAAGTGGAGGAGGTGCAAATGCAGAAATAGGAAGTTGAGGTTGCAATGGCTGAGATTGTGAAGGAACTGGAATTGAACTTGTAGTAGCTCCACTATCAAGTTCAATATAATTTGAAGGAATAAATCCAAATTGAGTTTGAGCAATATTACCTACCAATATCCAATCAGGATCATTTAAATCATAAACATTGAATTTTTCACCCTCAGTAAATGATAATTCTTCTTCAGTTTGTTTATCATAATCGAAAACGGCTGTTGCAGTCTTTAATATAGGTGCCAGTTCAATATAATTTGATGGTACTAAACCAACTGGTTCATCAACTTCTTCATCTCCTACAGGTAAAACTCTCTTTTTAACTTTCCACCATTCATCAATTTCAGATTTTTCTAACAAATATAAAATATCATCCGGTTGAAGGGTTAATTCTTCGTCGGCTTGAGCTGTGTACTCATATAATGCCTTATACACACCAATGTAAAGCGACAGCATTAACCCAATTTATTAATAATTTTTTTTTCAATCGGATAATCTCCTATATCTCTATATAAGTATCAATGGTTTAACAAATGCTTTTGCAATAAGTAATTTTTTATTAATCTATATATCTGCAATTGGTTAACTACTTCCCACTATGGATCGAGCATTGACCATGGGAGATTGGAAAAAAAGGAGTCCGTGCTAACTGGATTGGATTCGGTATACGCACGAACGTTTCGCTGAGTTGCAAAATTAAACCTCATCCCTCACTCACCAATTATAGGCTTAATTTATTTATTTCTTTATTTCTTGGATCGTTTAGCTTGATATTGCTTAAAATCAATTTCGAAGCTGGAATCTAGATCCATATCAATATAATCTGGAGGTTCTATTCTAAAGTTATCTATATCACCGTCTGATTGTTTAGGATCAAACAGTTGTAAATCATAGCATTTACTTAAACCATGTAATACGTAGAATTGTTGAAGAAAATGAATAGGATAACAGTCTTCATTCTTTAATCCTCCATATGCGTTCTTAAAGGATTCAATGGACTTTAAATTTGTACTCAATTGGATTCCAAGAGATTGAGATGCTAAATCAGAAAGTGTAGAATACTTATATTGATTTCTTTCCCAAAAATGTAAAAGATGTGGACCATTTTCTCTTGAAATATAAGTAGCATTCTTATTATATTTGATTTCACTAGTAGAAGAAGTTTCATAATTATAACATTCTTTGGTTGCCTTCCCACTACAATCAAATAATTGCATAATCATATCTTCCATATTATCTATAGATAACAGAGCAGCCGTGCTTTCCTTTTGATTTGAATTCTTGGATGATAATTTACCAACATAAGAATTAATTCTTCCCACTTGTTGATCATTAAGATATCTCTTAGTTGATGGATGTAAATAACTTGCAACAATTAAGTTGAAATTCTCTTGTATTGAGTCATGAAGTTGTTTAATTTCATTAAGGAGTTCTAAGAGATATGAATCTATTTTAATATTCAACAACATGGCTCTACTCTTGCTAAATGTAGAAATATGAATAATGAGTATTTTCAACCATTTAGATAACATATGAATATTTGGATTTTCATTTGCTTCACAACAGCATATAATTTCATGGAAAGTGCAAGTAAAATCATAAATAAACTGAATTAATTCCCAATCCTGATTAGAAATCTCCTTTGAATTAATCATATTCTTATAGAAAATAATCCCAGATAAATAAGTCTGAGAAAAGTTCTTTTTTGACTTCATACTGTGATTATTCAATATATCGAAATAGATATTATTCATATCTTCTGACAAAGGAAGTAGAGCATCAAAATTAAGTTTAGTTAACTTCCTGTATAAGGGACCTAAGAAGTTTTGAATTAAATAAGAAATATAATCTTTGGATGAATGAATATTATCAATGTTTATAGAATTGATTGCATGATCCAATGTGAGAGCTTGAGATAATTGCATAATACATTTTCCAAGCATTTCTTCTAATACTTTGGGCAAACAATAAAACATATACTTATTAATAGTATCATCTTTTAAACGATCCATTGAATAACTCAATAAATCTTGCTGAGTTTCAGATAATTGGAAATTGGATGTAACAAGATGAAGATTTTTCTTCAATAACTTTTCATTATTTATTAAAAAATTGGAAAAATTACTATCATTATATTCAAATAACCCCAAAGGTAATTGACAAAGTTTGAAGTTATGATTCACATAATGACAATTAATGAAAACTAGTGGATTTATTTCATCAGGTGGTAACCATTTATGAATAGTTAAAGATATTTGGAAATTAGGATGTAAATTTGAGAAATAATTCTGAAAGTAAAGTTGGTAGTCATGAAATATTTCATTAGTCATATGAAATAGAGTCTCCAGATCTGGAGAATAACCCATCTCATTATTGATAATACAACTTTTGAAATAATTGTTATCAATCTTATCAATTCCCACCAAGTTTTCAATGAAAAATAATAGAATCCGTCTTGTCAATTCTTCAGCGCTTAACTTGGGATTTGTCCCTAGCCTTCTCTTAATGGCCTTTTTGCCCTCGGTTGTCACTGATACTTTTGATGACATGATTGTATGTTCCAATAGTTGATTGAATTATTGGCCGATTGAATGATTGATTACGTGCTAAAGAATTAATTATGTAAAGAATTAAATACGGATGTAGAGTAAAAGTTTCGCAGCAAACAAAATTTTTAAAAATATTTGCAAATTATCTATTAAAAAACTCTATAATACCAAAGACATATGTAAGATGTAGAACTGAAAAATGAAGAATATATAAAATGAGAATCTCGATGAATTAATTGACTCTGGTGATATCACCGTCTATGTTTAAAAGTACTGTTTTGATGTTCTCCATGGCAGTACACATGGTATAATTAAAATTTTCAGTAGTTGAAGATCCGATGTGAGGAGTTAAAACTACATCTTGTCTACCTATTAAATCAGGATTAACAACTGGCTCATATTCAAATACATCTAAACCAGCAAACAAGATCTTGGAACTTCTTAAACCTTCTATTAAAGCTCTTTCATCAATAATATAACCTCTACCAATATTTATAATTCTGAATGGTTTAGATATAGCATTGATAGTTGTCTCATTTATCATGTGTTTTGTTTGAGCAGATCCGGGACAAGCAATAATTAACAAATCAACAATATCATTAACTTCAGATAATGATGCATGGTAAGTAGCTTCATATCCCAATTGAGAGGCCTCACTATCTGACATTTTTGATCTTTTAATATAATGAACATTCATTCCAATTGAAGATAATCTTTGACCAATTAATTTACCAATACTTCCGAATCCTACAATAACAGCATTATGTCCACGAGGTGATAAGATTTCTCTTCCACATGCAGAATGAGCAAACGAGTGACCAGTAATAGGCTTAATAATTGGTTGTCCATTAAAGGAATCAAATTTGCTATGAACTAAAGAAGTTCTTAACACTCCAGTATTAGTATATTTATCTTTAAAATTGTTTTCAAAAAATTTGAAATTTCTGAAACTCAGAATTGTATTATATAAAACCAAATCAGCAACAGCTTCAGATGCAATCATAGATGGAACATTTGTAAGAGTTATACCCTTTTTACGCATTCCATTTACATCATATCCATCATATCCAATAGAGCAAATAGCAACAATTTTTAATGCAGGTGGACAAAATTCTAATACTTCACCATTAAAACCTCCAACTGAATCGAATCCACCCCAACCACCATAAATGGCTTCAACATCGGCTAAATTAGTTTGGAAATCTTGGATCAACTCTTCTTTTGAAGAGATCTGATAATGTATACATTCAAAAGTACGATGGAATTGTTTATATATTTCAGCTTGGGTATTTAACTTCCCAATGAATAATACTTTTTGTTTAATAGTCATTGTTTTTGGGGATTACTAACCTTGAAGAATTATATTTAATATACTATTAAATTCTTCCTACGATTAGAGAAAGGGGGATATGCATCCCTATAAATACAATAAAGGGATATTACATAGTAGAGATCCACAATTCCAGATATGGATAAGGGTACGTTACATCTGATATCGTAAACATTCTTACAATACGAGAGAAACACGTTAGGATGCAAAAATTTTCAATTTCCTTCAATTGCCGTGCGGCTCAATTTTGGTTTATCTCTGAAGCGAAGATAGCCGTGTTTTACCATGCCGATGTAATTATAATCAATAGCCGGATTGGTCCACCACCACAGTTTTATCTATTAAAGCGTATGACAAATAATATCAACAACCATGAATATGAAGAACAATTCAATGAATACGAATCACCATAGAAATCATATTCATATGTACTTACAATATGAATGAAACTTTATACGAGCTTTTCTGATATAGTGGGGCACTATATTATTATGTTGAATGTCAATATTGACACCTACAGGCTTTAACATGCTTTGTAATAAATCAAAACTCATAACTACTTTCTGAATCCTATTTACTTTTGCTATAGGTAAGAAGCGGAATACGAGGGATGGTTTTGAGCTCGAGCCGCACAGAGGAGTAATTGACTACCCGACATGATTGTCGTGTACCAGCCCAACCTAATTAGGAAGTATCACATATACATTATATAGGAATGAATATATTGATTTGCTGCTAAATATATAACAATTATATAGTGATAATATAATCAAATATACAAGGAATAAGTAAAAGAGTTAATATTGTGCAATTTTGCAAATTAATATTTAGACATTAGATTCTGAGCTAAAAACTATGGAAAAGTCAAATGAACATAAAAATGTTATATAAAGATAATAAAGTGCATGATAGTGAATAGAAAACTTAGAATTACTACCAAGAATGAATTTATAAAACTAAATTATTGATTGGAAGTAAATGTGCATGAATTAGATGAATAAGGAATATAAAGAAACGGCATAAAATGAATAAGTAATTCTTTTAATGATGAGACATACCTGGTTCACCCAAGTACTTAGCAGTAAAAGAATTACCACATTGCCAACATCTAGCTAAGTGACCATCTTCAACTTTCATCCAGTAAGGTTTGTGATTGTGACCTTCCTTACCTTTACAACCAACATATCTGTAACCGACATAAGTAGGAACTAAGTAAGGATCTTGTGGACTACCACTACCTTCAGAAATTGGGTTTTCTAAGTCGAAAACATCTACACCTTCTCTTTTACCTAAAACTTCTAATCTTTCTAAACCGGTGGCTTGGTCTAAATCAGATGGGATAGTACCTGGTTTAGCACCAGGACCAATTAAAGAACCATCTGGACCGGTAACTTCAGATAAGTCAGAAGCAGTCTTTCCATCAAATTTAAGTGGAGCAGAGAAAGCAATTCTAGAAGTAGATAATAATCTAGTTTGTCTAGAAGCAAATCTTAATGAACGGGAAAGCACTAAATAAATTCGTTAGTATTTGAACAACAACAACAATAATAATATTAAACATTAAATATTAATAGATTTAAGGTTGTGTTTATACAAGTATTGATGATTGTTAATAAGGATTATCACAATACAATAGTGATTCATCTTCTATATTGACAAATGATTATTGACGAAAGTTGATTTAACGGTGATCGGGGTTTGGTTAGAAGGGATAATACTTATCAATTATCAATTATCAATTATCAAATCTTTGTATAAACACAATTTAATCATAGATTTATAGAAACATACTTGTTGTATTATGTTATAGGATTTGAATATGTATCAAGTAATATTTATGAAAAGAATGTGAATTATTTGAATTCAATTGACTACGTAATCAGATACAATTCTGGAGATACAGGCAATTGATAAATATGGAGTATGATTGTGGGATGGGGTGCGATTGATATACGAACTGGTTGTAGTTTAGCTATTACACTCTTCTAATATGATGAAAAACGTTGATGGCTATAGCCCAGAAATGGTAGGATAATATGTGTATAGTAAGAAGTACCTTAAATATTTCAATTTATATATACAAATTCGAAAATCAGCTAATAAATTTGTTATTGAGCCTATTCTGTTTGAAAAAATGTTTTGATGGGAATGGTCTTAAATTTAATTGGAGAGAGATCAGCTGATTATAGTCATGTGAGCTTAAGGGATGCGAAGATGGCATCGAAGTCGTGTGTCGGGTGATGTTCACCCAACCATGTGAACAAGAGCACGTGCAGAGGTTTGGATGTATCAGAAATTCAAAAAAGTGAGAACATCTAGGGCACAACCCCTAATAAGGAGACATTTGCACATGACCACAAACCATACAGGAGCGCACTCTTAACTATTGCTGTATGGATGCACACCTATGATACTAAGTTAATCTTAACTATGGTAAACCAAATCTTTGGTCGCACAGTCTGTAAGTCAAAAAAAATTTTAGCACATTTTTTCAATTTCCAACCCTTTATTCATACTCTTTATATACAACAGTATAGTAATAGGTATGTTATACAGCATAGATATACCCTGAAATGGGTCAAGAAACACTGTAATTTGTCCTTGTTGAGGTTGCCAATAGATCATATATTATATTATCCCATCATATCATATCATTTCATAGTATAGATTTTCATTATCTAAAAACATATCAATTTGAATAATAACATTGCATTGAGTAGATCAATATGTACAAATAAGTTTAAGAGTATATTTAAGAATATAATTTATGTGGTAATATGAATTAAAGAAACAGTGTCATTCAAATGAAGTAGAAGTTAAGATCATAGTTGTTAAATTGAATAATTTTTCAAGAAGTAAATTATAATCATAACAATATGACTCGACCACAGAATAGATTCGTATAGATACAGTTAAAATATAATGATCAGGAGTTGAATAAACCATGCATGGTTTTTACCATCATGACTTGCAGCATGAAGAACCAAAATCGGCACTCAACAAAGCAAAAGAGGTGAACTCATTAAATAAGTAGAAATTTAATACTAACATTAATTTATAGTCAATATGCCAAAAAAGAGAGCTTCCAACGGTAGAAACAAGAAAGGTAGAGGTCACGTTAAGCCAGTTAGATGTTTAAACTGTGCTAGATGTGTACCAAAGGATAAAGCCATCAAGAGAATCACCATCAGAAACATGGTTGAAGCTGCTGCTGTTAGAGATTTATCTGAAGCTTCTGTCTACAAGGAATATGCTTTACCAAAATTGTACAACAAATTACACTACTGTGTTTCTTGTGCTATTCACGCCAGAATTGTCAGAGTTAGATCAAGAACTGACAGAAGAGTTAGAGCTCCACCTCAAAGAAAGAGATTCAACGCTGACAGAAAAGTTGCTCCACAAGAAGCTGCTAAGAAATCCGCTTAAATGTAAGGGATTTTTTTCTGTATCATTCTTTCCTGAAAGATGTATGGATTTCGTTTAAATAAATAGTTTATCTTTTTTGATTCCGTACATTTTTAAAACATCATAAAATATACATACATACATATAAGTAGTTTATACTTGTAGTTAAAAATAATAGTAACAAATAACATCTAATATATTATTAATATAATATTAATATTAGATCTGTAATATTGACCACACTTGTCTTTAAGGTTATGTTAACTGGTTGAGTCGAACAAACAGTCGTGTCCCGGTCACTCCCCTTGCCATAGTTAAGGAGAAAAAGGATCAAATTTTTGATAATCATCCTTTGCATCACCAAGCTTCGAGGATTCTCACCAACGGCAATTGACCATTAGTGCCTGAAACAACGACCTATTCATACTTAAAGGCCGTAGTATCATTATATACAACAAAAATCTAACTTCCCCCTTAGTTTAAAATATCTGACTTGTACCAATTGTCGAATAGTATCTTCCCATTCACTAATAAAATCGACAACCACAAAAGCCAGAGTATCCCCTCCCCCCCTCCATCACTAGTTACTATCACGAAATCTTTGCTCACTTCAATATTACCATATTATTTTGCATAGTGTAGAGACTCACATCACCTTCATTTATTTTGTTTCTTCATATCATTTCATTTTATTTCGAGACATTTGATTCATTGATCTAATCTCTCACAATATAATCGATTTCATCCTATCACGACATCTATCTTGTGGTTATACATCTTTAATGATAATATAGCGACTAGAACATAAATCATAATATCCTATTTTACACTACCATTCACTGGCCCACTATCTAATAATAATAATAATAATAATAACATAATAATATATAATAAATAATAAATAACGATAATTGATACCATAATGACATTAGACGAAACTTGGAAATTCTCCCAATGCTTTGGAGACAAAGGTGATATTGAAAATATTACTGAAGCCGATATAATTTCAACCGTTGAATTCGATCATTCGGGTGACTTTTTGGCCACAGGAGATAAAGGAGGTAGAGTAGTGTTATTTGAAAGAAATCAATCAAAAAAGAAACAAAGTTGTGAATATAAATTCTTTACCGAATTTCAAAGTCATGATGCTGAATTTGATTATTTAAAATCATTAGAAATTGAAGAAAAGATTAATAAAATTAAATGGTTAAAAAGTTCTAATAATGCCTTATATTTATTATCAACTAATGATAAAACTATTAAATTATGGAAGATTATGGAAAGACAAATTAAACTAGTTAGTGAAAATAATTTAAATGGATCAAGTCAACCAACATCTAATCATCATTTAACTTTACAAGCTTTAAAATTACCTCAATTACAACTTCATGATAAATTAATTAGTGCTCAACCTAAAAAGATTTATTCAAATGCTCATGCTTATCATATTAATTCTATTTCAGTAAATAGTGATCAAGAAACTTATTTATCATCTGATGATTTAAGAATTAATCTTTGGAATTTAGGAATTGCTGATCAATCTTTTAATATAGTTGATATTAAACCAACTAATATGGAAGAATTAACTGAAGTTATAACTAGTGCAGAATTTCATCCAAATCATTGTAACATTTTTATGTATTCTTCATCAAAGGGTACTATAAAATTAGCTGATATGAGATTAAATTCTCTATGTGATCAACATGCAAAAATTTATGAAGAATATTTAGATCCTTCATCTCATAATTTCTTTACTGAAATTACTTCATCAATTTCAGATGTAAAATTTAGTCATGATGGTAGATTTATTGTACTGAGAGATTATATGACTATAAAAATTTGGGATTTAGCTATGGAAAATAAACCAATTAAAACTATAAATGTTCATGAACATTTAAGAGAACGATTATGTGATACTTATGAAAATGATGCTATATTTGATAAATTTGAAGTACAATTTAGTGGTGATAATAAATCTATTATGACAGGATCTTATAATAATAATTTTATGATTTATCCTAATGCTATATCTTCATCAGCTTATTCAAAAAATTTGAATAAACCAATATTTAAGCAAGCATTATATAAAAAATCAAATAAGAAGAAATCAGGATCTATTCAACTGAAAAAGAAACCTATTCATTTTAATCGTAGTTATCAAGAAGATGAAGATGAAGAAGAAGAAGATGATGAAGATGATGAACATGAAGATGATGATGAAGATGATGAAGAGGATGAAGATGAAGATGATGCTGAAGGAGTTAAACGTGAATATCCTCCTGATAAAGATATTCATTCTCCAGGTTCACAATTAAATGATGAAGATGATGATCAAGAAGAGATTATCTTACAAGCCGATAAATCAGCATTTAAATCTAAAAAATCTGGTCATAATCCAATGAGAAGAAGAATGATGAGTGGAGTTGGACAAAATCATAATTCAAATGATTTCGATGAAATAGATTTCAAAAAGAGTATTTTACATTTATCATGGCATCCTAAGGAAAATTCAGTAGCTATTGCTGCTACTAATAATTTATACATCTTTTCTACCTTATGATAAGATGAAGATTAGATGTATATCCTCTGTAACGATTGTTCTTTTGTTATTCTACGCACTAATTCTTTAATGTTACATGTCTTGCTATTATTGTTCTTGTTTGTTAGTCTTTTAGTTTTTAGTTTTTAGTTTTTATATATCATTTCTTCATTAATTAATTTCTTCTTTATTTCAGGCATTGTTTTTGTTTCTGTCTTTGTTTTTTATCATTTTACTTATACATGATATGCTAATATAAATTTCAATTTATTACTACAAGAGTTATTATTATTATTTCAAATTTAAATTGTAATATATATTTCGAATATACGGTGAAATGGGAAGAATGCAACATCATTAACATATTATATAAAAAAAATAAGGCAGGAATAGATTGATTTAATCTAATCTACACAATTGAACTTTCACTTATTTAATTTTCAATGTGTCTATTGACATCAGAATTCCAGAATAAAGTCTTATCTCCATCACCCCAGAAATATTTATGAGTTCTTATATTTTGATAATCATATTGAACTGGCCATTCTTCATCAGAAAGATGTCTTAAATGTTCTCTATGTTTAGCATGTTCAAATTCAACTTTAGCAACTGGAATAGTAGTTAAGATTAATGCTGGTAAGGCAACAAAATAAGTAATTCTTTTCCATAAATTAGTAATACCAGCAGAATGATGAACTTTTTCTTCATAATTCTTAATAAATTCTTCTCCAGCTTTCTTGTCGACTTTAGATCCTGAATAGGCTAAATCTTTCAAGTGCTTAGAAACTCCATAACCATGGCCATGGGAATTGAATCTTCTGAAAGTTAATTGGGTTACTCTCTTAAACATTGTATAGTTTTTATTGAAGAGCTTAATGTATTAAGGTTGTTACTGATAGCTGCTCGGTAAACTATTTATAAGATGCTTTTGTTTGTATGCCTCAGAAAAATGGTGTGAGTTTTTTTGCTGGCATATTATTGGAAGACGGTCATGCGAGCTCGGTCACGTGGACGGACCACATCGTAAGTTAATTGTACTTTGTATTTTATCTATAGGTTACGTATATAGTACATAAATATACACTTTCTCTATTGTTAAGAAATGATTAAATTGGTTCGTTTAACTTGAGGCAGATCATTGTCTGTCAATTGCTGCTCTAATTTAGGTAAGTCTTTTACTTCCAATTGAGCCTGAGCCTGAGCCTGAGCTGGAGTCAGTGCCTGAGCCGCAGCCAGATCCTTAGCTTGAGCTGGAGTCTTTTCCTGTGATTGTTCCTTATTCTCTTCGGCAGGTCGTTCTATACGCTGACCTGGGGGAGCTTGTATAGGTTTCTTTATCGAATCAATTTGAATGGTAGGTGTATCTTCCTTACTCATTGGAGGTAAGGGTTGAGGAGGAGCTACTGCTCCACGAGGTGGTAAAACATAATCCATTTTACCTGACTTATAATCTTCAAGTTGTAGAGGTTCCTTTTGGACGGGAGCAAGATCACGACTCTCTTGAACTTCATTCTGTCCCATTTGAATTTGTTGTTTGAATTCTAAATTCTGTAAATCATTCTTGATTTGTTCCAAACCAGCGGTTCTATGTTGCTTATTGGTTTGATGTAATTGTTTAACTTGTTCTATAAAACTTAACTTTTGATTTTCTTCTCCATGCTTAAAAGTATAATAATCAGGACGTAAAAATGAAACTTTATTTGGATCTAAACTAGCTTCAGCAATACTATTTCTTTCAGTAGGTTTAGTTAATGCCACCATTTCTACATCATGATAATCAGTTACTTGTTGAGTAACATAATATTCTCGAAGAACATCATGATTATATCCTAATAACTTCTCATAATCTTGATCAAGGAAATCCTTTATAACAGCAATTCTTTTCAGATTATTCTTCAGTTGTCGAGATTGTTCTTGAACTTTCTCAATACCAAATTTCTTAATAAAATCAACGATAGCTTCAACTTTAACCCAATTTCTTAATTTTGGTAAGAAAGTATAACCTCTAAAAGTTTGAAGAAAGAGGGATTTCTCACCATATTCATTAAGGAGTGATTGTTCATATGAATGTGCAATATATGCACGTTCACCTTCAAACACAGTAAGTCTTAATGGACTTAATTCAACTAATCTTGAAAAATGATTATTTCGACAATTATATGCTTGTAAATGTTTATTTCTTTCGAGTGAATCTATTATAACCTGTTTTCTTGTTCTACGATGTTGGAATTGATCCTTTGGTAAATAATCATTATATCTTTCCGGAGGTTCAGTATCACTCAATGCTAAAGCAGTAATATCAATATATGCACCAGTATCCATATCTATAAATCTTGCATCAATATTATTAGCTCCATTACCTCTAACTCTTCTTGATATATAAGTTCCACAATCAAGGAAATAACGTCCAAATCTAGGTTGTTCAGGATTATCACCAAAATCAACAACAATAGTTTGATTATAATGACGAGATAAATGATGTAAATCTTGAATTGACATTTGAACATCAATATCATTATCCCATGGGAAATTCAATGCATCCCAATACCAACTTAATAATGAACCATGAGCAATCCATGTATTAATTCCAACTCTATTGGTAAATCTTAACCAAGCTTTAACTAATCCATGAAGTACAGGACTTTGTAAATCAGTATAATTAATAATCTCAGAGAAGAATCTCCAATCATAATGTCCACCAATTCCATAATTACGTTCATTTCTAACAAGATTAGCTTCTTCAAAATATTTAACAGCATCTCTCAGTTGATCAAGAGATCTTTCTAAGGATGTAAAATAAAGTTTTTCTGATGCATTTAATGAAGATGAAGATTCCTTTAAAGAATTAAAGATTTCTTGAGAATTATCAACAAATAAATCATGAGTTAAATTCTTGAATGGAGTTACTTTAGCAGTATCTTTTACTAATGAATCAGCCACTAATAAGAAATGATTTAATTCATCAACAAGATTCAAATTTCGATTAATAAGATTATTTTTAACATAATCAGTATTCAATATTCTTTGTTTTGTTGAAAGAATATTTTGATCAATACTAACTTGAAAGAGTTTCTCATTAGGTAATAAGAATGTTAAAGAAAATGGTAAAGTCATGAAATCATTTAAATATGATTTAGAAAGTATCGAACGACTAACTAATTTTTGACGTCCAGGAGATCTTAATACATGAAATCCAGTTGAATATCTTGAAGATTGAATTAACTTCAAATTATTAATGATATTTAAATCATTATCAGCCGCAGCCTGTTCTAAAGTCGCCAGTATATCATCATCATCAAAGCAGTATTCTTCTGGCTTTTTTAATAAATTCTTTTTATTTTGAATTTTTGATTTCGTTGACGTATCGAACTTTTTACAGGGGAATTTCTTAGGATTATATATGAATTGATTAAGTTGAGATAAATCCACATAGTCACCCCAATGAAAGAATGGAAGGTTATTGATAGATTTACCTTCGGCTATTTGATGTGATAAATAATTGAATGTGATAGCAAATGTAAATCTTGGATCATAAAGATTGAAATAATTTGGTTCATTTTCTTCAATCATGACTACTTGTTCGTCGGAATTATCCAGATTTTCATTTATATCCGGAGTTCTTTCAGCTAGTTCAGCATCAAAAGATTGAGAATTAGGTATCTCAATATCATAATATTCTTTAGGAAACCTCAGAACAGCTTGAATACCAGCCAGACTGATTATTTTCTCAACATTTTCATTAAAAGTTGTGGTATCAGATGTATCTCTTGATTGATTATAACTTAGTAGAGCTTTTCTTAACTCTAAAATATTGAGCTTGGTCTGCGTAACGTATGGATGATCGTTATATTTGAAAAGTGATATGACGATGATATGAAGGAGAATCACCAGGATTATGAGCAATATAGCTCTTGACTTTCTGATGTAGGCCATTTATTATTTTGTTTTGTTTGTTTGTTTGTTTGTATTATGTTATGTAATGCTATGTTATGTTATGAGATGAGATGATATGATATGATAAGTACTGTATTGACTATTTGATATTTGAGATCCGAAACAAAGTACTATATCATACTAGGCGAATATTGTAGAAGGAGTAGTTTTCTAGAAGTTAACTCTCGTTTACTGTTGTTGTTCTTGTTCGGCGAATGAATATTGTATTAGTTCACTAATATACTTTTCTATAAATATGTTATAACTTCTGGATTCAAAACAAACTACCAGCCAAAACAATACCTCAACAACGATTACTATTCTACTGGTTCCACGTTGATAGCACAGCCTGTTTCAATGTCTTGGTGTGGATAGAATCGTTGATGTGATTTCTACCACTTAAGCCTATTTTAAAATTGAAGGTATTTTGTGTAACCTAGATTCGATGATTTATTTTTTTTAGCTTTTTGTTTGCGTAAATTAATATTTTTTCAGATTTTGACAGTACCAAGAAAAAAACAGCAGGGGCCCAATTGTTTTGATAAGTAAATTTAGGAGTTTTTCTTAAACAATCCTTAATGTCTGATGATGTATTACTATATTGAGCGTTTGTGAGGATTTATATAACTTCAAGTAAAAAGATGAACATAATTTAATTATGGGTAGATATATTTGAAATAACTTAACTAAATATAACGGATATTTTATTTACAGATCGTCAAACTTTATCCGCCGTTTCTCGGTTTTCGTTTCTCAATTTTGACTAAAAGAAATGTTACACGTATAGCATATTTTACAAATAATTTTACTCTATATAATAACTACTGATTATATACTTAGTCTAACATATGTGATAGCTCAGTTTATAAAATTGTAAACGTCTTAGGTAAAGTCAAAGGTAGGTTCCTATTTTACAATTGATGTATGTATTCTTTAATTAATACAACGTAGAACCGGGTTGCGCGGTTTGTATCCCTTTCTCCCTTATAGGAACTTTGTTCTATTTTTTTATCTCGTGGTGCTAATGCGGAGAACTGGTCTAAACTAAATTTATTATGTAATGCTGTATAGTCTCTATTCTAGAAATGTATCCAATACAATTAGCCACCCTGGTCAACATTCGGTTAATCATATACGTATCAAGTTTTATACAAAAGCCGTAGGGCTCATTAACTCTATATTTATTGCATAATATTACATAATCTGACAATCTTAAACTCTAAATTGAATTCTTCTTTAATTTCTGAAGAAAATTATACCGATTTCTCTTAAATTTCAAATTATAATAATCATGTTTAAGATACCTTGGTACAATTGAATTTAATGAATTTTCTACTTCACTGGATTGTGACTTATCCAAATTTTGCATTTGGAATTGATGAATCTTTAAGAAATCTTGTGCTTGAACGTAATTAACCAATTGCTTGCTATTCTGTTTAATCATATCCTGTTCAATTATTCTCCCATCTTTAGATCTTAACCATCCAGGTTTCAATTGTTTATTCTTATTCAATGGATCAAATATCCAGGTTCTCAAGTAGAATGAAAATGAAAAATCAGCATGATGTGCATTAACCAATGCTGGTTGCCTATATTCATCCTCTAAGACAGTACCAAAATTATTTGGAACATAACCAAACTGACCTTCGAATGTCGTTAATCTTAATGGATTCAAATCATCAAATTTGAGGAAATGTCCATTTCTACAGTTCGCTACTTTAAGAACCTTATTAACAATTTCATAATCATCATTTTTTGGTTTAAACAATTGCTTGTAATATCTCTGTGGCGTGGGACTATTTGAAACAGCTAATGCAGTAATGTCAATATACAAACCAGTATCAATATCGATAAATCTTGCATCTATAACATTATCACCATTTTCCTTGGTACGATGAGTTATGGAACTACTAACATCAATAAAATACCTGCCATACCTTATCTCTTCATTTTCTTCAACATTTGGACTGGTGTTATTACGTCCAAGGTCAATTATTAGTGTTTGATTGAATTCACGTGCTAAACGATGTAATTCAGTAATTGGCATCTGTACATCAAAGTCGGCATCCCATGGAAATGCCATCCCATTCCAATACCAACTGAGAAGTGATCCATGCGCAATCCAGCTTGTAAGTTCAACCCTTCGTGTGAAGGCTAGCCAGGCACTCATGAGACTATGAAGGCTGGCAGCTTTAAAATCCTCTAATAAAAAGGAATTGAAAAATCTCCAGTCGTAATGGCTTCCATCAAACTTTAGTTTCTGTTCTTCAACAGAGAATATATGAGCTTCATCAAAATACTTATAACTATCTTTTGGGTTTGAATTAGAATACCTGAGTGAATCAATATAATTTTGATCTTGATGTGACTGAGGACGGAAATGCGCTAATAACTCTGCTGATGGATCTATAAATTGGCTGAAATCGAGGTCTTTTGAAAATCTGAGACTCAGTACTGGTTTCATAGGATTAGTAGAATTTACAAATTCTACCAAGTCATCTTGTACATTCACAGAACTTGTGAATAGTTCTGTATTTACCAACCTTTTCTTTATACTGTCAAGCTCACCATCTTGTTTTATAGGAACAGTACGAACAAATTCATCATGTATTAATGTAATTGCAAATGGAATTGGCATAAATTCATTCAAGTACAATTTTCCAAATTGAGCTCGGTACTCCATCTTCTGACGTCCAGGAGAATTGGTAATATGAACTGAAGATGCCGATTTACTTTGTTGAATAAGTTTAAAGTTCGGAAGAAATTTCTTATATTTTTCATTTTCTATTAGATTTGCAATATCATCGTTATCAATACAATATTCTTCAGGGCTCTTATAATATCCTTCCTTTTTTACAGTGAATGATTCATCAATTTCAAATTGGGAACATTTCCAAGAATTTACTCTCTTATCATTCTGGGATAAATCTACATAATCATTCCAATTGAAATAGGGAATTTGGACATCCTCATTTCCTTCGGAGGGGTTCAGAATTAGGTACCGTATCAATATACTCAACGTAATTCTTGGATCAAAGTGGGGCCTCTCCTTATATATTCTCAAGGCTTCCGAGTCTAGTATCAACTGATTTATTCTATCATCAGATTTAAAATTTGTTAAATATGATGGGATTTGTTCACCTTTCAAGGAAAATAATTCATTAATCGAATCGTGAAACCGATCTTCTTCAGGCAAATCTGCAAACACAACTAATTGTTGACTTCTTAAATGCTTAGAATAATATTTAGCATTTTCATAATTGTTTAATGTACCAACTCTAAAAATTAGACCAAATAAAGCAACCATAGTTAATGCAATCATCACATGCTTCTTCTTTTTAACAATCTGCATTTCTGTCATGTTAGCGGATGGTTCATTACATCTATAGTCATGAATAATATTCTAAAACTTGACCATGTAATCTTTTTGATGCCAATTTGAAAAATTTGTCTTAGACGAACGAGTAATCCATATTTGGCATCAGCATAAAATTTGCATTGCAGGATGTGAAATTTCACGGACTGGTTTCCACAGCTTACGAAACTCGAAAATTGCTTAGAACCGACATGAAAAAAGTTAGATTAGATTTCAAAGCCCAGATTAACAATGGATATGCCAACTTCATTTGAGAATGCTGATCTACGAAAACAATATTCTCGGTAGTAATTTATGCCATTCCTTCACTTACAGAAAAACCCTTGTGTATTAAAATTGAGAGATTAAATGCACAAACACAAAAGCCAGAGATGATGTGCCTACATGTAGATATTAAAGCTTCCCGTAAATAATAAGATGTAACTATTGTTACTGAATATGTATGTATAAGTCTGTAGTAATATACTTTTGTCTATGATTGAATAGGGTATATAAATATATGTTTGCTTCTATTTGATAATTGTGAGATGCAAATAAAATCCTGAAAATTTTAAAATGATAAATAATTAAGGGGGCTAAAAAATATTCGTACTATGTTCTGGTAAAAAATAAAAAAAAATGTACAAAATTGAGAAGAAAATATATATAAGGTTAATTTCGTTAGTTGTCATATATAAGAGACATATAAATAAATAATCATGAAAGTAAAAGAGCCAAGTTTAAGCCTCTTATAAGAGCTGTAAAAAAGACCATATTTATAAATAAGGTATAAATTAATTAGATGAACGATTTTTCAAATTATAGAGTACCCATACGTTGAAGTCTTTCATTAAGAGAATAACGTTCAACCTGAGCCTTAAGAATAAATTGATCTGGCTGTAAATATCTCGTGAGAGACTTCTTCAATCTTGAAATTCTAGACGAATCTTCAGAACTTTGTAATTCAAAAAACAATCTTGGATCATCTGGATTAAGCAATTGTTGATTATGTAAATCAAGTAATTTTCGATTTAAAATGTAGGTAATTAGTAAGTCATTATGATGCTCTAGTGCTCCTGCTTCGAAAGGAAATTGGTGATGTAGTTTAAACTGATCTAATGCAGCAGTTGTCTTCTGATCATCTTTAAAATAATCAGCAATCATTTTTCTTAATAACGGTTCACTAACCCAAGATCTAACCTTTTTAATATAGTGGTACGACTTGTAGTCACTATCTGAAAGAGCTTGCTGGCCATACATTAACCTCAATACTTTGTTAAAATTGAAAGGAACGTAGGCTATTTCTCCATGGAATAAAGTCAACCTTAACGGATTTAAATCGTGGTAGCTTATGACATCATTGTTTCTGTTTCGTAAGCTAATTTCATTTCCAGGAATAGATGAATATCCAAAGATTTCAATAAAAAGTCCTGTATCAACATCAATTAATCTGGCCTCATACTTCGCAAATCTGGGTCTGGAACGATCTAGAATGGAGTTTGAAATATCAAGAAAGTACCTACCGTATCTTAATTCTTCTACACTATCACCGAAGTCAACAATCAATGATTGATTATAGTTCTCTGCTAAACGGAACAAATCTTGAAGTGGAATTCCAAATCTATTAGTTAACTTCCAGGGGAATTCAGCACCAGACCAATACCAACTGAGAAGCGACACTTGATCCATCCAAGTATTAATTCCAGCCCGTTTGGTCAATTTTAACCATGCTTTAACTAAGCCATGTAAAGAAGTGTCTCTAAGTTTATCTACTTCATGAAATCTAATTTCAGAGAAAAATCTCCAATCATAGTTATGAGTGACATCTTTAAATTGTTCACTAGAGATAAATTCAGGGTTTCTAAAGTATGGAACATCTTGGTTGACTTTTGAACTTATGGATTCAAAAAACCTACGTGATGTGAATGGAATTGCTTCGTCTTCTATATTAAAATCAACATTGGTAATATTTGATTCTTTAAAATCATGGACTAACAATTCATGGAAGTGATCATTATCTTGATCAACATAATGGCGTGGTAATGAATCCTTTTTATCAACTAAAAATTTGCTCATTTGATGAGGAAGATTTATTTGTCTGGTAAATATATCTGAATCAACTAATTTCTTGTTTGACTTTTCAAAATCCTGTTTGATATTCAACTGGTGCATTTTATCCTGTGGTAAGAGCATTGTCAAGGTATAAGGCAAAGGCATAAATTCAGCAAGATAAGCACGATTCAAAAGCACACTAAGTCTTTTGGTTTGGCGACCAAAATATGTCACTATATGAAAGGGTAATTTCGAATTACTCTTAATATGGTTCTTTACATTCTCTGGGATGACCTTTAAAGTGTCAATTTGGTCGTGATCAAAACAGTATTGATGATGTTTGAAATGGTTATCATCTCCGTCAGTAGTCAAGACTGGGGCTCTGGCAGTTTGATCAAATTGGTCACAAGATCTTAAATACTTACTATCAACATCATTACGAATTAGATTCTTATTCAATACTGACAAATCAACATAATCATTCCAATGGAAGAACGGCAAGTAATTCAATTGCTTACCTTTCTCGGACTGATCATTTAAATATTTGAATATCTGACCAAATGTGAGCATAGGATTGAAGTGATATAAACCCTTTAATCTATCAACTTTATCTTCATCAATGTTTATATCTGTATACTTCTCGATATTCGAGAAATCATATAAATGACGTGGTACTTTCGACCTAACACTTGAAAAGAGATTTGAAACTTCTTTATCAAATTTTTGCTGTTCTTTGTCATCGTCAACGAATTGTTCAACTTGCTGGGTATCTAGCTTTTCAAATTGATTATAAACTTTAATTCCTCCTACCTCGGAAACATAGAAGAACTTGTAGTAGAATAGCACAATTAGAAGTGCCAATGCTATTGAACTTGGTAGAACTCTAAATCTTCTTATTTTAGCAACGTTCATTTTTCTTTGAAAAATGTGGATTATTATTTAATTGAGTTGGAATGTAGTTGTTGGAATGGGAAGAGAATGCTTGTTGCAAAAGTAGATTAATTAATATATAAAGAAAAGAAACAAGAGAACATCTAAGGTTTTACCTAAAACTGAAAGTATAATTCAAAAAAGTTATTAGTTTATCTATGGATAGCATTTTCGTTCATTTAAGTATAATTCTCCATTGAAAGCAACAATACAGCCCCGTAACAAAATATTTTGCTGAGAAATAATAAATTCTGTGTGTTATATTTAAGCTTAAAAGAATTTAAGCCCATTTCAAAATATTTTTTTCGGTATGAAGTATTCTGGAAGTAACATACAGAACCCTGATTACAAGAAAAATACCACTATTATTTTTAGTGTTTATTTTCTATCTGTGGAATTCCACCTCAAAAGGTTTGAATTGACGAAAGGTAAAATACTGTACTATATTGCTGCACAGCGGTTCGGAAGTGGTAGTTTTCGTCTCTTCCGACCTAATGAGGCATAAAAGCTCTTCCGACTCTAATTCTCTAACATTAAAGGCGGCTCATAATCAATAGCCACCATATGAACTATTCAAGAGAAAAGGTTATCTCGTATTTCTTTGTGCGCTCTTTAGAGTTTTATTCAGGGTAGTCCAGGGTACTGAAGAAATCTATCTAAAATGCATGTTACATAGCGCACTTATTTGTGAAGTATTATGGCCAAATCAAATCTCTTGCATATCGTCTAAGGCCCCGCCAGATCCTATCAATATAGCACATGTTGTTTTGGAAGTTAAATTAGTAATTACAATTGAAAGAAACTAAAAGGAGCTGGCACCATGGGACCTCTAACAAATTAGAAATATCAAGCGAAAAAGTTATTTTTTGATTTGGCATGAAAAATAATTGATTATAGTTCGAAATTTCATGTTATAGTGCCCCGATACACAAATACAATCACATGGTAAATCTTTTTCTCTTGTATTATCTAAGAAACCCTTGTATGTTGCTAAGTAAATTATGATTATATAAGCGCATTAAGAAAGAATGTTTTAGGCAGTTTATCTTCCAGGTGCTTGAAATCATCCCATACTACCAGTTTAAGGCTGTCATAGTGCTTGTAAAACTGTACATCCATTTCATTTTCCTTTTAATATCGACTTTTCAGATAAGTACTGTGATGGTCAGCTTACAAATCACCAATCTTAAGTGGAAAATATAATCGTATAATCTAGCAATGCTGTACAACGTCGAGTAATTCGTATTTTATGTTATCAACATCGTTTTTGTTAAACTTTCTGCCTGGTTCATGTATATGCAAAATGGGTTCAATCTAATTTATCTATCATCTTCCTATTGTTAACATCAGTAATTCAAGATCGGAGATTAGCGGTAGGCCGCTGTATAAAGTAGTGGTTAATAAACATCAATTAAGTCCGGATTAAAATAATTTACTCCAGATAACTCCTGCAAAACATATCTGTGACGCATTCTAACATATGTAAATTTTATATAATCTTAAGTAAGACTCACTACGCAAAATCCGGAAACATTACCGAACCTTTGAAGGTATTCGTAATTAAGATCAAACTTTTTTTTGAAGACCAAAGATAAAATTTAGATGTAATTTTCATCTGCAAATCTGTACGTCAAAAAAATAATTTTTATTATAACAAATTTATTATTATAACATAAAACAGATTCAGTGTCTTGGCAATAATTCACTATCTATCAATTCGGCATCATCAAATATACGAAGCGCTTGGATGAGTTAATAAATATACTTGTTCTGAAATGAAACTAATTCCTTAATTTTGTAAAGTTATGTCTATAATCAGTAAATTAATGATCATTTATTAACAAACTGAACTCTACGCTGTTGCACATTTGTAATTTTGTGGGTTAGCAGTTTACCCACATTTACGAGATGATTGCAGTGCTTCTGACACAAACCCCCTACCCAGGTCACGTGAGAAATTTAACAACAATTACTATACCAAACTATACCTTTAAGCATACGAAGTTTACATATACAATAAAGGGGCCAGAAACTAGCCTTATTAAAAGCATTTTGTCATAAGTAATTGTGGGGAGCAAAAGTTTAATTTATGGTTTTATTATGATTTGGAAGAAAAGTAATACAGAAAATGTCAAATTTATTATAAATCGTAGAGAGATCTAATAACAATCCATTGGCGTTATCGTTCTCCTCTCTAATAATTCTATTAAATGACAATTAAGAGTATCAAAAAATAGAATCAATTAATAACAATGTCAATGAAAGCATAATCTCTATTAAATTATAGACTCCTCTTCCTGTATGTAAGGATCTCATTTCTATGAGTGAAAAGTATGTAGCAGAGTTGGGCATTCGTAGAACTTGGAGATGCTTATACCAACAATGAATACAATTAAATTAAGGATAGCATGTGTTCAATATAATCCAAGAATTGGTCAGATTGATTCTAATATTCTGCACGTTAAAAGATTACTTTTATCTAGTAATCTAACTAAACCAGATATAATCATCTTACCAGAGCTCGCTGTAACAGGATACAATTTCAAGGATAAAGATCATATCCAAACATCATTAGATAGCCTCCAGAATATTCAGCTGGGAAAGTCAATAAAGTTTGGACAAGAATTATCTAAGTTATATAATTGTTTTACTATTATCGGGTACCCTGAGAAATTTCAAGGTCTGACAATTTATAATAGTGCGGTTTTGATATCGCCTATCGGAACCATATTGCATAACTACAGGAAGACTTTCCTTTATGAGACTGATGAGAAATGGGGATGCTCAGAAAATCCACAGCGTGGGTTTAAATCAATTGATGTTGTTTTTGATCGAGAATTTTATACTAATCCAGATCCACAAAAGAACTATTCTAAAGTAAGGACAAATTTTGGTATTTGTATGGATTTGAATCCATATAAGTTTGAAGCACCATTTAATGAATTCGAGTTCTCGCTTGCGAGTTATATACAAGGAGCCAAATTGATCTTATGCCCAATGGCATGGCTATCCCCACTATCACCTTCTATTACAAAAGTCTCTAAGTATGAATTAGAAAATGAAAATGAAGCTGATGATTCTACTGTGAATTATTGGATACTCAGATTCTTCCCCTTTTTACTGCATAGGAATAGTATTTTACCCAAATCATTTGGTAAGGTTAATGTTGTATGTTGTAACAGGATTGGGCTTGAGGATGATGTGCTTTTTGGAGGTTCATCATCAGTCATTGAATTCGATAGTACTAAAGGTTTGGATGAAAAAATTAATTCAGAGAATCCCAGTGTAAATGTGCTAGGCAGTCTTGGAAAGAACACAGAGGGTGTGCTCATACGAGATATAGAAGTAGAGTTAGATTAGATTAATATATAACACAACAGATAGTATCTAGATAAGTCAGAGCTGTCATTATCAATCACAACTTTGTGATATAACTCTGAAATTAATAACCTTTACTGCAGAAGTGTAGAATAATGTGATAGCATCACAGAAGTACGAGTAGAAGTACTAGTCTTGGTAAAAATTTGAATCAAAGAAAGGCACAATTGTACATAATGGGCTACCAGATAAGCCCGCCAAATAATTCGCAATAGATGCTAGAGAAGAATCTATGGGCTTAAAGTGCGGAGTCCAAATAAGAGAGAAATTCCTTCTCCAAACAAATTTCACAATTTGTTGTTCCAGCTAAATTGCGGCTTGGTTTTATTAGGCACTACTACGTTATGATTTAAAGTTTAGCTTCGAATCTTGCACATGTGTTATAAAGTAATAATAATTACCGATTCATGGGGTAATGTTCCAGTAGGGCTTGTAGCTCATACGAGGGCTTACCGAATTAAGCGAATTTTTAGTTTTGTACTATATCACGAAGTATAATTTTGATCGAGCGTAAATAAAATTCCCCAACTTAAGCATTTCCGGGAATTTGAGAAAACAAAAATTTAATATTAAACTGCATCCTGAAGGAAAATAGCCCAAAAGAGAAGTTGTGCATTGCGGAAACAAAGCGAATAAAACCGAAACAATAAATCAGTATGGGCAGATGTTCTAGATATTGCTTTAATTTTAATGCTTGCTCCGAGCGGCTCCAAATTCTCCTCGCTCGAACTAGTAATACAATAATTTTCAGATTTCCTGAACTGCTTTGGTGGGTATAATAATTTATATTAACTCTTGTAAAGGGGCACATAAATGAAATTGAAAGCAGTAACAGGAGAAAAATAATTCAATTTTTGATGCCATCTGATTAAACGTACACAGTATAAAAAGTTAACCGCCCAGGAAAAAAGCAATTTTGAATTTCCTAATACAGCATTGGACGCACAAGACTAAAATATTTTTTTAATTAATACGTATTCAGTGTTATCTTTGAAAACGGAGATGACGATGATGAGGACGTTCAAATCACATATGTGTATGAATTGCCCTAAACGGCTCTGATACGTCTCTGTGAATAACCTAAACTACACAAATTCTGGAAACAGAAAAGTAAAATTGGTTAGATTGATTTATGGAGCTATTAAGATTATTTTTCATTTATGTAATAAGAGACAATGACCGAATGACTCTGTGTAATAAAGGCTTCGCTGATATACAAGGGAGAAGTGATCTTATGAATCACTTTAGAAGTACCAAGTTAATTTGCTGATCAGTATATACTAAGCAATAAAGTCTTGTGCCTGTTGTGTACCACCGTATTAGATCATGCTTCTTTACTTTTCTTTTTCCTTTTTGTTTACAGCAATGACACAATATCCCCCGCCAAAATATGGTGGGTCTTGGTTAACAATATGCACCACTTTTCGGAATAGTCGAATTGAAATTTATGTCACGATAAATATTGGCTCATTACCGACTAACTATAAACTTAAATGTGATTATTCCAAAAAATGTAGAATTTGTCCTTAAGAGCGTTGGCTTAATTGGTCAAGCCTTGTAGTTCCAAGATACTGATGTACAAAGTTCAAAAGGCAGTGCAGGACTGAAGATCAATAAATACTGAAATATGTATGATGTACTATGCTAGTTATTGTTTTATCTTAAATTTGAAAATTAAAATTAAGATAATAAAATTAATAAAAAAAATTTTAAAAAATATCGCCCATAATTTTGCGATATAACGTCTCTATAAATTCTATTGTAAAATATATATAATAGTTGAGATCCATTTAGATATTCTGAATTGTATGTAATTGTAATTGTAATTGTAATTGTAATCCTATATGTTATTTTCAAGAAGTAACTTTGATTAAAGATCTTACTTCAATATAACCCTTGTCTCATATGATTTGATTAAGGAGTAACTCATTACCTCTTAATTCTCACAAGATAGAAACCCCCCCTTTAACATTAAAGTGAATAAGCTTTGGAAACAACATAATACAAAATAACATAATAACAAACTTATTATTCAAAAGTCCAATAGAATAAAATAATAGTATATGTCACTGAAGCATAATGATATCACCACTTAAATTTCCTCGAAAACTATTCATACTGAAGCTTTTCATACTATCGGTAGTCACCTACACAATAATATTTTCCTTAACAGCATTTCTTAATCAAAAATCATTCCTTCAGCGTTATACGTCGAAGATCAATAGCCAAATAAATATTCATTATGCCAAATGGAGAAACAATTTCCTAACGACGGAATATAATCTAGAATCTAATCCTGAATTTCTTCATCAACTTCATGATTTAAAACAACAAGAAATTCTCACAAATGATGACCTCTGGTTCTTGCGAGAAGATTCCCAATTATCTATTCCCTTGGAATTAGAAATTCCTCATTACTTTGAAAGTGAAATCTTGGTCAAACCTATGATACAACATTTCGACCCCAGATTTACTCTCGCTGTTTATATGAATTATTTAACACAGTTTGAAACCCAAGATAAAATAAAATTCCATTGGTCAGACTGGGTGGATATGACGAAGCTATATAAATATATTCTCAACCCACATAAAGGTGAATCGGCTGACTTGTGTGATAAATTATTCAACATTTTGGCGAAAACAGAAGAGCCAGACAAGGTTCATAATTTCCGTGATTATTGTTCTGCAGATTACGATGGCTTTCTTGGTTTCAAAATAAATGAATTTACAGGGCCCCAGACTCTAGAGAATCGTGAAATTTTAGGGAAAGCTTATCTTTACTCTAGTGCTCCATCACCGTTTAAAATTGTATTTTTGACAAATGATGATCGTTCAATAGAGTTTGAAGTAGACTCCCTTGAAAACGACAGAAAAAACTCATTATTGAGTAATGGGTATATCCATTCCATGATGAAAAATGGTGGAATTCTTCATAAAAAGGATATAGTTAATGTGGCGGACGCCTTTAAAGGCTTTATTAAAAATAGGTTAGAATCTAAAAGTACTGAATCTAAAAAAGTAAAAGATGGAGTGTCAACACTCACTAAAAGTCATATAATCATGAATGAATCAGATTTTGATTTCACCAAAGAAGATATTGATAATGTTTTGAAGCAGGACTTTAGCGAACTTCCTCATTTTAGTGAACAGAATTATTATCGTGGGGTTGAATTTTCTAGTTCAACCAATGACCCACCAAAATACTTTGGTGAAGCCAAGATGATTAAGGAAGTTGACGGGTTCATGCATGGGGAGCACTACGATTGGAGATTTTTCAATGGGCTTATTCTCGAACATGAAGACCAAATTCTTAGTTTACATAGATTAATTAAGAATTATTTAAATTTCTGTCGTACAAACGGGATAAAAACCTGGATAGCCCATGGGTCTTTATTGAGTTGGTATTGGAATGGAATGGGGTTTCCATGGGATAATGATATTGATGTTCAAATGCCAATTCGTGATTTACATAAACTCGCAAGGCATTTCAACCAAAGTCTTGTGGTAGAAAATATTGTAGGAAAAGATGGTCAATTTGATGGAATGGGAAGATATTTTATAGATGTTGGAAGTTCAATAACCCATAGAAAGAATGGCAATGGAAATAATAATATAGATGCTCGATTTATTGATGTTGATACAGGACTCTATATTGATATTACAGGATTAGCTCTTACAGATGAGCCTGCGCCTAGTAGGTATGATATTTTAATTCAAATGGACCCAAATAAAAAAGCTGCAGTTGAAAATTCTAAAGAGAGAAATGAAGGAAACTTAGATCACCTTGTTAAAAATCAACAATTGCAGGCTTATAACTGTCGTAACCGTCACTTCAATATTTTGGATGAATTATCACCCTTAGTTAAAACGATTGTAGAAAATCAAGTAAGTTATGTTCCAAAGAATTTCCTTGTCCCTTTAAACAATGAATATGACGTTAAATCAATTATAGAGAAGGATTTTAAAGAATACATATTTGTTAATAATTTAAGAATTTGGATGAAGACGCAATCAATTCTTGATTATTTTAAAAAAATCGGTAGACCATCCGAACTCAATTTATTCAAAGATTTAAATTCAATTAAATCGTTTAATAAAGAAGTTCGAAAATTGCAATTGAATAAACTTGATATTGAAGATCATTTAAATTTATTAAAGAATAATAAATACTTTAAGGAATTTTTTACTTCCAAAGAATTCACAAAATTTCATGAATTAGAACTAGAACAATTATCAAAAGATCCAGTTGATTATAATGTTGATGAATTTATTAAAGAAGTCAAAGAGTTCACGTTGCCAGAATTAAATATTGGTAAACCTCTTAAGGCGGATTTATTCATGAATAAAGTATTTCAAGACAGTAAAACATATGACTATAATAAAAAAATCGATGAAGTATTGAAACTAACTAAAGAATATATCAATGAGATAGAAGATTTAACGAAGAAATCGAAACAAGAAAGAAATAAGAAGTCGTCTGAATAGTGATGAACATCTTATATCTGTATATAGAAAATTATGGGCGTACCAACTAATTTGTAATTTGTAATTTGTAATAGAGAAATAAAATTATTTAATAATAAGTTATAATATTTGAATACTTGTGTAGATGTTAGAAGACGATGCTCATATAATATAAAAGCGGAAGTTGTATTTTAAAATTACAGACTGTGGTGGAAGGTTTGCTTGAAAATGGGGTGGGAATGTGTCTCAGGTCGTCTAATTGGAGCTCGTTAATTAAATAACTTCTATTTTTTATCGGAACAAGAGCATGTGGAAACAATTAAGTAAAACAATACGACTCAAACAATTTACTCGTTTATTAATTGTGGTTTTGAAATATGAATGTTTACCTTTATTTTATATTCTACTATAAGGGAATAAATAAGACAAAGAGTTGTATAAACAGGAAATGTTTCTTCATTTAGCAGTAATCTTTAGTTCCTATTCATAGCAATTGAGGATCGGGACTTGGACGCGTTAAGGTTTAAATCCGAAATTGAGAGTAAAACACCGCTGCTCAGTGCCTTATCTAGCCATAATTTTCAAGAATTCTCGGAGTATAACAATAGGAAGCAGGGGGAGTATTTCTTATTTTATTCGGTGAATTTAGCCTAGCGCGTTTTGTCGAATATTTTTTTGAGGGGTCAATTAACAGCTCTACCGATCAGAAAACGACAATTGCTCACAATGCTACAGATCTCTAGATTCTTAAACAATAATCATTGGAACACTAATAATTGACTGGGGTGATCTCAGTAACCTTGTTGTATGTGAATGACTATCGTACCGTTTGTTGTATTTTCCACAAATAAGTATTAGCTTTCGTCTTTTAAACTATAAACATTGTTTTACATGTTTATTTATTTATTTCATGTTTATGTTTGTTACTGCAATATTATCGGTAAATCGTCTTGTTTTGTTCTTGTGTACTAATTTCCCATTCAACAACAAGACTTAATTACTTACATTTCCTGCCCACATCTCCTTATGATTGTGTCAGTATAATATTTTGCTTGGTAGGTTGAAGTATTAATACTGTATATAAAAATTTTCAAATTTTGAACGCCTTAGTCGCTTTATTTTCATTCGTCGCTAAGAAAACGAATCAAATATAACACAAACCAAACATACTCGCGTAACTTCCATACTACGGGTTGTATTGTAGTTACTATCATTAGACTATAAACACGGTAAAATACAAAAAGATATTAGACTCCAGAACTGTATAATAGAGTAACATATCGTGTAATTAATTTCAATTAGGAAATACTTGCCTTTGACCTCTGATTCCTGCGTATAACCGCAACCTTGTTACTGAAATTGTTATTACAAGTGCAAATTGTGCCGTATTACTGTCACTTTTTCAATTAACGCGTATTCTTATGTATAAGGCATGCCCATATAGTGTAATACGGAAGTTTAAGTAATTGATGAATTTACTTGTAATTTAAATTTAGACCAACGACTCACGTGACTGAAAGCAATAAAACATGAGTCATATGCAGTACACAGGGCATAGCCCACCCCTTTTTCATTTTTCATTTATCACCCATCCGAATTAGGAAATATTATAGAGTTATATACAGTGCGCTGTGTTACTATGAGTCTTTTTGTCCTTTTTTTTTAAAATATATTCTCGATTGAAAATATAAATATAAATTACATTGACCCACTTAGAAAATTTTTCTTCTTACTTTTCTTTCCTTTTACTCTTTAACCAACAACAAGTTTAAGTTCAAGTATATATTATTCATAATGCAATTCAAATCTGTTATCATCGCTTTAACCGCTGCTACTGCCGTTTCTGCTGCCAACGCTTCTAACGCTTCTGCTAACGCTAGTAACCAAACTTCTGGTTCTAATGCTATCATCTCCAACTCCAACTTAGCCGTTGTTGCTGCTGCTGCTGCTGCTGGTGCCGCTTTATTAATCTAAGTTAGTTAATCTTTATTAACTCATAGATTGATTTAGTAGTTCAATAATTCATACAACTACACAACTCAAAAGAATATAAAAATTTTTCATTAGGTGTCTTTTTTTTGCTTTTTTTGTATAATTATAAAAATCCCCCTTCCATTCATTCATTATGCTAATGTTACTATGTATAGTCTAGGACTATACTAGAGTATTTGCGTATCATATAATCAATGTTCAAACCAACCAGTTCAGCAGAGTTTAAAAATATCTTTCAAATTCCGTATTAATATTATTACTATTTAATAGTAAGAATAATTATATACGTGATTGAATGATGCTTTTATTTTTATTATATTATATGTTTTTTTAATTTCAGTTTTTTTAATTAAGTTAATCCAAGGTATAGAAATATGTTTAAGAGTGTAGTCTTTTGATGGTCATACTTGAAACATATATATTGGGCTCTAATGTGAGCACAACCGGTCTTTCTTTACTTTTTGTTGCTTTTATGCTACTATAATATTGTTATATTATTACTTTATTTTGTTATTATTATTACTAATATCCCTATTTTTAATTTTTTATTGTTTTAATATAGGATTTTTTTGTTATAAAAATCAGTAGTTATTACCTGTAGTTGATATTTGACTAGTAATAGTCAAATCCCGTAAGGTACCGAAAGTAATAAAAGACTCAGATACATGACAAAATCTAGATACGTCAAGTCATTCATATCATGGCAGATATAGCAATCAACAATAAAATAGCCATAATGAGCCTTTTTTTTTCTTTGACGGTGAACCGATTATTCCTGTACCGGTCTAGACAAACACAAATCTATGGTAGTATATTAGCTGCAATCTCGCCACGAATGAATCGTGGCCCAGTCATTCAAAATGCAACACATTTGCAATAACTGCAACAAGATTAAATGTATTGGCTTATCATTTAATGAACACAAAACTGTTTACTGTTAATACTCTGCTTCTTAATATCGCTTATCATACTCATCGCAAAAATATAGAAGTTATTAACTAATTGATTCAACTGACCATTAGAATTGCCTAATAACAATACAATATAACAACAATAACACTCCGATTGATAACAAGGGAAATGCAAAAAAAGAAAAGGAAAAAAAAATCGTCTGTTGATGTAATCTTTTACTCATTAGCATTTTCTCCTTAGGCCTTGTTAATATGTGTTCTTTTTTTAAGCTCCCGTCTATTGAACATATCAGCACAATACACTATTGGTCTACTTTTAGGCTAATGTGCCACATTTAATTTAATGTGCCACTTCTAGTTTAGTACGCCCACTTCTTTTTATTAAAACCGTCATCGTTATCTCTCAAATTCACATACGAATAAAAAAAAAATTCGTAATTTTTAATGTCTGGAAAAAATCTTGACATAAACCCATCTTCTGGCTTTACAATGGCTGAAGCTTAACACTATATTGAGAGTCTAAAGTATTTATCAAGTTTAGAGGCTAAGGTTTTTAGTAGTGTCGTTAGATTTAAACCTAATTCACCTGAAACGACTACCTTTAAAAAATATAAAAAAAAGAAGAACCCACGCCGGGAGTCGAACCCGGAATCTTTTGATTAGAAGTCAAACGCGTTAACCATTACGCTACGCAGGCGTCTTATATATTTCTTAAATGGCCTAGTTTTTTGGAAAAACTTCAAAATCACGTTCTGAATCACGTTTTATGATCACGTGATCATCATGTGCAGGATATTTTATTTTTTTAGGAGGGCGGAGCACCGAAACTCCGTGCGGCCGCACATCTCCGCAGTAATTATTTACTTGTTAGAATAATATTCTAATCCAATTCAATTATAACTGACTGATATCAGCATGATATATTCAATTATTGTAATTATCGGTTCAAGACTTGCGTTAAATAAGTAAATTACTGATTTCGTAAAAATATGAGTGTAAGACAAATAACTGTTTGTGATTATTGTCGAAGAGGGAAAAGGAAATGTGATAAACTAACACCGTGTGGATCATGTCTAAAGTATAAGAAGAATTGTACTTATAGTATAAACTCAAATTCCAATAGCAATGGATATCCTGATTTAAATAATGGAAGTTATAATAATTCTGGTATAGGACATACTAAATTACCTACTAAGAGGAAACTTGATACTTATGAGAGAGATCAATCATTATCGGAATCACCACCCGTAAGTCAAAGATTAATTGAAAATAGTGAAGAAGATAGTCGTGTTCATACCATCAACATTTATAGAGATTATTGTCATGAATGTATTATGGCCAATTCTGAGCAGACTAAATTCGGACCGTTGAGTTGGGTTTCATTTGTTAAAAGTGATGGAGCCTTACAGAACATATGGAGGTATATTGATATGGTTGGAATGCAAGTTGCATTTAAAGTAGATCCATATAAAGGTGAACATTTAGTATTGAATAAGAATAGTGTATCTATTATGGATATGACCGTTGGTAGTCCTACTCCACCAACAAATATGAATGGTTCAAATTCATCATCAGCATCTTTAACAACTTCATCAATACCCTCTGTACCTTCATCTTCGTCTTCAATATCTTCAGCACCAATTGGATCTGAAGCTTATAATCATTTACGTCAACAATACTTAACAGGGATAGTACTTGAGAATGAGACATCTCTTGTAGATGATTCTCTGATATTGAGTGAATCTTATTTATTATCACTCCTACCAACAAGAAAAACACTTTGGATATTAGTCCGTCGTTATTTTAAACTGGTGTATCCATATATACCGATAATTGACGAACGTGATTTCCGAACTCGTATATCATCTATATTGGATGAAGAAAGTTTTGAAAATATACCATTCTTAAGTATAAAGCTCAATGATAGATATGATTTCGCTTATGTAGGTATCCTACTAGTAATGATCCGTCTTGGATACTTATCATATTTTTCAGTAGACTTATATCTTAATGATCCAGTAAATTTGTCTAATTATCAAGATCTGAAAACTTTAGAAAGAAAATTCGTTCTCGAGAATCCTATCAGTCTTCAATTCATTATAATGGCTCAAAAATGTCTTGATGAATTCAATATTTTTCAACGTACTTCTGTGGCTGTCTTACAACTTGCTATACTTCTTCGGACATATAGACATATTGCCCCTGAAGAAGGTGATGGCCCAGATGGTGCAGATTCTCAAGTTCTTACTGCAACATTGATAAGCATGGCTAGTAATTTGGGTGTTAGTCGTACTTCATCGACTAATTCTAAAGCTTCGACATTGAATGAACGTCAAGATAGCTTGTTTCGAAAATTAGGTGTTCATTTATGTAATCTCAATGCCACTGAATGTTTAAGTTTTGGAACTCCGTCAGGTCTCAACCAACAATTTTTTGATATTCAATGTCCAATCTTTGATTCATCAGCATCAAACTTAATCGATACTGATTTAGAAAAGAAAGTAATCAGTGCTTATATTCATACGGGTGATATGTTTGGGAAGTTGGATGAGTTATATCATGATATAATTGATCTTAACAAATCAATGCGGATAGAAGAATTAACGGAGAAAATAGATGCAATGACAAAATTGTTACTTGAAGATTTACCTAATAATTCTGATTTCAGCGAATTTGAAAATGCATTCAAAACAAAACTGACAATATTAGGATTACAATTTGTTATTTCAATTTATTTTATTGTGTTTAATCATTATGAGTCTCATGGGATTTATGAATTGAGTTTCAAATACATGTTGAAAATATTAAAACTAATTATGAATCATGTTATACCATTTATTAAATTATTTAATGATAAACATGATAATGCTACTTTCATGGGTATAGTACCAGTATTACAAACCATGTATCTTAAGATAATCTTAATCTTGTGTTCAATATTAATAAGAACCAATTTTTCCATCCAGACTGAAAAGTCAGACCAAGAAAGAATGAAACGGTTAATGTTACTTTCAGCCGCATTGAAGAATACATGTGTTGATATTCTAAAAGTATTTGCGGTTATAGGTGTTAGGTATTATTACTTTTGGACAATTCATTCAAATGGTATTGGTGTGTTGAGAATATGTTCATCCAAAGAATTTTATGAACCTTTGAAATCGCTGCCTATTCCCGATTCAAGATTAAATTATTCAAGTTCACAGATTCAACAAATACTACCACTTTTTTATAATTGGTCTAAACCTGATTTCCCCATATTAGATATTGATTCCCATTCAACCATATTTGCTGAATTGCCTGATATTTCTAATCCTTTCATATCTGAAGGTCATTTACATAGCTTTTGGTATTACATAAAGAAGAATTCCAAGACTAATGCCACAATGAAGAGATTTCCAAATTCTTCAATCAGTATCCCACTGCCGGAATTTTCATCAGGTTTACCTTATGGTCTTGATATTTTTAATGAATTCTACAGTGATCTCTTTAATTCAGAGTAGCTGATTGTTATCTATGTATATATTTATAGATCAGAAAATATATTCGGTATAATTGTAATAATGAAACTTTTTGGATATACTAAAAAGCATTTTATTTTCCGAGTGACATCATTGTATTTTTTTAAACAGAAGGACATAATAATTTAGGTAATAATGTGATTTAAACCTTATTAGGAGATCCTTCAGATTATTATCTCCGTTGATGGCGATTTGTAATTGTGCGGACCGCACTAGAAATTATTTTTCCGTTCTGTCGGCCGCACGAAATTTTGCATTCATTTCACCCCACCAAATCCCAAACAAGTTATGCTATATAAATGGCTTTAATTCTGCTAATGGATAAGATTTAAATTGAGCTATTGAATCTAAGCTTAAAGTTTAAAGTCAATGTCTTCAAATACAATTACTTCAAACATTGAAGAATCTTCTTCAACTTCAACTAATGAGTCACTTCAAAAAGTTGCAACCCTACAGGAACATCTTGACAGTTTAGCTCACCAAGCAAGTGATTCTGAAATAGATCAAGATCATGCAGGAGATGGAACAAGGAAAGAAGATCAATATTTAACGGGTTTAAAATTATATTTATGTGTTACAGCAGTATTATCGTGTTTATTTCTCATTGGATTAGATCAAACTATTGTTATTACTTTATTAACAGATGTTGGGAATCAATTTAATGCTATAGATAAAATTGGTTGGTTAGCTTCGGGTTATTTAATTACTGTTTGCGTTTTCACGCCATTTTGGGGAACATTTGCCATAAGTTTTGGAAGAAAATTCACCATGATTATTTCGGTGGTACTATTTGAACTTGGGTCACTTATTTGTGGTGTTGCAACATCAATGGATATGTTGATTGCAGGAAGAGCTATTGCGGGTATCGGAGGTGGTGGTATACAATCACTTACTTTTATCATTACTTCAGAAGTTGTTCCAATTCATCATATGCCCATGATTATGGCTTTTATTGGTGTTACATTTGCCATAAGTTCAGTTCTTGGTCCAATTATTGGAGGTGCTTTCACAACTGATGTTACTTGGAGATGGAGTTTCTACATAAATTTACCTATAGGTGGAGCTGCTTTGCTTCTACTCATAATTTCTTTCAACCCACCTAAAGTTCAAGGTAGCTTTAGGGATAAAATTAAGAAAATTGATTTCATTGGAACTGGTCTTGTATCTGCTGGATTAATTTTAATTTTATTAGCATTAACTTTTGGTTCATCATATGAACATAAATGGAATTCTGGTATTATTGTTAGTTTCTTTGTAGTAGGAACAGTACTATTAGTTGGATTTGTTGTTTGGAATTTTAAATTTGCCAAATATCCTTTGATTCTTCCAAGTGTGGTTAAAGTAATGCAAATTAATGCTGCTGCTATCTGTATGTTTTTTGTGTTTGCCTATTTCATTGCTGTTACTCTTTACCTTGCAATTTATTTTGAAATTGTTAAAGGTATGTCTCCATTGAAAACTGGGGTAAATGCATTCCCCATCATCCTAGCTATTGTTCTTTCAGCTATTGCTTCGAGTATCATAATTGAAAAGACAACTCATATTAAAGCTTTTGTAATTATTGCTGGGATTTTGGGTCCTATTGGTATGGGAATAATGACTTTATATGATGTTAATACAACTACTGGGCAATCAATTGGTCTTCAAATAGTAGTTGGTATTTCACTCGGCATTCAATTTCAAGCCAGTATTTTAGCTGCCCAGGTAGTAGCTCCTAAAGTTCCAGGTGGTGCTATCATTACTATTTCGTATGTTATATTTGCAAGATGTTTAGGTGGTGCCATCGGTGGTAATCTCGCTAATTTGGTATATAATGCATCATTCATAGATTCTTTTAGAGACCACATTGCCAAAGAATCAAACCAAACGATTATAAAAGAATTATCTAGCATTAGTCCATTTGAACTTCTTGTCTCTAGTGAAGCTCTTCCCGGATTATCTCTAGCTACTCAAGATTTCGTTATTAAACTATACAATCAAGCTATTAGAAATGTTTACTATATGTGCATCATATTTGCCGGTTTATCATTTGTGGCTGCTATATTTACTACAAATAAGAGAATCCCTCCTCCTGAAGTATTGAACTCTGATACAAAGGAGCAAATTGAACCTGCTTAGCTTTACTTTACTTTTCTTTTCTTTTAATTATATAATTTTACACCAAATAAATTTCGCAATCTTTTTGGAAATAAATGCGCTGCACTGCGCTTTATTTTTCGATCCCGCATATAACCGCTTATGTTAACTATAGTGATATATCATTATTATAACTGTTACTTAACAAGAGTAATGAAATATGCAAGTAAGATATGTCACCGTTTGCGAAAACTGTCGCCTACGGAAAGTCAAGTGTGATCGAAAACTTCCGTGTTCATCATGTAAAAGGACCTCAATTGATTGTAAATATAAGACTTCTGCAAAAAGATTATTAGATAATAACAACACTCACGATCCTACTGTTGTTTCGGACATAGGTTCGGATGAGTTCAGGTTTCCTAAAAAGATTCATATAAGTACAGTATCGCCTACGGATGAAGAATACAATGGAAATGAGTATAAATCCGATGATATAGATACCATAAATGTATGTCAAGAGTTTCACCATGTGTATGTGAAGCCAAATACGGTACGATGCAGTTATGGACCATTCACTTGGGTATCATTTATGAAAAGTGATAAAACGTTACGTCATATCTGGAACTATATTGATTTCCTAGGAATAAGTAACTTATTTAAAGCAATGGAAGGAGTAGATCAAGAATCACTCAATAACTATAATTGTTTAGATCATCAATATTTAACAGGAATAGTATTGTCTATAAATCCGTTATCAATTGTGCCACAGGATCCAGAAACATCAGAAAGTTACTTAATATCAATTTTACCATCTCGAAAAGTAGTTTGGACTCTAATTCGACGCTTTTTCAAAATAGTATACCCTTATGTACCAATTGTTGACGAAAGGGATTTTCGTGCCCACATAACTAGAATTCTAGATGAAGAAAGTTTTGAAGAGATAAAATTTGAAACAATTAATGTTGACAATAAACTCGATTTTGCTCATCTTGGTACATTACTTATAATTTTAAGATTAAGTTACTTGTCATATTTATCGATGAATTTGAAATTGAATGATACTAGCAATATATCAAATCATGATCTGAAATCACTAGAAAGAAAATTCATATTAAATAATCCTATTAGTTTACAATTGGTCTCTCTAGCAAAGGAATATCTTAATGAATTTGATATGTTTGAGAGGACTAGTATATATGTTTTCCAATTGGCCTTGTTTTTGAGAACATATAAACACTTTGCCCCTGATGAAGGAGATACACCAGATGGATGTTATGTCCAGGTATTGACTTCAACATTAGTCAGTATTGCAAATAACTTAGGTATTAATAGAGAATGCTCACATGATGTGACTGAGAGAGGATTATTTCGCAAAATGTTCATTCACCTTAATGGATTAGATAGTTTCGAATCATTAACTTTTGGTACTCCGACATCTATAAATTATAGGTTTATCGAGAATAAGTTTGCAAAATTTGATCCATTAACTTCAAACTTAGTAGATATTCGATTGGAACAGGAAATAATTTCAGCGTATGATAATTTGGTAGAAGTCCATGATCTACTTACTGAAATATATACCCTCACTATCAACTTGAATGTTCCAGTTTCCATAGAAGTATTAGGTACAAAAATCAAGGCTCTTGAGAAGAGACTTGTAGCAGAAGGTTTAAGAATAGGTTCAGATAGTTTGAAAGATTCATTTGAAGTAAGGCAGTCCTTATTGGGGTTCCAAGTTCTATTAACAATTTATTCAATATTATTCGTTCATTATGATTCAAAAGGGCAATATTCACAGAGTTTCAGCTATATTTATAACGCGGTAAGATTGATCAAGATATACATAATACCATTTTTGAGATCATTACATGAAGTCAATGATAATGTGTTGGTTATATCATTACTTCCTTTGGTTCAGAGTTTATATCTTAAGATAGTTTTGGTAGTGTGTTCGTTATTACTTAGAAATAATGTCTCCTTACAAAAGGAAGCTAAAGACTCAGACAGATTGAAAAGTTTGATATTATTATCAATTTCTTTGAGAAATACAGCTATAGAGGTATTAGAAATTCTTTCACCATTTGGTACAAGATACTACTACTTTTGGAGGATAACCAGAGGATGTAACGGTGTTTTAAAAATTTGCTACTCGAGGGATTTCTATGGAACAATTAAAGATGATCCGAGTTGCGAATTAAACTTTTCATCATTAGAAGTAAAGCTTTTGTTACAATTATTCTACGAAGAAGCATTACAAGGAAATGAATTTGCCACTATTGATTTAAATGCTGTTATTAATGCAAGCATTCCAGAGATATCTAACGACTACATTAGTGGCATAGATTTGAATAAATTTTGGTATATTGTAAAGAAAGGATCAAAATCGACCTCCAGCTCTACCGAATCAGTTATAGAGACTGATTTTAATCATGATGAACCTTTTGATTTTGATTATTTTGCTGGTTTCTATAATGAATTCTTTAACGGATTAGATCAATAAATGTGCAGCCAAATGGTTTCGCTTTTGTGTTATTATCTCGGCCGAGCTGCCAGAAAAATTGAAAGGCTGTATTATAGAATGCCCGGCCGAGCTCTCAAAAAAATGCGTGGAACTACTCATAGTTTAGTCGGCCGAGCTCTGATTTGCATCTTTAAAATGTTTCTTAGTCCATAGTATATATAGCTACCATGAATTATACTTTATAATAATGTTCTCATACAAAAGTTCAGTAAAATATAATGAAATCGAATATGTTGAAAACACTCTCTAAAGAAGAAAGTAATACACACGATATCTCAGGAGACGATGCTGGTGATGGAACCAAGAAAGAAGATCAATATTTAACTGGATTTAAATTGTTTTCTTGTGTTTTTTCAATTTTATCATGCTTGTTTCTAATTGGTTTAGATCAAACTATTGTTGTGACTTTAACAACTGCTGTTGGAAATAAATTTAATTCCATTCAGAAAATAGGATGGTTATCCTCTGGATATTTATTAACGGTGTGCGTTTTTGCACCCTTTTGGGGAAAATTCTCTATCAGCTTTGGCAGAAAGTTCACTATGATGCTATCAATTTTAATATTTGAAATAGGTTCATTAATATGTGGTCTTTCTGTGAACATGAATATGTTAATTGCAGGAAGAGTTATAGCTGGTATTGGTGGAGGAGGCATTCAGGCATTAACTTTTATTATTGGAACTGAAGTGGTGCCAATGCATAAACGACCCAGAATTATGACATTTGTTGGTATAACAACTGCAATATCTTCAGTTTTAGGGCCAGTCATTGGTGGTGCATTTACTACACATGTTACCTGGAGGTGGAGTTTTTACATCAATTTGCCAATTGGTGGTATATCATTACTTCTATTCTTCATAGCTTTTAATCCTCCTCCAGTAGCTGGTTCTTTCAGGGAAAAAATAGTCAAGCTTGATTTTATTGGTACTGCAATTATTATAACCGGTTTAACTTTATTGTTGTTAGCCTTGACATTTGGATCTTCTTATGAATATAAGTGGAATTCAGCAATAGTAGTCAGTTTCTTTGTGGTTGGTGGATGTTTATGTATTGCTTTCTTTATATGGACTTACAAGTTTTCCAAATGTCCCTTAATCCTTCCTGAAGTCTTAAACATACCTCAGGTTAATGCTTCTGCATTAGTGTCCTTCTTCATGTTTGCATACTTCATCTCCACCACTTTATATCTTTCTATTTATTTTCAACTTGTGAGAGGTAAAAGTGCTTTGGATACGGGTATAAATTTATTCCCACTTATTATTAGTTTGGTTGTAACATCTGTATTATCAGGAAGACTTATTAAGAAGACTCTTTCAGTCAAGCCTTTTGTTATTATAGGGGGGATTTTCTCCCCAATTGGTGTTGCTCTTTTAACCTTGTATGGAATAGATACTTCAACTGGAAAATCTATAGGATTGCAAATTCTTCTTGGAATAGCCATTCGTATTCAGTTTCAATCTTCAGTTTTGTCAGCTCAATTGAGTGCACCAAATGTAGAAGGTGGCACAATCTTAACTTTGACATATATAGTTTTTAGTAGATGCTTAGGAGGATCAATTGGTGCCAACTTATCTAATGTTGTTTACAATACTAGTTTCGTGAACTTATTCAGAGAGCATCTTTCCAAGCAGTCCAATAAAATAATCCTCAATGAGTTAGGAAATACAAGTCCTTATGTTTTGCTCCATGCTAGTGATTTGCTCAAGGAATTATCCCCTGATTCTCAAATATTTGTTAAAGGTTTATACAACCATGCTATTAAAAACGTATACTATATGAATATTATTTTTGCGGGTATGACCTTAATTACCGGAATTTTCACAACAAATAGAAGAATTCCAGATCCTTCAAAAGGTGAAGAAGAAAGAAAAGCAGTGGAGAAGTTAAGAATAGGAGCTTGATATTTTGAATCCTTTTAGTTATGGTTTATAGAAATTTCTTTATCGAATACATCTTAATTAGTTGCAGATAATTTTTTGCGCCCAAAATAGAATTGCCTAATTAAGATATTGATCTGGTTGTACAAGACACGACTATTTCCCCACCAATGGACCCATATCGAAACTTTTCTTCCTCGGGAATCACAAGCTTCTATTACCACTAAAAGGTTCAATAGACGATTAAGAATTATGTCAAGTGGCGAAGAAGAGAGGACCCCAACAGGAAGGAAGAAAACCACAAAGTCTTCAGTTTTATCAGAGGAGCAAAAGAAAGTAAGTTGATAATTATAATTAGCTACTATATTAATGATAATAATGGGGAAGAGTATTAAGTAATATTAAACACAAGTACTAACTGAACTTAATTTTAGGCACATCATATAGCTTCAGAACAGAAACGAAGAGAGAACATTCGATCTGAATTTGATAAGATTGTCTCGTTGACTCCCACATTAACGGATCTGGAGAATAGATCCGAGTTGAATATATTAACTAAGAGTGCTGATTTTATAGATCAGTTGAGAGAAGAAAATATCAAGTTGGTAGAGTTAGCTAAATTGAAAGGTATTCATGTTCCATCAGAGTTGATATATAATGGTCCTACTAGTGATGGTAGTGATATAGCCAAATAGTGATCGAAAATTGTTTCCTTTCCTTTCTTTTCCTTTTCATTCGTTCGTTCATTGGACCAGAATGTAATACCCTACTTCTATCCATACTTCTAAGTATTCTATTTGTATTAATATATATATTATTTATGGTAATTTGGACTCTATCTTTAAGACCAATGCATATTTGTAGGACTTCCCTTTGTTATTCCATACTGCGTCTACAGGAAGGAATTCACAATTTAAAGTAATATTTAACTCTTTGGCATGTGTATGGGTTGTTATGAGCTGTATATAATCGGACTGGTTTGTTTTAAGTAATTCTTTCACAATTTCTTGTTCATTACTAAACAAAACAACAACCTTAAATGTTTCAGCTTTATCAATACATACATAATTACTGTCTTCAAATGTCTCTACAAGTTTTGTAATATCACTTTCTTTATTATCAACATCCATATCATCGTCGTCATCATAGTACATGTCGGTAATACTTTCATAACTAAGACCACCCCACTCAACTTGTGCATTTCTTGGTAAGGCTGGTACTTGAACTATTACTAACTGCTTCAAGCTACTCCCAGTTTGTTCAATCGAAGATATATATTCATTCCATGTACTACTGACTTCCGATAAGAATCTTTGCCTTGTAATGAAACATATCACCAGAGCTAATTTTGTAACATTTGCTAATGTTTTAACTCTATGTAAGTGTTGTAATGATAAAACGGAATTGAATTCAGAATTTTCCAAAGACAACTCCATTGAACTTGGAATCAAGGGAATTTGACCCGACAATGTGGCTGTCTTATATGACCCTCTTGTTTCAATTACAGTTTGGGAATATGGCCCTATATTTTGTGGAGCCCAATAGGATCGAGATCTGATATGATGTCCTGATTTCATATTATCAGGATGTTGCTTTAGTACTATACAAGATAACTGTATTTGTGAATTTAAACTAGTCTGAATACATATTCTTGATGGTGGTAAATATAAATGCTCAAAACTTTTGGAATAAATGCTATTGATTTCATTAAAGCTACTCATATCAGCAAGTAATAAAGTTATGTGTTGAATATTATTGAATGATAAGTTATGTTCTTGTAGTATTTCTGCCAATCTGTGAAATATCTCTGTAGCTTGATTCTTAAGGTCAGGAGCAGACGAAGTTATATTAGATATGTATAATTTTGTTTCAGTTGAAACTATAGATTCTATAGATTTGTGTCGAATAGATGCATCCACAGTTTCAGCTGTTTCATTAATGTCGAGTTTGCTAAGATCTGGAGCTCGTTTAACTTCATCTAGAAGTTCGTCAAACTCTGGACTTAATAAATCAGGAGGATTTATTAATGAGTAATCCGAAGCATCGTCTTTTTCTTCAACTTCTACTTTAACTTTGAGATAAGAAACATCATCATTAGAATGATTTACAATTTGTTTATCAGTAAGGATCAATTTCTTATATTTGAATATGGGTGAATCAAATACCAAAGTCTCAAATTCTCCACCTTCACCACAGATATGAACCTCATACAATTGATTCAACTTAACCAATTGTGAGAAAACTTGACTAATTGACTTTCCAAGATGATTTTCATTCAATCCTATGGCTGCTACTTTAATTAATCTAGCATCCAATTGATTCTGACACATTTCTTGCATCAATTCATACTGATCACGTTGCCAAAGGTAAGCCAAAGAAGTCAAATTCAATCTGTCACATACATTTTCAACTCTACTCCTTTGATAATGTGATAGAATAGCTCCACAACTAACTGCTTGTAAATCAGGATGATGATGTTTAACAGTACTTAATAATTTATACAAGTCTTCAATTTCATCATCTTTAGTTATAGAATATTCAAGATGCTGATTTGAAGAAGTACCGGAAATTGGCTGCCTATATAAGGGCACATTCAAACATCCAGAATAATATTCTATAACATCATGCCCCACAGTCTGAAACATAAAGGAATCAATCTCATCTTTCGTAGGATCCTGAGGATATAAATTAGCCAACGCAATTAAATCATGACCCTGAGACAAACAATGATGAATATTAAAGAAAGAATCCTTACCACCAGATATCAATGCCACAAACTTCATTTCTTCTGGTTCGACTATTCATGTTTCTTTGTTTAAATCAACTAGTATTAGCTGAAAAATCATATTAGGTACATCTAACCTGTAAATCGTATAAAACCTGTAAATATAAACTAAATTTACTGAGACTGCTCTACCATTTTTTAAAGGGCTTATATTCAGTCCTAAATATTTTTCATTTTCAAATTTCGCACTGAAAAATTTCTTCCATCTATAAGAAAAAAAATTTATTAGTTTGAAAAATTTTTAAATTCTTCTACTCTTCTTTTACTTCTTTACACCAAAACAACAAGTCAACATGCCTCGTATGTATTCTATTACTTAAATGGTAGAACTATCTTAAGGGATGTGTTCTAATCAATGATAACTTATAATGAACCAGAATCACACATTCCATTGGATTTGGGTGATTGACTGATCATTAGAGGTTCGGGTCCTCATATTCATAATTTCAACTGGAAGTTAATTAACTGAAAGTTGACATTATGAAAAGATTCTGAAGTTTTTTCAGAAACGTTTTTAATTAATTGGTACTGAACTCCCGACACTTCAGTACCAAACTTTTCTTCGGAGAGTTATAACTATTGTTCTTATATAAAGAAGTGATACATGTGTGTACTTTGATTTAAGATAATTGAAGGAATAACTCGAAGATGAAATTGTTTTAAAAATGATTTCTGTAAAAATTTTCTTAATCTTTTCTAATTATGAATATTGTAGATACCCGTAAATTTGAACCATTGTTTTATTAGTTTGTAAGAACAATATGCTAACTATTTTTTAGGTGCTCCAAACACTTACTCCAAGACTTACTCTGTCCCAAAGAGACCTTACGAATCTGCTCGTTTAGATGCTGAATTAAAGTTAGCCGGTGAATACGGTTTAAAGAACAAGAGAGAAATCTACAGAATTGGTTTCCAATTATCTAAGATCAGAAGAGCTGCTCGTGATTTATTAACCAGAGATGAAAAGGACCCAAAGAGATTATTCGAAGGTAATGCTTTAATTAGAAGATTAGTTAGAGTTGGTGTCTTATCCGAAGACAAGATGAAATTAGATTATGTCTTAGCTTTAAGAGTCGAAGATTTCTTAGAAAGAAGATTACAAACCCAAGTTTTCAAATTAGGTTTAGCTAGATCTATTCACCACGCCAGAGTTTTAATCACTCAAAGACACATTGCTGTTGGTAAACAAATTGTCAACATTCCATCTTTCACTGTCAGATTAGACTCTCAAAAACACATTGACTTTGCCCACAACTCCCCATACGGTGGTGGTAGAGCTGGTAGAGTTAAGAGAAGAAACCAAAACAAGGGTGGTGAAGAAGGTGCTGAAGACGAAGAATAAGCGATTTAGGCTAAATTCATACATTAATTTAATCTCTTGTTTATATCTTTATCTTTCTTATATCACACTTATTTAATATATTGGTTTTTCCTTTATTTCCATCAATTTTACTTCTTTATTTCTTTATGTAAATTATTATAATATATCATTTAATCGAATTATACTATTAAACCTAACTGACTAACCATTTCATTCATTGTATATGTTTATAGGTAATTTTGCAATCTAAATATAAGTAGTTAACCTAATTAAACGAATATTGTTGTAGTCACGTGAAATAATCAAACATAGGTCTCAAGCCCTAAGACTAACATATGCAGTACCGTGCGCATCACCATAGTTAACAAAAAGATTCTCATAGTTAAGGATTTTTTCCCATAGTTAAGGCTGCTAACCAAAGGGCGAAAAAAAAACTAGTGGGACTTTTCATTTGAAAATTGACTTACGACTCTTTTGGACCTTTGATTAGTTCACCAATACATAACTAAAAATGGGTAAATCGTATGTGTTATAAACTTAAGAGTAGAAACGACGGAGAGTCTAAGAGAATTACAGATCCATGGAGAGCCTGTTATGTTACAAGAAATCAGTATTGAATAAATAATAAATTTTCATTTTCATCATCATCATAACCTTTACCAGCACCATTAAGGTGACTGAACTATGGAATAAATACTCAAAATATTATGATATATATTATGTGGAATTAGTAATAATAATTTTGAATTAAGAATAGACAGACTGAAGTGTTTTACAACATAGGTTTTTATGAATATTAATTAGTGGAATTAACATACAACGAAAGAGTAACTGCAATGAAGATCAATATTGAAGACAAGAACAATTGTACAAATTTACTATCCTTTTTACTAACATATCACTAACAACGAATCCCGAAGAATCAAACATAATTACACTGTAACTGTTCAATAATTTTTCCACCTGAATTCTTTTAGATTTTTTATCGAGTTTCGATGCTTCATTTTTCATCTGAAATGATGTAATAAACTATGAGGAATAATATACTAACTAAATATTTATAGTCGTGGTTACAGATCCGGTACTCGTTACGCTTTCCAACGTGACTTCAAGAAGCATGGTACTATTGCTTTATCCACCTACTTGAAGGTTTACAAGGTTGGTGATATTGTTGATATTAAAGCCAATGGTGCTATCCAAAAGGGTATGCCACACAAATACTACCACGGTAAGACTGGTATCGTTTACAATGTTACTAAATCTTCTGTTGGTGTTATTGTCAACAAGATTGTTGGTAACAGATACATTGAAAAGAGAGTTAACTTAAGAGTTGAACATGTTAAACACTCTAAATGTAGACAAGAATTCTTAAACAGAGTTAAAACTAACGCTGCTTTAAAGAAAGAAGCTAAAGCAAAGGGTGAACAAGTTAACTTAAAGAGACAACCAGCCAAGCCAAGAGAAGCTAGAGTTATTTCTACTGAAGGTAACGTTCCTCAAACCTTAGCCCCAGTTCCTTATGAAACTTTCATTTAAATGTTATTATATTTATATGATAGAATATTTGGCACTACAACATACATACATATAAAACAAAATTTAATGCACGTAAAAATTTAAAGTTTGATTGGCTTAATGTAGAAATGTGAGTAAGAGTATATAGTATACATCAACTAAGATTGCACCTGTAATTGTGATTGTGATTGTGATTGTGATTATGATTGTGATTGTAATTGTGACTGTGATTTATGGTATCATTGCTTGATAACATACACTATACTTGCATGTATATATATAGAAATACTCTTTGCAATATTGAGCGACTCGTATAAATGAAAAAAGTTTCGCTTAGTTTGGTAGGAGAACTTCACGTGACTCGTATTTCCATTTGTGACGCAATAGAATACAGTGTGTTTTTCTTCTATTCTTTTTATTATTTTTGAGGAGTGTCCTTTGCGGCTCCCAGCCATGGCTATCTTGAAATCTCGTAGTGTATAATTATTAATTGTATAATAGCTTTATTAGCATATAAATTAGTATGGGTGATAATTCCGAGGTGAATTCACCAACTCCTGAAGTTAATGGAATTAATCTCATAGAAAAGAGTCCAACGCCAATTGTTGTCCCCAATCGTGGAGCAAACAATAATAAAACTTCAAATGTATTTGAAACAGCATTACAAGTATGGACAGAAATTGATTTAACATCATTACAATTAAAATTAGATGATCAAGGATTAGAATTAAAGGATGAACAAAAGAATTCATTATTAAATCGTAAAGAATTAGCTTCGAAGACCAAAGAATTTCGTAAATTACCTGATAATCAAAAATTAGATCAAATAAAGCCTTTATTAAAATTATATCAAAATGAAATTGATACTTTAACAAATAAAAAGAAAACGGTAGAGAATTATTTCTTTGGAATTTATAGATTAATTGCAGAAGCTCCTGATCCAAAACCTTTATTAGAAGCTTCATTAGATTCAGTTATACAATCTAATGAAGTTAATGGTTTAAAACGGGAAGTTGAAAGATTAACTGAAGAATTAGCTAGAAAAGCAGATTATGAACAATTAAAACAAAGATTACTTACCAATGAACAATCATCAGCAGAATTATTAACTTCTAAATTAAATGCAAAAGATGATGAATATAAATCTTTAATAGATGAAAAGGAATCTAATTGGTTAGAAAAACAAAAACAATATGAATTACAAATTAAAAAGGCTCAGAATCAAATTGAAGAATTAAGAACTTCTAAAGAAGTAACAGAATTACAATTAGATTCTCAAAATAAACAACGATCTTCTCTTACTGATTCTTCAACTCCTTCAATTTTAGCTCAATTAGATATAGTTTCAAGAGATGCAGAATATTCAAAAAAGAGAGTTTATGAATTAGAAAAGAGAAATGAACAATTAAGAAGAGAAATATCTCAAACTAAGAATGATATCGAATTAGAAAATTTAAAGGCAGAATATTCTAAAAAATCATTAGAATTAGAAGGAGAAAATGCTTTATTGGTGGCCAATTTAGATCAAACAAGAAAGAAATTACAAGATAGTTTAAAGGAGAATGAACTTAAATATGATACTTTCAATAAAGATATTGAAAAATTAAATATTGAAATTAAAAATCTTAAAATTCGTCTTGATAAAACAGCAGATTATGATGAAATTAAGCATGAATTACATTTATTAAGACAAATAGAATTTGGACAAGATGAAGAAGATGAAGAAATAGATGGTAATGAAGAAATTGATGGAGATTCTAAAAAGATAGACAATATTTTAATAAATAGGAATAAGGTTTTAACTCAAGAATTAGCACAATATAGATCTGAACAAGAAGAGATTAAAAATCAATTAAAATCATTAGAAGAATCTAATTTATATTTACAACAAGAATTAGCCAAATCTCATGATTTGAATGAAAAATTAGAAGAAGATTTAGCTGAAGTTCAAGATTCTGGTAAATTTAATGATAATGCAAGTTTAATATCAGGTATTAGTCGAGCTACAAGACCTGGTAGAAATGGTAGTATAATATCAGGATTTTCTGGAAATAACATTGGATCAGAAGATGCATCTATATTACCAATTATTACTAAACAAAGAGATAGATTTAGAGATCGAAATAATGAACTTGAAGAAGAACTTAAAAAGCAATATAGTGCTGTTACAAGTATGAAGAGAGAATTAAATATTTTAAAGAAAGATAATGAAGAATTATATGAAAGAACAAGATATTTAGCATCATATAATCAAAGTCAACAATCAATTGGTTCAAGAACAAATTCTGTAACTGGTAAGAAATTATTTCAACCTAAACCAAATGTAGTTAATAATGATCTTGAAAGTAATCCTTATCATCAAAGTTATGAATCAAAATTACATCCTATTGAACAATTTAGACTTCGTGAACAAGAAAGAATTAATTCAAAATTATCACCTATAGAACGGTTATTTATTTCATTAACTAGAGCAATTCTTGCCACTAGAACAACAAGAATGTTATTCTTTTTCTATTGTCTTGGATTACATTGTGTGGTAATGTTTATAACTATTTATGCTATGAGTTTACATACAACTTTAATCCCTGAAGTAGGAATGAATTTAAGTACTGGAGGTGTAGCTTCAGGTAAAGTAGGATCTCCTAATATAAAAATGGATGCTCCAGCTCCAGCTCTAGCTCCTGGGATTATATAATTTATGAGATATGTGTAAATATAGTTTAATAAAAGTCATAGACTACCCATGTTATATATATATATATATATTAAATACTAATTTATTACTATAGCCCTATTGCTTAGATAATATAAGAGGATTTAAAAATGAATCAGATAATAATTCAACAGCACTTGGTCTCTTTTTATAATCTAATTCAAATGTTCTACCTAAAAAGTCTTTAGCTTCTTGTGTACACCATTCAGGTATAAGAGGAGTTATATGAGTTCCAATTTTAAATATGGCTTGCATTTGAGAAAATTCAGGAAATGGATGTTTACCAGTAAACATTTCAATAATTAAACAACCAACTGACCAAATATCAGCCTTTTTAGTATAAGCTGTTTGTTTAACAACTTCAGGTGCCATCCAATAAACTGATCCTTGAAGTGAAGCTCGTTTACCAGTTCTCTTTTGAGTTTCAATTTCATCTTCTAAATTATTTACTTTCTTAGAAATTCCAAAATCTCCAATTTTAACAGTACCTTTAATATCAATTAATATATTAGCTCCTTTAATATCTCGATGAATAATATCTTCTCCATGTAAATAATTTAATCCAATTAATACTTGTCGTATAAAATTTCTAATTAATGGTTCTTCAAATGGTCCATATGATTGTAACATAGATTGAACTGAACCTCCAGGAACATATTCCAAGTATATATTCAAATTTTCTTCATCAACTGATGCACCAAAATATCTAACAATATTTTCATGATTTAATTCTCTTAATAACATCATTTCTCGTTGTTGTTCAGCAATCATCTTTTGTTGTTCTGATGCATCTCCATTACTCAGTTTAGGTAATGGAACTTGCTTAACTGCCATTACTTCTCCAGTAAATGAATTCATACCTAAATAAACTGTACCAAAACTACCAGCTCCAATTCTAGCACCCTTTAACCAATTCTTAGGTACATTACCTGAAAGTGAACCAACAGTATGACTAAAGTAACCTTCATCATAATCTTCAAAATCATTACCATATTCAGCAATCACATCGTCAGCATCATCTGAATCAGAATCCACACTTAATAATTCAATTCGTGAATATCTATTATTATTATTGTTATTATTATTGGATTGTTCAGCAAAACTTGCAGGTATAGATGCTCTATGAAGTATTTGCATAGATGAAGTTGTTGAAACCATTGATTTAGCATCATTATTGTTATTGGCTCCATTAGAATTAACAGAAGGTGGTTTACTAAATATCGACAGAACATCATTTGGATTTACAGCTTCATCTAATTCTCGAATATTATCAACCATAACATCACCAATTGTTCTTCCCTTTTGTCTTCTTCCATTAAATTGATCACCTGAAGAAATAGATCCTGCTCTAGTAGGATTAGCATGTGGACCAGTTTGATTACTCATAATTGATCCTCTTCTATTTACAGATAAATTACTACCAGTAGCAATCATTCCAGCAGGTAAATTAAATCGTTTAGAAAGACGTACACTATATCTAACTGAATTTCTAATTGTTTGTTCAAGTTCTTTTTGTTGAGTATCAGGGAAATATTCTGCCAAGTTAGATGAAATTAATTCACTAGGAGGTCTTTGTCCAAAGAAACTTCTTAAAGTTGGACGAGATGTAGCAGTCTTTCTATTATCAGGAATATGAAATTGACTTAAATTATTATGAGTTAAAGATCTTAAATTAGCATACTTTTCATATTTTGCAATGATTTTTCTACTAGTTTCTATTGCTAATTCAGTTGGATATTCATTTTTAGGACAAAGAATAATTCGATGTTTTTCTAATCTATCAGGTGAATAACAAATAGTTACTAATTCCACATCAAATAATATATTAAATTCTTGATTATTATTATTATTAATTCCTGAATGAACATAAGTATCATATTCAGTTTCCCTCAGTTTAATACCAATCTTCTTAAGCATTTTTCTTTTAATAGATTGTGCATTAAAACATCCAGTAATATTAACTTTCTTAGTTGAACCATCTTGTAATATAAATGTAACATTCTTATTAGATTCTTTTGAATTGGGATGTTGTGATGGATTAGATGATGCAGCTACTATATTACTAGAATTAACCAGTAAAGTTCCTGAATCATTTGAATTTGAAACTTCACCTATTTGACTATCAGTTCCACCAATTAATTTCGATTCATATACATCAATCTTTTGACCTAAATGAAGACTGGCTACACGATAAAGATCTTCTACTGATATTCCATTAGCCAAAATTTCAGTTTTCAAACTCGATATGGCAATCTCTAATTTCAATCTATCTCCAAGTTTATTAATCCCAATTTCGCGTAATGCTTCCGTGTCCAATTCAGGAACTAAATCCATGGTGATACCATTATCGACAAACTTGGTAAAATATTGACCACAGTTTGATTTGTTTAACCATGACTTTAATTCCTTAGAATCGTATCGGCTAGCATTACCACTAATATTAAGATTATTAAGATTACTACTACTATTATTACTCTCAATGAGCGTATCTCCTGTTTGATCCACCATACTCGCAATCACTACTAACTTTTTTTCAATACTCTTTACAATTGATTAACACTTAATTGGACCCTCCTTTTAGACACATTTTATCTTTTTATAGCGCACAAAATGTTTCATATACAAATGCGCAATGTATTACAAGCGAATGATTATGATTCTAGCTACTGTACATAGGATTAATAAAAGCTATTGATTCCCCTGAAAAAAAGGTAAACATTAAAAGTTGACAACTTTACCATCGGTTACTAAAATTTGAGTATCAACAATTTGATCAGGTTCTTGTTCAGTTCTTTTCCAAGATTTGATTTCAGCATTATTACTATCAATTTCATAAATCCTTAATCGTCTTATATAACCTCCATAACCTCCATATCCACCTTCTCCTGATCCACCTCCATAACATAACCACATTTTATTTTCTTCTTCACTATCTTTATTGGCAATATCTAGTAAACAATAATCATTACAATGATCATGTCCTACACTTACAACTTTAACTCCAACTTTATTAAGTATAGATCTTGCTCCAGTATTATATCTTGGAGCAGTAATTCCTTCTTTTTGTTCACCAATAAATGGTTGATGAAGATTTCGATATTCTGGTATTGGTATATGGAAAAATGCCATTGATAAATGAATATGCGTATAAGCATCAATTGCCTTTTTCATATTAGCATGAGTCTCTTCAACCCATTTTAATTGATTCTCTTTAATCCAATCATAACCTGGAGTAACTTTTGGATTTTGAGAATACGCATGAGTATCAAGAAAGAATAATGATAATGCTGGATTATGAGATGCTGGACCTTCAACTGTTAAGACATAATTTCCAAAACCATCTATATCTTCGGGTCCCAATTGAGCCAATGAATATGGTAAACTTGCAGCAAGACTCATCATTTCACTCTTAGTTAATGATCCTTCATGATCATGATTACCAAGTGTAACAGCAAACGGGATTTTCCTACTAACAAATGGATGAAGTGCCTTAAACAATGCAGTTTCTGAATCTGGAGCGGTTTCTCCAAAAATTTGATCTCCTGATAAAACAACAAGATCTGGCTTTTCAAGTTCTAATACTTTTTCAAGGAATTTTAAAGTCCTAGGATCAGCTTCACAACCCTTCTTAGAACTTGAAGGTACTGGATCACGACACTTTCCTACTCCTGTAGAGAAGTGTAAATCAGCTACTTGTAAGATTTTAAACTTGCCATTTTTATTAATTTTTAAAACAGGTGAATATTTGGCTTGCTTATAATTGACTTTGTCACCCTTTCTTACAGTCAAGTAAGCCTTTTTATCTGGTTGTGTAGCTATATCTCTTAATGGACCATCTTTAATTAAATTCCAATTGGGTCTTGGATCAACAGCATCTTCTCCAAATAAGATATCAATTCCTGTTACTGCATTAGCTTGAACTTTACCATATCTTAACCATATACCATTAGATTTATATACCCATCCATCTTTGGCCAAATCCTCTTTTGTGGGGACATATAACATTCTTTCTAATTCATGTCTACTGGTTTCAACACTTCTCTTAGATGACTTGATATCACCATCTTCTTGATTTTCTGATACAATATCACCATCTGCATTTTCTTCAATAGATCCATCTGATTTAGAAGGATTCTGAGGTTGAATATTTTCTTCAAATTCCTTTTGTTTTGCTGCTTCACTTAATTTGGTAGAAGCAGAATTTTGTTTATCCTTTTCCAAATCTATCTTGATTGGCTTAATATCATTATCATTATCAATTAAATTCTTATGAGCATCATCATCAAATACTTTTCCTGAATGAAATTCATCTATGATGTATTTTGGAAGTTTTAATTTTTCATTTCCTTTTATTTTTGAGTCTTGACTTGGATTAGAAATGGCAATATCAATAATAACCAATTTCTCAGTAATCTTATTATTATCTCTCTTTTCATTAGAATCTGAATCTTCCTCAAAAGCTCCTAAAAAAACACTTGATTTAACTGTCTTATAAGATAAGAATTGCTTTTTAATCCAACTAGATCCTAATAATAAATCCTTATCTAGTTTAATCCATTTACTAGAATCTTCAGGAATTTTACCATATTTACCTTCACTATCTCCCGGTATTCCACATTTCTTATTACCACTATTATAAGCAAAACAATTATTAATTGAAATATCAACAATATACAGATCTGCAGATGGTTGGAAAAATGATGGAGTTAAACTTGTAGGTATATAATCTTGAAGTTTGATAACATTCAGACTATTAGCTACAATTAATAATATTATGGCTACTATAAGAAATCCTATTAAATAGGTTAATTGTCTAAGCCATCTTCTTGGTAATCCCAACATGATGGTATATTAGATAAACCTATCTTTATTGTAAATTTAGATTTTCACCCTTATTCGTAATATATAACCATCAAGTTAATTAACCGAAGGTTTGAAATTTTGTGAGGCTCAATTGATTTTGTGTGCCTTTATCAGATTTATATATGGGGATTCTTCAATCCATACAAAGATAGAATAACCAATTGATTGATTACTAGTATAGATATAGTTAAGAAAGTTACAGTATTACAACTACAATTGTTTAATAACAATCCACGATATTTATATTTATATTTATATTGTATTTATATTGCATTTCTATTGCATTTATATTTGTATAATTTTTTACTATGTAAATTTTTAGAACCACCAGCTCTGACCAATACCGTAGAGCTGTAACCGAAAAGGACAAATAAATCAAAGCAGTACAGGTAAACCAATAAACCAGTTAACCCAATCTAGCACCATTATTTAGAGTCATGAGAATCTTCATCTTTAGCAGCTTGTTTAGCTTCTCTAGCAGCTGCCAATTGTGCCTCTCTCTCTTTAGCAGCAGGCTCAATATCAGGAAATGTTTCAGCATTAACCTGAGGTTTAAAACGAGCAGGATCTAAAACAACATGGTGGGGTTTGGAAATCTTACTAAATGGAACTCTTTTCCCATGCATATCAACTAAAAGTTTATCTGGATCTAAATTCTCCAATTCTTCTGGTGTAAATTTATTAAAGAGTGATTGTTCACTGCTACTTGAAGTGTTTTTAGCCATTACTATATGATTATCTGATGATGAAAATATTAATCTGTATGATAAATATAAGCAAACAAAAATTAAAGTATTAAATAACAAAGGATTCATTAAATTTTATGAGCTTTTTTAATTATAATTTAAGGAGGTATGAAATTGTTATATAAATAAATGGTGGCAATTTCATGGTCACTACATAGCAAACTTAAACTTAGCCCAGTTAAACTAATGTACCTTGTTTTTTTCGGGTGAGTGTGTATGTAGTTCAATAAATTTTTTTGTTTGAAACGACTGTGACTTGAGTTGGTTCCAACTTATATTTCTTTTCTCCTAAAAACTCATGAGTAACTTCAAGCTTTTCTATTTTAAGTTTATTATAATTAGGAGGATAATTGATTGTTTGAGGAGTTCCAAATTTCCAAAGTTTGGAAATGTAGAGATCAAATGAAGGACGTGTGAAACCATACTCAGTTTGAATCTTATATAGTTTATTAACTAAATCCGTAAACCCCTCTCCATCATCATGTGTATCAAGTACAATCTTAACACTTATTTTTAATTTACTTGTTTTAGCTCCAGTCTTTAATTCTTCAAGAAGATAATCAAAAGATTGTTTGTAATTACATTCAACTACAGGATTATGATAATAAAATGGAATTGGCTCTCTAGTAAAGTCAAAATTACTACAAACATAGTAAAGTCTAGGATCAACTTCTTTCCTACAATCTCTAACAGGAAAATAATCTTCTTCCAGGAAATAATTATTCCTACCTTTTGAGAATGGATGGAAATGCTCAAATATATGTACAATATGTTCGATATTTTCAGCTTCTTCTAATTCGATATCCATTTTAATAGACTGTATTGATGATGGTCAGAAAGAATTACAGGTATAAAGTAAATCATATTGTTGGAGATTAGTCTTACTCGTATAAGTAGTTTTTAGGTAGACATTAATTTGAGAAACTGCAAGTTAATAGTTGCATTAAATCATAACCCAACTCTGTGTCCGAAAGAGGAAATCGCAGCCATCAGAGGTAGGTTTTGTTTTGTAATGGTAAAGCAGAGCATACACCACCAAAATACTAGACAATTACATCTATACCGCATATCATTAATTTATTACACTACTACTATTACATACACTAATAATCACTATACCAATACCGTTATAAATCTACCTTAACCGAACCTAACCTGGCTGCAACGTGCATCACCCCAGAAATGATTAAATAGTCTAAAAAAAAAGAATCATTGGGGTAATTATAACACATGCGCACGACTCTTACAGTGTACCATCATTAAAAAAATTTGTTTGAGTCAGAAGTCAGGGGAGAGTCATCCTTAAAGTGGATAAGAATTAAATTACGAATCATTTTTGAATTTAGTAACTTATATTAAAGTGTCAATAAACCAATTGTATCATATAATTAATTATAAATATATAATTATTAAATATTTACATTAAATATTTATTAAGTATATAATATATATGTGTATAGAATTATTGGACCCTTTATAATTTTCACATTATTTAATGAATATACCTTTAAAGGCAAAGCCTAAAGTATCAACTATCAATATTCTTGATGATTCTAAATTCCAATTAGATCATGATAATAGTTATAATGATAATTCTATTCAAGAATTTCGACCATCTCAACCATCTCAACCAAATCAAGATACTTTTGGATCTCATCTATTAAAAATAAGACAAAAGAATGATCAAAATATATCTAATAATAATTTAAATATATCTGGTACATCTCCACCAAAAGAATTAACTAATTATCGGTTATTAAGAAGATATTCAGAAACAGAAAAGAATAATTTCGATGAAACTACTGGTCATAGATTATATAATGATGGAAAGATTCGACCTCAAAGAAATGAATCTTCATATAATACTACTACTACTAATAATAATGATGGTACAGGTAGTAGTTCAAATGTAGATATTAATAGGTTCAACCGATTCACATCATTTAATAGCATTAAAGAAAATAGTATAACTCCAAGTAGTAGAAGTCGAGCTCAAAGTCCAAATAAAATATATTCCCGATCTCATGATGAATTATTAGAAAATCCTGATACAGATTATTTAGTAGGTTTAGAAGATGAATATATTCCTGGTTTAGATTTTGCTGATTTAATTTATCAATGGAATAAGAATATCTCCGATCAGAATTTAGCCGATGCTAATCCATATGGAATAAAGAAAATGAATTCTCATTCTACAACAAATAGTCATACATCAACTCCTCAAAGTAGAGAAGCTTCCTATTTAGATTTAAATCAATTGCATGCCAAAGTGGCTCCACAACCAATTAGAACAAATGTGGGTAATCCCAATAAATATTCTTTTACTAAATTACATGATTTTATGAAATCTAGAGGTAAAACAAATGAAACGATTGATGAAAGTGTAACAACTTTAAATGAAGGTAATATTTCAAGAAAACAAGGTGAAGATATCGATGTAAATCATAAAAATAAGAGACAAAAATCAGATACAGTAAGTACAGGAACTGATGTTAATTATGAATGGATTTTAAATAGTTTACCACAAAATTTTAATGATTTACCATATTCTCAAAGAAAGAAAATGGTTAGATCATTTTCAGAGTCAATTGATTATTCTCAATTCTCTTTATTTGCCAAGAATTATTTAAATGATAAACTTGGAAGTTCTACTAGTTCAGGTAAGACAAATAAAAGTGGAGGTGGGAATTCTGGTAATAATAGTTATGTTAGAAAATCAAGATTAGGAAGTGTTAGTACTGTAGCTGAGAGATTATTGGCTAGAACTTCAACCACAGATTTAAAACTGTATGATAATAAACCTATGCCACCTCGAATAAATGTAGATGAAAGAGGTGCTATTGTTATGGATCATGAATTAGGTAAAATCATTGGATTTGGAGCATGGGGGACTATTCGAGAATGTACTGATAGACATGGTACAGTTAGAGCCATTAAAATTGTTAAATCTACTAGAGATTTTGATTCATCTTCAGGAAGAACTCTGTCACCAAGTAGATCAGAACTTCGTAATAGTCGAAATCATAATCCAAAAGTATTAGAAGTATTTAAAAAGGAAATCTCTATTTGGAAACAATTACATCATGAAAATATTTTACCGTTATTAAAACATTTAGAAACTGAACATGCTATTTTTTGTATAACTAATAGAATTTATGGAGGAACATTATTTGAGTTAGTATCTAGTTGGGGTCAATTTAATGCTGGTATTATGACTACTACTGGTCCTTTAGAATTTTCTATTAATGGTCAAAGAACTAGATTAAAAAAAGTCATTTATTGTACGGCTCAAATAGTTAAGGCATTATTATATATGCATGAAATGAAAGGCATTGTTCATGGAGATTTGAAATTAGAAAATGTCTTGGTAGAAAATGAGAATCGTAAAGATAAAAATAGTCAAGATTGGAATGATGATTCTAAATTTAAGATGATATTATGTGATTTTGGTATGTCAAGAGTTTATACTTCAAGATTGAGTAGAAAATCCTCAGCCAGATATTTACCAAATCCAATGTCTCCATTAATGACCGATGATGAAACCCTTATGATGAGAAGTAAATCTTCAAATACTGAAATTAGAAAACCTTATCAAGGTGGTGATTCAATTAATAGTAGGAAATTAGATTTAATTCAAGATGATTCAAAACTTGGTATATCACATTTTATTAAACCTCATGGTCCATCATTACAATCACTTCATTTAACTCCTACAGAATCTAGTCTTAATTCATACTTTGAAGCTAAATTAGCGACCAAGAAAGCAGCTGAAGGAATTGATTCTGATTTACCTCATTCTCATATTGGATCATTACCTTATGCATCTCCAGAATTATTGTCTCCAGCTCCACCTCCATTAGGACCTCTGGCAGATGTTTGGGCTTTAGGAGTTTTAATGTATACAATGTGTGTTGGGAAATTACCATTCCAACATCAATATGAACCAAGATTAAGAGCTATGATTACAGCTGGGAAATATATTAAAGAAGATCTTAAAAAGGCTTGTTTATTAGAATGGATATTTAAAGAAAAGGATGATTCTAAAGATATCAAGGATGGTATACGTGATGCTTTACCAGCCAGTTTAATGATTCAATCACCATCATTAATTGATCTTAAACGGCAAGAAGAGTTACAACTATTACAAAAGGAATGGTTAGAATATAAGGATAAACGGGAATTTCAATGGTTATACGAAATTGTTACTGGATGTTTAGAAAAGGATATTACAAAAAGATGGGATATGGAAATGATCTACGAATCATTTTGCCGCAATAGTGGAGAAATTGAAAGATCATTCACTGCGTAATTGATAGAACTTTGCTCTCTCTTTATTTAATCTTAATTCTTAATGAAATGTACGAAATCTTAATGTAATAATGTCTTATTTTTATGTATTAATCTGACTCCACTTTAACTATAACTTTACCAACAGCCCTTTCTGATTCTAATACTTTAAGGGCTTTATCTAATTCATTAAATTTAAAGTAACTATCTATGAATATTCTTAATTTACCTTCTTCAATTAATTGTTTACCTTTATGAATCCAATCACCATGATGATTTAGTAAACGAACTTCATAATGATAACCTAATAAGCCTAATGTAGAGAAGACTGTTCGACTAACTACTCCATAAGCAACTGTTAAAGCTTTCCAGTTAAGAGTTCCTACCGTAGCATCACCAACAATTGATCCATAATGTCCACCTCCTTCGGGGAATATATGGTAAATATGAGAAAACAATTCCGTACTACCCACACAATCAAATACATAATCAAATGTAGAAGTTGCAATAACTGATTCTAAAATAGTACTCAAAATTGGACCCTTAGTATAATCAATGGTAGAAGTAGCACCTAAAGTGGTGACTATATCTATGGATCGTGGAGAACATGTTGCAATAATTTCTCTAGCTCCTTCATATTTTAATAATTGAAGAAGGTATCTACCTACAGAAGTTGCACCACCAAGTACAAGGATTTTTTTGCCTTTCAATTTCAATCCTTCAATAAGTTGATGGGCTGTACCGTAAACCAATGGCCACGAGGAAGCATCTGTTAAAGTTAAATTAGAAGGAATATTTGTCACTTGACTATAAGTCTTATCAAAGGCATTAAGCAAAATATATTCACTTAAAGTACCACGAGGAGTTATATGAGGATAGAATCCTTGAACTAAATCACCAACTTTCAATTCGGTATTAGTTCGAGCTTTTTTCCCTATAGCAATAACTCTTCCACTATAATCCTTTCCAATTCCAGTTGAAAAGAAGTTAGCAATGGGCCAAAGTGATAAATGGTATACTTTTGCATCAACCGGATTCAAAGATACAGCATGAACTTTTATTAAGATATAATTGGAAGGTACATTATAAGTTCCATCCGATTGCTTTTCAAGAGCAATTGAATCTTCTTTAATTGTTAAAGGATCCAAATTAGATCCATAAGAGTATGACTTAAACTTCAAGTATTTGGAAGTGAATGTCATTTTTTACTCTTTACTATTTATTAACTGTATGAAACTACTTACTTATTCTTTACTTATAGTAATATATATATATATATTTATATGTTTATGTATATTAATGGAAAGTTCGACTGTGATTTTGCAAACATATTTCACTTGCTTTTGTGGACCAACCCCGCGTTTTTTTGCCTCTGATAATGATTGCAAAATACTGATACTCAGCCTAGTTTCAGCGGCAATTGATTTAATAATATTTATAGAAGGTTTTAACCGATACCTTATGTATATTATTGCTGTAACTTAATTCTGTATATCTCCGTAGGGGATTTTGCGACAAAATAACATACTAATATATATTATAACTATATCATTATCTATTAAAGACAAACATGAACTATTCTTCATCAATCTTAATGATGATTTTTCCTTGAGCTTTGTCACTTTGTAACTTCTCAAATGCCTTATCGAATTCGGAAAATTTGTAATAACTATCAATGAAAATTCTTAACTTACCTTCTTCAATTTCCTTTGCACCTTGATTAATGAACTTATGGGTAGCCACCCCTTGACTTAAAAGGTAATTAAAGCTTAAGAATCCAAGCCCAGAATATAATATTCTCTTTATCATCCTTCCAGCATTGAACCATCCAATTTGATTAATCGAGTAGAAACTTTTATCACCAATAATAGTAGTATAGAGACCTGATTTTGGTGTTAAAATATTATTGATTTCGGGAAATAAATCTCCACTACCATAACAATCCAAAATATAATCAAATGTACCTCCAGATTTTACTTCTTCTAAAACAGAATTAAGGATTGAACCTTTACTATAGTCAATTGAAACATTTGCACCCAATTCTTTTACAATTGAATCTGATCTTGATGAATTTGTAGATGCAACCCATGCAGCACCTTCTCTCTTCAATATTTGTAGAACAAATCTTCCAACAGACGTAGCTCCACCAATTACAAGAACTCTTGAATCTTTAATATTCAATTTATCGGTGATTCTAATTGCTGTACCATATACTAAAGGCCATGCAGCTGCATCATATTTACTAAGATTACTTGGAATTTTTCCAACATTATGATCAGTTTGACTAGATGGATTAATCAATATATATTCAGAAACAGTACCATGAGGAAGTCTACGATCATAATGACCCTGAACCAAATCACCTACTTTCAAACCAGTTTTAGATTGAGCGTCTAGTCCAATTGAAACAACTGTACCACTATAATCTCTACCAGTACCCTTTTTACCAAGGTATTGAAATGGCCAAAATGTTAAATGATATAATTTAGCATCCACTGGATTTAATGCAGCAGCTGCCACTTTAATTAAAATATTCTCAGTGGCAACCCCATAATTTCCATCGGCTTGTTTTGCTAAAGTAATGGTTTCTTCAGTTGGAGTAATTGGATCACCATTATATGTAAATGTATACGCCTTATAGGTCAAAGTATCGGAAGTGAATACCATTATGGAATAAATAATTATTTGTGGGTTAAGAAGAAGAGTAAATATAATTTTTCAGTAAGTTAATTAAATAAATGTGGATTATACTCTCTTTATGGAAAGTCCGTCATCCGATGAAAAGCCACTTTTTACGGAGTCGGAGATACTTCTATAACGTGATTGATTAAAGATTTACGTTACTTCAATTTTTCGCTTATTTAGTACATGTAGTTAACACTTCTAAATACTTTATGCTATCAATTGTTTATGTAATATTAGTTATAAAACTTAACACTAAAGGGTATTATAGTAAGCGTCTTTAGTTAGTTAGATATACTAAGGGGCATGGAAGCTGTCAAGTTTCATAATTTGTATTGAGGCGTGGATCTTTTCCATCAAAATAGTCTATTTTAAGTACTAGATCAACTTGACATAAAGGTAAACAAACCTACAATAGTTAATTCTGAACAATTTATAGCAGGAAGAACATAAGATATGGCATTACCAGAAGGGTACACATTCAGAAAGTTACAATTATCAGATTATGAAACTTATGTAGAGAATTTAAAAGTTTTAACTACAGTAGGTGAAGTTTCATTAGAGAGTTTTACTGAATTGTTGAATCATTGGCAATCATTACCTGAATTATATCACCCATATGTTATTAGTAATGTTGAAGGGTCTGTAGTTGCCACTGGAATGCTTTTAATAGAACGTAAATTAATTCATGAATGTGGATTAGTTGGTCATATTGAAGATATATCAGTTTCTAAAGTTGAACAAGGTAAAAAATTAGGATATCATATGATTAGTTCATTAACTTCAATAGCTCAAGAACTTGGAACTTATAAGGTAATCTTGGATTGTTCACCTGAGAATGTAGGATTCTATGAGAAATGTGGTTTTAAGAATTCGGGAATAGAGATGGTGAGGAGGTTTTAATCTACATATATATTTCATTAGAACATTATAAAATTTTCTATATTCAGTTGGTTAGAACCACTTACCTATTAATATACATATTTATTACAGTTATACTGCTAAGTTAGATAGAATCATATCTTCTCTAAAGCCTAGAATAGAATTTAATCGTTAGTATTTATGAAATTTCATCGCATCAATTTATTATGCTTGCTTATACGTACTTCTAAAGATACAATAGAATTACCTCTAATAACCTAGAAAGAAAACATATTAGTTAGTATTCAGACAATTTTCCTCTTTATATCCCAATAATTATACATACTACTGTGCCTATATTGAGCTTGTCACCATTGGATGCTTCTTCTAAGGCATCAGCCAAAGTAATATTCAAAAACACATCATAACCTCTTAATGTGCCCACAACCTTTCTACTACCATTCAACTGAATAGAGAGCTTCTTATCCATATATCCCTTTAACTCAGGAGCCGATACCATAGTTGTGTATTGCGGATATATATATATATATATTTATATATGTACTAATGATCTCTGCTCATATTATCTTGGTCTAACATTTTTTTACCAGATGATTTTTTGGGGTCTACATCTTTTGTTTACCAAACGCGATATAGAGCTTGTGTCAAATCATTCTGGTCAGACAAGAACAATTGGGATAAAAAAAATGGATCAAGACGATACGAGTAACATACCGGATGTGACGTCATTGTCTGATCTTATTACTACATCACCTCATCAATCATCATCTGGTGCACACCCTCCATCCAATGAAATTAATAGATCTGATCCTATAGAATCAACAGAGTCAATAAACACTGGTCTTAACCTTGCTGGTGTAAAAGTTATCAGAAATGAACCAATTGATGAGAGCGAACAAAGTGCGCATCAATTGAGTTCAAGCACTAACCAAAGCTCGAGCACGGATCAACACCGCGTAGAACAATTACTTCTGAAGCAACAACAGAAATTGAATCTTATTGATAAGAGAGATGAGTTAGTACGACATAGAACACAATTAAAGGATAACGTAGAAGATCTTCGAATTAAGCTTCGACAATTTAAGTCATTACAGGAACAGAACATTACCAAACGAAAGTTAGATAGTTATCTTGAAGATAATACCCATAGCTTTTCAACAAAGAGTAATAATTCTAGTGGTAGTACTAATACAAGATTTACATTTGATGATAGTAATGATAATGATTATATCTTACAAAACTTTCATGTTCTACCATCTACAGATTGGGATCATAGATTAAGATTAATTAAGAAGTTTATGCCCTATCTAGAACTTGATGGGATTTCAACTGAACAAACTTATGATGAGAATCAAATTTTAATTAGAATTATAAAGTTTACATTGATATCTCCTTTATTATTCAAATTTCCTATAAAATTACTGGTTGATAATCATAATGAATCTATTAATCAAATAATAATTAATAAGTTTACTACCACATTATCATTACTTTCACCTTCATTTAATTCAGTTCTTATAAAGAATTATATTCCTAATAAACGGATAAATCTAATAATCTTTTCTTTGAATTCTTTATCAATTCTACTACATAAGAGAATTAGTCATTTTTATAAATTAATTCGGAAACATTGTTTATTAATTAATGATTCAAATTTAATACCTTTATTACAAACGGAAGAATTAAATGATAATATTAGATTATTTGCTATACTTAAGCTGATAACTTCATTACAATTTCATGTATCTACTAAGAGAATTATTAAGATTAATTGGGAAATCTTATTATCAAATGTTGTAACGGGAGAATGTGAATCCCGATTAGAGTTATTTATAATTGAACAACCACAAGGTATAATACAAAACAAAACGTCATTATTATTAAATCTTATAAACCAATATGGAATCCTACAGTCAATAGATATTATCCTTAATAGAACTAACCACTAATTCTTAATAGTTAATCCTTTATCTTAATTGAATTATTATCCAAATCAAATGTGATCTTATCTCTAGGATAGATAAGTTTATTATTATCATCTTTTAGTTTCTTTATAAACCATTGATCACAAAATGTCATTAGTTGAAGTATAAAAGTATTCTTTTCTTGGATATGAGAGAAATCATATTGAGGTAAATAGGTAAATATATCATCAAATTCTGGAGCCTTTTCAATTGGACTACTAGAAAATTCTTCTTTATCTTTTAATTCTGCAAGTGATTCCTTTTCCAACTCTTCCTTTAATTCTTGACTCGTTATATTAGCTAATAATGATTTACCAAATTGTTGATAAATATAATTCTCTAATCCATTAACAATATCATATCTAATTTCTTCCCATTCCATTCCAAGTAATTTATTACCAATGGATTTTTTATACTTAAAATATCGATAAATCCAACTACCTAATATAGTAGTTTTCTTATTAAATGATGCAGTACTTGCCTTAGATGAAGTTCTCACATCTCTTATAATAGGTTTAGATTCATTTAATACATTGCGAAGTGTACTAATCAAATCATCTTCATTAGGTCTATTCAATTGTAATGAATTAGATCCATAAGATTTAACTAATTTGTATAAATTATCTATTGGGAATTGAATAGCTTCAACTTTAAAATTAATTTTATTATTAATAAATTCTGCATTATTATTCTGTTCCACTGTTTCTTCAACTATTTCCTTTTTAGTTCCATTTTTTTCATTAGATGTAAATACTGTCTTAGCTAAAGGTGATGGAATTGCAGTAGTTGGTATTCTTTTAACTCTCTTTTTCTTAGAATGATTCAGTTTCAGTTCTTCAACTTTAGTCTTATCTCCATCAACATCAGATACAGTTTCAGAATCATATTCATCATGATCATCACGTTTAACTCTTCTTCTAACATTAGTTTCATCTTTTAAATATTTATTCCTTATAGCAAACATAGATTCTGAATAATCAATTTCAAAATCAGTATCAATATCAAATCGATTAAGATCATATTCAGGAATATATTCTAAATTTGGAATTTTACCGCCTCCAAATGGATTATTAGCAATTTGTTCTTGAGAAAAATCTGTTTCCAAATATGTATAAAGTAACCAAAGGAATCTTTTGGCTCTATTAGTTGGATGAATTTTAGGATTTAAAAAGAATTCCATAAATAAATTAACTGTTAAATCTTCATGATGATAAGGAATTCCTGTAGTTCTATTACTAAGTAAAAATATTAATTGAAATACATTAGTATTAGGTTTATTAGGAGATGGATCATTTAAAATTTCATCTAATTCTCGAGGTTTATTATCATCTTCACAAACTGCTTTTAAAATTGATTTTAATCTTGGAGTATCTTGTAATTGAATTGAACCATGACCTAAAGGATCAGCTTGTAATGAAGGTATTGAATGATAAGTTCTTAAAGTTGATCTCATTTCTGGTACAAAATTTATAGTTGTATTCATTCTACCAGCATTAACTAATAAACATACTTTAGCTACTGATAAACTCCATCTTTTATCTTTAATTAATCTTTCCTTTAATATTTTAGAACATTTACTTGATTCAGCTAAAGTTCGAATATAAAGATCAGAAAATGGAATTTTTGGATTATTATTAGCATTTTCTAAATCAGTATGAGGGAAACTATTTGTAAAACATGGAGTATCATCATTAAATAATGCATGTAAAAAATCATATTGAATATCCTTTCTCCAAAATGGTTCTCCATCAGCTTTCTTTAAATGTCGACATTTCGGTATGGTACTATTAGTATACTTTCTTTTCCTTTTACGGGATGAATTGGATTTAACTTCTCGTGGTGGTTCACCTCGATTAGCACTTGAATGAGTATTGACATTGATATCAGATTCATATTCCTCATCATCTTCCTCTTCTTCGTCTCCTTCTTCTTCTCTGTCTCTGTCTCCTTCTTTTTCTTCATTATCCTTATTAATGAGATTAGATATGGCAGTAGCTTTAGTATTAGGACTACTAACTAAGTCAGATATTGATAATCCATTACTTTTATTACTAACCGGCTCTTCTAATGCTCCTGCAGTCTCGGGTCCTGCTTTGGGTACATACGTATCATGTATAGGATCATAACTCATGGTCCTCACTGACTATAAACTTGTCTACAGTTTGTTTTTGTTTTTACTGCTTAAGTCTCTACTGCTACAACTACAATTTGATGCTTGTCGGGTGAGGTGAAAAATCGTGCTCGGTGGTTCGTGCGCGTATATTACTACCAAATGGGTTTTGTACTGGAAGTCTTTTATCTTTTGTTTGTCTTGTCTTTTGTCCTTTGTCTTTACGCACTTCCCCCCCACACCATGACATTCTCAATTACATTCCCCTGTAGTATGACTCGATTGTCACTGGCTATACTTATTAATGATTCTTTACCAGGTTCGGGTGCATGGGGTATAAATGGTAATGTCCATATTATGGCTCCTGGTGGTATATCTATTCCATTAACCTTAAGAACTCGTAGTACTATATCAATATCTCTACCAGTATGTCCTATTGGTTTTTGATTTTGATATTGTTGATATTGTTGATTATCAGGAGAACAAACTCCTTCTTCGTTGTAGTCATCTACTCTCACTGATTCAATATACTTGTGCGTGATCACCCGATCATTAGAGTCTACTCTATTAGCAACCAACTTTTCAATTAGAACTTTTAGAGCTCGAATTTCAGGTATCCAAAAGTCTCCTTCTAAAACAGGTGTACTCGAAACATTATGATTGTGTTTGAAGTATAATTGGGTAATTTCAACTTCATTAATTTCTTTAATGTCTCCCATAAAGAGTTCATATTTCTCAGTAGTAGAGATTCTTGGAGATTGTAAATATAACCCCCTTTCATTCTTACCCGTAAACATTGTGAATTTATCAAAAAATGTTCGAGTCAATTCTATATATGTATTATCTAATTGACTTTGTGATAAATATGGTGGTCGAATTAATGTACCTCCAAATGTATGATCGGCCATAAATAATCTATTCCATTCATAATATCCCGATTGTAGAAATGCTGTTGGTTTAATAGTTAATGGATTTAATTCACAAGTATCAAATCTATCAACTAATGGATCTTTCTTGTATAATGTATCTGATGGTAAGGAGTATCTATTAACTGGTGGTAAAGTAATATTTCTGTAATATACTCTATCTTCTGCTTGGAAAAGGTTTTCTCTTCTTGAATCATAACTATGAATTAATGATAATACTGGCAGATAAAGCTTTTTATTGAGTTTTACAGTATCTTGATTATCTTGATCAGTATAATTAGTTGAAGTCTTAGCTTGCATTTTTTTATTGAACCATAATGGATGAGCTTCTGTAGAAAAGATCCAATTTTTACTTCCCATTAAATAATCATCATGAAGAAATATTTCATCATTAACATCAAATAAAAGATATAAATATTTTAAAGTTTCTCCCATAACAAAAGTTTCCATTCTATTTTGAATTTGTCCATTTCTTATATCTTGTATACCACTAAATCCACATTTACGTTTAAATTTATTCTTAAAAAGATTAAGGATTCTTTCACCAATTTGTAAGTACATTGGATCTCGAGTAGCTCTATATAAATAATAAGTTGATTCTATAAATTCAGGCCGAAGTGGATACCATTCTAAAGCAATGGAATTCTTTAACTTATTTGATCCTTTAACTCGATTATTAAAATGTGCAAATACCCATCTTTCAGGAATCAGTTCATAATAATCCCATAATTTAAGATATACAACATGGGTCTTTATGGCATCAGATAATTGACCAGTTAATACTTGTAAGCCAGACCAAAAGGCTCCTAACAGATCTATCCAATCACTAACTATTATTCCATCATGAATTCCAATATTTGAAAAAATCATTGATCCATCATTGGGAGCTCCACCTTGAACCAGATGAGCTAATAATGCTTTATAAGATGTTTTAAATACTGACCACATATATTTATCATTAAATACAATGGCAGCTTTAGCGGCATATTCATAAAATGAATCAATTGATGCTCCTATACCAGATATAGCATCTTTCCATTGATTATCTATTGGATCAATAGTCATAGGTAAAAGATTTAATTTCAGTTTAGATGCCCATAATTTCCAAAATGTCATTTGAGATAAATGTTCAAATTGTGGATCACCAGTTAATCTTGATAATAAAGTAAGTTCAAGAACTGGAGTGGCAGCACCTGAAGTACACGCATCACGTTGTAAATAAGCAGGTACATTTAAAACTCCTTTAGCAAGATTAATTCTTGGAACTGGTATTCTAGATGAAGTTTTATAAGCAGGAATAATTCTAAGACCCAAATCATAAGCTAAATCAAGTAAAAATCCATCATAATTGTCTGATATTTTCTTTAATCTTAAATATTTTTCGGGTATTCGTTGTTTATTAGTTACATCTGTTAATAATAAATGAGCTGAAAGTAATCCACCTAATGAACGAATTGATAATTCAAATACTTGAACTATAGTATCTTGATTAAATATATCTCGATTTGAATTTAAATAATCCAACATAAATTCAAGATCATCCCATAATTCAAATATTACTAATGAATCAATATTATCTAAAAGTGTCAGGGATACATTCCCTAAGGCATCATTACGAACAGTATCATCAATATTTTTATAATCTGGTCCATATGGTTCACAAGTAATAGGTCGTACTTCATCAGCTGGGAATCCATAATCTTTATATGAATTCCAAGCATGTAAAAATTGATTCTTAGTCTCTAATTGTAGATAATGAATATGATCAGGAGTGAATGATGAGTTAAATTCTTGACATATTATTTGGCCAATACTAACCAATAGTATTAAAACTATTCGGAACACATAGCCGCCTGTATGTAATGACATTTACTGGCTTTGGTTCAATAATTAGGACAACACGCAATAAAGCAATTCAAATTTTAGTTATCTATCAAGTGAAAAATTCCAATTGCGCTCCCAATTAGCACACGGATTTTCTCCATATATTAAACTCTATACGAATAAATATATAAATAATAATTAAATATAAAATAATTATAATTTTAATAATTTTAAAAATAATAATAATAATAAGAAAGACAAAAAAGATAATTAAAAATAATAATAAGATTAATAATAAATAATAAATTTAATTATATTAATAATAATAATAATAATAATAATAATGTCGTGATGAGACTTTACTTCCCGAATATTCTATTGACCTGTGTTACGACTTTACCTGTACCAAATACAAGTGGTACAGTAATTAAGAAAATATTAAGTATAATAATTAATAATCCACTTAACATAAACCGAGGAGCAAATATCTTCCATACCATTAAATGTCTTCTAAAATGAGCTGCAAAAATTAAACTTGATAATCCTGTTATTGCAATATAAGTTAATAAAGTTGTTATATTAGTAATAATTTGTGATAAAACTGTAATTGGTTTATTTGATGGAACTATTTTCCATAATGTAATTAATGGAATAGCTAAACTTATAATTAAAAATGATCCAAAAGTATTTAAAACAATATTTAAATGAGTAAATGGAAAGAAAATAGTTTCTGTAGTTAAAAATCCAATTTCCCATTGAATTGATGCAAGAGTTGCTTGATGTCCAGTACTGAAAAAATTTTGATATCCTAATAATCCAAATATAATAGGTGCCACAAGATTTTTACGTAATTCTAAAATATCATATAATTCTAATAATGATAATATTTGAACAATTAACATGTTTAAAGAAATAGCTCCTAATGGTTTAGTTACCATCATAATTGCTACCGTAAAATTAAGTACTAATAAGAAATATGATGATCCATAAACATTCCCATATCCAAGAATATTAGCACTCTTTTGTAATCCATTATTATCATCTGAATCTCCTGAATTTTCGGCTTGATATTCTAATTTTACACATAATGGACCCTTTGACCAACTAAAATTAGCAAGGATTAAAGCAATAAATAGAACAATTCTTGCAATTGCAAGTTTTAAAGGTTTTAATAATGCAGAACTAGCAAACCATCTACCAGCAAAATAATCAGAATTATGAACATATTCTAAAGTCCAATGAACTGCATTCATAAACATTAAGAATTTAAGACCTGTACCTATCCATAAGGGAGCAGCTGAATGATATGAATTAGTTAATTTATAAAATGAAATAATAAATGATGGTAAAATATAAGTACATCCATGTAATAAAAGTACTGACCACCAAGTTGAAATAAATGTAGGTTCACAATAAGGACGTTGTTCTTCACGACAAAGATTTATCATAGAAGAAAATCTTGCAAATAATGTAAAAGTTATAGCATGCAGTAATCCAAGAATTTTTTGAGCTTTAGTAATATTATTTTTAACAGAAAGTCCAAAGATACAACTAAATCCAAAAGTAATTAAAAAGAACAGAACCATTTTATCTTCCCAAACCACAAATGAATTAGATGCAAAAATTAAGCCATGACTTACAACAAATAATAAACCTAAGAATGAATAAGAATTAAAATTAAAACTGAAAAAATCAATCGTTTGATGTAATAACCAATTAACACTAAATCTATCCATTATAGGAGCCCAAAATCCAATTATAATTCCAAGAGCAGCACCAATTGCAAGACATTTATTTAAACTAAAATCAGTTGGTTTTAAAACAATATAAATGGATAAACTTATTACTAAACCAAGTAAACACATAGCAATTACTGAACCAATGAATTCAAAAGACATAGTCAGAACTCTAACTGCTGGAATTGATCTTGCATAAGTTAAAAGGAATGTTAATGATAAGAAAAGAATTCCAATACCAATAGAAATTAATTTTAAATCAAATGTAGCCCATAAACTTTTACATTCTTCTAATGAAGCATGTTGATATTGTTTAGCACTAGAAATTAATTGTTCATAATGATGTTTATCATTACCATGTTCAGTATAATTGGTTATAAAGGAATTATAACTATTATCTAATTTAGATGATAAATCATGAGTATTTGATCTAAAAGTATTAAGTTGTTGAAGTGATTTATGAGCTACTTCAACTAATTCTTTATCATTGGAAAATACTTCATCAATTGGATATCCAAGATTATTATACGGAATAGGAAGACCCAATAATAATGAAATTGTCGGTACTAAATCAATTTGATTAACGGCTCTATAATTTTTACCTTGTTGACTAATATCATAAAAGGATTTATTCTTTTTATTAAATTTCTTGTTTTTAGAATACATGAATAAAGTACTCTCTAATTCTTCAATTGAATCACCACCATGGTTTCCAGTAGGATCCATTCCATGATCTCCTAATACTACAAGTAATGTATTATCTTCTAATTCAGATATTACTTTTAATAATATTTCATTCATTTGATTTAATTTTTCTTTCATAGCATAATGATTAGGTCCATATCTATGACCAGCATGATCAACCCCTAAGAAATGACCAATTAAAACATCCCATTTCAGTCGTTCTTGTTTATCTAAAAGTGGGAATATATGTTTTATAACTCCATTATCTACTGTATGAAGATCCCAAACATTTAATGAATCAAAGGGGAAATTTAATTGAGGATTAATATAATTATTAAATAATGCTTGCCAAGTATCATCTCCCATACACGCTATAGATTTATTTTGTTTATGTAATTGTAAAATCCAATTATCTTCATCTATATGATCACCATCAAAATTAGATCCTGCATCAATAAATGTTGGTAAAGAACCAGTAGTTAATCCCTTTAATCTTTGTAATGTTGTAGTTGGAGGATCAGCAATAAATTTTAATAATATTCCATTATCATTTTGAGCTAAATCATATAATAATGGGAAATTATTATGATAATATTCATTAGCTGAATCATCATTTATAGGTATAACAAAATCAAATCTTAATGCATCAATAATTAAAATTACTGCCTTATCAAATTTGGCAGGGATACATGAATTATTTATTGAACAATCAGAAATATCTGGTAATACATTTCTAGTTAATAAAAATCCTCGAGTGAAAAATCCAACTCCAATAATTTGAACAATTGATAAAAAAATTAATACTATAACATAACCAGTAAATGTAATTTTTAATTTCTGTTGTTTAACTTTACTACGAGCTTGTTGTTGAATCTGTTGTTGTTTGACTATTCGTCTGGGTCCTGAGGACTCAAGCTGATCTGATTCCATGAGGAACTTTTATAGAACAAAAAACCAGATTTTCCCAAAAATTGTTGGGGGTAAAATACTTGATAATAAATCTTCAACTTTAAAACTCCCTAACCGAGCCAAATTAAAATGGTCTACCAATTCTTAGGTTAAAATTTCTGGTTACTTTTGCTGAGTTGAGCCCTGTGAATTTGACATGTTTATGAATTTTCCATATTTTCCAGTGGGCCACAGGGGAAACGATGCGCGCGGTTATAGATAGAGGTTCGTTTTGAATTACTGCAAATTTTAAATATTCGATAGAAATAACCATTTTTATTTTATTCTACTTAACTAAAAAATTATGGACAACAAGTAGGTTGAATACAAAGTAGATAATATTTGAGTTGAAAGATTGGAGCCTTTCCGTCCATCACAATTCGAAACAAACCACAATGTTTTAAAGACATTATGTTTAGCTGTTCAGAAAAATATTCTGCCAATGGGAGCAATTAATGGATTCATCATTAATCTTGATCTTCTGTGTTCAATTGTAATACATCTATATGGTCGAGATTTTCTGTCTATTAGAAGTAGGCGGTTGTACAACATGAGATACTTAAGCTTTGGAAAATAACCTATATTACAGTTTATCCAATGGACTAACCTATCAATTTCAAACTCAGCATCAAAACAGTCTCTCTCACAGCTGTAAAATATGTCAATTGTGGAACAACTTGTTTCTTGGAATGACAGGTTAATCTTCACAAGTTCAAGACTAGATCCACAAGATTCAAACAAATTCTTGATTACACTACAATCATATATAACATCTTCCAATGTGCTATTTTCATTTGAATCTAAACAAAACTTTTCAAGCAGACAATTGGAGAATTCCATAGGTTCACTTCTAATTATATTATTTATAACAAGTGATTTCAAATTTGGTAATGATCCTAACAAGAATAGAAGAAGACTACTGTCGAAAAGGACATTTATTTGAACTTCTTCTATATTTTCACGACTGAATAAATCCAAACACGTACTAAAGTAATTATGTCGAGCATCGATAAAATAAATAGAACTCACTCCGACAAAGAGCTCTTGCAACTGGTTCAAAGTATCACTTGAAGGAAGTGCGATCAATTCCACCTTGTTGAAACAAAAACTAGTTCTATTTCTTTTTATAGTGTTAATATAAGTTTGTAATTCACTTTCATGCCATAACAGTTGAGACCAAACAATTGAATTTGTATTAAATTGCTCTTGTGCAACGAATGGTTCTTTGAAATCATCTTTTGTTATGTAATATCCATCAAATCTTATTTTCTCATTAGTTTGACGTATAACTTCTCTACCTTCTAAAATACGAACATGAAACTTTTCACGAGGCCAAACTTTATTGTTACTTACAATTGTGAAATTTCTATATATAGATGTATCCAATTTTGGATGAATTATGGCATCGCTTATACATGGGACAATCAAAGCTTTCTTGAATAATTTGTTCATACATAAAGCATGAAACCTCGAGTTGACAAGACATAGCTCTAACACATTAAGCTGATTCAAGTGATCTATGATTAGAACTAGAATTTCATCAGGTAATGACCCCAAACTAGAAGCCGGTATGTGTGGTTGTAGAGTTGAATTTAGACAGGTTACAGTTCTATTTTTCCATGCTTTAGTTTTGCAAATCCAAAATCTATTAACAGCTGAAAAAGTCATACTTTTAGGCTGGAAGTATTTATTCGGTAATCAAGAGGTAGCTTGATATCTTATTCATATATTATAAGCTATAAAGCAAACGAAGGATGTGGCTTATGGCAAGCCTAAATAGAAAAGAGATTATTATTCTTACTTCTTTTTTTTTGCAACTCCAAGCAAATTAAAGCCCGATCATTCCACCATCAGCCAAATATTATCGTAGAAACTCTCCAATAGCATCCTTCAAGCATGGAACAAAGTTATTACTAAGTACACACTTGTGATTACAGAGCTAATTTCGCTGAGCCGATGCCTACATACCATTCACCAATTGTATGATTGTCTTTGGCCAGCGCACAAGGAGAGTAAGGTTCTCGAATTAATTCACCCTTTATAAAAAACTGGATATTGCATTTGAATTCTTTATAATTGAATTTGCAATCTTTCTGTCTCTTACTGTCTCTGAGTTGCGTGATTTCCTTATTTCAATTTTCTCTCAAATCCCCAATTACGTGTTCTCTCCATAATATGGTCTTGCATTCATTATGACAATGTTTGGGATAAAAACTTAATGCCTGCACATTGTCGTAGTCTCATATGTTAGTGGGTCGGGTTTAAGAGAGCTACGGGTTAATTTATATGCAGTCTCGCTTAGTGTGTTATTCTTTCTTACTTCCTATGTAGGGAAAAACCTCTATTTATATTCATTTTTCTTCATATTTTATTATCTCTTCTCTTCTTAAACAGTCCACCATTATCGCCTTGCCGGCTACACTATCCCTTATCCGGGACGGTCATTCTTAATTATTGTCTCATGACTAATTTGTTCTTCACGGCGTTTTCAATATACTGCTCTTATCACTATATTAGCTTTTTCTTCTCTTCATCTCGTATATCACATGACCCAAAGCACCTGAGCCCTAGCTAAGTACTAACATCATATACTATACTGCTACTATGTTTCTACTTACTCTATAAGCCTTCTCATTTGGTAGATGTTTTAGGGTAACCACTCTATGATTCTGGATTATTAATCTACAACAAATATGTACTCTTGCTATGTAATAGTCAAGTTGTTAATATCAGATTCATGTTTCCTGCATTGTAGAACTATATATATAAAGGAAAAATATTTTTATCAGCAGGTGCAAATGATCGCTTCAATTTTTTATTGCACCAATTAGGAAAAAATGTGGCAACCAAACCCCAATAACAAAAGAGTAACTTAATCTTTAACATCACTTTATAACCAGCAAGCACCATTAAACATGACAACATGTTGATAAACCAGATTTCTTTGGTAAGAATATTTCTTTATTAATGTAGTTAGATTGGTTGGTTTTAGAAGTATGGTATAAGCAGATTTATCTTTTGTTTTTGCAGCCAAGTCACGTAGATTTCATTTAATGTATTACCGTGACCATTCAAAAGAATTACCTTACTGATGACATGTATAAGTTTAAATATACCGTATCACCCATGATATTATTCATTACTTAAGACAATGACTCTTGACTCGTAGAGATTGTATTTGTTAATAATCATTGTTTGTAGATAAGGTTTTAACGTTCTTTATACTTTTCGATAAGGGTCAACTGTCAATTCAGAGTCATTATATTTTAGTCTTTGCGGCTCTTTTTCCTGTAGCAGCTAAAACTCTTTTGGTATAGGAACTTACATTCTTTTGGCGGTAAAAAAATTTAAATCACTTTGGCGGTAAAAACATTTAAATCACTTTGGCTGTAAATACTAACTTCTGTTTGTAAAAGTAATCATGATGTTAGAACTAGCTGACATTGTATTGTTTATGATGACTTTGGGTGCAATTCTGCAAGTCATTGGTGTTGGTTTGGCTTTAAAGTGGTGCTTAAATAGTCAAGAATTTCTGACTGCTTCTTGTGTCTTATTACTATTATCTCCAGTTTTTCTTAATTGCGGTATAGCAATCCAGATTTATGAACGTTGTCAAATTAGGAAGCGTTCTGAATACGTTTCTTCTATTATATCATACAAATGGGAAGATCAATATGATACCAGTTGTGAACATCATAATTTATTACTTGATAGCTACCAAACATTCCGTACAGATGGTGAACAGTTTGAAAGAGATCTTGTTTCATTAAAACAAAGACATGATCCTACTTACCTGATGTTTAAACAACTAGTTAGAAAGTATCAATTGAAACTTTACGAATTACACACTTCACTTATCATATTTCGTGCAAGTATGATTGAATTTGAGCTGATAAAAGCAATATTTAAAATTACTATCCAACAATACACAACCACTGTTAAAGGCTCTAAACAAGATATAAAATATTATGTTAAAAGATTAGATAATTATTGTTTAAAACTTCAACGTGATCTGTCCCGAATGGACAAAATAGTGGAACAGATTAATGAGTCTAGGTCTATAATTAATCGCATTACTGGTCGAGCATTTTAACAACAATGCTGTCAGCTACTAATAGTCTCAAAAAATGTGTTTAATTTCCTAATTAAGTTTAATTAATAATCTCGTGCCTATTTTAACAGATGAATATACTCTCGCTTGCTATTTATCTCATTAGTGACACAACCCTGCTTATATAATTGATATTGCTGATATTACAAGTCTTCTTATATAAATATATAATCATATATAAATTACATAAATATAGTATAAACTTAAAATAGCCAAATGCTAATACTCTATATATTTAAACCCTTTTTATGTTAAACCAAATTTGTTCAGGATGGCTTGATTCTTGTAGAGATCACTAATATAAAGTATTTTGATACTGAATGTGAGACATTATAACGCAAGGCAACAGTTATCTTTGAAGTAAATATTGAATCAATGGTGTCTAGCACTACTCCTGTTGTTGCCACCAAGACCCCACTCCTTTGGTCGAACAATTTAAATATCGGTAGACTACTTCAGCACCCAGTACATGTTGGGCTACTGCAAAAAAAATGATGTTTTATTTATTCTACTTAATTAAATAAGAGATCTTGAGCAAACCCTGTATTGTCGTCATTTTCATCAAAATTAATCAAATCTGCTATGTCGTCGTCGTCGACAACTTGTTGGTTTGGATCGAGGTTGGTTTCACGGAATAGTACATCATCATCGACGTCTTGATCATCCATTAATTGATCCGGTACTTCATCCTCAACTTCATGATTATTGTCATTGTCGTTGTTAGTAGTAGTAATATCATTGCCAGAATTGGTTCCTGGTAAACCGTTCACCACTCCAGTATTATCATTGTTGTGTGGAATACCGGAAGCGTTATTATCCTGATCATCTTCATCATCTTCATCTTCATCTTCGTCATCTTCATCATCTTCATCTTCTTCATCTTCTTCATCACCAACCCCGGTATTAATTCCATTAGTAGATCCATTTGAAGAATTTAATAAAGACATACTGAAATTCTTACCATTCGAATGGCCACCGAAATCTGACGAATTGGCCGAATCTTCAAATTGACTCAAGAATACATTTCCAGGATTGAAATTATCAGTATCATTAGAAGCAAGGAATGTTTCTCCATTACTGCTTAAACCATTGACATTACCTATAACATTATTATTTAAGTTATTGTTATTGTTGTTGATGGAGCTTTTAGTACCATTATTAGGATTCGTAGGAATTATATTATTATTATGATTTATAGCAATATTATTATTAATTTCATTCCCATTATTAGTATGACTAATCGGTCCTTGAGCCATAGGAATACCATTTATAAATGAAGATATCAGCTTTGGATTATAATTCTCTGGAGCTGATTGAACTTGAACATCTTCAATTGAGACACTATATTTCTTTACTAATTCTGTAGTTTGAAACATGTAATTAAATTTTGATTTATAAGCTTGTAAAATATTATCTAATTCTGACTCCAATTCATCAATTGATTCATGTGAATGTAAATTGCTTTGTAATTGAGATAATTTTTCAACTTGTTCCTTTTCAAAATTATATTTTTCATCCAGTGGTATATATTTGTCAAGGTATTTATTATCTTTTAAAGATTTTATTTCATCTTCTAAAGCTTGAGTCTTTAATTTCATATATTCCAAATCTCCATAATATATATCATCTGATTGAAGATTTTTAAAATCTTGAGGATTTCGTTTGGGTATAGTTGGAAATAATGATGGAGGTATTATTTTATTGGTATGAATCATTTTCATAGTAATATTTTCAATATATTCATGATTATTAATAAATCGATTTAATGCATCAGTTCTATAGGATATTAAATCTGCATCATCATGAGCTTGAACACCAGGTTCTTCTTTAATACGATTCTGAGCTTGTAAATGAGCTCGAGCTGCTGCTTGTGATCGAGCCTGCGCAGCAGCTTGTGCTTGTGCGGCAGCCGCAGCAGCTTGCGCCTGCTGAGTTTTTTTATTCATACGACCTCTTGGTCTACCTGGATGAGCCATATTTAGTAAATTTCGTGATATATAAGATGAATTGAATTTCTGATTAAATCTGTGTTAAATCGGTTTAAACCACACCCTAAAAATTATTTTACAATCTCAATTGTAAATGAATAGTACCTCTTAATATATATTAATATAATATATTAATATTAGTTATATAACACTGGTAATTATATAGAAATGATTCTAATTTACTAACCAGTTAGTGGAGTACACAAAGTATAGCAATTGTGAAATATCTCGATGGTTTGAAATGGTATTGGTACCAAAATTTGTATATGGTAATCCACGATTTTTAAGTGTAGTTTCGGTATACTACAAAATAATAATAATACAGGGGCTCTCGGTGTTACTAACTGTTTTAAGCAATTGACTTTTCATTTAATCGTGTTGTTTAAAGGCTGGTTGGTTCTTTCTTTTTTTCGTGGTCTTTTTGGCCAGCGCACGTCCTCGGCCCAACTCTCATAGTTAACAATACATAGTTAAGACTACATAGCATAGTTAAGACTACATAGTTAAGACAGTAAATATTACAGTATATAGAATGATAATGGTAGTAGTATATAATTATAATATAATAGAAGTAGTATAATAGGTATAATAATAATAATAATTAGGAACGGAATAGAGTAGACTAAATAAATAAATGTAAAACAATAAATAGAACTAGTAGTAAAGAAAATGTAATGTCTGTAAGAATTAGTTAATGAATTAATGAATTAATGAATTGGTGAATTGTGAATAAATGAATAAATTGTAATTGTATAAATACAAATAATGTCTGTGTCCTATAAATCAAAGCGTCCATTGACAAACTCATCATCAAGTTGATTTTCATGATCAATATCCATCTCATCAGCTTCATCAATTCCATCATCTTCAATGACATCTTCATCAGCTGGTAAGTTTGGATTTCCAGGTATAAATGATCCTGGACCTTTAAAGGCATTATGTCTATAAGATCTTCCAATATGTTCTTCAATAGTTGAATCATCAACATAAGTAAATCCTTTAAATTTAGCTTGAACTCCTGGTGATAAAGGAGTTGAAGCTAATTCCATTTGCTTTTTAAGTACAGATGTTGATTCATTAGTAAATTCAGGATCAAAATTAGATGTATCAGTTTCTGAAGTTAAATGAGGTTTAAATGGTGGAGGAATTGATTTAGATTTAAGTAAATTCCAATCAATATCAGCAAAAAATGCATGAGCTTTTAATTCTCTTGCATCAACTAAAGCTCCTAATCTATGTTTTGGATTTCTATTTAATAAACCTTTAACAAATGATCTACCTTCAGGACTTAAAACTTCTTTAGGAAATCTAACTTTACCAAAGGCAATATTTTTATACATTTGTTGAGTATTTTCAGCATAAAATGGTGACCAACCACAACACATTTCAAAAATAAGTACTCCTAATGACCAAAAATCAACCATTTTTGTATAACCAGATTCATCTAATAAAACTTCAGGAGCTAAATATTCAGTAGTTCCACAAAATGTATTAGTTGTACCATCATTATTTAAATTTGCTTTTGAAAGTCCAAAATCACATAATGCAATATGACCATTTGCATCTAATAAAATATTTTCTGGTTTTAAATCACGATAAACTATATCATTATCATGTAAATGTTCTAAAGCTAAAACTAATTCTGCAATATAAAATTTAGCTCGATCTTCAGGAAATCTACCTTCTTTTTGTAAATGCCAAAATAATTCTCCACCTGACATATAATCAGTTACAAGATATAAATCAGTTGGAGTTTGAAATGAAAATTTTAATCCAACAATAAATGGTGAAGCAGCAGCTGATGTACGAACAAGAATATTTCGTTCTCCTATAGTATGAGCAATTTCTTTCTTTTTAACAATAACCTTTTTAGATAAAACTTTCATAGCATAAATTCTTTCCGTATCTTTCTTTTTAACTTGAAAAACTTGTCCAAAAGTTCCTTTACCTAATAATCTTAAAACTTCAAAATCTTCAGGTCCATACAGCTTTTTTGAATCTAATGAAGTATATTCCCATTTAATTTTAATAGATCCACTTACACGTTCACCAATAATACGAGCCTTTAATTGTAACCATTCACCAGGAGAAGTTTTATTATGAATTGTTGAAGGAAAGATTCTAACATGACCTAAAAATGCATCATCTTTAGAAGCATCATAAACTGAAATATCTAATTCTGATTTTGATCCAACAACATCAAATAAAGCATCATGATTCCAAATTGGATTTGAAGTTGAAGAATCAACCACTAAATGTTGACTTGAAGATTGTCTTGAATATAAAGTTGGTCTACTTGAAGATGATGATGATGAATTTCTCATAGGTAAAGCAGCTCGATTCATATTTTGATGATTTTGATTTGTAGTAGTTAAAGGTTTAATTGAATTATTAAACGAAGGTGATTTTCCAAATGATCCAGGAGCATTTGTAACAAATTCTGAACTTTCAAAACTACAAACTACATATGGTTGGCCAGCAATAATGTCTTTTCCTTCTATAATTGTGACTTTTAATTTCCCCTTTGGTTGAGAATTATTCTTATGTTGAGCCAAGTTTTGACCCTTTTCATCAGTGGTTATAATGACTGGTTGACCACTAGAAAATGCTTGTACTGGTTGATGATGTTGATATTGATTTTCCTGTACGTAATCCTGTTGAGATTGTTGCTGTTGCTGTTGTTCTTGTAGGAATTGTTGTTGGAATTGAGCCTGTTCATGTTCTTGTTGTTGTTGCTGTTGTTGTTGTTGTTGGATTTGGTGATGATCGTAGAATTGATTTGAAGCATTGAAATCGCCCTTAAAATTTTGATTCAAAAAGTCTGTATTTGGATTATTTGATTTAATAGTTGAAGTAGTTCCATATGCTAAAGAATTATCTGTCATAGCTGTTGTTGGAGCTAAGTGCAGTAATCCCTTTGGAAGAAATTTATTAGTATCAGAAGCATTTGTTGATTGAGGAACATTAGAATTTTGTGAGAATTGTTGAGATGAATGCTGAATAGAATATGATTGATTTTGTTGTTGATGGTGAGATTCTGGAACTGGAGTTGAATCAGCAGATGACTGTTGTGATTGAGGTTGAGATGAATTGTCCTTTTTATGAAATCCACTGAATCCAAAGATTGATTTTGCAAAGTCGGCCATTATTATTTAGATCTAGATTTAGATTTATGAAAATGAAAATTAAGATGAATTAAATTAGTAGTATTAAAGTATATTAATTAATTAATTAAGTGAGTTGATTGATAATGAATCTATGAGATAATAAATACGGATAATAAGAAATTAGATGAGCTAAGTAATGGAAAATAAGTATATAATTTAAACCGGAATTGAAGATTGTTTGATGAATAGGTTAATAGTAAATTTGATAATGATGATGATGATGATGGCAAGATTTGGTTGGAGTTAGCTAATGGTTAGTGAGTAGTAAGTAGTAGATGATTTTTGTTAGGAAAAGTAATGATGCAATTGAGGATGAAAATCTGAACCAATACTGCGTCAGTAACTTTGTACTGAAATGCCAATAATGTAATGCGCTTGTGATGTTATATTATACAAGCTAGAATTAAATATGAGTAAATAAAATATTATAAATTGTATATAAATTTAAGGGAAAGTTCGAGGGAATGGGAAAAAAATTAAATATTACTGATGATGGTGATGGGTATTGTACTACGAGCTCAGTTCAGCACTAGTCTTCAGGGTACTACTTAGTGGGAATTTTTTCTTTTGTGCACAAAACTAATAGGTACTAACGGCTTATACCTGAGTATCTGTTCTATGTGAATGTGGGGGGAATGTTATCAATATCAATGGTTAGTTATATTTGTGATTAATGTTAATTTAATATAAATTTAATATAACTATGAGTAATTATTTTATGTAGCAGCTGGTTAGCTAACTGGTGGTTTAATTACATACAAAAGTTTATATAGAGGAATTTTATTTTAACTATGTACTGGATGAGCTCAAGCAAAATCTTTACTAATGGTAATTTATTAACTATTCTCTAGCATATAGTCTAGCATTGACGGTCGATAAACTTCTTAGCTACATATAAGCGGTTTCATTGTTCCATTTATAGAAACCAACGTGATTATTGTTTCTATCTACTGCTCCAGTTCGTAATAACCATTTTGTGGTTCATGCTCCTTACCTTCTTCATTCCGGGTATTGGTGACAGTACTGATAACAACGGTTGGTACACACACGACATTTCGAATTATGTAAATAATAATAATAATAAACACCTCATTTGCCGGTGGCGGTTTCCTAATTCGGAGGGTCCTGTAACTGTATACGGTTTAGCGATAAATTAGTTAACTTTAATATTCTAATTCAATTCATATACAATAATAACATTTAGCAACAACTTGTTTTGCAAGTAAGAAAGACAATTCAGAACCACAACTCATTCACTAATTAATTGCAACGTATGGATCTACTATCGTGTCGTATTCTCTTTCACTCTACATTGATCCATATTTTGCAACTACTCTAAAAATACCTCCATATTACTACCTTCGTATTGATTCGCTTATTGTTATATTGAACTGGATTCCTCTTGGGCGAGAAGCTTTCTAGTATCAGTCAATATCGTTCTTTATTGGTAGTTTGTCCCAATCCACTAAATTACCTCTATTTATTTTTCGTATATACACCCAATATTTATTTATATCTTACAACAGACTTTTGAATTTGCTAGTTTGGAATGAGTATGCTTCATTACCAACAAATATATTGAACATTATATCAGATAGTTCTTAATTAATACTATCAAGCAATAGATCCACATGTAAACATCCATACCGCAGTATTAAACCATAATTGAGGTATTTGACACGACCTCTAAAATTTTCCAACCACTCAATATCGAAAGAGACTTGAACATATATAGATCTAAAACTATATATAAACAATCAGAGATATCGAGGATAAAATGAATGTCTTTGGTATGATGCTAGGGCCATCCAGGTATATGGTACCAAGAATGGCATCAAGTAATATATTATCCATAACAGCATCCAGATCATTGTCGTCATCATTAGTTAACCAAGGTCCTAGAAGTGACAAATATTGGAAGCTTCTTAAATATGTTAAACCAATAGACAAAACCGTATACAGTGCAGGTGAAGCTATTCCTAAGGGAGTCAGACTTGCAAAAACAAAAAAGATGTATCCAGATTATGAATATGAACCAACATTTTTTAAACGTCAAAATCGAGGATTATTTGGTGGTTTACAAAGAAAGAGATCAAAGAATTGTAGTACCAAGGGGTTTAATAAGACATTAAGAGAACATTTACCTAATATTCAAAGGGCTAAACTATGGTCCGAAACTTTGAACAAAAGTCTTAGTTTAAAAGTCAGTACAAAAGTATTAAAAACTATTACTAAAGAAGGTGGTTTAGATAGCTATCTTTTAAAAGATAAACCAGCTAGAATTAAGACCCTTGGTGTATTGGGTTGGAAATTAAGGTATGATGTTATGAAGAGACAAGAGAAAAATCAATTACCAAAGACATCCAATTATCAAGTGCAATATATTCATAAAGATGGTAAACAAATCAAGGTGGGGAAATATAAATTATTGGATATTTTATACGACTATGTTAGAAGAGACTCTTATTATCCAATTAAGATTGTCGATTTTAAAAAGGCACACTATCACCTCACCATTGAAGAAGTTGTTGAGAAATTAGAATCATATTCTTATGATTTTACTCCTGTTATTGTTAATCCAAGAACCCAACAAGGAGTTGAAGCCAATGAAGCCAAAGATGCAAGAGAATTACAAGCCTAATTTAAACTTGTCTAACGTAATCCTACCTTAAACACAAACATAAACATAAACATTCATTCAACTATGTAAATAGATCATATAATTTGAAAGCATTGTCATTATCATTCATACATTTCTTGTATATTTAACTTTAATATATTAAACCATATTATATATAAAACGTGATCTCTAGTCATGTGCGCAATTTGACATTGCCTATTCCTAATGTAGCGCCTAAAAAAGAAAAAGCAGTCACAACCTGTAACGTGATCAAGTATTGTGCAGGATATTGCAAATATGCAGTACTGTGCTCAAACATCCACACCGCCACCACAATAATCGATTACCGCTCTTCGCACTAACATACATTTTTGCTTAGTAGCATATTTTTACTATGGGAGGAGGAAAGTACTCACTAAGTCAAGGAAAAAAATTATTAAAATTTTCATTTTTCATATTAAGTATTAGTTTCATTTGAATCTATAATCATATACATATATCAAAAATGGCTAAGTCAGGTATGTTTATAATACGACCATGTAATGAAGAAGAAGACGAACAGAGAGTAAATGAAATGAGATAGTCAATCATTGTGTTTAAATTTGTAGAACCAAGAAGAGAATAAGAAGAGTCCATCAGCAAAGTCATCAAATTCAACCCAACTCATCCAGATTAATCTAAATACTACAACTATTCTAATCAAAAGTTATTAATATGTTTAATTAAAATACTTTCAATCCATCCGAAATGTTATTAAGTTCGTCATAAAAGCAAGACCAAATCTATCATTGTAAACAAATGAATTTGTATTCAAAGGAATTTTCATATATATTAATGATCCAATACATTATAAATCATCATACGAAATATTGTACTATTTTATATACATATTAAGGACATTAATCAGATTCTACATTGATTCGTATCTTGTAATAATTTAAAGAAGTCCTTCGGTCAGCCTACCACATTCAATAAACTATTCAAAGAATACGCACTATGTAACACACGAAAATCCCATAACTATTTACTCCTTCTTCTAAACATTTATTGTACTAAACAACAATATATACTAACAATTTTCTTATAGGTATTGCTGTTGGTTTAAACAAAGGTCACAAGACCGCTGCCAAGGAAGTTGCTCCAAAGATTTCTTACAGAAAGGGTGCTTTATCCAAGAGAACTGAATTCGTCAGAAACATCGTCAAGGAAGTTGCTGGTTTAGCCCCATATGAAAGAAGATTAATCGAATTGATCAGAAATGCTGGTGAAAAGAGAGCTAAGAAGTTGGCTAAGAAGAGATTAGGTACTCACAAGAGAGCCTTAAGAAAGGTTGAAGAATTGAACCAAGTCATTGCTGAATCCAGAAGACACTAGATTCAATGATAGTTTCAAACTATTGTATCACCATATAATAACCATTTAAGTAAATTAAATATAATGATAACATTATATTATTTTATTTAGATCATTCATCTATCTTTTAATACACGTACATATATTATAGGACAATACTATTTATCTTAATAGTAAGTTGAGTTGATTTGAACTAACTCATCTTAAACTGCTTAAACTACTCTAGTAATTATCTGCCATTTTATTGGTGTTGCGATTCTTTTATGATATTAAACAGTTGCGGATTTGTTTAAGTGCAAAAACGTTAAAACCGCGAAATATCCACTATTTCTTGGTATTGTTCTATACTAGCTATTACAGAATACAATGATTCCAAGGATAGTATATGGAAGTAAGGGTTTATCTAGACTATCGTATAGAACATTAAGTAGTTCAGTAATATGTCGTGCCAAGTCAAGCCCCACGAATTCAAACTCCGCTCCCCCTTCACATTTTACTAACCCATATGAACCTCCACTTACTTACTTACAACAATCACCATCTTCACATGAGAATCACCAGCAATTACAACAACTGCACGTGTCGTCATCTTCTCAAACTGTTCCACCTTCTGTTGGATCATCATCCAATGATAAAGGTAATACGCTTAAAGAAATGACTTCTTTAATAGGGATGTGTATCTTAGCATATCTAGCCATTGACAACTATACCAATCGAATTAAATTAGAGAAATTAACTACAGAAACAACAGCCATAAATCTTAAGACTTTACAAATCCAACAAACTAACTTTCTAAATGCCAGAAAGAAGAGAGATTTACAAATCTTACAAGAAAGAAGAGATAATGACAAAAGGAACTTTAAAATGAGTTTACATATTGCATTGTTGAGAAAACAATTGATAGAGTTAGGAGTGGATCCTGCTGATATCGAAGTTGCCATAAAGGAGTTTGAAAAGAATGTTAAAGCTGATAATTCAATAAAAAATGTGAGTGGTCAATCCTTATGGCTTGATGATAATTCTCGTATGTATTCTTTATAAATATTATTACCTAAATTCGACTCAGTCATACTAACAATATTAAATTTCTAGAACTTAAAGCATATCTTCCTGATCCTCATGATTACGATAAGAGGAAGAATGAAGGAGACTCAAAGTCTTAAAACTCATTCATATTTATAAATAGTTAACTATATAGGTTCAACTATAATGTAGACATGGTATAAAATTCATTACCCGGATTTTCTTTTCCTGGCATCAATCTGGACCCCATAAAAGAAAAACTTTTCAATATATCATATTAACATTTATATTACTTCTTTTTTTTTCTTTTTCTTCTTTATACAATGTCTTAAATCAATAGGCGCCCATTAGAGTCACGGATTATATGATAATTTCCTCTACATATAATCTTTATTATCGCTTTATGTGGTTTTAATTCGTGCTCGGGTAATCCTTAGATCAAAGTGTTTTTACCAACCTAGTTCTGTCGTGTCATTTTTATTGAGTAGTTTGACTACGCGGTTCTAAACTTACATTATATTAGTTTATCTAATAGTTTCTGTAGAGTGACTTTCATTTATGAATGTTATTTTGAGCCTAACTAAACTGTAGATGTCATAACACTATATGTATTATGTGATGAGTGACGAGCGATGGGCGAGCATATCATCAAAATTTATTATGCAGATATATATACTCTCCTACTAATTAAGCAACTTGGCATCAATAGGCCCCAACTCTCGTTGCTTCAACTTTAATTGTAACAAATTAAACTTTGGGCAGCATACGGTATGACTGTCCTTACCATTATTTTCATAAAAGTTCTTACAGCACAAATATAATTCATCAATAATTTTTGTACATTTCGATTCGTCATACTTATTCGCCTGTAGACAATCTTGAATGGCACAAGCCTGTGGTTTACATGGATCTGAGTTTCTGCTTGATGACATTGTACTAAGTGAGTGACTAATATATATACTGTAAAATTTCAAAGATATCACCCAAAGCAATAGTGATAGCAATTGTAATTATTTAGATATCTACGCATAAATTTTATTGAGTACTAACACTTTTTTTGTGCCTACCATATATCAGAGCATTTAATTCATATATAACCTAAATATTATTATTCTATAACCGTCTTATCCAAATCAGTATGATAATCATCCTCATCATATTCACTTGGCTCATAAATTACCAAAGGTACAAATTCAGAATTCATACTCTCATGCTTGGCATGTCTAGCCTTTTGACCATAAAATGCTGCACAGCCAGAAAATATAGTAATTAAAATAGCAATTAACCCCCATCGCGATAAATTCCATCGGAGAGATTCAATTTCTGATCTCATGGCTGAATTTAATTCTGTAGTAATTTTATGATTTGTTTCTTGAATTCTAAGAATAATTTTCTTTGACAGCAAAGTGTTTTCTGATTTTTGATCATTTATTGCAACTTGATTATCATTCTTCATTTGTAAGAAATCATTATTTAATTCATCTGATATAATACTAAAATCTCTTTCTAAGACATTAGTAAGTGTAATTAATTCATTTATATGCTGCTCTCGTGATCTGGTAACATCAACTCTTAATTCTTGTTGTGCACTTTCAAATAAATATCGTTCATTCTCTAATTCATAAACTTGACTATATTTTGATGATAATTTAGATAATTTAGAATTCAATTGAACTATGACTAAATTAATAATTTCATCGGCTTGTGATGGTGTAAACCCTGCTTGAAGTAATTCTTCGTAGACTTGGTATGTGTCCATAAACGGTTCCATATCATCAAAGATGGTGGTTAAGAAATCACTAGAACCAAATGATAAGGAGGAATTATCTTCTTCTTTACTGGTAGTTTCATTATTAGTTGTAGAAATAGGATTCTCTATATTATTAGCTGTAATATCTGCATGCGCAGCTTCTGATACTTCTGATGATTCTGATGCTTCTGGTGCTTCTGATCCTGATGCTCCTGATGTCTCTGGTTGCACTTCTTCTGGAACATATACACCACCATTTGGGGATTGATTCAAGCCCTCCTTCGATATATCCAGTAATGGACTATTTATATACTGAGAATTATCATACTTCTTCTCATGTGATGACTTCTGCCTATTACACAACCATGCATTATTAGTTGAAAATGTTCGATGAATTACTACATTGGACCCTGTTAGTCGAGTAACAAGTTGTTTTGTATTGAGTATTCGTCTTTCGTAATGATAATAACTGTGCACTTTTAGTAATTTGCTCCCATGCCTTATCATAATTTGGTATATTATAATTGAGTATACTTAATGAATGAATGAATAAATTAATAAATTAATGATAAATATATGTATTTGGGGTGTATGTAGTATAATAATAATAAATAAATAATAATTAATAAATAATAAATTAGGAGGTATACACAAATTGAATTAACCAGTAGTGTAATATTTATATGTAAAATTCGGGCTCTGATTTTACAGAGCTCACAGTACACTTAAATTTTGTTGATACATCTCCGATTCTGTTTTCTGGCATGGCTTTACACGCAAATCTATTTTTTACAGCAATCCATAGCGAGCATAATTTAGCAGCAAATTAGTGAGATAGCAATACAATAGAAAAATAATTTTAGATACCAATACTTAGACCAGGACACCACCAGTTTATAATTCAGCAGAACTTAATAAGATATTAGGTTCATTATCGTATTGAATGATTTCTGGTTCAATTTCATTATCGTCGCCGTTATTATTATTATTATTATTATTATTTAAGCGACTAGAATTACCATCAAACAATCTTAAACTTCTCATTCTTCTAACAAATTTGATCATATAATGCCCTGGAATTGTTGTGTTTTGAGAAGCATAACCAGTTGTTCCTACTAAATTTAATGACAGATCATGTGATTCCAAGTGTCTGTCATTTGATTCATTAACAAAATTCACAATATTAGCTTCTGTGATATCATTATTTAGGGCAAAATAATAGAGAGATCTAACGAAGAAAGTAAATCCGAATCTGGTCTTAGAAAAATAAACTATGGGGACTTTATCAGTTTCATCATTAATTGATATATAACCAAAAGTTTTCTGAGGTTCAATATTCGATTTGTTTGGTACAATAATAAGATCTGGAGTACTTGGAATAACTTCACGTAATGTTTGGATTACATCAATATCTTCAACTTCATCAGCTGAATTTTTAATAAAATTAATTATTGCATCTTCTCTCATTCTACCATCACATAAATTAACAATTAATTCTCTATTATCCGTATAAGAACTAATTAAACTTTCAATACCATCATCTATATCTTCTAATTCATGAAACTTTTTATGGATATTTTCTTCATTGATTGTATAAGCCTTTCCTGATATAACATCTACTAACGTAATTCTAGGAAGGGTTGTCTTTAACTCTTCCAACTCATGAACATAACAACCATTAGCAAAGGAACTTAATTCATTAAGAATGGAATTTCCCAATTGTTCTAATGTTACATCAAGATATGCGATATTATCCCAAAGAAGTCCAAATCTTTCAAATATATTGATGGTATTTATTGAAGGAATTAGTGCACACCAAGTTACAAATCGGGCAATTTCACTTGATAATCTGACTTTCTCTGCTGCACAATAAACACTCTTATGAGTAAAATATTCATTTCTAATTGATAAAGCATGTTGAATTTCTCTCTTATCAGGGACTGTAATTTTCTTATCAGCATTTAAATAAGGTTGAGGAATTTCTGGTGGTGGAGATACTAAGTCATTGTTAATCTCTAATAATAAGGTTATTGATTTAGGTAAGAAATCTTGAGGAATTGAAGCATTAAAATTTTGTAATCCTGAAGATGGATTATTACTAAGAATATTATTAATAATCAATCTATAAAATACTGTAGGAATATTATAGATTAAATTCTTTGTAAAAATTACTGAACAAGAGATATCATTAATAAAGTAAATTCCAAAACTTAATGCTTCTGATTCTAATTTAGATACACACCATAAATCTAGCCAAAATATATTAATCATTTCTTTTAATTCATTACAAAAATTATCAATGAATAACAATCTCATTTGAATGAAAATTGCGATTGTTAATAAGATTCTTAATAAATGAACTCTAAGTAAATCTGATGTAGTTATATCATCTTTAGATGAATCAATCAGTTTATACATCTCATTTCCAACTGTCAATCCCAAAGCTTTGGCTTGAAATCCTTTGATTTCATTAAATCCTCCAAGTCTTCTAAACAATATGTTTTCATTAACAAAAGTATACTTATCTCCTGAATAGATTGGATTTGGTTCGGTAGAAACTACAGAAACATGGGGAATGTTATCATCATTCAAGTAAAGAATTGGCAGGTTATCAGATGAATTCATCGCTGTGTTACTAACTAAGACTTAAAGTATGTGTTTCGATAAGTTAGTAGTGTACTTAATTGTATCTCTTAGGGGTTTAGTAATAAGTTTGTTAGCAAATGTGGGTGTCCTGCAGCTTTTAGTCGCAGACGCCCCCTCAACTTTAGCGAAGATTGTTGCAAAAAAAAGAAAAAAAACATATATCCCAAAATGGTAATATTACTTACAGATAAGCCAATACGGTGATTCCTATTGATTGGTTTAATATATTAGGGAATTATGGAATACTAACTAAAATACAAATCTATATGGGCTATGAAGCATTTTTCATAAATACGAACAGAGAAAATTTATTAGTGACGAAGTGAAAGTGCATTATGGTTGGATATGAAATGGTTGCGAAATAAATTTATGGCTTTATAACTTTATAACTTTATAATTTATAATTTTATACTTTTCAAGATTTCACTGTTCAGTTTCCATAGAAGCATCTTGGAATTCTTCATGATCTTCTTGAGGTTCAATTTCATCAGTGGTGGAGTCATCGTCATCAGCATTATTTTCTTGTTCAATTTCTTCATATGGTTCGACTGAAATGGACACAACATTGGCAGACTTATCAACTTCTTCACTTTCACATGGAATGATCAATTCTAATTCATCATCATTGACAAATCTAGCTTTTATTTCTTCAAATTTAATAATCTTATCGAATTGATAATGCTTTTCAAATCCAATTTCATGATTCTTAAAGTCCTTGATTAAAGATTGAGCATCTTCTTGAATTTCTTCATCGTCATCTTCTTCAAAATCTTCTTCATCAACAATGAAACTGTCAGCATTTTCTGGATCTTGACCTTCAAATCCAGACCATTCAAAACTGTCTTCTTCTTCATCTTCATCGATTTCGAAGTCATCGTCTTCTTCTTCTTCTTCATCATCGTTTATTTCTTCAACTTTCTTTGGTTCTTCTTCGTCATCTTCTTCTAAAACAACCTCAGCTTCGATATTGTCTTCTTCTTCTTCATCTTCTTCGTCATCATCTTCATCATCTTCGACTTCTTCTAAGACAACTTCACCTTCAATATCTTCATCTTCGTCATCTTCTTCATCATCAGCTTCATCATCAAAATCAATGTCACTTTCTTCAACATTGAAATTAAACTTACCTCTGATTATTAATTCATTTTCATTCTTTTTGAAATCAATTTTAAGTTCATCCTTAACTAAAGAAGGGAAAGTTACATTTAATTTGTAAGTATTATCGTCAACTTCAATTAATTCAAAGTCTTTAGAATTTTCTAAATCTTTAGATAAATCAATGACTTCAACATCTTCGTCACTATCATTAGCAATTAAGTATCCATCTTCATCATAAAGGTCGTATGATTCTTCTTCATCTTCTTCTTCATCAAATGGAATTAATTCTTCATCAGTTGAATCATTTTCACTTTCTCCATCTGGTAAATCAAATCTGTGTCTATAAATGGTAATACCTTCACCATCATCATCAGAATCAGAACTGTCAGAGTCATAGAATTCATAATTAGAAGGATTACCAGCATCATATACTTCTTCATCATCTTCTTCATCAATATCAGAATCGACATCAAAATATTCAGGTTCATCTCCTAATTCGGAATCTTCATCTTCAGATAATTCATCACCACTGTATAAACCTTCTTCGAATGCTTGTCTGACATTTTCCAATTGCAATTCATCGTTGAGTTCTTCCAAATCTGATGAATAGTCTAAAGTTTCGGAGTCGGAGTCAGAGTCAGAGTCAGAAGAGTCATCGGAATCTTCTTCTTCTTCTTCAGCTAAAATTTGGGCAACGGCTTCAGCTTGTAATTGATCATTTATGTCAACCACATCATATATGTCTTCTGGCTCGAGTAATTCATCGTCATCGTCATAATATCTAACAATTTCGTCGTTCAAGTCATCAACCTTACCAGCAGCATCGAAAGCTTCAACAGCCTCATTTTCTAATTCATCGTTCAAATCAATGACATCATCATCATCGATTAAATAAAGTTCAACATCACTAGCATCATCTTCACTATCTTCACTGTCTTCACTATCTTCACTATCTTCCTCTTCGCTGTCTTCATCTTCACTATCTTCTTCAATGTCTTCGTCTTCATCGTCTTCATTGTCATCGAGATTGAATTCGTAAACTTCTTCTTCGTCATCAGAGTCAAAGGCTGTTAAAGTATTATCTTCTTCACTTTCTTCTTCTTCTTCCTCATCTTCTTCTGAGTCAGGTTCTTCAACATAAACCAAATTCTTTGGTTGTTGATGATAGTATCTTCTATACTTATCTTTTCTTACTGATGGTTTACCATGATTGATAATGTAATATTTGGCTTCTTTAGATTTGCCACTGTTTTTTCTATTGTATTTGGAACCAGATCTGAATGAACCCATATTGTAATCTTATTCTTCTACTAATTCCTGTTATTAATTATATTCTTACAATTCTGAAGGCAAACTAGTAATCTTATATAGAGATTTCAAAAATTTTTCAGATGTGCTGCGCAGCTGCAAGATGAGACACTGGGGCAGTGCGGCTCGAAGAAAATTACTCCATTGAGCATATAGTGCTGAACCTTTTTCATTTGTACTATAAAATTTAAATTTAACTATGGTAACCGCATACATAGAACTTGTTAGAAAGGGAGCGAAGAGTTTTTAACTTTTTTTTCGCACTTACCCGGATCTGGAATCAATAGTATAAATACTAGGTGGTCCCCTGTTCTCCCTTATTCTGCAACCAAATCTCTTTGCCTTTTGGCTTAGATCAAGTGTAGTATCTGTTCTTTTCAGTGTAACAGCTGAAACGTCATCATTGATGACTTTTATAATATGTTACCTTTATTTTTGGATTACCAGTGGTTAGGATCGATGGGCTTGCTCACACCTTTCTACACAGTGTCGTTGCCATTGCACTTTCTTAGGCTTCTGACGCAAATTACTTTTATTTATTTTAATTTTTAATTGTGTGGTCATAATTACAAATTAAAATATATCAGAAGTATGTTAAGGTATGATGAATTATTTGGTGATATCGATATTTTAAATAGATGGGCGTATATCTCTGTTATCATAGTAGTTGCCTAATTCTTTGTAACCGATAACCGAGCCGTACAGAATAAAATATGTCATGTTCAAAATAAAATATTCTACGACATATCTTACCGATAATCTATAACTAATTCACTATTATTACTACTTTATAGTACTTGTATATACTTAAAGTATAACATTTACACAAGACAAGAATATCTATACATAGTATAATTCAAATTTTCAGGGATATCCCCCTATTATTGCTCATTCAAATTAGTATAGTATCATTAGTAATTATTAACCTATAAATTTTTCAATAAAATAGCACTAGCTTGTTCAAATTTACCTTATAAAAGATCATAGATTTTGATTAACAATTAAAGATGGCCCATGATGGGTCAGACACATATTCTGAAGATTCGGGATCTTCAATTATGGAACATGGTTTATTCCCTTCTATGAAAGATAAGAATAAATTAAATATGAATTCAAATCAGTCTTCAGATACTTCATCACGAAATTCTTATCATATAGATTATTTAGGGAATGATTCTGCTAGTTCCATAGGAGATTTACGACATATGTTTTTACGAAACAACAATAATAATAATTCAAGATCTCAATCAACTCCAAATGCTATACCTTATACATCAACTAATAATGATAATATTCATGTAGATTCTGTATTGGATTCAAGTGATTCAGCAACCATAGAAACTTCAACTTATTCTATAGACTCATCCATTATAAATCGAATGCCCGATGTATTAAAAGTCACTGAATCTGGTGATAGATTCAAATATTTAAAAACTTATGAAAAGATCAAAAAGGATCATGATCGAGATTTACAAGTTAAATCGGTTGTAGAAAGTATGAAGAATCACGAAGAAATACCGTTACAAGTGCTTAATTCTCATTCATCAATCTTTGAATTATCTCAACTTGATGATTTTAATCGTTATTTAAAACAAACTGAATTAAATGATTTAATTTATGCTAAAGTGGCTAAAAGTATACCGATTTCAAAAGAACATGATTTTTTAAATGTGGTTCAGAATAATGAATTAGTAGATAACTTTTATGTTGATCATGAATTTAAAGATGAAAGAACCAAATCATTAAAGCCAGCTCGATTAAAGACTTGGTATGGACGTCATCATCACTTACAAAATTCAAGTGATCGTCATCAAGCCGCTTCCAAGAGTAGTATTAGTGAATTAAATTTTGAAAATTCTCCAAGTTCTTCTGATAACTCTAATGAAAAGGAGAATAAAATATATTTACAAAGAAAATTAAAAGTACGACATCTTCAAATGATTTCATTAGGGGGAACTTTAGGAGTTGGACTTTTTCTTAATTCTGGTAAAGCACTTACTATAGCAGGAGGATTAGGAACTCTTTTAGCATTTATAATATGTGGAATTATAGTTTTAGCTACTATGGTTTCATTCTGTGAAATGGTAACTTTTGTATCAGTAGTTGATGGAGTGTCTGGTTTAAGTTCAAGATTTGTTGATGATGCATTTGGATTTGCTGTAGGATGGTTATACTTTGTAAGTTTTTCATTTGGGTTAGCAGGTGAAGTAGTAGCGAGTGTTATAATGTTATCATATTATCAATATCTAGATATTCCCGATAGTAGAGGATCATCAGCTGGATTTGTAACTTTATTCTTAACTATTGTTGTACTAAGTAATTTAATTGATGTGAGAATCTTTGGAGAAATTGAATATATTTCAAGTTTCATTAAATTACTAGCAGCATTAATTATGATTATTGTTATGATAGTATTAAATAGAGGAGGATTTGGAGGTGATCCAATTGGATTTAGATATTGGAATCATCTGAAATCAGATTTTGATCATAATTTAATCTTTGGCTTATTTAGACCAACATTTAATTTACATGATACAGGTACTAATGATCCTTCTCAAGGTATAGGAGGAGGTTTAGGAAGATTTTTATCTATTCTAGTGGCATTATTAGTAGTTTCATATGCATATTCAGGAACTGAGATAGTTTGTATCGCAGCTTGTGAAGCAAAGAATCCCAGAAAGGCACTTCCATCAGCTACTAAGAGAGTATTTTGGAGAATTTTATTATTTTATTGTTTATCAGCATTCTGTGTATCATTAAATATTTATGCTGGAGATCCAAGATTATTGAGATATTATCTGGGGAATACTGGTATTTCCCAAAATCAATTTTCTGCTAATTATGCTATTCAATATGCTGGAGGAGTTAATTGTAATACTGATTCGATTGTATTTGCTGGATTTGGTAGTGGAGCTCAAAGTCCATGGATTGTTGCTTTACAAAGTGCTGGATTATGTAATTTCAGTGCTATTGTTAATGGATTTCTTGTATTCTTTGCTGTAAGTTGTGGGAATGCACAATTATATGTTAGTTCTCGTACGGTTTATTCTATGGCATTACAAGGAAAAGCTCCTAAATTTCTTACATATTGTAGTAGACAAGGTATACCTTATAATGCAGTATTATTTGCCGCAAGCTTTGGATTATTATCATTTATTTGTGTATCAGAAAAGGCTACAGTTGTATTTCAAAATTTAACTAGTATAATTGCTTCTTCAGGTATAATAGTTTGGTTTGCAATGTGTTTATCATTTGTTAGATTTTATTATGGATTAAGAAGAAGACCAGATATTATTAATAGAGATGATAAAGCATATCCATATAGATCACCATTTCAACCATATAGTGCAATAATTGGACTTATTGGTACCAGTGTTATTTTATTATGTATGGGATTTGTTGTATTTTTAAAATCAGAATGGAATACCATGTTTTTCTTTTCAAGTTATGGTACATTAATGGTATTTGCAGTTTTATATATTGGATATAAAATTATTAGAGGTACAAGAATTCCTACATTAGATACAATTGATTTTGATTCAGGTAGAACAGAAATGGATAGATATATTTGGGATGGTGGTAGAGAATATAATGCTACAAGTATTAAAGACATTTTACATAAATGTATTTCGTTTCTTGCATGATATTTTTTTAAATGTTACTTTACTTTTTAATTTTACTTTTTAATTTTACTTTTACTTTTACTTTTACTTTTTAATTTTTATTTTAATTTGACTTTTACTTTATTTATATTTTATTGGTTTACGGATTTATTATTTACATTTACTACATATTAATATTTTATAGACGTGTATATTATTATTTCGAATTATATAATATACGAGGATTGATTTTTTAAATTGAATGTATATGGTATGGTATGTAAGGTACTAGTAAGGTACGGTACTAATTAATAATATATCATTATTTATGTAATAAGGGTTCTGGAAATTTTTTGTTTTTTCCCCTGTTACCACGTACTGCAATTGAAACCGAGGCGAACACAATTCTCAATTTGTCCTAAAACGGATTAATTACTTCGTCTAAAATTTGCAATAATAACACCGAAAAAAATAGAAACAGCACGACATTTTATGATTCCCATTATAACAGGGTTATCGACCGATTTCCAAATCGTGATATAACTATACTATATAATTCTATATAATTCTATATATATATTGATAACTATAGTCATAGCCATAGTCATAGTCATTAAGAATTATAACCATGTCATGGGAATCAACTTCCACATTTTTGGTGGGTAAAATTACCAAACCTTTCTTACCACTCGATAAGATTACATCTTTAAATTCTATTCATTACAGAAATTTATATCCTGGAGATGAAGTATACATTTTTGAAACTAAAAATGATAAATGGGCTCGAGGTTATGCGTTAACCAAACCATTTCCTAATGATTTTACAATCACTTCAGTTAATTTAGATGATTTACCAGGAGTTAATATTAATATAGTTATATTCCCATTAAAATTTGTTCATATAACTAAAAGTATCCCGTTTGAAATTATAAAAGTTCATAAAGAATTTAATAATATTATTGATAATGGCGATACTGTTCCATCACTTGAACAATCTGAACATGAATATAAATCAGCTCTTAATGGAGTAGTTGATAATCATCAACCATCAAATAATAATTCACTTACCAATGGGAAATTAATTTCAAAATCAATAATACCAATACCTTCATTACCCAATAAAAAGTTTGATATAGGAGATAATTTACATGATGAAGTTAAACATGCATTAGAATTATTAACTTATCATATATTTGCTTTATATTCAATTGGAGAATTTAGATTATATCATAAATTATCTGGTATATATCATAATTTAAATGAAACAAGAATTAAATTACTTAATGATTTATTAACTAAGAGTGAAACTCAAACAGCTAAGGAAACTGTTACTTTCTTGTTAGATAGAATTCCTAAGAAATTAGGTTCAAGATCAGCTAGATTAAATGCATTTTCTTATGATTTAGATAATGAAGATACTGATGCTTCAGGTTATAAAGCTTTATTAGCAAGAGATCCATTCACTGGACAATTACTTAGTCATGAGAATTCTATACCTTCAATCGTAGCTCTTGAACAAGAATTAGGTTCATTAGAATCAAATTTCCCTATTAATGCTAAGGGTAAAAGTTATTATACTTTAGTACCTCCATTAAATAAAAAGTTAATTGCTGAACCTCCTTCTCATATCTTAGTGGATTTTAAATCAGTTAGCGGATCTTCAGCCTATCAACCTCCCGGATTTGTAGGAATGACAGCTTATTTATATATTAGAAATAGTAAAAAACGATTAACTGAAGCATTTGCTGTTCATACCAATTCAGTTGATGAATTAGTTCAAGTTGAAAAGATTAGTGCAGCCTTATTTAGAAATATTCCTCATTCCGAAGTGGAAAATAGTCGAATTTATTTGGCAGCTGTTTTGACTGAAGAAGTAGAATTTAAATCAATGTCTACTCATATTAGAAGAGTTAAAAAGGGAGTAGCAGCAGGAGCAACTGATATTACTAGAGTGTTTTCTGGTACTAAAGGTTCCTTGGCTTCGGGAGAATCTCATCAATTTTCAATTAAATTATTTGGTTCTTATATAAGTACTAAAAAGGGCCCATCAGATAATTCTGGTTGGGGTGAATTAGTTGATAGAATTATTTCTGGATCTGATTTAGGTATTGCCGTTAATCCTCGAGCTGAGAAATTAACCGTAACCTTAAAGGAATTTAAGCATCAATTTGCTTCTGGAGGTAATCAAATAACCAGTTTATCAGCTACACCAATTTCAAGAATTAGACCTATATTCTTTGATCCATTAGCGGAAAATTATGAAAGACTTTATTTATCATTAGGTAAAGTTGTACCATTAAATGGAATTAATAAAGATGATTTATTAACGTTTGAAATCACTACTCCCAACAATGAATTAATTACTTTTGCTAAGGCATCTAATCAACAAGAAAAGAGATCTTGGCAATTTATATCAGTGTTTGCTAATGAATCAATTGGAGAAATCGTTAAAATCAATGGAGTTTCATTAAAGAATCCCTCGAAAAAGAAGGGTCCTAAGGAGGATTTTATTCAATTATCATTATATATTAATGGGATCTTAGGGGGAGAGGGGAAACTCTTATATAAATCAGGCAATCGATTAGTAGAATTTAACAAACGTAAAGCTCATACGGTAGAGATTATGTCATTGAATTATAAATTATCAATGGCCAGTGTTGAAATTGGAACTGAATATGTGGGGAAAATATACAATTCGGATATTTCAATTGAAAATATCTTTCAATTCGAACGATTCTTTAGTACTCAACTTCAAGAAGAATTATCATTATCATTAGTACAATTTTGTAAATTGGATATATCACAATTAGTTAAATATTTCCCCGAGTTATTGAGTTCCTTATATGGAATTATTAATTATATTAAACAAGATGGTTATTCATCAGATTATGATGAATTACTTGATAATACTTTTAAAGCTATTATTCATTTATTAGATACTATTTTTGGAAAACAAGAACAATACTTATACCTTGTGGATAATTTCCTTCATAAGTATCCTTCATTACCGAGAATTGGAGTTTACTTAATTAATAAGATTTCTCATATAATTTCAAATGCTGAAACTAATTGGAATGTTACTTCTCGTTCATTATGTAGAATTGTTTCAATTCTATTAAAATTGGCTCTTAATTCAATTGATAGTATTGATGAATATACTAAATCTTTAAATCAATTATTTACTTCAGCAACAATCTTTCTTGCCTTAGATTCCACTACTTTAGTTAATGATCAAGTCCTTATAATGGAAGTTATTGATTATGTATTATCTTATAAGGCTAATATTAATGAAGAAATTATATTTGGATATATTGCTAAATTCATTGATTCAATTGGTACTAGAGGTCTAGGACTTAATGAAGAAGGTCATGCACAAATTAAAGATCATAAGATCATTATCAATAAGATGCTTTTGGTTCATCGACTCTTTAATAGTTTCTTAATTCACAATTCCGCTACGGCTAAGACCCTCACATCCAAGGCAATTGAATGGTCATTAGAAGTGTTATTGGGGGCCACTGACATTGATGCTTCCCGATTAGCACTAACTGTATTCAATGCAGCATGTACTCAATTATATTCTAGTGCTAATGCTAGTGCTAATACTAATAGTTTAGATACTTCTGCCTATTCACTAACTTTACTTCTACCATCAATTGCAAGAACCATTGTGAAATACAATAAATTCACAAGAGGTAATGAATTCTTTAAACCAAAAAGAACATTCACCAGACTATTCCCCCTGGAATTCCCATTTAAGGAATCATCTAATGATCCTATAGTTAATGATGAATCCTTAGTAGAAATCTTAGTAGAATTAGCTTCAGTATTTGTATTTATTGGTAGAATTGCTAAAGCCAATAGAATTGAAATTAAAGATTCGGATTTAACCCTGGAGAATATCGTAACTATATTGACTGCCATTAAATTAATTAGACAAGGTGGGTTCTTTCCAGAGAGGAAATGGCTTTCGTTATATGCAATATTTATAGAAGGTAATGTAACTATACTTGAATTAATTCATCCATTACTTATTAGACAATATATTCCACCTATTGAAAAATCTGATAATTTCGATAGAACCATATGGGGAGTATATTTTAAGAATTTATTAAAATTGGCCGTATTACAACCAGTTTCAATTGAACATTTAACTGACATACCTAAAAAGGCAACTGGACAAATTACTGGAACAGTTAGAGATCGGATATCTTTATTATTAAATGAAGCTTGGGATGCGTTAGCATGGGATTCAACTAATGAAGATATAGTACGATTTAATTTAAAGAAATTCGGGGGTTATCAAGTAGAATATATTGCAAATGAATATGGAATTATACCGGATTTAATGTTATTTGCTCTCCAAAAGAATAAAGCTTGTCAAGTAGTAAGTGTTAAAATCTTATGGTCTTTACTTATATCGGAATATTTAGTTAATGATGGATCTATTGATATAATTGAACGGGAAGCATTTATTGGATTACATGATATTTATACTAGAAATGGTTATAAACCTACTCCATTTGAACAAACTAGTTTAATCAATAGATTGAAAGCCACTATCCGAATCGATAGAGAAGATGAAGCGTTTAATGTAATCTATAATTTCATCCTTAATTTATCAGGATTCTTAGAAGTATTAAATGATTTAGTTAAAGTTCCTATTGGACCAGAATTCGATGATGAAAGAACTTTCCATAAATTAAATATTAATTCATATTTGAAAAAACCCGAAATATTTAATTCATTTATTAATTCAATGTATGAAGAAAATCTTTCCAAGGAAGATTATATTCAAGCAGCTTTAAGTTTAGAATTATTAGCATCCACTTATGCTTGGGATCATCATACTATTTTAAGTGCATCTATTAAACCTAAATTTCCTGAACAATCAGCATTTGAAAGGAAAGATGCACTTTATAAAATGATTGCTGGTAATTTTATTAAGGGTAATAGTCTTGAAAGAGCTGCGGATATTTATAATGAATTATTAGATGCTTATCATGAAAATACTTTTGATTTAAAGAGTCTTTCATTTGCTCATGGCAAATTATCTAAATTATATTTAGATTTAGAATCTTCAGATAAATTAATGTCTTCATACTTTAGAGTAGCATTTATTGGATCAGGATTCCCAGTAGATATTAGAGGTAAAGAACAAATTTATGAAGGTTTACCATTTGAACATATTACATCTATTCATGAAAGATTATTAAAATTATATCCTGGAGCTAGAATTATTACTAATGATGAAGAAGCTCAAAAACTTGAAGAAAGAATTCCAACAGGTAGATATTTACATGTAACAACCATTGAACCAATTAATGAAATATCTGATAAATTATTTAATCAATCAATTGGAGCTAGAAAGTATGCCAGAAATAAAGATTTAAGATTTTTCTCAACTATGAGAAAACTTCCTGGTTATACTTCAGCTTATGATTTATGGACAGAAGAAACAACTTATGAAACTTACCTTTCATTCCCTACATTAATGAATAGAAGTGATATAAAATCTACAAAGACTGTTAAATTATCACCATTAGAAAATGCCATTAGAACCATTATTAATAAAAATAATGATCTTATTCAATTAGAAAGTTCAATAAATCAAGCTATAAAGGAAAAATTAAATTATGATTCATATTTTAATGATTTATCTAGACAATTAACTGGTACAGTTGATTCACCAGTTAATGGAGGGATTGGACAATATAGAAAGTTTTTTGAACAAGGTAATGATTATCAAGTTGAATCAGTTCGATTATTAAGAAATGTTTTTGATGATTTAGCATTAATTATTAATCGTTGTTTAATTTTACATGGTAAACTTGTACCTCTGACAATGAAATTAAGTCATGAAGCATTAATTGATCTTTTCAAAAAGAATTTTAAAGAAGAAATTGATAGTTTAGGTATTATACCTGAATCAGTTCATCCAACAATATCTACTACGTTTGGTTCTCAACTGAATAGTTCACGTTCTGTTCTGACGGCTTCAACTAATGGTAGTGGAAGTGGAAGTGGTAGTGGAAGTATGCTTATAATGAATCCAAAATTCAATATTAATGGTTACAGTAATGGATTAACATTTCCATCATCAAATGGATCAAAAATGCATAGATCAACATCTTCAGCATCTTCGAGTGCTTCTGACTTTTCTTACGATAAGCATTCCGATCAAGCTCGGATGAGTACGGCTACAAAGAGAAATGCTTTGAATTGGAGAAGACAATAGTTGAATTACATAATTAACTAATTACATAATTTACTAGTAAAACAATAACCAATCACACTATATATTGTACATACTTAATACAGAGTTACTTATACTTGAATACCCTTCCATACTATAAACCTTTAGATTATACTTATAGTTATAGTCACTTATATAGTGTGCGTGCTGACGTAAGCTCCCTATCTGCAGTACCGCCCATTTTGGTTGGTCAACAGAAAAAAATCTCTCTGGAAGAAATCCTGGTGTATAGAAAGATCCATAGTATAGTCTATCGTATACATTAGTACAACAATTTGTTACTATCATTAGATCTATAAACAAATATAAACAAATATAAACAAATACAATGTTCAGATTGGCTTTACGTTCAACTATTCGTCCAGTTGCTAGAATTCCTTTGGCTTCTAAATCTATCATTACTCCAATGAGATTCTATGCTGTTGCTCCAATTACTAAGGAAGAAGTTACTCAAAGAGCTTTTGAAGCTTTAAAAACTGTTGCTGCATTACAAGAATCTAAATTAACTTTAGAAGCTTCTTTCCAAAAGGATTTAGGATTAGATTCCTTGGATACCGTTGAAGCTTTAGTTGCTTTAGAAGAAGAATTTGATTTAGAAATTCCTGACAAGATTTCTGATGAAATCAAGACTGTTGGTGAAGCCATTGATTATATTTTTGAAGAAGAACAAAAATTATAGAGTATCAACTACTTATAATTCCTCATATGTTGTATATTTGAATTAAGATTCTGACATCCATAAATAATGCTCTTTGCTTTCCTTCACTCTGTATATACTAATCTTTTTACGATCTTTTAGATAGTAGATGTCGGCTTTTGTAGCTGAAGTGATCTTTACTATAATATTATTTAAATTGAAATAACTTATTACTAATTGTAGATGTACTTGATCATATATCATATCATATATGTAAGAGTAAGAGTAAGAGTAAGATTCTTTACTAGAGTAAGATGGTCACGTGATCATTTGTAATGTAATGTCCCCGAGTAGTGCTTCCCCAAAGAGCCAGTCATACGAATAGTTAAGACATTGCTTAAATCCATAATTATCATATATATAAAAAGATAGTATAACAATGACAAAGGAGTCACCTGAGAATATTAAGAACGGAGTAGAATATTGTGAGATTCATCATTTACATGATGACCCACAAGTATTATCTCATACCGAAGATGAAGAAGATGATGATGAAGAAGAAGAATATCCACCTCAACCAATTGAACATCAACCAACAGTAATTCATAATACTGCTACTCAACAGAATGTAATAATTCCTGATGAACATCCTGAACAATTACCTTCTGATGAAGATTTAGCAGCAGATTATCCTGATGATTCTTCATATATTGATTTAATCCATTTAAAGATTGGATCATTAGAAGCATTAAATTTATCAAGATTTTCTAAATTAGAATCATTATGTTTAAGACAAAATTTAATAACATCTATAGTGGGAGTAAAAGATCTTCCTGGTGAAACATTAGAAGAATTGGATCTTTATGATAATAGAATTAATCATATTTCTAGTAATATTAAACATCTTACAAAACTTAAGAATCTTGATTTATCATTTAATAATATAAAAACCATTAAGAATATTGAAACTTTAACCGAATTAGAGAATCTCTATTTCGTTCAAAATAAAATTAAAGAAATTCAAAATCTTGAAACCTTGACTAAAATTAAAAATTTGGAATTAGGAGGGAATAAAATCAGTGTTATTTCAGAAACTCTTAATAAATTGGTAAATCTTGAACAATTATGGTTAGGTAAGAATAGAATTGAAAGATTTGAAAATATGACTAATTTACTGAATTTAAAGATTCTTTCTATACAATCAAATCGAATTACTAAAATTGAAGGATTAGATAAATTAGTTAATTTAGAAGAACTTTACTTATCTCATAATGGTATTGAAAAAATTGAAAATTTAGAGAATAATACCAAATTAACTACATTGGATATAACTTCTAATAGAATAACTAAATTAGAAAATCTTAGTCATTTAACTAAATTAACCGACTTTTGGTGTTCATATAATGGAATTGCTTCTTTTGAAGAAGTTGGTCAACAATTAGGGAAATTAACTGAACTTGATACAGTATATTTCGAAGGTAATCCAATTCAATTACAAAATCCTACTGCTTATAGAAGAAAGCTTACTCTATATTTAGGACCAAGTTTAGCTAAGATTGATGCAACATATATCCGTGGATGATTTTCTAGAAATTTCTGAATTCATCATTACTCATTTCATAATGGCCGCAATTTAACCATCCCCCCATTCACCTAAAGGGATACTGATACTGTGAGGGTCTGTAGTGGTCATTCAAGGGGGGTGTAATTATAATCTTATTTTTTTGTATATACTTAGTTTGCAACCTCAATAAACAAAATGAATGGTTACTAACCTCTCCGCTCATCCCTAAAATCACTCCACTGTGTAGAAATTTCTAGTTGTTTCGGGGATATTCTAGAACTCAATTTTTTTATTTTTCTGTTGCTGCGATCACGAAATTTTGCAGTCATATCTTGACTATATAAGGAGTGGTTAATGGTCTATAATCTGGATATTAAATTATGGTAACTAAGGACAAATTCAAATTCAAATTCAATTATAGCTACAATGAGTTTTAACGATTTTTTCAATTCAAGTTTAGACAGTTTCTTTGACAGAGGATTCTTTAATAGACCCAGAAGATATGAATCAAACTTCCCTAGTGGTTACTTCTCTACAAGAGGTTTAATTGATCAAACTTATCCTGATAAGAGAAGTTTAGTTCCACTGACATTTTATCCAACTGATGCTATAGGATTCCCATTTGATGGTGATTTCTTCAGACACTTTAATGATGGTAAGATTTTTGTTGGCTTTGATAATAATGTTGATTTGAAAGAAGAAAAAGATAAGTATATTGTAACAGCTCAAATTGAAGATTTAAAGAATAAAGATTTAAAGATTGACTTCTTAAAGAGAGAAAATGAATTAAAGATCAGTATTTCAGATTCTGAAGAGAAACAAGATGAGAAATCTGGTGAGAAGTCTTCTAGTTCTAGGAGCTATCAAAGTAGTCTCAAGTTTGACAAGGCAGTCAATGCTGCAGATATCAGTGCTGAACCTCAAGAAAATTCCATTATAATCACGGTTCCAAAAGTAGAGGCTGATTCTGAAAATGTTGTTAGTATTCCAATTGGAAATGGTGAAGGGAATGTTCGTAAGATTCTTGAAGAACATCCAGCGCAACAATAGGGGCTCATGAACAAAATGTTATTCTTGTATAACTGGTTATATAATGCTTAAATATGGATTGTTTATAGTTTTTATTGATATTGAATAAATTATGATTTATGAATTATGAATTATATATTAAAATATCTTGTATATACATTGCTTATTCGAGATTATTATCCTCTGTCTTGTAATTATCTAATACGATTCTATAAATAAATGAAGGAGCAAATCCTCCAACGTTTGTAATGTAGATATCAATATGTTCTGGCAGTATATAGTCATCTAATGGATTTGTAACTATTTCAACATTTTCAATGAGTTTAAAATCATCATAATTTAATACTTTCCCAGAATTACCTACTTCAATTAAATCATCACCATTGAATGGATATAATGGAGAAAGTTTATATAAACCAGCTAAAGCAAATACTGGAGTTCTATGTTCTTTGGCACATTCAACTACATGAGTTACACCAGAATTTGATAAACAACCTCCATTAGCAAAAACTGCTGAAGATCCAATAATTACTTTACCAACACGAGACATAACAGCATATACAGTTGAATCAGGAATTAATATAGTTTCTATTTTATTTTCTGCTAATTTCTTAACAAATTTATGAGATGTATTAATATCATTGGGGAAACTTTCAGTAACTAATACTGTAAACTTTCTTTTAGCTCTTGCTTTAATTAAAAATTGTAAAACAGTTTCTGAAGTTGGAGTGGGAGTTAATAAAATTTCATTATCATGAATAAGATCAACAGACATTGTTTCAATACCTTCATTTACATTAGCAATTTCATCTTCTAAATCTCTAATACCTTGAATAATTATAGATCTAAAATCACTACTTTGCTTTTTCAGTTGATTATATTGAACTTTTTGATTACCAGTACTATTAGTTGATAATAAACTAAACATTGAACTCATCATAGGTGTATTATCATTATTTTCAGTTTCAATTTCATCACGAATTAATGCCAATACTCTACGAACAATATTCCCACTTATAATCTTTTTTGGATATCCAGTATTAAGAATAGTTCCAACTTTTCTAATTATATTAATTAAATCATATGGATTAGTCCATCTCGCAGCTGATATTACTTTCATTAATAAATGACATATGGCCAATGCTATGACTTTATCACCCACAATTTGATGACGCTTCAATCCTGATACAACAGGATCAATAAGAGATTGTATCTCCGGAGTTATGACAGACATTTTGTTGGTGTTGGTGCTGTAATCAGCTTTGGTTTCAGTATGAATCATCGTACTCTGAAAAATTGTAGTACCAAAAAAAAATTATTGGAGTAAATATTCGATCACGTGCCGGAAGTCACAAGAATACAGATTAGTAGTTTACTACTTTAAATATATATAATAGATATATGACTATTTCTACTATACCTATCCTTAATATGTAATATACGAATACGTGTGATTCAGTAACTAACATGAAACATTAATAATATTAATAATATTAATAATAGTAAAATAGTAATATAGTAAAACAATTGCAAAACTATGCCTGCAAAATGCCTTATTGTAATATGCAAAAAAATTGCGCCTAACATGTAATATCCCACCAGCCAGCATAAGAATTAGCCTTAGTCAATACTATTAACTACAGTAAGTTGCTCAAACCCCCAACCAAATGTCATCCAATGGAGTTCTAGTCCAACCTTTGGAGTCACTATATGATTATTCACCCAACTTCAAAGTTTCAGTAGAATTAATACAAAAATTGGCTCAACAACTCAAATTAGAGACATTCGTTGATAAATCGGGATATACTATTGATTCAATTAATGCAGCCAAGAATGAAAAGATTCAGAGATTATCAATTGCTGGATCTTATGTATTACTTGAAATTGACTTTATTGACGATGAAACCATTGTAAATGTTTCATTATCATTTGCCAATCAAGAAACTGAAGCAGTTGAAACTCTCGATAAGAATTTACATGGAAAGATAATATCTAAGGATAAAGATGAAACTGGGATATATCAAGTAATTATAGATTCTAGTCAAAAGAGTTTGGCTTATTCTAAAGGTAGTGGTACTGGAACTAAATCAATTGCTGAAGGAATCTTATTAAAGAATTTAACATCTAAGAAATTGAATAATTTCCCTACAAATTTAAGCTATTTAGCTAATATGGATAGACTTTCATCAGCATCTTTTGATGCATTTGACATATTAGAGCGATTATCAATGTTATTATATGCAGTTGAAACTATTGAAACAGAAAATAAGAAAGATGATTGGTTAGTGGATGAAGGCTTTGTAAGTAGAGTAGGTGCTGTTAAAGTAAATGATGAAGAGACTAATCAATTGGGAGTATTTATTCATTATTGGCAAGATTTCAGATACATCAATCACGAATATAAAGTGTCCACTGACAGTAAAATTCCACTTGTAGGTTTCAATCATGGATTATTGATCCGAATTGATCCTGTGTCTACTTCGAAACAGGTTGATTATTTTGAGGATTTGAAAACTGAAAATTGGGACTTACATTCAAGTTCAAAGCTAGACGTGTATAAATTCAAATTCGGTAATAAATCAGACACTAATGACCCTACAAGCTCCAATCTTCAAGGTCCACCATCATCTTCATCTTCATCTTCATCTACAACATCAGCTGAAATATCCAATTGGGAATTAAATTTAGTTCTTGATCAAGAAGTTTTCATACCCCTGTATTTATTAGGTTATTTGGCTCCAATGAAATATACAACAGGAACTAGTCAAAATCCTACTATTTCTCAATTTAACAATTATGAAAGTGCAGTTCATCATTTGCATACTTTTGATGATAAAGAAATTCCATTCAACATATCGAGTGATTTAATTACAAATGATTTCATACCCGTAAAAACAATGTTTATCAATAAGTTGGTAGAAATATCCTATTATGTTCCAATGTTTAGAAATCATATTGTACTTGTAAATTTATTTAATACTATAGAATCAAGATGTAAAGAATCAATTGCTATTAATGCTAATATTGGAAGATCAAGACGTAGTTCTAAAGTAGGAAGCATATCTGGTATGAATACTGAAAAGGAATTAACTGAAGAAGCTAAGAAAAAACTTAAGGAATCATTAAAATTACCTCAAGATGTTACTGATGAAGAATTACTTAGTTTAAATGCTATATCTGAAAATGCTACTTATTCAACTATAAAACCTATAACTCACAAAGAACTTAATTTAGATCTGTTTTTAAATGATGAATCTAATGATGAAGAAACGAAACACGAAATTTCTGAAAGTATTAGTCTTACATTAGAATCTATTGATGGAGGATCAGATTTCTTTGATATATTGCTTACACTTAGAGCAGTTAGTAGATTAGGAGAAGTAACGATTCCATTTAAGATATCTAATGGAGAAATTCTTGATGCAACTTCAGGAACAGCAGATGCTATGGAAATTGATAGTATTGATAAACGGTCTAGATTTATTAAAGCATTAAATCTTACAGAAGATGTGGTTAAATCATTTACCCATATATATTTATAAGATATAAAAGTAAATATTATATGTAATTGTAATTTTAGTAACTATATACAAAAGAGATTTTTAGAAGATTCTTAATATTATTTAAACTATTTTAAATTATTTAAAGTTTTACACCAATATGTATAGCAGCAACACCAAAGGTTAAGTTTTCATAACCCTTTTCAGGTACATAAAATCCTGCCTTTTCAATCATTGATTTAAATTCTTCTTGTTTAGGGAATTTTCTAATACTTTCTACTAAATATTGATAAGAATCTCTATCATCAGCAATTAATTGACCCATTAATGGTAATAAAGAAAATGAATAAGCTTGATAAATATAGTCAATAGCAGGATTATCAACTTGTGAGAATTCTAAACATGCAAAAATACCTCCTGGTCTAAGAACTCTATAAGCAGCATTTAAACCAGCTTGAACATCAGTAAAATTTCTAATTCCAAATGCAATAGTATATACATCTTTAGAATTATCAGGAATTTGATCTAAAATTTCTCCATTTTGTACTAAAAACTTAACTCTATCAGATCCATCATTCCATCTAGTTGATTGGAATCTTTTTTCTCCTTCTCTTAACATATCAGCATTAATATCTGCAACTGTCATAGTTGAACTAGTATCATTAAATTTTCTTTCAGCATGATCTAATAATCCAAATGCAATATCACCTGTACCACCAGCAACATCAAGAAAATCAAGTCCACGATTACTTCCTGGTCTCATTCCAGCATCTAATCGATTTATAAAATGTGATTTCCATAATCTATGTACACCCATTGACATAGCATCATTCATAACATCATATTTAGATGCAACTGATGAAAATACTCCTCCAACTAATTTCTCCTTGTCTTCTTTATTAACGGTCTTAAATCCAAAATGAGTGGTCTCATTACTATTGTTAGGATTGGTAGAAGAATTGAAACGCAATTGTTGTACTAATGGTCTAACACCAATTCTACACCCATACCCACTACTTGACCTTATGGCCAGTTTTGTTAAGAGTGACATTACAGTATAGTACGTATACAATAAATATCACCTCACTATAACAAGCCTATTGGTTCAAAGCTGATTGCTAAATTTTAGTGAGAGTGAGCTCGGTACGACAAGTGAAAAATAAGTTAATACAAATTGGCCTAGGACACGCCCCTTGCGAAAATTTGAAATTATTGCAAAAAAAAAAGATTTTACACTTACAACGTTTTCTCTCTGTTTTTAGTATGATATATATTTATCAAGTATATAAGGTTCATATTAGTATAAATCAAAGCTGTGGATAAGCCTAGTAGTAATAGTACGAAAGTACGAGAATTGAAGTAATTAATTTTTAAATTATCAATCAACCTAAGCTTGGACAACTCTGACAGTGTTAGAGTGACCAGAACCTCTGGTCCAACCTTGGACAGTAATGATGGAATCACCCTTGGTAATAATACCTAATTCAACAGCTTCAGAAACAGCCCATCTTAATCTGTTTTCGACATCTTCTTGCCAGTTTTCAACTCTTTCCTTGGTATAGACGAATGGATAAACACCTCTATATAAGTGAGAGTATCTAGCAGATCTTTCATTTCTAGTAACCATCATAATTGGAATATTTGGCTTGTATTTAGAAACTAATCTGGCAGATAAACCAGAGGTAGATAAAACAACAATGGCTTGAGCATTTTGTTCATAAGCAGCAGAAACAGCAGCAACGGCACAGGTTTCAGTGGTTGGGGTTGGTCTGATAGCTAAAGATCTGATTTCATTGTGTAAGGATTGATAAGCAATGGCCTTTTCTGCAATAATAGCAGTGTTGTGCATCATAGAGACAGCTTCGAATGGATAGTTACCTTTAGCAGTTTCACCAGATAACATAACACAGTCAGCACCATCTAAGATAGCATTACCAACATCAGAAACTTCAGCTCTAGTTGGTCTTGGGTTATAAGTCATAGATTCTAACATTTGAGTAGCACAAATAACTGGCTTAGCAGCTAAGTTACATTTAGCAATCAATTGTTTTTGAACAACGAAAACTTGAGGAGCTGGGATTTCAATACCTAAATCACCTCTAGCAACCATAACACCATCGGTTTCAGCTAAAATGTCATCGAAATTGTTAACACCTTGTTGATTTTCAATCTTAGCAATGATTTGAATATCTTTACCTTCTTCACCTAAAACGGATCTGATTTCTTTAATATCATCACCAGTTCTAATAAAAGAAGCAAAGACCATGTGAACACCGTTCTTGACACCGAATCTAAGATCATCCTTATCCTTTTCAGATAAAGCTGGTAAATCAACATCGGTACCTGGTAAATTTACACCCTTATGGGAACAGATCTTACCGGCATTGATGGATTTAACCTTTAAAGTATGTTCATCAACAACTTCTTGAACTTCAAAAGATAAAACACCATCATCAATATATATGATCTTACCAACATCAATAACTTTAGTAATATTTTTGTAATCAAGGTACATAACCTTATCATCACAAGCTTTAGCATATTTTTCATTAGTAGAGAAAATCATTTCATGACCTGGAGCAATTGGGTAGTCAACTTCATTAACAGTGGTACCAGTTCTAATTTCTGGACCTTTAGTATCTAAAGCAATAGCCAATGGTCTACCTTTGTATAATTCTTCAGACTTTCTAGCATTATCAACAACAGATTGATGGTATTCATAAGAACCATGAGAAAAGTTCATACGAACAATGTTTAAACCAGCTTTTCTTAATTTAACCATAACTTCAGCATCATTGGTTTTTGGACCAATAGTACCAATAATTGAAGTTCTTCTTAAAACCTTATCAGGGGTTTCTGTAGTATTCAATTGGGTTAACCAATGTAATGAGGCACTAGACATGATTGATAAATTATAATAAAATTAATAGGATTAGAGATATGTTAATATGTTAACTATTATCAATTGCTATATTAATCAAAAAAATTCAATACTAATTCCAATTATTAAGGAAACAATACTAATATATAGGTTTTCGAAACCAGGTGGGATGGCCAAGTCCCGTACAGACTTCGAGGAATTTTTTGTCTCTGTAACCGCATCAGGTGAATGTCCGGCCAATTTTTTTTTTTCACTTTTTTGTGCAACTGATGGCGGAAAATTTTTGGGCATGGGACACTGCCGGTAATCAGTGAGCCGTCAGTGAAGTTAATTGATCTGATAGTAGCAATTGGTGATTTAGTAGTATTAGTAGAGACTTAGTACTGATTAAGTTAGATTCTATTAGTTGAACACCGAACTAGTAAACGTGTGGTAGCAATATAGTTGCAAATAGTGGTTCTCAATTGAATGATACTTGTAGGCTTGTAAGTATCAATGAGAGATTATAATCATGATGTCATTAGATATTGGTGAGTTTCAGAATTCATTGACTAGCGAGCCGACCGAAGGACAATTATCTCCTTTTGCAACCATGATCTGTAGAATAGTATCCACTGGTTATGTAACATTGCTATTATAATCTACAAAATTCATGCATCGATCCGCTCAAAGTTAATAATTAAGCCTACACTACCATACACTCTAACTACTATAATTACCATACACTAGCTTAATATAAATTTAGTAATTTTAATTATACTAGTGTTATGATTTTGTGTGTGCATTGGAATCAACTGATTGCTCTCGCAGTTTTGAATATTCTATCCTGTAAATCGTCACTTGACCAGACTTGACCTGAATGATATGGCCTCATATGGTAGAGAGAAAAAAGATCACTTCCTAGTCTAATAAAGTTATATCTCCACGGTTACGTATATTAATGTATGAGGTAATTACCGCTTAGCTTTATAATAACATGAATCTTGTCTACGATCCGACATGTGTCATATAAATTTATCCGCTAGACACTCCGATGGCTAAAATTCTAAATCACCTGTTTTGTGTTGTGTTCGGGTTCGGACTTTTCTCCACTTGTATTGTTTTGTTGGTTTGATTAGGTATCGGCCGGTCACGTGCAAAAGAGGAGAAGTTTAAAACCGTCTATAGCCTGAAAATTTTCTTTGCGTCAATGGCTGCAAATAAATTAAGTTGTATCAGCTGTTTATAAGTGATTAGTTTCTTAGTGCTGTTACTTCAGTAAGTAACTGATAAGATTCATTTATTAATCAAATTGCTTCTGTCTAGCACAAATCTGCTTAGGCTGAATAATAATAAATCGAAAGTATAAAGCATTTGCACTCTGAATCCACCTAATGTACTTGTTACTTTCATAAACTATATAACATATACATTACATAATGATGGTGGATTTATTATCACCACATGAAATCAAATTGAATTAAAATGGTAGAACGCAGATGTTCTGCCAAATTGGTTGGAAAATGTCAAGAAATTCAGTAACTTAATATGAATTGACTCAAATTGTCTAGATTTGCATAAACATGATCTTTTATAATCCCCCATGATTTCGGCTAACTATCCATAACTGATTATAAGTAAGAGGTATTAAATACCATGTCGTAATTCAAAGTGTCCCTAACAGTAGTGCACAATGTTTTCTCTGTCCACCTTTTTTTTTTGCCTCGCCGAGGAAGACAAAAGTACAAAGATCTTTAACTATGGTTCCCCATATAATCTTACCAATCTGTTAATATTCTCATCAGGGTCAATCTACCCTATCTTCATATATATTCAAATGTCATATGGTACTACCGATAATAATAGGAGTAGGTGCTACTGTGGTTGCCTTAACAATTAAGTCATCTGTAGCGGCTTATAGTAAGTTTCTTCATCTTACACCCCAAATGATTGCATCATTAAATAATATTAAATTAATAAGACCTGATGAAGATAATCTAAGTATTAAGAAATCAGATCCTAATTATGCTCATATACTATATTTACGACTGCGATATCCTGCATCCGGGTTTAAAGATCCTATGACAGAACAAGAAGCATTATTAATAATGGGAATTGAAGGCGATGATATAGTAAAATTTAATAAGAAATTATTAAGAGAACGATATAGAAAATTAATTATACTTAATCATCCAGATAAAAGTGGAAGTCAGTACATTAGTCAACGTATAAATCAAGCTAAAGATGTTTTAGAGCGTAGTTATATGTTTAAGAACGATAAAGATTAGAATTATTCTTGTAAATATACATTTTAATAAATATGACTAAACGTAAATTGTCTAATTCTCATTACTATTACTAAAATCAATGGAAATGTGTTCTTCACTTCCATTGGCTACTCCATTGGCTGTTCCATTAGAAAATCCATTGGATTCAACTGGTTGGGTATTGTTATTATTGTTATTGGCAGCTTTTTCTTTATTACCTTCAAAGTTTTGTCGAACTCTCAAGTAATGTTGTAATTCTTCTGCACTAACAGAAGGAATTAATTCTTGTTGAGCCTTTTCAAAGTCCTGCATTTTAACTAACACATTCACATCATTTTCAGTACTAATATTATCAAACCACCATCTAGTGGATATAGTTTCTTTACCTTCAGATTCTAAATTTCTATTAAATTCTTTAATCTTACTATCAACTTCATTTGCAACTCTTGTCATAGCATTTAACATTGAATCAGAACATAATGCATAAAAATCAGCTCCTGTAAATGTAAATGAACATTTCTCAGCAATTTTTTCTAAACTAACATCATCATCTAATTTAAATTTTCTAGTTAATGCTTCTAAAATCTTAGTTTGTTTATCATTAGTATCTGAAATTCCTAAATATAACATTTTATCAAATCTTCCTGGTCTTAATAATGCTTCATCTAATAAATCTGGTCTATTAGTTGCTCCAACTACAAATACTCCATCACCTCCTTCACTACTCATTCCATCTAATTCAGCTAATAATTGAGAAACAATTCTATCCATAACTCCACCAGAATCACCTTGATTACCTCTTTTAGGTGCAACAGAATCTAATTCATCAAAGAAAATAACACATGGTTTAGCATCTCTAGCTCTTTGAAATACTCTACGAACATTAGCTTCAGATTCTCCAATATACATATTTAATAATTCTGGACCTTTAACACTAAAGAAATTTAATGAAAAATTAGTAGCAATTGCTTTAGCTAATAATGTTTTACCAGTACCTGGAGGTCCATAAAATAAAATTCCACTTCTTTTCTTTAAACCATTATTAAAAAGTTCTGGATGTTTTAATGGCATATCAATTGTATCTAAGATTTCATCTTTAACTAAATCTAAACCTCCAATATCTTCCCACTTTACATTAGGAATTCTTGGAGCTCCAATAGAATCACTAAATTGATTACGAGCTTCATTAATAGCTTGATTAAAATCTTCTGGAATCCAAGTTATAATACCTCCATCTCCTATATTTATAAGATTAGAAAGTTTAATATTTAATTCTTTAGATAATTTAGTTAATCTTTTAATGGCAGATTTTTTTGATTTCTTAATAATTGAAATTAAATCACGAGGAGTTAATCCAGCAGATTGTAAAGCAAGTGTATTATAATTTATATCTTTTCTAATTATAAATGAATAATCATTAATATCTTGATTATTATCAATATTTGTCCATGATTGTTTCTTTTCTTTATTAATTAAAAATTTAAATATTTGTAATCTTTCTTGTTCACTTGGAACAGTAAATTCAATATTAAATTTAATTAAAGATTTTATATTATCATTTAATTTTTCATAATTATTACAACTCATTACTATAATTAAATTTGAATATTTATTAAGATATTCTTGTAATAATTGAATAATTTTTAATGATAAAGAAGTATTAATTGATGAATTTTGATCATTATCATCACTTGATGGACATAATGATTCAATATGTTTTAAATAAATTAAATTATATGAATTATTATTATTTGCATTAAATGTATTAGTTGGTTGATTTACTAATAATTTATCAATTTTACCACTTAAAACTCCAACTGTCTTTAATTCTTGTCCAGAATTAATTATATCTATACAATCTAATTCAATTAAATTTAATCCTAATTCATAACTCATATTTCGAACTAAATTGGTTTTACCAATACCTCGAGATAATGAATTTAATAATATAGTAGTTTTAAGATTAATCTTGGAATTTAAACAAGTTTGTAAGATTTTCTTAAAATCTTTAGCATATTTAAAATCTTTAGAAACTAAATTATAATTAAATAATGGTGGTAAATTAAGGTAGGGATACCATTGATAAAATTCATTTGGAGGTAATTTTACAAATTCTACTCCTGAAGATACTAATAAAGTCTTTGAAGGATCAATAATATATTGATTTGTAATGGATTGTTTACCATTTATTTCAACAATTCTAAACCAAGCTACAGAATCAGGATCTCCAATAGGGAGAACATCTAATCCATCATTAGTGGCAATATCATCGGTAGCATTATCATCATTACTTCCAGTATTACTATTATTTGAATCATTAATATGATCAAATATGGTTTTAGATAATACCGAATCTAAAACAACAGGAAAGAAATCTCCTTGTTTAACACATTTAAATTGATTTGATAAACTTGTTTTTAAACTAGAAAAGAAATTTCTTTGAAAAGTTTTATCCATAGTTATTTGAGAACAAACTCTTGATATAGTTACTGAATCTGCTATTGGTAATGTATCATTTAATGAATCAGATGATTTTTCAATTGATTCAAATGTTACTCTTGATTGAGAATTTAATCCTAAATTAACTAATAATATAGGTGATAAATAAACATGATTTAATGAAAATGATTTATTTGGTTCTATGAATGTAAAGATTCTAATTATAACTGAATCTTCATGATTATTAGTATTCATATAATTTAATTTAATTAAATCTCCATTAAATACAGCAAAGTTTAATTTAACTAAATCTGAAGTATTTATAAATACAAATAATTCTGAATCTTCATTTTCCCAATTTAAAGGTAATTGTTCAATAGTTAATCTTTCAGGTAATGAATTAACTCGAAATTTATGTAAATTAGTTGGTGTTGAAGATATAGCTGACAGAATTGGATTAAAGTGTAAATTAGATTGTAAATATGTAGATAAATCTAATTCTGTCTCTAATCGGGAATAAAATTCACTATCCCCAAGTTTATATTCTTCATCAGATTCATCATCTAATTCATTCTCAATATCTTGACCTTCATTTTCATTTTCATCACTGGATTCTTCAAATTGAATTAATTCATGTTCAATATCATCATCTTGATTAATTAAAACAATATTAGTATCATTATTAACTAATCCTTGAGATAATGGTTCACAAAGTTTAACTTTCCCATTAATTAATCTAATTGTATCATTATCATTTATAACATTACCACTATCCAACAAATACTGATTCAAGAATAAATGTTTAATAGTTTGATTTGATTTTTCAGTTATTAATCGATAAATTTCATTTGGTAAAGAAACATAAATTTGTGATAAAGTAGGGATATCATGAATATTTATAGATTTTATAGTGGCAGAATTCAAAGTTAATTTATCGATGGGAAATCTAGATAAATTTGAATTATTTATAAAACTAATTAAATTGGTTGTACGATTATTTATACTTGATACTTTAAATATTTTGAAACTAGTGAAATAATCCGGGGAACCTAATAATTTTATTAAGACAAAATTATCGCCAGAAGTCAGTTCGAAATCAGTTCCAAAAAGTTTTGTAAAGAGATCTTGGGATAATTCAATGGCATTATATATAAATAATTGTGGATCATTAACAAATGAAACATTTGCAACTGTTGTAACTGACTCGTGAGTCGGATGAGATCCATTTAAATAATGGCCATTAGAACCAGAAACAGTACCAGAACCATTTTGCGATTGTAAAACTGATGGCATGGTTATTGTTCTAATATCAAATACTCAGAACTTTAACCTGTGTCCAATAATTATTAGATAGTTGTATCTTTTACTTTTCTGTGGTGGTAGGTTAGTGGTTTAAGTACCTTTTAGTCTATGCGCTACTCCACAAATTTCGTGGGCGAGATTGTCTCCAGGCTTACTGATTTTCCTCGGTACGTTTTTCGCTTGTCACACTTTCCCCGAGCTGGAAAGATTGCAAAATCTGAACATTGGACGAAGTCTGTACTACAAGCCCAAGTGACTAATGGAAATGTTGATTTCCATCACATTACCTTTGGTACTACTAATGTATCTGACTATTATGTTTAATAACAATAAGCATATTTAGATATTATTCGAATTATTATTATACTAAAACAAACAAAGTCTTTGCTAACTTCCGCTTAATTCTTTGCCAATTTAATAAACAACTATAACTATACCACTTGCTTTAAAATGAAAAAAAAATTTGTCCTGACTATGACGTAACAGAACGATAGTACAATTCAGACTTTATAATTCCAATCTAATTGCAATAGAGTATTATTGCAATCCCAGAGCTCTATACTTTGCAACCCCCAATGAATACTATTTGAGTGCTGCATAAATTTACCCGGAAACTTTTTCCATTTGGCAGCACAGATGAGAGACACTACGAAAAAATTTCTAACCTGCTGACAGATTTAGTAACAGTAACAGTACCGACAAGAAGATTGTTATCAGTATATCTAACAAATGAATCATTGTATCAATTAAAAAGTATGTATTGGCTTCTAGTCAGAAACTATAGAAACACTTCAAATTGAAACTATTCAATAAGTTCGACTCATGACATAATTTTCATGATGATAGTTTTTTTTCTTTCATACCAATTAAGAGCTTTCATTCGAAGGTTTTTACCGTTTTGGTAATCCATGGCCTTTATTGCAATGATCTGGTATTATTTGTCATAGTTACACTGATCTATGTTGAGAGTCGAATGAACTGTTTTAATTTGAGATAAATTTAAATAATTAATTAAAACTGTGTTTACTAACTGTAAATAGCTTATGCATGTAAGGATATATGTTTAGCTTTTAATAGAAGAAAGATTTTTTGTTAAATATCGAATTATAATATTGTAGAATTTCGTAATACAATTTGTGCTGACACTTATATTTAAGCTTACGATTCAACTGTCAGCTTTAAGCTCAAGCAGATCTACATCGCTCTTTACATAGCTTCTAATGAGCATAAACTGATTTAACAATATAACATAAATTATATGAATTTGTATTTTTTGATGAGTTAGTATACAAAGAACTATTTATTATTTGAACATGAAATGTATAAGGGGATTGGTAGTGATGTTAAGATTATAATTCTAAAAGTTGATCCTGTAATGTAGTAGTTAAGAAATTAATTCAAACTAATTTAAGCATCATCTTCAACAACAACAGTGTGTAAACCCTTGGTGGTTGGAACAAAGACTGGTTCAACAAAGGCAAATAATTTTTCCTTAGCATCTTCTTCATCGTTTCTCTTTCTAGAGATTCTTAATCTTAATCTTTTTTCAACACCTTGAACACCTCTTTTCCATAATTGAACGTTTAATTTTGGATCTAATCTGACATCAGTGGTACCCATGTGTAAAGTGGCAAACTTCTTGATTTCCTTGACAGCCTTTGGAGCTCTCTTCTTGAAGTGGACACCGTGTAACTAGAAAGAAATTATTGTTAGTATATTGTTTTCTTACACCTAAAATTAATTGTTTACGAGAATGAATTTAAACAAAGTAAGAATTACATTTTATAATGATAAATATTCTGGACTTTGAATTTATTTGACTTGCTGATAAAATGTAGTAGTATGCTTTCAATAATTATGGTTGGTTATAATGGTAGTAGGGTATGTATAATATTGCCTGAACATGAAATTTCTTTATTGATTAATAATTGATAATTCATATTGTTTCTATCCAGGTTTTACTTGGATAGAATCACATTGATGATATTTTACTTTCCTACTCATGTTCTTTTGAATTTCTTCTGTTTTACTTGTCTATGTTATATTTCTTGATGGATGGTTGATTCAATTCTTAACAGTATTTCTTGGGACTTCTTCCCTTCAATATTCAATCGTTTAAATTCACACTTGTTTATATTACAATATTACATACTCTCTTGTGTAAGTTGATGGTGTATTCACGAGTAACAACGTCTTGTAAAGCCATTTTTGATGATGTTAATTAAGGATGGTTATATCAAAAGTGTATTAACTATGTATTAAATTTTTTTAAAATCTTTTGAAAAATGAGCTTGACTTCCTGTTTGTTCGCACTATGTATGTGTAGGAGAAATTGTTAGTGTTAACTATGGGTGAAAATTTATTTTAGTGAGAAATTTATATACAGGTATGTGAAATCACGTGTAAAGTGCGAGAGCTAGGGTTTCAGACCTAGGACCTAATATCTATTATAATTAATTATCTATTTAATCCATACAGTTTATCTAAATGATTATACCACTGATTATTAACTTTATTATATATCTTATCAACTATAGATATTCCATTAACATTATCTTGTTGAGTTTCATTCAAGGTTAGTGTTAATGGTAATTCTTCTGGTTCTAGATCAGATTCTTTATGTTGTAAAGTTACTAAAGGATTATTATCAAGTAAGTCCCATAATCCAAGTATTTTGATGACCGTTTTAAATAGAATTGGTTCCTCTATAAAATCATCAATGTTAGAAACTGATTTATTTATGATATAAGAGAAAGTATCATATGTGTATTGATTGACTTGATTATTAAATAATTCAGTAAATTTAAATGATAGTATCCTTTTGATTGATTCCTTACTTGAATCCGTTTCTGTCAATAAATATTTATTAACAATTAAAGCAATGACTATTAAGTTAGATAAATATTGAGACTGTAAATCTTCTAATTTATCAGCAGTTCCAGTCTTAATCACCAATTCATGAATAACCCCATTCAAAAAGGTTAGTAATGTATTAAAGCTATTCAATCGTATTAGATTAATTATTAATTTATAACTTAAATCAATTAACTTCAATTGAACTTGATTTGTATCTTTTAAACGAAGTTGATAATTCAATTTATAGATCTCATTGATTATATTTAAACCCACAGCAGGATTAAATACTGCTCCATTAGTACCACTAACTTGTTCTGATTTTAATTTTAATATTAATATAAGAAATCTGTAGTATTTAAGATCAAGTTTTGGTAATGGATAAACTGTAATAGATTCATCTTTAATGTTTTCCTGAAGGTAAAGAATATTATTTAGATTAATAGCTTCTTGTTGAGCTATATCAACACGATTACTAAATACAAGAAGGTTAAGTCTGATTTCCCAAAGTTTTAATAATTGATTAATATTCGAGATATGATTATTGGATTTAATTATATGATATAATTGATCAATTACCGTATCATAATTGATTGATGATGAATCCAATTCTTGATATATTTCATCAATTGAGAGTAAGGAAAGATTTTCAGCGGGTTTCCTAACAAATAAAATGTCCTGAGTGATATATTCTAACGACATTATCGATAATAATCTTGCCCAGATATTTATTTACAGTTGGAGATACTCCATAAATGCGATCTATATATACATTTTTTTTTATAATCACAAAACAATTTAGACAATCGATAAGGAATGTACCATCCCATAATTAATCATGTCATCACATAATGATATATTAAGAGAAGCCAAAATCAATCAATTGAATCAACTAAAAGCTTCCAATCAATATTCTAAACAATTAACATCATCAATCTATTCTTTAATAAAGTCCAATTCTTCACTTCAATCTTCATCACATTTAATTGATAAAATTTCAACCATTCATCAATTAAATGATGAAATAGATAAACAATTGAACGAAGATATAGCTTCTAATTATGATCGATTAATGTACCAGAAGAAGAAGTTGAATAATTTAATTAATGATTGTCATCGAGTATTAAATATTCATTCTCATAATCATCCGACTCAAACAGTTAATATTATAACCAATTTACAATCTCGTTCTGAATTGATTGATCAAGAGTTACGAATATTAGAATATACACTCAAATTATTAACTGAAACACATCTGAATTAAATATAAATTATAAATTAGAAAATATAAAATAAAGAAACGATGACATATGCATAATGACCCATTAAATAAAGAAGATTAAAATAGATATATAGTTATATAATGAATAAATTAAATTAGATAAATAATAGATATGTAGATAGAAACTTAAAATAAAAAAAAAAATTAAATATAACGTCAGCAAATAATACCATTAAAGTAATAATTAGTCAAGTGTAGTTAGGTAGAAAGGTTCTATAAATGTAGATGCAAATCATGACTTCGTAGGATAAATCAACAAAGGATTACCATAAATTTATGGTAATCCTTTAGCAGCTCTTTCCCATTTTTCTTCAGCTATCCATCCAGCATTAATAATTTTGATTAAATCCCCCAAATTAATCTTTTTATCGTTCCTCAAAGTACGATTCTTTTCAACAAGATTATTATAAATTTTAACATATGAATCCTTAGGGATATGATTAATAGACAGACTTTCAATACGAGCTTGAATCTTAGGTTCATTCTCACTTGAAGTTTGAAGCCATTTATTTCTTCTGAATTCCCAAAGTGTCAACCCTAAATTAATAGATGCATCATTGACAATACTTTTCTTTTGAGATTCAAGTTCCTGCTTTAAAGCATAGACATCAAGATCATGATAAGTAATATCATCAATATTTTCAATATCTAATAAATCTTCACCATTATTTATATTATCTTCATCATCTGCATCTCCATCCTCAACATTTTCTTCTTGTTCAGGAGTGAAACTTTGTCGTATGAAATCTTGCAAAGTATAATTCAATTTCGTTTGACCATCACTTATAAGAGTTGTTGAAGATTTAACATCAGTTGAAGTATTGTTATTATTACTTGTACCAATACGTTGATTATTATGACTTTTTTGTTGATGATATTCAACCATTTTATCTAAACTTTTAAACTTCTTAAATTCTTGTAGAAAAGTTTCTTCCATTGAATTATAACCTTTTGAATGACGAACTAATCTATCAAGCTGATCGTCAGAATCTACTTCAGTGAATAAATCAGCTACTAATTCGTCAGTTGTAAATACTTCTTCAGATATAGATCTTAATCTGAAAAGGAATAAATTAAATTCAACAGCTAGTTTCTTAAAAAATGATAATTTTGAAGTTGAAGAATTTGAAGTTGTAGGAGCGCTAGTTGCAGTTGTGGTTGAATGTGAATTTGAATTTGAATTTGAATGTTTAGCTCGGGAAGATGGAGGTCCTGGAGTTACAGAAGAAGTGAAGGATTGTGAAGAAGATACTTTCAAAGTTCTAATAGATCTCTTTTTATTTAGAATAGATTTTGTGTTTGTTGAAGGACTTTGACTTTGATTTTGATTTTGGATTGATAAAGAATTTGAAGAGTTGGATAGAGGGGTAGATGATTTTATAAATCTTGATTTATCATTAAACATTTGTATAGCTAGATATGACTGAGTATACTAAGGAAGGTAGAATATAATATAATATAATATAATATAACAAACTAACTACCAATGACTATAATGCAAAATCCAAATTAATAAATGGTATGTTATGGTATGAACTGAAAAGGTGAAGGTAAAGTGGGATGCAAATGAACTCTCTATAAATGGTGGTGGCAATATTGATAGGTTTATTAGTTGATTATTCCTTAATGAAAAATAAGTATACTTATGAATCAAAGGATAAAGATATGTGACATTCTAGGGAAAGAAGGATGAAAGAAAAGAAAATCAAAGATCCGACTAAGAACGATATAGTGTTATTCGAATGTAGGAAGGGTTGGTGAAAACTGTTATCTAATGGTTGACTGATTTGATTTGCTCAGGGCTATCCTATCTAGTCAATAAAAGAAACAGAAGTTGCAATATTATCAAAAAAAGAAAATATGGTTAAGAGCAAAGGATTTTGGTCAAGTTTAATGGAAGTTTAAACTCCCGCAGTACTATAAAATTGTTTAGACCAAGTCGCAAGAGTTCTCCGACACTTTGTCCCGCATATCGAGCTTACAATGAAGTTTCAGTTTATTACATGGGGTTCTATGGCTCATTAAATTGAATGCGAGGAGTCTCTACACTACAGGATACTATTTCCCACTATTCAAACTCCTTAAATCATTAAATCATCAGTAAACTATTACACCCTTCGTCATCATCGCTACATTCTTCACTAATTAGTGTCGTTAACTATGCACGTAATTTAAATATGTAAGAAGTCGTCTCACTCCAAGAAATTATGAAGGAAGGGAAAAAAAAAAGAAATTTTCTGGTTTAGTTCATCCGATAAAGAAACCATTGAATACTGAGGCTGAGAATAGGGAGGCAGTACCCATTTATACTCTGGAGTACAACTAGAATACTTATGTAATTAGAATGAACGGGCTCATGTAAATACAAGCCAGGATTTAACTTATTGTTTTTCTAATTATATTTAACCTATATTGTTTACTGGAGTAATTATTCTTCTACAAATTCTAGTCAACCGAACAATAGGCCTCGTGATCCGAGGCACATGCACACGACTATACCGTGAAGATAATAAAATTTAATATAATACATAAAGAAATAATAATAATAATAATAATAATAAAAATAATAATAATACTAGCAATAACTATTAGTTAATTCTCCCTTCAATCAAGCCTTTGGTTTTTGTTCACTTTCTTTTACTTTTTACTTTTCTTTTTCTTTTTCTTTTTCTTTCTCCTGTTCTTTCAACTTATCATACTTTTCCTTAATCAGTTTATAATATTCGTAATTGAATTTCCAACCTTCTCTTTCATGACTGGATTCATCATTAACTAGTTTTCTTTCGACTTGTTCTTCTTTATTATATTGTTTGGAACTTAATCGATCATAATAAACCAGTCCTTGACTCTCCCATTTAATATTATAAATAGCAATTGATAACCCTTGATGCTTATTTAAATTATGCCATGAACGAGAATTCAATCCATTATTATAATATCCATAGTACTTAAGAATAGGTGGTAATAATAATACTTCAACAGATAAGTCTCCCAATACTGTTTGTTCTGATTCTGGTTCTGGTTTTTCTCCTTCAATCTCTTTACCAATTCTTGGTAATGGCTTAACAATACCTTTTAAATCCCAATCTTCATTCCATGGACCTAATCCTGAAATTTTCCCATTAAAGAATCCAATATGTTGTAATATTTGTAATATATCACTATCATCAGTATATATACCATTAATTCCACCCCAAATTTCTCTCTTTTTATTATCACTAATTAACAAAAATCTTTTAATAAATCGATAAGGAATTTTAACTTCAATTATATTATTGACATATTCTAAGGGTAATGGTAAAATACTTGGAATATATTTGATAGTCTCTTCATGTTTTCTCTCTTTAAATAATTCTTGAATCTCTCTGAATCTTTCTACATGTTCGGGTTTTAACCCATACAAAGTTTTGATCTGTACAGTTTCCCATGTAGTAGTTGGATTATATATGACACTCCCTAAATAACGAAGATTTGGGAAATATTCTTTTATTATGTCTTGTATAGGTGCAACATTAAATGTTATTGGTAGAGGATTATCAGTTCTTTGCTTTTTAAGTGTTGGTTCTTGAATTTGTTCAGCATTAACTATTGGAGTAGCAGAAACAGTACCTATTGGTTCATTCACATTAGTGGATTCATTAGCAGCACCATCTACACCATTGGGATGATGATGGTGATGATGATGATGGTGATGGTGGTGGTGATGATGAGGATTCTGGGGATGCGCGTGATGATGATGATGGTGATGATGTGGGTTAGTCAGATGAGATTGATCTTGATGTAATTGTTGCTGTTGCTGTTGAGACTGAGTTTGAGATTGATGTTGAATATCTTTTTGTGGTTGAGTTGGTACTACAGATTGAGTAGATGGAGATATTTGTTGTTGGTGCAGCAGCAGTTGATGTTCTATTTGATGGAGTTGAGGTGGCTGTTGATGCGGCACTTCTTCTTGTTTTACACGAACATCGTCGTCTGCATTATTTAAAAAGTTACTTATACCCAAATTACTGGCTGATGGTAACTTACCCAGACCTCCTGGTACACTTCCAGATAGAAATGATATTGGTGGAAGCCTTATACCTCCCGATGGAGATAAGTTTGGGTTTGGGTTTGGGTTTGGGTTAGTATTTCCTGAACTCATACGATAACTTTAACTTTGACTTTATGCTTCTTAATAAAAACAGAATCAATTGGACTCAATTCAATTCGGTTGCTTCACGTTAATTCACTACCACTCAAACCGACTCCAATTAACTATGTATAAGACGTTAACTATGGTAAACTTTTCAATCTCGGTCGTACATCCCGGCTATGAAAATTTGTTTTTCCCCCTCCAACGATGGACTTTATTTTTCGTGAGCGTTGTGTTAGCAGTTTTGTGGTTGACAAGAGGATTTTCAGGATATTTTATTTCGTGGGGTACCTGCCCATAGATAAGAGAGTAGTTTAAGTATGTACATATTATATTATATATGTACGTTGTTAATTATTATGTATATTATATATGAATATTATGTATGTAACGGTTACCACTTCTTATTAGTAGCACATCCATAATGAACTATATGATCATTTTTATCTACCGTAAATACACTGTATCCAAGTCTCTTATTACATATTGTACACAATTGTTTACCAGAATTTATAACGTAACCTTTACTTTCAATGTTTAATATTTTATCATATAATTTAAGTGACCCCACTTTATAGAGTTGTGATACAACTCTTGTATCATAAGTATTCTTTTGAGAATTAATCACTTGATTATTTAAGAATGACAGAAGTTTATGTAATGGGAATCGTGATGGTAAACTTGTCATAACCATTAATATTGACATTTTTGAACCTTGACTATTTAATAATTTCTCAATTAAATCAATATTTTCATCATAATTTATAAGTAAATCTTCTAATAATTTTTGTAATAATCCTTGACCTGTTATTTTATTAATAGCATAAATTTCACAACAATATTCCATTGCTTTATCTAAATCATTTAATTGATTAAATAATACATCAATAGATTTCTCATGTTCTCCTAATTTCTTATAAATAAATACAACAAATCTTAAGAATTCAACTCTTTCAAATGGAATTTGTTTTAATACTACCCATGGATCATAATTATCGGTTGTTTGTAAAAATTTATATAATTTTCCATATACTTCATGATTAACAATTGTTTCATCTTCACCATTTTTAACAGGTATAGCCTTTAATTGATCAATATATAATAATATCAATTTAGTATAAAATTTATCAAGAATCTTGGCCTTTTCACTCTTAAAAATTAACCATTCAAGATAATTTATACCAAGTAATTCCAGCTTTAAAACTTCAAGAAAAAAATTCAAAACTTTAGAATTATCATAACTTTCACATTCATAAGAATCATTCATAAATATTAATTGAGATTTTAAAATTTGATTATCAAAATCTAATTCTTCAGTAATAACCCAATATGCAAATTGAAATATTAATTCTAAATCATCATTATTTAATTTAGTTAAATATTCAATAGTTAAATCAGGACTATGATCTCCTTCATGACTTAATTTATATAACATTTCTAACGCAGAATCATGTAAATGTCGACTATAATAAAAATCAAGTAATTCACGAATTTGATTAGTAGATAATAAACAATCATTAACAACTTTAGCATCACAAAAATTATTAGGTAATCTTAATAATGGACCTAATAACATTGGTTTAGTATAAAAATAACATAAAAATAATGAAGTATCAATGATCTTTCCAACTTGATTTAAATATAACTTCATATTTCCCTTACCAATATATAAATCATAAGGAGTTAATTCAATACCTTTCCATTTAATAGTCATATCATTTAAAAAACTCATATTAATTCTTCTTTGATCTGTTAGATAAACAATTAAATATTTAACTGCTTTTGAAAATTTTCGAATATTTGAAGCAGTAATTTGTGCTTTTGATTGTGATGGTCCATTAATATTTCCATGATTACTTGTAGTATTAGTTCGAATTGATGGAGCAGGACTTTCTGTACCCAGTTGTTCATTAACTAAAATCAGAATATCTTGTATTGATACTCGTTTAACAACATTAGTAGAAAATGATCGCATACTACTGGCTTCATCTTCATTTCTTTTACTTAAGAATTTCTCTCCATTAAGGAAATCAGGAAATAATGCTAATACATCTCGAAATGAAATCATCCATTCAGAACAAATTTCTTCCAAGGCTTCATGATATTTAAAATATGATTCAAATAATACAACTGCTTTCCTCTTATAAAGTTTTCTTAGTATTAATAATCTTTGCTTTTCAGGATTATCACTTCTAAAAAATTTACTTGTATCTCTTAATTTAGTTACTAATTTAATTGCTTTATTTAATCCTACAATTTTTAAATCATTTTGAGGATCTTTAAGATTACCACTATTAGATCCTTTACCAGTAATAGTTAAATATTGATCTATTTGCTTTTGATAATCAATAATTTTAAATTGTAAGATTTCAGTACTTGAAGATAAGAAAATTATATTATTTTCTAATGTTAATTGAACTACTGAATTTATTTGATGATGAAATTTTTGAATTAAATCTCCTGTTGTATAATCTATAATTTCTAATTTTTTATTATATATAATTAATAAATAAATTGGAGATATGAAAGTTATATGAGTTGGAACATTTGAATTCCATTTAATAGTTGACGGTATAATTTTATCATTATTAAGTAATATTGATTGACTATCTTTTACAAGTAATATTTCATTATTATCTATTGGAATATTCCAACTTCTAGTAGATCCTGATAATCCGAAATAACTAAATGATGAATTACCTCCAAATCCATCAATAATTAAAGGTTTTATATGGAAATTAATTTGATTATCATTATCATTATCATTATCATTTTTATTTTTATTTTTATTATTTTCTTCTTTACTATACTCTAGTAATAAAAAATCATTAGTTAAACCAATTAAAATACTTGTATTATTATATTGAGTAATTGATTTAATTTTATCCTTAACCGATATTTCTTTAAATTTTTGAAATTGTAATATATTTCTAGTTTTATTAATTATTTTATAGATAATAACTTTCTTTTTAGATCCTGTTATAAATAATCGATTTTCTTGATAATTTCCATATATAAAATCGACTCCAACTTCTAATTCTTGAATTAAATTTACATGACTACCAATAATTTCATAAATTCGATATAATTCTATAGTCAGGATAATTAATATTAATTTATTAGTATTTTCATTGGATACTGGAAGATGACTTATTTTATCTATACTGGATGAATCTCTTGTAACATTATGAAATGAAGTTTCAAATTTTAATTTATCATCATTATCTTCAGTTATAGTAGTAGAATATATTGAAAGATCTCCATTACTAAATCCTACAAAAAGTCGTCCATTTAAATAGTATATCGCCGTAATCTTGCCATTGGAAGATAGATGGATCCGATTGATGGGCTCTATTATATCTATATTCATTGGCTGTACATCTATGGACTTTAAAGCTAATTATATATATTCTACTTATTAACTATTTATAATTAAACCATTATGCCTTAGCCGGAACTTTTGATGATATTTGGAGATTATGTACCGGACTTCTGGCTAAAGATTTTTTTTTTGTTAGGGAGGAGTATCTCACACAGTCGTAACAAATCCTATAACTCCTGAACAGTATTTCACTAATTCGTCAACGTGACTTGGATCATTGGACTTATACCATAAATCAAGCGCTTCTGAAAGTTCACTTTCATCTTTGAAATTACGGATAACATCTCCGTGATTCTTTAAGAACATTGAAAATAATGATTGGAATAAATCATAATTAGTATGGGAATTAATTCCTGCAGTTAATGCTTCCACAAAGTGTGTAAACTCTGTTAATGGAGGGAAAGCATTTAATGATCTAATTTCTAAATCAATTACTGATGGTGGTGCTGCCAATATATATTGTAAGAAGAATGTATAGTCTTTAACTTCTGCTTCTGCTCCTTCTCTCAATAATGTAGTAAACTTAGATTCAAATGAATGTCCATTATCCTTTAAAGCTCGTAATTTACTTGTATCTTCTGAAGATTGTCCATTAGAATTTTGATTCTTTTCATTACCATTGGATCCACTAGCAGTATCACCTACTACTTCTCCACCTAATGATAAGAAAAATGGTGCTTGTTCTGGTTTCTTAGGTGCCTCCTTTGGTTTACTACGTTGTTTGATAGTATCTAAATGAATTAAAGTACTATATTTAGATCTTGGACCAAGACTTAAAGTAACCAAATTAGAATCTATTTGTTTAACTGATTCATATTTTTGAATAACATCTACTTCTTCATTATCATTATCTAATGCACCTTCCAATAATGTAGAACCACCATCACCAGATACATTAGGTAATAAAGTAGTTGAAAATTCTTCTTCTTCAATATGTCTTGTTGAAACAGGTACAAATTGTGATCTATTAGTCCAAAGTGATATACCATTTCCTGATACATGAGTTGTAGCTAAGAAATCACCAATTGGTGAGAATTTAACATTGGTTGCAACACTTGGTAATCTAATACCATCAATACATCCACCGGTTGGTAAATCCCAAGTTCTTAAAGTTGAATCTAAACTAACAGATACTATCCATCTACCATTTGGTGAAAAATCCATACCAATAATTCTATTAGTATGTCCATATAAAATTCTAACCACTTTTTGAGTAAGAACATCAATAATAACAATACTTAAGTCATCTAATGCACAAGCAATTAAGTCAGATGATTTATGATAAACCATAGAAGTAATTGGAGCTTCTAATTGTAATTTACCTAAATATTTTGATTCAGTAAAATTATAGAATCCCACAATTCCATCTAATCCAGTACTTACCATCATTCTATTCATACCATCAATAGCAAGTCCCGTGACCCCCTTTTTATGTAAAACATATCTTTTTCTCAATTTTCCCGATTGTAAATTGAAAACTCCAATTCCTCCAACGGTAGATCCAACTAAAGCAAAATTTCCACATTGAGAAATACAAATGGCTTTAACAATACCATTATCAATAGTATTTAAATTATGACGACCAATTCTTTTTGATCTAGAATCCCAAGTTCTAGCAAAAGTTTCATCTTTATGAGCAGTAATTATATTTTCCCAATCTCCTTCACGAGCTTGAGATGATGAAATAGCCACAATTTCAGGGAATTTATCACGAACAGATTGTTTCAGTTTAACTCTTTGAGAAAATTCTTGAGCTTGAGCATCTTTTCTTAATGAAAAAGTCCAGAATGATTTATCTCTTGATGCACTATATATGAAATGAGATTTATTTTCATTGGGGAATTCAATTGCTGTTGGAGGTGATGAATGGCCACCACGAGATCTGAGATGACGTGGAGGTGCAGCAATAGTAGCTGATAAATTTGGATCAAATACAAATTCTTTTAAATGATTATCACCTCCATTAGTAATGACAATAGGTTGACCATTTAAGAATTTAGCATTAGCAATACCTCCATAACTTTCTTTATGAGCATTTCTTAATACATGAATTCTTGACTTCTTATTTAAATCATAAAAAAATAAATCACCACTATTTAATCCTGCAACTAAATGATTAGAACCATCAGTTCTAAATGATACACTAACCACTTTATTTTCATTACCTACTCCGAATTTTGAAATAACTTTAGCTTTTCTTAAGTTATATAAATGAATATTACCTGTAGAAGTTCCAATAGCTACAATATCTAAAACTGGAGCTGATTCAATACAAGAAATAGTTTCCGAAAAGTTTGTTTTGAATAATAATTTACCAGTTCTAATATTAATAATATATAAATCAGTAGTGGTAGTTAATACAATCTTATTAAGATAAGTTGGAGGATGAATTAATCCAGTAACATCTTCATTTAATGAAAATTTTAAAGTTGAATATAATTCTGCTGATTTAGTTGTTGGCTTTTTAAATATAAAAGTTTCTCCCTTAGCTGATACAGCCACTAAATAATCTCCAAATACTAATAATTTATTAATTGAACTAGTTGTAGGACATTCAAGACTATGTTCTAATCTTCCTCTTTTATAGATTCCAATTTGATTTGAATAAGATGCAAACACATAATGATAATGAGCAGCTAATGCTGTAATTTTAGATGAAGTTTGATTCTGAGATACAAACAATAAATGTAATGTAGCCACATCATAAATTTGAAAAGATCTTCCAACTGAAGTTACTACATAAAAGGTTGAACCTAAAGTACCTATTGCAAATGGAATTTCATTAGATACATTCCCCAAGACTCGGAAAGGACTGAATATTCTAGAAGCTTTCTTGGTCTTTGGAGTGGTCTGAATCTCAACTTTACGTCTCTTATCTGTTGGTTCTACCATGCTTCCTTGTTGCTCATAGTGAATCATTAGAGTATGGGTATTTTGAAATTTTTTTAATGAGGATGAGCTACTGCGAAATGCGAAATGCGAAAATGCGCTACGATGTGCGTAATGACATAGAGTAAGTGAATTATGATAAATATAAGTATAGTATAAGTATAAGTATAAGTACAAGTACAAGTATATTAAGAAATTACAAATTACTAATAAAGGAAGTAGACTTATACAACATCTACATAGACCAACATTATAATGTATGTCATATGAATCTCCATTGATTTAGTGGACATGTTTAGCGATAGAACTCATCCCATCGCAGTGTCGCAAAAAAATTATGTAATAGTGAAAAATTCACGAAGCACACTATGCACTAAGCACTAAGCACTAAGCACTAAGTAACTCTATAGATCAAGTGGGATATATCATGACTTCTACACCAGAAAAAAGAGCTGCAGATGCAGTTGATGGAGTTGAAGTAGAAACAGAAACTCAAACCCAGACCAAAAAACAACATGTTGAATATCCTAAGGGAGTAGCAGTTATTAAGGCCGAGTATATTGTTTCAAATCCTGCTAATAATGGTGAATCAACAGCTCTGTATGATGATGATGAAGCTGAAGGTGGAGAAAGATCTAAACCGGAAAATCCTTCTGGTGGTAAGAAGAGACGTGGACAAAATAAGAATCGTGATTTAAAACAGAAACGTGAAGAAATAAGATTATGTTCAACTTTATTAGATCCAGACAATATTAGAGAATGTTCATTTGGACCAGATCAATGTCGTAATAGTCATAATGTAGAAGAATATCTTGCTAGTAAACCTACCGATGTCGATGGAATTTGTCCTGTTTATCAAGCCATTGGATATTGTCCTACTGGATTGAAATGTAGATGGTTAAAATCACATTATGTTGAAGGTAAATTATTAAGAAAAGACGATTCAGAAATAAAGAAAGATGAGGAAGTTAATAAGATTTCTCATTCTGCAAAGGATTTATTAAGAAAGAAGAAGTATATTTTTAAATTAGCAGATCAAATAATTCCATATATTGATTCTCAAGTTCAAAATGAAGAGAATTTAGAAAAACGTAAAGATAATGAAGCAGCATATATTGAAGCCCCATTTAAAGTTGCAGAAAAGAAAAAGTTATATTTAAAGAATGCTAAGATAGTATCTCCATTAACTACCGTGGGTAATTTACCATATCGTAGATTAATGAAAACTTTAGGAGCTGATATTACTTATTCAGAAATGGCACTTACAATTCCTATGCTTCAAGCAACTGCTGCTGAATGGGCATTACCAAAGGCTCATAAATCTGAATACCCTGGCTTTGGAGTTCAAATTGCAACTTCAAAACATTATCAAGCCGCTAAAGTTTCTGAAGCTATATACAAAGAAACTACACATGTTTCTGAGATAAATTTAAATTGTGGTTGTCCAATTGATTTATTATATAGACAAGGTCAAGGTTCAGCATTAATGGATCAACCCGCTAAATTATTAAGAATTTTAAAATCTATGAATTATTGTTCGGGAGATATTCCCGTAACTGTTAAAATGAGAACAGGTACAAAGGATTATAAAAATACTGCTATTCCATTAATTGATAGAATACTAAAAGAAAATGATGTTGCAGCCATTACTTTACATGGAAGATCTAGACAACAACGTTATACAAGAGAAGCTGATTGGTCATATATTGGAGAAGTAGCTCAAACAGTTAAAACTTGGAATGAGAAAAAGGAAGATGATAAAGAGAAATCAGATACTCAACCAACTTGGTTTGTTGGTAATGGAGATATTTATACTCATGAAGATTGGTATAAAGCTATGGCAATTGATGGAGTTGATTCTGTTATGATTGCCAGAGGTGCATTAATTAAACCATGGATATTTGAAGAAATAGAATCTCAACAATATTTAGATAAGAGTGCCAATGAAAGATTAGAAATTTTAAGAACTTTTAGTAATTTTGCTATTGAACATTGGGGATCTGATGAATATGGAGTAGGATTAGCTAGAAGATTTTTATGTGAATTCTTAAGTTTTACTCATAGATATATTCCAATTGGAATTTTAGAAAGATTACCACCAAAGATTAATCAAAGACCTCCAGCATGGAAGGGAAGAAATGAATTAGAAACATTATTAGGATCAACTGATTATAAAGATTGGATTAAAATAACAGAAATGTTCTTAGGTAAGGCTGGGCCAGAGTTTCAATTCACTCCAAAACACAAGAGTAATGCTTATGAAAATAGTCGATAAATGAAACGATATATATATATATATTACCAACAGTGCTATCTAGCTATACATATATAAATGAATAAATAAATAAAGAACAAACTACAGCTACAACTGTCACTATTACTCTGTTAACTCTTAACTCTTAACATTTAACTCTTTCTGGATTTAACCTTAGAGTCAGAAACTTCATCATAATGACTTGATAAGCTTTTAGCTTGATCCTTCAAGATTTGTAAATCTTCATCTTTATCAGCCAATTCTTTCTTTAATTTTTCAATTTCAGGATTAGATTCGCCACCCTTAGCCTTAAGATTATCTAATTTATCCTTTGTAGAAATTAATTCACCAACTAAAGAATAAGTTCTTGATAAAATTAAAGTTAAGAATAAAGTGAATCCACAAAGATACATATTTCTTTGAGCATAAAATCTTCTTGCTTGAATTTCTGATCTATCATTCATAATTGTACCTTGTAAACCTCCTGAATTAGTTGAAGAATGTAATTCTGCAGTAACTGAATATACACGATTAATTGAATCAATAAATAATACAAGAACAAATCCTAATATACATTTAATAGCAATTTGAAATTGTTCACTTCGAAATGGTGCACTAGCAGTAGCTAATACACTTCTTCTAATGGCTCTTGGAAATGGGAGGGATAAGATTGTAAAAAATCCCATTTCAATGACTAATAAGCCAAATACTAAGTTATAATATAATGCCATGATTTAAAATATCTTCTATAGGTTTTATTTAACTATCAATTGATGTTGGTAACTTATGACATGTTCTTTAATAAGGCTATAGCAATCAAATTTCACCATGTACCTGACGGTAACCGAAGCGGTTAGAGAGGACTGCATACAAGACAAGACAAGACAAGTCAAGACAAGAAAAGATAATCTCCTATAAAAATAATAATAATAATAATAATGGTAGTGTGTCATTAATGTGTCATTACTTCTCTATTAATTCTATTAACAATGGTTAAGTAATTTGAAAGGGTGCATAAGCAATTAGTAAGAAAGAAAGAAAGAAAGAAAGAAATTATATATAAAAATATTTTTGAAAATCATTAGAACCCTAAAGAAACACTCAATGTAAAGGTTACTAAAAATGGTAATGTAATGAAAAGAATTGAATATTGACAAATTAAACAAACGGCTAAACAGTCCATTTGAAGAAAATCCTCCGAAGTAGGATCAGTATAAAATGCAGTAAAATAAACTAAAGCAGTAGCATTGGGTAATCCAAATTCTAATACACTAACGAATCGAATTAATTTATCATCTCCATACCATCCACCTTTATGAAATCCCGTGGTTAATCCAACTCCAAATATTGGAATTATAATTAATCTTGCAGCAGTAATCATAACTGCTGTTTTCCAAAATCCTGGTGGCATTCTTTTAACTTGTAAACGTGATATAGTAGCTCCAAGAAGTAATAATCCTAATGGAACTGATGCTGCACCAATATAACTTGTAAGATCAATTATAAATGATAATGGAGGTTGACCATCAGGAGCAGGATGAATTGTAAAATTATCAGTAGTAACAAATAATGCCTTTAATGGAGGTGACATAGCAATAATAGTAGATACAATTAAAGAAACTGAATTTGGAGCTAAGAAATTCTTAGCTGTTTGAATTAATTGTTTTTTAAATTTTTGACCTCTAGTTAATGGTACTTCATCTTGAGAATCATCTATTATAGTACTCTTTCTACTATCTTTAACTGAAATAGCTCCAACATCACTCATTGCTGTTATAGTCTTTTTAATTTCATTATGTCGTAAATTTTCAAATTCAGAATATTCATTTATCACATCATGAATATCTTGAGATCTTAATTTTCTTAACTCAGTAGTTCTAGAAGGAATCATTTGTAAAGTATTATAATTTACACTGGAAATTGAATTTCTTCTAGAACTTCCTCCCGATGTTATTGATCTTGGATTAGATGTAACTTTTTTAAGAGAACGAACTCTTAAGAATTCATCATGTTGATTAATTTCTTCTTGTTCGGGATCAATATGACTATGATGAATATGATGACTATCTCTATTGCTACTTACTTTTTTGAGTATGCTGGGATGACGTTGAGGCTGAGATTGAGATTGAGATTGTAATTGGGATTGAGCTTGTGATTGTGAAGGTAATGGAGAGAGGTGTTGATTTGGCTGTTCTGAATCATTTGTTGTGCTAGCACTTTCTAAGATAGCTTGAGAATCTGATGATGATGTGATAGAAATTTCATCATCTATACTAATGGCAGGACGTGAAGGATCTAAAGGTATTGGTAAACTTAAATTATTTGGATTTGTAGCAGTATGAATTGGAAAATGACTATCTTCTTCACTAGAATCTTCTAATTTCTTTTCTTCATCAATAATTGAATCTCCTAATAATTCTTCTCTAAAATCCCATTCAATAAGACGATATAATCCTAAACTGAATTGATAAAATACTTGAGATGCTAAAAATATACAAACATACGCTACACCTAAATTTCCTTCATCAGCTGTAAAGATAACATCTCCTTTAGATAACGTTTGTAAATAAGCAATAGGTAAATCAGAAATATTTGGAAATAATCCTACTGATAATAAACCACCTAACCATCTTTTTGGAGATCTTGTTACTATATGAGTTACATAAGCCATTGCTAAACCTATTATAAATAATAAAGTTCCCGTGAAAAATATGATTCCTAAATTTTTAATATCTGAACTTTTTAAATTTGTTACTATATTATCAAAGATTAAACATGGCATAATTGCAGTAACAATAGCATCAGCAATATCTCTAGTAGTTGCAACCGTTAAGATATTCTTTTTCGCTAGATAAAAGCCTACTGCTATAATGAAATAAATTTTAAATATGGGCTTGGCTGCCGCATAGACAAGTAACCCTAATGACATATTATACTATATATTATACTATTATAATATTTATAATATTGATATTATACTGTGACTTCTTTTTTTGATTTGTATAAGTTGATGAATAAGCTGTTATATGTGATTTGTAATATATAGACTCTGATTTAAATGAACTTTTGATCAGATAAATCTAAGGTTGGTTGGAGAAATTGGTGGGGCTTAAAGTTGGAGGAGGATTATTCATTAATAATATTGTTGCTCGGGAATCAGACAGGGCTCGCACGACATGTAGAAGTGTCGGGGTAGTTAGATTATAAATAACTATTAGAATCCAAAGAACTTCAACTAGAGCTTAAACTATTCAAATAAACAAAAGTATTATATAATTAAACGAAGTTATAACTAATGATCGTGATTCCCGTATAGCATATTTGGTATGCGTTTCTTTTTTTTTTTTGATGGGTTATAGTTCCGCCTTATTTTATCCATCTCCGGTCAATTAGTGCGGGCTGTTAAATTTTTCAGTGGAGGTCGCAAATTTCCTATAATTTTGCGTTTGGGGGATCCTGGCTCTACCTACAAAGCTTACAGCAATTATTTTTATACATATTACCAATTACGAAGATTGTAATATTATATTAAGTAATGCAAATTTAGTAAAGCAAAACAAAACAAAGCAAAGCAAAGCAATATATAATAAAGAAAAGCAAACTAAACTAAACTATTGAATTAAAGGAATGAATATAGTAACAAGAAATGAAAGAATTAACGGGGTATAATAAACTGTATCATAACAGCCAAAGTGGAGTATCACCAATAAAAACCATAGAGCCAAATTAAAATTAAAGTAGGGTATCATTAAGTAAGTAAAAAAAAATTAAGTTTGTAGAAAAAAACGTTCTCATCATAAACAAGCCCAAAGTTAATTTGGGTCACTATTTAGGAAACTTTTGAATATCGACAAGAGTTAATTGACTGTTTCTTTTACTTGTTTTGGAATGTAGTTTGTTATCACTAACATTAATATTATCATCATTGCCAAGATATACTCCAATTATTTCCACTACTCCATCGATAGTTTGAATAACCATCTCTTCTTCGAGAAACTCATCGTCAATGTCAAATTCAATTTCTGAATCTAATTGCTTATCTTGCAAGTTCTTATTTTTCTTAATAAATTTATTAGGAACTTGAGGTTTCTCTATAGATTCCTCATCAGAGAAAATTGAACCATCTGAAGAGCTTGACCCATAATTATCCAGATGACTTCCTTCAATTGAGCTAAGTTCTGCCATTTCATCAACTTCTGATATGGAATTTATCTTTTCTGAAGGCTGAATTATACTATTACTAGTATGAGCTTCAGTAGAAGTAATTTTGATACTTTTAGTAGTAATTTTACTTGTAAATAATCTCATGGGAGATCTCATTGGTATTGATTGAGCAATCCCAATTTCTGAAAATTCAGAGGACATCTTTTCTTTAGTTATATAATCTATTGTATGATCTAAGTAGATTGGATCAGGTTGGAATGTAGTTGTGAAATCACACATACACAATGGATTAGGGAGATGAGATTGTTAAAGAGAATAATAATAATAATAATAATTCTATTATAAACTGGAGAACAAAGAACTATGATGTATATTTATATAAATTTATATGCAAAAACATTCTATAAATATATGCAATAGAGATTCGGCAAAAGATGGATTTTTTATAGATTATGATAAAGCTGGTTATTAACTAATTATTTATCCTCGTGTATAGTAAAGTAATTGTACGTAAAGCATCTGTTTAAGAACTGTAACAGATTTGCTTTAAGCTTTAATCTAGCCATTTATAGCCTTTTTTTGCCCGCAGTTTGCTGCAACTTGTGACATTAATTACGGTTTTAATTTTATTTTTTAGGGAGGTGCGTTCCCAAAAGAGGCTGGATTGTCCCAATCCGGTAATGTAATAATTAGCGCCTATACTTTAGGGAGATTTACCTTCAAGCTATAAATCAGAAAAATATGTCTAATGCTGCTCGTCACCGCACGGATGTGATGTATAATCAAGTAGAACTTGCCGAGCAGTTGATAGCTACAAGTTTCACAACTTGTTTATGTAAAATCTTTATTACTAATACTACTAATACTACTACATTAACCTAGTTTCACTATTATTGAAATAGTAAGCTAATTTTTAAAACTCTTAATTCTTAGATTTCTTCTTTGGTGGTCTATCATCTCCATTAGCTTCTTCATCCTCTTCAGAATCACTAGCAGAAGCATCAGAATCAAATTCTTCGGCTACATCGGAATCGGAACCAGAATGGAAATCATCATCTGCACTTTCTTCTTCTCCAGCACTTCCCATATCTACATCATCATCGTCATCATCATCATTGGCAGCCTCATTAATGGCTTTAGCCAATCTAGCTTTAGCGATTTTTTCTTCATTTTTAATTCGGATACCCTTTTCAGCAGAAAATCTTTCAATTGTTTCTTGTTCAGCACGATCAATACTACCAAAAATATGTGGTTGACCTGATCCTCTAACATGAATTTCCAAATCAAATGTTTTTGATGCAGTTACACCACCACCTGTTCTTGACATGGTGATATTACTAATTTCTGAAAATGGAATATAAATAGTTGGTTTAGTAACAAATACAAAACATCTGTCTAATGGATATAAATAACCTTCAGATGCCTTTAAAGAACATGTTATACCTGGTTGACCAATACTACTCTTAAAAGATCCTGGCATTATTAATCTTCTTTCAGTTAATCCTCGTAAACAATGGGACATAACTGAATGAGTTAATGAATCATATGTCTTATGTAATCTATCTTTATATTTGTCATTATAATCTTGTTCACTAATATTTAATTCAACTTCTGTTTCTTCTTCCTTTAAGAATTGTAATACTAAAAATGGATATCTCGTTTGACCTTGTCTTAAAGGTGGATCTATTTGTAATATAACTAAATGATGTGATTCATCTGGTTTTGGTAATGAAAAAATTCTTTCTATTTGTTTATATTGAATCTTATAATCATAAGTTTTACCACGTAATCTTAATGATGATGGATACATATCAATATCATAACGACCTCTTGGAGTTAAGAATAAGACTTCACTGAATGAAACAATAGCTTCACCAGCAACTTGTCCAATATCAGCTTTATCTCTTAATTGTTCATAAAATACTGAAGCAGCACTCTTTTCTTCTTCACCATTATCTTCTTCTTCTTCTTCTTCATTATCTTCAACTCCTTCACCATTCTCTTCCTTTTTAACACCTTCTTCACCATTAGCTTCTTTCACTTTTACACCATTCTTTTCTTTCTTTTCTTCATTTTCAATTGTACCTGGAACATAAAATCTCATTTCTACTAATTCATCTCCTGGACCAGAATTATCTAAATCAAATTCAATTGCTACTTCATTTTTACCAGTTAAATTAGAATTACTAATAGAACTATAAGGAATTTCAAAAGCTGGTTTATTATTAACATTGAAAATATACTCATTTCTAGCTAAATCATTTTTACCCCAATTCCAACCTCTTAAAGAATGTTCTCGATGATCTAATGATAAATGGAAATTTCTTTGTAATTCTTGCTTTAATTGATTAAAATCTTCAACATCAAAACCATCCAACATTACTACACCCTTATTTTTTGTTTGTACACGTAATTCATACCCTCTTGAACCTCTGGACCATTGAGTTGCTACTATTTCTTCACTTGGTAATAAAAATGGTTCATTATTAGTGGCCGATGGTGCGTTAGATTTCCATCCTAAACCAGAGTCAGCTATACGCATACGCCCACTACCTTTAGATTGATTAAGAAATATCTTCTCAAAATCAGTATTAACCATGTTGAATGTATATATATATAGAATGATTTCAGATTATAAATGTCTTCAATTCTTCACTATGATTCTGCGCTAATGGGCATTGACATTGACATCGATAATGGTCAGTAGGCTAAAAATTTCATTAATCTCGACCGCGTCGTTGTTGGTGCGACATTTTGTGCACTACTGGCTGGTGAGTGAGACATTATTAGGTAACAGTAGATAACTGAACAGGGTAATATAATAAATGGTAGAGGAATTACATATATATATATATATAGATATATATATTATGGTTAGGAGAACTCTATGATACTATTGTATGTTTAGTATATTGTTCATAACTAGTACCGTCTAGTACTAATTACTCAGTCTCATGAGAACGTCACTAATTGCTAATTTGACCTTCCAATAGTGCTAAGACTAGATATCCATATCAACTTAAAAGATAAATAATTAACTTTATACAGTATTTACAATATTGGTTGTGATTCAAATAATCATTCTTTACGTAGTTGCAAAATACATGCACCACCAATTAGGTAATGCCCCGAAACCGCACCTTATTGCGGACAGCTTATTTTGTGCGTCTGCTCGCTAAATAAAAATTGAGTCATGATCGGTGTGTGAAAAATCTCCATCATATACTTTAAATCGATTTGCTGTTGTTATATTATATTATATTATATTTTCTTTTTGAATATATAGTATTATAACTTAATTATAGAAATGGTTAAGAAAGCTGGTGTTTTAGGAGCCACCGGATCGGTTGGTCAACGTTTTATTTTATTATTATCTAATCATCCTGATTTTGAGATTCATGCTTTAGGTGCATCATCTCGTTCAGCTGGTAAGAAATATGTTGATGCAGCTAATTGGAAACAAACTGAATTATTACCAGAATCAGCTAAAAATATAAAAGTAGTTGAATGTAAACCACAAGGAGTATTTGCTGAATGTGATATTGTATTTTCAGGTTTAGATGCAGATTATGCTGGATCTATTGAAAAGGAATTTGTTGAAGCTGGTGTACCAATTATTTCAAATGCAAAGAATTATAGAAGAGAATTAGATGTTCCATTAATTGTTCCAATTGTAAATCCTGAACATTTATCAATTATTGAAAAGAAAGTTACTGATGCTAAAGCTGCTGGTAAATCTAAAATTGGTTATCAAATTTGTATTTCAAATTGTTCAACTGCTGGTTTAGTAGCTCCATTAAAACCTTTAGTAGAAGCCTTTGGACCTATTGATGCTTTAACTGTTACTACTTTACAAGCTATTTCTGGTGCGGGATTTTCTCCTGGTGTTTCATCAATTGATGTATTGGATAATATTATTCCATATATTGGTGGAGAAGAAGATAAATTAGAATGGGAAACTAAAAAGATTTTGGGTAATGTAAATGCTACTAAGACTGAAATCGTTAATATTCCTGAAGATGATTTAAAAGTTAGTGCTCAATGTAATAGAGTTGCAGTTAGTGATGGACATACTGAATGTATTTCTCTTAGATTTGCTAAGAGACCAGCTCCATCTGTTGAACAAGTTAAACAAGTATTACATAATTATGTTTGTGATGCCTTTAAAGAAGGATGTCATTCAGCTCCAAAACAAACCATCCATGTATTAGAAGAACAAGATAGACCTCAACCAAGATTAGATAGAAATAGAGATAATGGATATGGAGTATCTGTAGGAAGAATAAGACAAGATCCTGTTTTAGATTTTAAAATGGTTGTATTATCTCATAACACGATTATTGGAGCTGCTGGTTCAGGAGTCTTAATTGGTGAATTACTTTTAGCTAGAAATCTTATTTGAGCTTTTCAACCATTACTTTGTATTTAGCTTAATTCTATATCGAAAGGTATTTAAAAGAAAAGAAAATAAAAGAAAAGACGTTTAATAATGAAATGATTAATAGTACTGTAGAATTTAGTAGCCATATATATTAGTGAGAAAACAAAAAAAAATCCTCACTATAGTGGAAGCCATTACTACTCGAGAGATTTGAATGATAGATGCTAGTGGTTTCGATCCAATTGATAGTGCAGAGGATCATATCTACGAATTATATGCTATTCGAGAAGTTCCCGAGGGTCAGCATTTAGGATACTTTGATAGATCTAAGAATGAAATTAAGATTAGCTTAGAGGAATCTGGTATTGACTTAACTATCAAACAATCCTTATCTGGATTAAACTCCACCAGTTCTTCTACTGGATTTATATGTTGGCAATCGGCTACCTACTTTCTTGATTGGGTCATCAGTAAGATTGATAATCCATTTTATTCTATATTCCATAATAATCTGAATCTTGTGGTTGTAGAATTAGGTACGGGTGTAAGTGGGATTTGTGCATCAGTATTAGGATCTCGAGTAGGTCGATATATTGCTACTGATCAAAAGCATATCTTAAAGTTATTACAACAAAACATTAGTGATAACATTTCTTTACCTAGTAATTCGATAAAGAATAAACAAAAGCAAAAGCAAAAGCAAAAACAAAAAGTAATATCTCATCAAGTTGATGTAATTGAATATGATTGGGAATATCCTGAACAAGGTATTTATAATTATCAAGAATTATTCCAGGACGCTCTGGCACCACTCCCTGATGTGATTATCGCATGTGATACCATCTACAATGATTACTTAGTTCCATACTTTGTTAAAGCATTAAAATCATTAATGTCTAGTACTACTTTTGCAATAGTCTCACTACAAATGAGAGATCCTACTACGCTTGAGAATTTTGTTAATGAGGTAATTACTGCTAACCTCAAGATCTATTCTATCCCTACACATTTATTGAGTAAACACCAACAAAAGGGGTTTGTAGTATACTATATAACAGCCAATGACACTAATTAACTAATAGACAATAAGTATATATTAAATTAATAAGTAATAACTACGTACTAAAGTAAAGTAAAGTAAAGTAAAGAAAAGTAATCGTTAGCGGCCAGCCCTGCCTGCCTCACTCCCAAATGGGTAACGAGCATCAAAGAAAAAAATCGGTCTCGCTATACAGTTTGTACCTGTAGTTCGGCAATCTTTTTGATATACCTGATTAAGTTAGTGAACAAGTACATTGTGATTTCAACTCGGTGGTATTCGAATTACTTCTACAAGGATCATATTTGAAGCTTGAGAGGAATCGAATTGAGATCGAGTTATACTCGGACCATGTCAGCATTTGAACGAATGTCAAACCCACCAAGCTTTGATTTTAAAGCTAACCAGAACGGATTTGACTCCAAGTTCAATGGGTTCAGTGATCCTCGGAGGTCAGGCAACGGGCCGTCCAAGAGGGCTAGTTCCAATTCCAATTCCAATAATAATAATAAAAATAATAACAATAACAACAATTCTAATGCCAATAATAATAACAATTCTAATGTCAATAATAATAATCAACGAAATGGTAATGTTAAATCTTTCCGAAAGAAACAACTGCAACAGCAACAGCAATCGAAATCAGAGCGAAATACTCGATCAGAACTGCCAGTAGTAACCTCAGATCTGGATCCCTTAGATAAACCTACTACGGTAATACCCAGACAATCAGAAATCAAATATCAAAATTATACTCAAGATGAAATAGCATTAACTGGACCATTATTTAATGGATCAGAATTAAGTAAATTTAAACAAATTCCTCAAAAAGTTATACGGCCTCGTCAAATGCCTAAATATCTATTAATTCAACCAAGACTCTTACATACTCCACCATTTCAACAAAATTCATGGGATAAACAAAATCAAGCAAAAATGAGACAAATGGAACAAGCAAATGGAGGTAAAGATTATCAAGGAATATATGAAGAATTTCAAAAAATGAGAGAAATAGAAAGGAAACAAATGGAACAATTTGGTTTAGTTGATGCAGAAAATATTAGTAAAGATTTAAATGATGCTATATTATTTCAAGGTACTTGTTTAGATATGTGTCCAGTATTTGAAAGAGTTCGTAGAGCTTTAGAAAATAATGTTAAACAATTAGAAAGAGATCCAATTACTAAGAAAATATCTCCTGAACGAGCGGTAAAGGCATTTTCAAGACCAGCTGCTGGTCAACCTCCACCATTACCATCTGAAGTTAGACCACCTCATATTTTAAAGCAAACTTTAAATTATTTAATTGATACAGTATTAGATCAATTACCTGAAGCTCATTCATTTTTATGGGATAGAACAAGATCTATTAGACAAGATTTTACTTATCAAAATTCATTTGGACCAGAAGCAATTGAATGTAATGAAAGAATTGTTAGAATTCATTTATTATCATTACATGTAATGGCAGGAAGTGATGTTGAATATTCTCAACAACAAGAACTTGAACAATTTAATAAAGCTATGCAAACATTAATGGAAATTTATCAAGATGTACGACAACATGGAGGAATTTCACCAAATGAAGCTGAATTTAGAGCTTATCATTTATTAAGTCATATAAGAGATCCTGAATTAGAAAGAGAAATTCAAAATTTACCATCAAAAATCTTTCAAGATCCTCAATTACAATTGGCTCTTAGATTAAGACATTTAATATCTCAAAATAATATTTCTGAACGAGGAATTGCTAATACTTTATCAGCAATTAATATGTTTGCAGAATTTTTTAAAACTGTTTTTGATAAATCAACTCCATTTTTAATGGCATGTTTATTAGAAACTCATTTTAATGAAATTCGATTTTATGCTTTAAAAGCAATGGTAAGATGTTATCATTCAAAGGGTAAAGCATATTCTGCTGAATCACTTCGATCAATTCTTGGATTTGATTCAATTGATAAATTAATAAAATTTGTCACTTATTATGAAGTAGATACATTTGAAGAAGATGGAGAAATTAAAATTGATTTATTTAATAAAGAGAAATTAGAATCCAAATATAAATTGAATTCGGCTCATGATAAACCAAAACCAACTCCAGCTTATTCTTCTCAATTAGTTCTTGATGGTTTTAGTTATAGAGAAATTATTAATTCAGGTAAACAGATAGTTCCATTAAGTAATACTCAAACTAGTTCATTCAAAGACCTTGCTCCACCAATTAAACAACTTCCAAGTATCAAGACTTCAAATTTAAATACAGTTTCAGTACCAGTATCTAGTTCAATATTTGCTCCACAACAACAGCAACAACCACAACAGCAACAACAACAACAACAACAACAACAACCGAAGTTCAGTTTTACTGTTCCCGAGACCAAACCACTCATAACACCATCTTTGTCGTTCGGTGTTAAACCTGAAGTATCAATAAATAAACCATCATTCTCATTCACTGCTCCTGCTTCTGTTCCATCTCCCTTGCTGCAACAGCTGAAACCTGCACAAGTATCTGTTGAACAAAAAGCACCCAAGAAATCATCTCTTTCTAGTTTCTTATCTTCCACTCCTAAGACTATACCTATTTCAACTACCCCCGATATTAATGCTCCAATTGAATCCAAACCTATGTTTACTGCACCTAAAGAAATAATTCATAAGACAGTAGTTCCTCCTCCGCCTAAAGTAGAGAAGAAACTTAAACTCACTGAAAATCCTAAATTTGAATTAGCTTTAAAACAATTAACTGAAGATATAATAAATGAATCAATTTTAATGGAATTGAAGTCTTTATTACCTAAAGTTAATCAAGCTTATAATTTAAAAAAGGAACATAATCGAATAATTAATACCTTAGGAAATGAATTATACAATGCCTTTTTAAGTGAAGTCATTCATCAAGAGATTTTAAATTTCACGGCTGATTTTCAATATCGACAAAATTGTAAGAAATTATTAATTCGAAAGGTTAAACAAGTTGGAGATAAATTAATTAAGAAGAGAGAAGTAAGACAAAAGAAATTAAATGAATTAAAATTAGTTCAATTTAGAGTTCCTCAATTAAAGCGTACACTTGGAGCCAGTGAAACTTCATTTAAAAGAAGTAAAAAGGTAAAAACTGATAAAATATCTATTTCAGATAGACAAAATAAAGTTAATGAATTATGGTCACCAATAGATCTTACACAATTTGTTAATTTATGTGCTTCAAATGTAAAAATTTCTATTGAAAATGATAATCTTGATTTAAAATTTCTTTTAGTGGTTGAAAATTGGTCTAGTGGATATTCTAAATGGTTAAATACAAAATTATCATTAAAGGCAAATCAAATTGAAAGAATTTATAAAAATACTGTTAGTACTGATAAAATAACTTTAAATTTATTAAGTTTACCAAGTCTGAATTATTTAAATAAAGATTTCTTTTCTACTACATCATTTATACTTTTTGAATGTGGTTTAACATCAGATACTGGAGGTAATATTTATGATAAATTGAAAAAGGATAAACTTATTCTTGATAAAATTACTTCTTTAGTAGATAAATTTAGTTACTATAAAGTTGAAGTAATAATTTTATATTGGGATGCCCAAGATTCTAAAATTCCTATAGAAGAAGTTATTAAAGAATTAGGGATTTCTGAACAAGAAAAGAAAGAAAATATTAGTAATATAATATTTTGTGATATGACAACAGCTGAAGGGAATATTAATGATATTCTTAGTAATGCCTTTAGAGATTTAAGTAAAGATTTTAATTTGGATTTAACTAGTAGAGGTAGTAGAAAATTACAAAAGATATCTAAACAAAAGAAAGTACTGGTTGAATCAATTAGTAATACTCCAAATATAATTGAAGGTATTAAAGATTCTGAAAATAATTTATTAGAAAGAGCCAAGAAAGCTAGACGATTTGAATATTTAAATCATCATTTAAATCGTGCGAACATCCATAAATCAACTAAAAGATCTCGATTAGATAATACAACTACATTTATGGATAATACATCGATGGCTTCTAATCTTACTTTCAATAATATTTCTAATTTAGTAGGGTTTGGAAAGGGATTTCTACAAGAAAGTACTCCTACCAATTCTCCTAGTACTTCAACATTTATTGATTTAGAAGATCATTTACATTCGTCGTCAACGGCACTACCACTACCTGGTAGTACTAGTAGCAGCTCAAGTAGCGTGCACCAGCTCAGACAGTTGACAGCTAACATAAAATCAAAATATAGAAAACTGTAGCCGTAGCTTTCCCCTGTATTATATCAAGCCAATAGCACTAGCATAACATATATATATATATATATTTATATTATATTATATATATATATACTTCTATATACTTATATATACATGTATTTATAGTAATCTTTTATAGTAATGTCCGTTAGCATAATAAGTAAGGTATGATTTAGCCATAGTAAACTTAAAAAGTACGTGCGACCTGCACATAGCCCCCACGCTCCTTTTTCTCCCTGATCAATTCCCGAAGCCTTCCAAGAAGTTGGAAGTGTAGTGTCCTTTAGATAGTACTAATTACTTAAGTATATAATTAATCCTAATTGGGAAAGAAAGCAAGCATTGATAATATGGATCTTTTAAATAACGCTGCTAAGAACATTAGTCTCTATGAGGTTAAGGCTTATGTCCGTAAAGCTCAAAATGGTAAGTAACTGATTTTACTGATTTTACTAATTAATAAATTTCATAAATCATAACTAACATAATATAATTCTAGTCGCTATGAATTTAACTGAAATGGAAGCAAAAGTTAGAGAAGCTACCAATAATGAACCATGGGGTGCACCAAGTACATTAATGGCACAAATTGCAGCAGGAACTTATAATTATAGAGAAAGAGAAGAAATTATTGGATTCACATTTCGTCGTTTTACTGAAAAGGCCGCTAATGAATGGAGACAAATTTATAAATCATTACAATTATTAGATTATTTAATTAAAAATGGTTCAGAAAGATTAATTGATGATGTAAGAGCCAATCTTTCATTAATTCAAATGTTAAAATCATTTCATTATATTGATTCAAAGGGTAGAGATCAAGGTATTAATGTTAGAAATAAAGCTAAAAATTTAATTGCCTTTTTAAATGATGATGCTTTAATAAGGTCAGAAAGAAAGAAAGCAAGAGCTAATTCTAAAAAATTTGGTGGTGTATCTTCTGCCGCATTTGGTGGTGCAACATCAATCACTGCTGGTTCTGGTTATGATGATGATGAATTTACTAGTAGAGTTTATGGTGATGGTGGAGTTTATGGTGAAAGATATGATGATCCAGCTTCTGCATATAGTAATGGACAAAGTGGAAAGGATAATTTTGAAGAATATGATGTTGCCCCTGCTACAAGTTCTTCAAGGCCAACCACTGCTCTGAGTAGAGTTACTGCAAAGGCTGTATCTAAACCTTCTAAACCAGCAGCTCCAGAACCTGATTTATTAGGAGATTTGGATTTCGGTGGAAGTTCACAATCTGCTCCAGCACCAGCCCCAACTGCTACTGCCGATGATGATGATGATGATTTTGATGATTTTCAAGCTGCTCCATCAGTACCAGTATCTCGTTCTCAACAAATATTCGGTTCAGTACCACAACAAAATATTCAACCTAATTACAATGGTCAAAATTTATTTTCTGCTCCTCAAGGAAATGTAGTTCCTCAAACTCAAAGAGTTTCATCATTTGGTTCAGGTCCAAATTATAATGTTAATACTTCAATAACAACTGGCCCTGCTGCTCCAACTCCTAAAAATGATGCATTTTCTTCATTATTTTCAACTGCTAAAACAAAAACAAAAACTCCAACTACAAGTACTACTCCAATAAAGCCAAAAGCAACTAATAGTGCTCCTATAGACGATGACTTTTTTGGAGGGTTCAATTCCAATAACAATACCACCACTACCAACAACAATAATAATATTAACAACAATAAAACCAGTCAACAAAATAACTCATCCAATGGTGAAGTCGATTTATTAAGTTTCTAATTCTCTAAATACGTATTTACTACTTATTATATAAATGTTCTTGTCATAATCTTCTAATAGTTAGCGTACTATATAACTACGACATAATTTCTTTAGAATAATTTTTCAATTCGCGACATTTTCGAAATCATAACCAACTATCTATAAATTTATAGTATACTATAGTAAAGAAGTATAGTAAAGTAGTATAGTAAACATGTTAAAGACTACTATGAAACCATTGATTGGTATAAGGACATTTTCATCTTCTGCATCAGTATTAGGAAGTCAAGTTTATTTCGTTACATCTATTGCTGGAGTTAAACAGAAACCTATTAAATTTGAACTCTATGATGACGTAGTACCCAAGACAACTAAAAATTTTAAAGCATTATGTACTGGAGAGAAAGGTTATGGATATATTTATTGTCCATTCCATAGAATTATTCCTAATTTTATGGTTCAAGGTGGTGATATTGAATATGGATTAGGTTTTGGAGGTAAATCAATATATGGAAGGAAATTTAATGATGAAAACTTTAATATTAAACATACAAAGCCAGGACTTTTATCAATGGCTAATGCTGGAAGAAATACTAATAATTCTCAATTCTTTATTACCACAGTTCCATGTCCTTGGTTAGATGGTAAACATGTTGTATTTGGTGAAGTAATTGAAGGATTTGATGTTGTTAAGAAGATTGAAAGTTATGGAACTCCAGGGGGTAAACCTACTGCTAAAATTATTATTGAAGAATGTGGTGAATGTTAAGCTTATAATTATATTTAAATTCTTGTAAATAGATATTAAAAAAAATAAATAAATAAATAAATAGCATAATCTACGACTTTTATATATAATTCGATAAATATGAATGTATATGAAAAAATGACTAATTTATGAATATAGAGATGACATTAATAATACTAAATGATGAAGTGGGGTCTAAATCTTAACGTATTGATTCTTTTCTTCCTTTGGAATCAAATTGGCTGGTTGTTTCTTCTTTAATTGAGATAATCTATCATAATCACCGGCCAAAATTCTAGCAACAACCAAATCATCTCTGTCTCTGATTTCTCTCTTTGATTTACCTTGATTACTTAAGAATTCTTTGGCCTTTTCAGTATCGCCATGGAAATATTCTTCCATAGCTCTTAATCTTAATTCCTTTTCAGCCCATTCTGGACCTTCAAGTTCTCTTCTCTTCATTTGAGCAGTATATTTAGAATAAGCTACATATGCAAATATTGGTAATACCAAATAAAAGTAAGGAAATTCCCAACCTTCAGCCTTTTCTGTTTCACGGACAATTTTCCATTTTAATTCTCCAGTACTTTCATCTTTATAAGGAATTTTATCAATAATTTTCCCAGCATCCTTTGTTACAAATTGAAAATTAGTTAAATCTTGAGTATTATCCTTATATAAATCTAATTGATCTCTTGGAATTCTGGATAATATAAAATTCCATTCAGAATGATTTCTTTTATAATATAAATTTTGTAATTCAGCAATTACTTTAAATTCTTGATCACTAGGTACTCTTGGAGTTCCATCAGGATTGGTATAAATTTTAGTAACAGATGGTAATGAATCTAATTTAGTACGAATATCTTGTTCTAACTGATAGTTGAATTTTCCAATATTAAGCTTCAACAACCCACTTAATGGGAATTTAAATGTAAACTTTACCATTATTGGCCTGCTTATCGATACAGTCTATGCTCTATCTAAACAAATCGCATAAACATTTTTCAAGGTATTTTTATTGGATGAATTGAACAGAGGAAAAAAAGTCGCAAGTAACCTGTAAAACTTTGGTAATGAAAGAGTTTTACATGTTAGTATGAATCTTACAAGTTAGGGGTATTTGTACAAAACTGTAAAATGAAGGACCACTATCAAATAGAAAAAAATAAACTCGCTAAATTAGTACTACTAAACAGTGTGATGCAATTAGCACACATTGTAAATTAAGGGGGATAGACCAATTCATGTTGTAGATAATGAATTGATGTAACCAAACCGTTTTACCATGACCATCACACTGTTTCCCCACATAATTGACATGCCGAATTGTGTTAGATTGTGCAACATAGTATGGATCAATACCTTGTCACCAGCCGGCGAAACAGGATTTACTTGACCTTGTACATTTAGTGCGGTTTTCTTTCTTTTCGGTAGAACTGTTGCACCGCCGCAGGGTATTTTTTTTTGCAATTTTGAGTGATTGATTTATTTTGATGCTTAATTTTCCTTATCATGATTTTATTAATACAATTTATATAGTCAGTCTCATTACTGCTTGTACCACAGGAACATGGATTTAATTTTTTAGAGTCAATTGACAGAATGTATGTACTTGTAGCAAGAACTCTATGCTTAGATCTTAATCAATTGATACTCTAACTCTATCCAAAAATTGCGTATATTACTTGTACAATTCAGTAATGGAAGTGTAAATCCACAACTATCTACTCTATAAATGAAACAACCCAATTGAAACTAATAACCGTTTCGCAACTACTACTACTACAACCAGAGTTAACAAATTTTCCCCACCGAAAGAAATCGGAGTCATGGTACCTGTCTCAAAAAATATGATCCATAGAAAATAAATTTTTATTAGTATATCAACAATGATTCACTATTTCTGGGGTATTTAAATTGATAAATATTCGGATTTTAAATGATTCATCCAAATGTTATACAGCCTTAACAACATCAATGCCAATTCCTTACTTGTATAACACTCCTGAGAACTCTAAATCTGATATCAATTTGTCTGGACAAGCTAATATTAGTGCTCATGCTCATACCATGGATGGTTACTACATTAATGGTTTCTATGTCTCTAATTCTTACACTGAAATTGAGATTGCTGCATTGAATAGAATTGAAGAGTTAGAGAGACAAGCAACTGAATTGTCCGATGTGATTGACAGAATTACTCGTCTCTATCAAAATTTAGCTTCCAGATTCTCTCACCTTAGAAACTTTGTCTTATCACGTCAACCAAATCAATCTGCAAATGGTTATGACGCTAGAAGATCTCACACAATATTAAATCCAATTCCTGAGAGATCTGTTCCTTTGAATTACAATTCAGACGTCTCATCTATCAATTCAAATAGTTCTTCAGAGAGTTCTCTTCATTTGACTAGACCTGCTAGTACACTCCCAATGAGCCGTGGGAGACAAATGGTGAATTCTCTCTTCTTGGAGGATCAAGGTGCTAGTTCACATGAAGATCTCGTTCATGGTGTTAGATTCTATATCCCTAATTGATTTAGGTTGTCCATGGGTATTTTGCTCTAAACGGTTTATTTATCGGATCTGGTTTATTCGTTTATTTATTTATTTATTTACTTCTTTGTTTGGATTTGATTAAATCGTTAGATTAATTAAATGGTTAGATTAATTAAATGTGTTGGACGGTGATTCAACAATTAGATATTTATAAAGTGTTAATAAACAATTATTATTTATTTCTTACTACTACCAAAATTCGTAATGCCCATTATTTTTGTCATTTCTGAACTTTCTTCATTTTCAAAATGATTCTTCGTATCAACTTTTACTTTCCTCTTCTTCTCTAATCGCTTCTGTCGTTTTTGACGTTCAAATTCGGCTCTTCGCTCAACTCTTTGAGCGAATGTTAACAAATTCGTTTCATGTTCCTGATTTGCTCTGAGCTTCTTTTGTACTAATGCTTCTATTGTAGCCATTACTTCCTGTACTGTGGCACGTCGTATTCCTCCTTCCAATTCTTGTGTTTCATCTTCTGCTTCTTGATTCTCCTTATCACCTTCCTTTCGTTTTAGCCTACTTAATTCACTTGCCTTTCCAGAATGTTGCTGTGAATTAAAATGATCTATTAAAGCCAAGTTATCTCGAAAGGATAAATTACATATTGGACAATAAAATCCAAATCTTTTATTCTTCCCAGCCATGGTTGTAGATGAAGATGATTCAGGATTGATAAGATTATGAACTTTGACAGCATTCAACAGATCACTAATTAAATCATTTCTATGTTTTAAGTAATCTGATGAAGACTTCTCATCTTTCAAATCGGATTTGATTGTAGTGATTGTTCCATCATTATTTCTATGCTTCTTGGTCCCCTTAGCTTCAGATTCATATGCCTCAACATTCCATGTACGTCTTCCATACTGATCAACAGATTTCTTCTCTGCTTCTGACATAGTTATTGGAATTAATCACTTAATAACAATTACAGTACTTGGTGTATAGAAATTGAAATTTGTGTAATCGATATCGCACATTAATTTTAATTTTTGTTGCAGCTCTTGTCTAATTAATGATCTATACAATATCATCTATTTAATAAATTGTGTGTGTGTGTTGTGTGCAGATAAAAGATTAATGAGTTCAAAAGATATACGATCAATATTATCTGGAGGTGTAAAAAAGGTTTCTGGGACTAAATCCAGTACTGTAAATAGTTTGATAACTACAAAAGGTAAACTTCTCAATGATATCGCGTCTGAACCATTATGGAGAACTCATGGTACTTATTTAATAACCAACTTACCACCTAAAAGTTCTTTAATTAAGACATTTGGAAATGATACAAAGATTAAAATTGCTGCATTTGATTTAGATGGTACGTTAGTTCAAACCAAAAGTGGTAGAAGTTTTGCCATTTCGTCTGATGATTGGAAATGGTGGGATTCACCTAAAGCTAAATCTCTGGTATTAGAAAAGTTAGATCAAGTAATAAAAGATAAATATTTAATAGTTATATTCACTAATCAAGGTGGAGTTGTTACTAACGTGGCCAATAAATCTTATAATAACTTTGTGAAGAGAGTTACGTCTGTCATAAAATCATTAAACGCATATATTAAGAATGAAGAAGTTCCTATATTAGTATACGCATCACCTAAAAAGCCCGCCAAAGAAACTGATTCAACTAAACATACATTAATGAGGAAACCAAATATTGGAATGTGGAAAGAGTTGGTGGAATATGTTGGAAATAATCAAATAGATGAAGATAATAGCTTTTTTGTTGGAGATGCTGCTGGTAGACCTAATGATTTTCTGGATAGTGATTTAATGTTTGCTAAGAATATTGGAATTACAAATTTTAAGACACCGGAAGAATTCTTCTTATGAATGTATATATACAGTTTTTATGTAAATCTATTTACAGTTATGTGAATCTAATCTTTAAACGCATCCTTAATCGTCTTCTTGGTTAATGTTTTTGCCTTACCAACCGTATCGAAGTATCCAAATACATTATCAATTATTCTAGCTTCATAATCGGATAAAGTACTTGAAGTTTGAACATGGAAACACTTTTGAATATCACAAACTTCATTTTCAAATTTAATAGCCTCATCAGTGGATTGAGGATAATTTGTAATAATAAACGTCGTGTCAAATGTTCCATTTCTGGTATTTTGATAGAATGCAATCTCTTCTTTGATAATAGAAGTAATTAATCCTTTTGGTAATGGTCTTCTTGCAGCATCAAGATCTTGAAGAAGGAAACAATATTTCTTGGATTCATCTTCTTTCTCTCTAGCAACTAATTCCTCTGGATCAATTACTTTGACTTGTCTGGTTTTATCATTCTTTTCTAAAGTACTGACCAATTCATTTACAACTTTTGAGTCTGAAACATATGGAAGAACATAAAATTTAAACTTTGAATCTGCTATCAATTTATGACGTCTCTTTAATCCAGTTTCCTTCTCATACTCTTCAAATTCTCGCTCATTAAAGGATGTCTTTATCTTTTTAGTTTCAACTCTTTGTCCAGTATAATATAATGCAGCTGATGATAATAAAAATACATAGAATAAGTAACGAAGTCTTGGTCCACTTGAACGTTTTCTTGGTACTGGAGATGATGCATAGGTTCTAGTGGATTTAAGGAATCCACAACCTTGTCTTTTCAATGAGTTGAAAATCAATGACCTATTACTAAACATTATGAAAATGTTTTAATATTTGAAGAACTAAATTGATAACAATAATTGTCTTCTTAATTAATACTAACGGCCTTTGAAGTGACGAATGGTCCGTTTTTTCAACTCTATGGATTTTGCACGTGAGCGGACATGCTTTTTTTTTTTCTTAGTGAATTTTTTCGAGTAATAAATTTTTCAGTATATCGAAACCCAAAGAACAATACATACTATTTCCACTCTTAGACAGACTTAACCAGTTTCTTACATATACATATAACACATACGAAATGTCGTTTGTTCATTTGGCCAACTTTTGTGCTCATATAAAGAATTGTACGAATGTGAATATATCTACTACATCAGTCCCATTCACAAGATTGCATTTACAAGTTGCACTTGGATTGTATAAAGAAGGATTCATATCTTCTATACTGAGAGGTTCAATTACTGGTCCTGATGTGACACCTGTTGATGTGACTCCAGATAACATATCTACCAGAAGATTATGGTTAGGTTTAAAGTATCGTAATAATCAATCTGTAATTAGAGATATTTCTTTAGTATCAAAACCAGGTAGAAAAGTTAATTTAACAAAGGAAGAAGTAAAAGCATTAGCATCAGGTTTAACTGTCAGATTTATTAAACCTTTACAACCTGCTGAATGTATTTTTATAAAGAATGTTAAAGAAAATGAGGTCATAGAGATCCAAGAGGCTGCTAAGAGAAACTTAGATGGGGTAGCATTATATCGTGTTAAATAGTTGTTACGGTTCAGTTACATTTGTAAATAGTAATAATAAATTAATTTATATTGAATCATAAAGTTTATTAAAGGGCTACTGTTTGAATTTCATTCCAACTAGTCATATCAACTTGCCAACCTTTCCATACCATTAATTTTTCTCTGAAATCTTCTGTTTGATTGAACTTGGCAAAGTTTTGTTGTGATAATGTAGCATAATCGTTATGAGTATATACTGGTTTTGCTGGTGCTACTGGTTTGATTGGTGAGGATTGAGAAGTTGATACTTGTGGTGCAATAGTTGATCTAGATCCAGATCCAGATTTTAATGCTTTGATCTCTTCTTGCAAATCAGCAATTTTATCATTAAGATCCATCTTAAGTAATTTCAAATCAGTGTTTTCGTCTCTTAATTTTTTGATAGTATTCTTTTGTTGTTCAATGGTTTCTTTAAGGGTCTTGATTTCTTCTCCTGATTCGGCATTCAGTATTACTTGGGCTTCTGGTATCACTTCTGTTGTTTCATTTTCCTTTGGTTTTGGTTCTATTTCTGTTTGTGGATCAGATACTGCTTCTTTAGTCTCGTGTTTGGGTTCTTTAACTTCGGGTTCTGTAGATTTTGATTCTTCCACTTCGGGTTTAATACTTTCGTATTTGACTTCTTCGTTAGTTTCTTCATCCTTATTTTCTTCATCCTTATTTTCTTCTGAAGCATCTACCACTGGAGTTTCTTCTCGACTCACTGCTTCTTCTGTATCATTGGCTCCAGCAGTTTCATCTTCCTTCTTAGTTTTCTTTGATTTCTTGTTCTTCTTTTTCTTCTTCAATTCTTCAAACTTCTTACGAGCCAATTCCAATCTTTCTTCTTTCGACAATTCTGTATCAGACAAATTTTCGGCATCTGCCTCCACTACTTGTTTCTCTTCCTCGGACATTTTATTCTGCAATTGATTATAAGGTATATAAATGAAATTCAATAAAAAGACTTATTGATTGTTTAAGTGGTCTCTTTTAGAATGTTGAGACAACATGTAAATATTGAAAAAAACCTGTAAAATGTAAAAGTGTATATTTATTGCAGGTTGAAGCGATGGATTTATATGACGTATTATGTAAGCATTTTGCATCTACAGTTAGAAAAGAAACGTCTATAATGATCAAATATCTATGGGGATAATTTTAGAAACATGAGTGTCTATCTATCTAGAAATGTTTCTATTCATCCAGTTTCAATAATATCACAATCATATTGACTACTCCACTCGTTCTTTTCTTGGATAGTCACCTTCCGTTTAAGCTTTTATATGACGGCTTCCAAGGCGGGTTTGATGCGCTTATCGCTTACCGATCCCGTAAATTTTTCACTGCAAAAGAACTGCGCGAAAATTATGCATTTATGTAAAACTGTAATTAGTCATCTTCTAACTAATCCGTTAACTTGCTAATAAATATATATATATATATATGTAAGTAGAGTAACTAATATCGTGGAAGATATTTAGTTAATTGATAAATTGATAAAGTGATATAATAAATTTTATAGAATTAAAATGGAGGACAGTGGAATTCTCTCGGTAAATTCACAAACTCAGCCAACTGAAATTTTACCTTTATCCGATATAGGAAAAGACCAACATACAAAATCAAAATCATGGGGTAACTCAAGTAGAGCAAATACTGATCAAGATGAGTATAATATAGATAATATGATCCATGAAGATACTATAGAGTATAGAGATGACATGCCATCTACTCCAGTAGATGTATCTACTGCTTTGATGTATGCATCTGAGAATAATCCTGATCGTTTCCCAGATGGAGGTTTGCAGGCCAATTTAGTTTTATTAGGATCATTCATTGGATTAATTGCTGATTTTGGGATTGCTAATGCTATGGGGGCTATTGAATCGTATGTCTCTACTCATCAATTATTAAATGACAAACAAACTAATGTTTCATGGGTATTTTCTTTACATTTGGGAGTAATGTATTTTGGTGGAGTATTCTTTGGAGAATTATTTGATAAGTTTGGTGCAAAAAGACCCTTAATTGTAGGCACAATATGTATGACTACTGGATTAATATTAACTGCCGAAAGTCATACTTTATATCAATTCATTTTATCATTTAGTTTGTTAACTGCCATAGGAACTTCAATTTGCATGTCTCCGTTAATTGGAGTTTTAAGTCATTGGTTCTTGAAAAAGAGAGCTAGAGCTTGTTCAATTGCCACTATTGGAGGTTTAGTTGGAGCTTCTTGTTTTGCCATAATGTTACAACAATTATATGATAAAATTGGTTACAAATGGGCTGTTAGAGTCTTGGCTCTTATTTGTTTAACATGTATGAGCATTTCAATCTTATTAGTAAAAGAAAGAACTCATACTAAAATAGAGAAATCTCAAGATGATGGATCCATTCAACAAGTAGAAGAAGATGTGATTCCTGAGACTGAAGTGGATATTGAGGTAGAAGTAGATGGAACTACAAAACCAAAGTCAGAGCCTACATCTAAATCTAAACATCATCTTACTGAAGGAAATATCCTTAAGGCTGCCATTCTGTTTTTGCGTGGAGCCTTAGACTTCTCTATGTTAAAAGATCAAAGATTCGTCTTATTAACGATTGCTGTTTTCTTAGCAGAGATTATATCTATGACAACATTGACATACTTATCATCTTATGCTCTTAATTTTGGACTTTCTAATTCGAAATCATACTTATTAATTACAATTGTTAATGTTTGTGGGATTCCTTCCAGATTAGTATCCGGTATATTAGCAGATAAATATGGAAGATTTAATGTTATGATTGGAACTTCTGTCTTAACAACTATCGTTGTATTTGCAGTCTGGTTGCCAGCTAGAGGATCAGTTGGAATGCTTTTTGCATTTGGTGCATTATTTGGTGTATCTACTTCAGCTGTTATATCACTCATTCCAGCATGTACTGGACAAATTTGTTCAGCTGAAAATTTTGGTAAAGTATATGGTACTTTATATTTCTTTTTAGCATTTTTAACAATTTTAGGGATGTATTTTGCTTCATTGGTCATAAGTGATCGTAGTTTAACTGACTATAGAAATTTTGTTTTATATGAAGGTGCGTTAGCAGTAGCCAGTGTAATTTCATGGTTATGGGCAAGATACACAGCTGTGGGTTGGAGACTTGTAAAGTTTTAAATATAGGTTACAATCGTCTCTTTCAAGTACAAGTAAATAAATTTTAATTAGTTTGAGCTCAAAGACGCAATTGTTGCAGCCAAAATATATGCTTTACGAATTAATGATTTACGTATAAAAATCACGTAATTACTTACATGTAATAACTACCTCATGTTCGTGGTTGGATTTGTTGAATTTGTTGAATTATGTCTCTGTATATAATTTATACCATGTTTTCAATTATAATTTGATGCCGTTCACTGCATTGCATATCTATTAGTAATTGCTAATAACTACAAAGGTGTCTCGCAGATAGTTGTCCTGTCTCCGAACAAAGAAAAAATAAAAAATTGACCCTGGTGGTTACCAGATGAAAAAAATCCCATCACCAGCCAATTTGTAAGTGAGCATATGTCATAATAGAATTTAGATAAGTAACTTAAAATTTTAAATATTTATTTCAGTTGTCCTTATAGATTTTTACTTTCGTTATTAGTACTTGTTTGGTTATTAGTGTTTGTCATTTTTGATTGTCATTTGTATTTCTATTTTGGTGATTTCGTTTCTTCTTTCAACTCATTTAGGTGTGTTATTCCCATATTTTTTAAACTTAACTTCATAATCCATATCTATTGGAGCTAAATCAATATTGCAAATTCCAAATTCCAAATTAATCTGTAATAACTCCATTAGTATAAAAATTTTCTTGTGTCAATACTAATTGTTTGTTCTGTTATATTATTAAATTCTATAACATTAACTCAATATATCACAAGATTAAAAAGAGGCTCGTTTCAATATTCCTTTGAAATAAGCAATAAATACTAGCTGAATTAATTGAGGGGGTTAAACGGCTCTACTTGCATTCTTCATCTGGGCCACTATTTTAATTATTGTTAAAATATTTTATTTTGGCTTAGTTTGCAAAAACAATTATACCTAATAACTACTATAGTTTTCTTGGGAGTTTTATCTTGCACTAACAAAAACTATTTAAGAACTTTGACATCTGCATTCCTAACTGTTTTTTTTCTTGGTTATTAAATAATAACAAATAATAATATAATATTTTACTGAAAATGGAAGCTGTCAGTATTTTTGCAAGAGATACTTGTCCTGTCGGTAACGACTATAATGGTTCCATGGGAGCTCGTATTTCTTCTGTATTTGTTATCTTGGCTACATCATCATTCGGTGCCTTCTTCCCAATCTTATCATCAAGATATTCTTTTATTAGAATGCCTGGTTGGACATTCTTTCTTGCCAAATATTTTGGTTCGGGTGTTATTGTAGCTACTGCATTTATTCATTTATTACAACCTGCAAATCAAGCTTTATCTAGTGAATGTTTAGGTGAAGGATGGCAAGCATATCCATATGCTTTTGCCATTTCTCTTTTTACACTTTTTTCACTTTTCTTCTTTGAATTAGTTGCTTACAGACTTATTGATAAAAAACTTGAATCTGAAGGTCAATCTCATTCACATTTTGGTGATGAATCTGTTTATGTTAAAAAAGATATCGAATCTGAATCTGAACATGAACATGAAGAAAAAGGTAATAATGATGGTACAAAAGAATTAGAAAAGCTTTATCCTGATCACTTTTCTCATGCTCATGATCATCAAGATCCTGAAGCTATTGGCACTCCAATTCAAGATAGTGATAAAGAACAATACTATGGACAATTATTAAATGTATTTGTTTTGGAATTTGGTATTATCTTTCATTCTGTATTTGTCGGTCTTACTTTAGCTGTTGCTGGTGAAGAATTCAAATCTTTATATATTGTTTTAGTCTTCCATCAAATGTTTGAAGGTTTAGGTTTAGGTACTAGAATTGCTACTACTTATTGGCCAAAGGATAAAAGATGGACACCATGGTTATTAGCTGCTGGTTATGGTTTAACTACTCCAATTTCTATTGCTATTGGTTTAGGTGTAAGAGAAACTTATCCACCAGATTCTGCTATTTCAACCATTACTAATGGTGTATTTGATTCTATTTCTTCTGGTATTTTAATTTATACTGGTATTGTAGAATTAATGGCTCATGAATTCTTATTCTCAAATGAATTTAAAGGTGAAAATGGTTTTAAAAAGATGCTTCTTGCCTTCTTCGTTATGTGTTGGGGTACTGGTTTAATGGCCTTATTAGGTAAATGGGCTTAACCGACTGACTTTAATAATTTGTATATTTCATATAACTTTATAGACTAATTAATATTTACTTTAATTTATAATATTATCATTTTTTGATTGACTGGTTATTAAGCAGAAGTTGAAAATTGCATTTTGCATTTTGCATTTTGCATTTTCCTGTATGTGCCCGTAAAGCGCAATTTAAATTTATTTATCTACCATATCCCGGCCTTGTATATTTCTTTTCCCTTTCCTTTCTCTTCTCTTCTTTTCTCTTCTCTTCATTCCTTGTCTTAAATTTTCTTTTCTCGTTCACTGATATCCTTACCCTTTCTAGCACTATAGATCATGTCGAGATTCATCCAAGTAGTTAGGGTTTCACCTGTGAGATCAGCTTCTACTTTGGGTATTAATAGTAGACGATTCTTTGCATCAAAATTTGGTACTGAGATCACTCCATCACCTCCACGTTTACCTAAAGAGGAACAAGAAGAATTTGAAAAATTACAATCTATAGCTAATTCTCAAATAGCTATTGAAGAATACAATGATCAAATTAAAGCTTCAGGTACTCATTCAAGTGAAGCACCAACACTCATTACCAATCCACCAAAATTGAGTTCAGATATTGGAAGTTTCCAAACCCTTAAGACTATACCTGAATTTGAAGGTGAGGTGAATCCAAAAACTGGTGAGGTTGGTGGTCCAAAGCAGGATCCATTAAGACACTCCAATGAATGGGCCTTTAATGGTAGAGTTACTGATTTTTAACAGTACTAAAACATTTGGTCCGGAAAAACATATCCGAATTTGTATATAGTTTTCAATAGAAATAATTCAATAAATGTCATTTTACGTATAGTGTATCGTATATCGTATATCGTATAACATCATTCCAGTAAATTTCAGATTCATATTAATCCGATAATTATAAAATGGTTGCAGATTTTTGGCGTTTTGTACAATCTTACCTAAAACGGTTGTTCCGTATCGGTCACCTCGAAAAAGTCAAATATCAGAGCTTGCAAAATTTTTGATTGGTAGTATTAATTTAGATATTCTTTAGTTAGACATGGATTTTGATCCTCTATCATTATTTACGCCTAATTCAGATAAAATTAATGATAATTCAGTTGAATATTATGATCTGACAGAGTCTTCACAGAAATACATACCGTTAAATATTGATCATACTGAAGATGAGCATGAAGACGATGATCCTCCATTACATATTCTAGATTTACCTTCACTTCGGCTACAACCTCCTAAAGAAGTTCTAGTCACTCTATTGAAACTATTAGCACCAGAAGAAGTTCGAAATTTTAATTCCAATGCTCAAGTTTCAACTAATATTCACTTATCACCTCAAGATATCTTTATTAAGAAAGGTCTTGATATTAATACAGTTGAACAAGCATTATCTTGGTTTCAGATTTATGGTACTAGATTTAATTCAGATAAGAAATTATCATCAGTTCCTGATCTCAGTTATTCCTTAAAACAAGATAGTGGTTATAATGCATACTTGACGAGAATAATATCTAGTGACCTTAATTGGATTAATGATGATAATGATAGACAATTCATTTATAAAGAAACTTCATTAAGAATTAGTGAAAATTGTGGAAGAACGGCCCAACCAGAAATAATACGTAGAATTGAAATTAATAACTTAAATCAATATGATTATGATTTTATTTCTTTAAAGGAACCTTCCTTAACCAGTGATAACTTAGGTTTAAAAACTTGGGGTTCATCTTTGATCTTGGCCAATAGACTCATTAATCAACAGAAGAATAAACATTACTTATTGGATAATGTATTAGAACTTGGTTCAGGAACAGGATTGGTGGGTATGGCTTGTTCCATTTTAGGATATACCACTTGGCTTACAGATTTACAAGAAATAGTTCCTAATCTTCAAGACAATGTAGAATTAAATAAGATTAATGCTCATGTTGATGAATTAAATTGGTGTGATCCTATATCCTTTACTGAAAAGTATGGTCAAGATATAACATTTAATACTATTGTTGTAAGTGATCCCATATATTCTCCACAACATCCATACTGGTTAGTCAATATGATTGAAAAATTTTCTGCTTTAGATAAGAGTAAATCTCGTGTACTAATTCAAGTACCATTAAGGCCAAAATATGAACAGGAAAGAGAAGTATTATGGAATCTTATGAAGAATAAATTCCATGAAATAGAATCAGAAATTGAAGATGGATATGATGATTTTGGGGAAATGAAATTTATATTTAAATTGTATATTAGAAATTAATAGATTTTACACATACATGTATATAAGCAACACTTCTTTTAATGATCTTCTAATCTATATATAATCTTTTAATTGTCTTAATCTATTGACTGCATCTTCTAAGATAGCATCATCTTTACATACAGCAAATCTAAGAGTTTTTTCTAAACCATTACCCTTTCTGTTTGATGGAATTAAGAATTCAGTTGGTGGAATACCAACAACTCCAATTTCTTTAATTAACCAATAAGCTAATTTAAAGTCTAAAGTACCTCTAGCAGAAATTGAAAGTGGGAAATCATAATCTTCTGGTACTTTAACTTTCAGTAAATTAACTAATAAGAAATAACCACCTTGAGCAATAGTATAAGGTAAACCTAATTCATCAAATACTTTAGTAAAAATCTTATATTTATGGATATAATCATCTCTAACTTTGTTAAAGTAATCATTCTTTCCTGCTTCAATAAAACCTTGAGAAACAGCTTGTTGTAAAGGAGCAGGAGTCGAAAAACAAATTCTAGTATGAGCAGCAGTTACAAATTTAATTAAACTAGCAGGTCCATGAATAAATCCAACTCTCCAACCAGTGGCAGCAAAGGATTTACCTGCAGATCCTACTGTTAAAGTTCTTTCTGCTAATTCAGGTAATTTAGCTAAAGCAGCAGGTCTTGGGAAAGTCTTTGTAAAATAAAGATTTTCATAAACTTCATCACTAACAATAATAATATTATGTTCAATGGCTAATTTACCAAGTCTATATAATTCATCTTCAGTAAATACTTTACCAATTGGATTATGAGGAGTATTAAGAACAATAATTTTAGTTTTATCAGTAATTGAATTTTCTAAACCTTCCCAATCAACTTCCCAATCATCACCAGAAACAGTTTGATTATCAAATTTTTGAGGATATTTAATTTCAACATATTTAACTTTTGCACCAGTCATTTCAATATTTGGAATATATTGATCAAAGAATGGTTCAAATACAATAACTTCATCACCAGGAGTTAAGAATCCAAAAAAGATTGAAAATATACCTTCATTAGCTCCAGTAGTAATTTGAATTTCTGATTCATCTACTGGTCTACCAAAAGCTTTTGAATAATGTTTAGCAATTTCTACAATTAAATTTGGATTACCTCTTGCATGAGCATATTGATTAAATTGAGGTTTTGTTAATGCTTCACCTACTGCATTAATTGCAAAATCAGGTGGATTATAAGAAAAAAATCCTTGACCTAAATTTACAATTGGTTTACCAGATTCTTGTTGAGCTTGTGCGGCAGTTTCATTAATTAAAGACCAAATATCCTTTTGTCCTGGCTTTTGAAAGAAGTATGGATTATGTAAGGATGCTGGATCTAATGATTTAGAAACTTTAGATGTAGTCATGATTGTTCTTGAATTTATAGTTATATTTGATACTTTATGTATTGAGATTGAATAGGAATGTTGTACTATACTTCCCAATCTCTTCAACATGAAAATTGTGAAAAAAATCCAATTACCAGTTGGTGATTATTGCAATAAATTCGGTGGGAATTTGTCATGGGATTAAATACCCGATAGAAAAAAAATTATTGTGGCTCTTATCGCGAACCCGATAGTACACGTGAGAGAGAGGTGTCATAGTAGCACCGAATAAACCTTATTACTCATAAGTATTATTACTAAATTAATTAAGTTTTATTAAATTAACTTCTATTATATTACATTAAAATATATTACATTAATAAATGAATGAATGAATAAATATATAACTATATAAATAAATAATCTTTGTACATTGGGGGTCCTACAGGTGGAAGTCGTCTTTCGCGGGGTTCTTCGATCAACTTTTCTTGTTTAGCAATTAAATCTACTATTGGTGATAAATAGGTAGATTTATTGATAGATGAACATCCTTCTTCAACTACCCATTTCTGATTAGAATCTGAATTATTCTTAACTATTACCTCGCAAGCATAACCTGTAACAAATAATCCAGGAGGTCTTGAACCACATGCTTCAACTGCTTCTGCTACTGATGATAATGTTGTCCTTATAATTCTTTGATCAGGACACGATGCTCTTTCTATAATTGCAACTGGTAAATCAGGACTCCAATTTTTCTCTTCAATTAATTTAGGAATTAATTCAACTATACGATGTAAAGCCATTAAGAATACAGTAGTTCTTGATTTAACAAATTCAGGTAATACTGGTACAGCCCCACGACGTCCAGTTCCGGTACAAATTAAAACTTGATCTGCTACTTCTCTATGGGTGGCAGGAATTTGACTCAATACAGGAGCTGCCAAAGCTGAGGTAATACCTGGTAAAACAACAGGTTTATATCCTTTCAGTTGAAAGAAATTGTATTCTTCACCACCACGACCAAAAATATATGGATCACCTTGTTTTAAACGTACAACACGTTCACCACGTTCTAATCCTTGTAATCCCATTTCAAGTAATTCTTGTTGAGCTCGTTCTGCATTACCAGGGAACTTTCTTGCAATGAATAATTTGGTTCTCTTTTGCGGTATTAAGTCAATAACTTCCTGAGGTACTAACTTATCGGCAAGAATCAAATCGGCTGTGAATATAGCATGAAGTGCTCCTAATGTAAGTAATGAGACTGATCCTGGTCCTGATCCAACTAATGAGATTGTTCCTTGCTTTCTTACTAATTTTTGTCTCTTGTTAGCACTTTCAAAACTTTCATCATCCTTTTCGGTACTATCTATTAACTCATTTTTATTATGATATGCTTGAGACAAATCATCTAACGATAAAGTAGAAAGATATTGTAATGGGAAATATTCAACTATTTGACTTAACCATCTTGCCCTTTGCGATTTCTGTTGTTCCTTTGACATATTGAATTCTTCAACTAAAGAGTTTAATTTGGATGTAGTTACAGCATCTTCGTCATGTTCACCAATATCTTCATGATTTGAATTAGATGACAAAATGATCGCATCTTCTCGCTGTATTCTAGTTCTAAGCTCACCTACTTTATCACATATTTCACCTATATTGGCTGGTAATGCATTAACAAGCTCTCTTTTAATTCTAGATGCTAATTTGCATCCTTTACCAGAAGTAGTCACTCCCATTTGGAAATCTCCCGCAGTATGAGTCGAAAGTAATGTGAATGTACACAACTCAGGTGTATCAGTTGTATTTATCGGTATTCTGAGTTTTTTGCATTCGTTATATATCTGACATTTTAATTCATGTTGAGCTATTGGTAAGACTACAAATACTTTATCAATTATATTATTCACTTCATCTCTACCATAAGTTGTCATTGTTTCAATGATATCATCTATATTCAAAGATTTATTGGAAATAACTTCAAACTCTTCATCATTCACTTCTGAAGACGAACTTGATGCAAATATTACAGGATTTGCACCTGCTTCTTTAATAGTCTTAGCTCTTATCAAAGATGATTTGGCATCTTGAACTATTATTAGATGTCTTTCTTCACGGCAGTTCCACGAAGTTAGCAAGTTTGGCATTGTAAGCACACTTCTGATATACTAAAAGGTATCAAATACTAGTCAAACTCCGAACTGATGTAGATCTGGATCAATATATATACATATATGGGGTTTGAAAAATTTCTGGATTACAAAATATCACGTGGACTGCTGCTTATCAATAGACCTGCACATAATCCCCACTTACCATTAAGATAGTATCTGCTGTTGTATTGCTATACTAATAGACATATTCGTTCTTCACTCGCAACTCTAATTTCCAATGGACAAGGATGAAAATTACAAACTTATTAGAGAGAAACTAGGATAGTTTTACGAATTAATCACTATATTATCCGCAAAGAATTAGAGTTTGTCTATTATATAATTGATAAGCTTATTTGACATGTAACTACATCAGCTGATTTACTATAGATTTTCAAGATTACTTAAATATCTTAAACTCTAGCTGAAATATATATTTCTGGGCTGGTCACCCACACGTAATTATAAACATATAGCTGCAAAACTCTATTTGGATGAAGTGCAGCAAAACATCGCATACCTGCACACAAGCCTATTCTTTTTAACTATAGTGAATAAATTTTATATATATGGTCTGATGTACTGAAAACTTTCATTTAATATTCCATAGAAATATAGAAATCAAAATGGGTGTTAAGAGACCTTTAGGACTTGGAGCTAAAGCTAAAGCTAACGCTAAGAAATCGAAACCAGCCAGTGAGGGATCTAATGGTGTAGAAAGTGAAGATGTACAAACTCCAGCCAGTAATGAGCTCACTGTTGAGTTAAACGAAGAAGCCGATGCTGAAGATGAGATTGCTCAATTGAAGGCTTTATGGAAGACTTATTATGATTCAGATAGAGATAATGAGTTAGTTTTGAATGGTATTGTTCATGAGTGTGATCGTTTGTTAAGAAACAATAACGAAACTAAGGATGAACCTAGTACCATTACTTTGAAAGATGATTTCCATTCAATTTATGCATTAGCTCTTGCAGAATTGAGTAATTTTCATGTTGATGATGGTAAAATTGCAGAATATTTTGATGCTAGTTTAGAAAGAATTGATCTTGGGTTAGAGAAATTTCCAAAATCTGCCCAATTGCAAATGTCTAAAGCTAGAATTTTACTTTCACGAATTGCCTTAGAGCAAATTTCCAAATTGTCTATAGACTCAAAAGTGGATACTAAGGAGGGAAATATAATTGTGAAGGAATTGAATAATGCTTTAAAAGCTTATGAAGCTGGTGAAAAGCTTGCTGAGACAAATGGACAATTTGAGTTGTTTAATGAACAAAATTTCGATGTGTTAGAAAGTTTAGATGATATTTTGGATATAATTGACAATTTCGGAAAAGATGATGATGATGAGGAAGAAAATGATGATGATGAGGAAGATGATGATGATGATGAAGACCAACAATCAGTTGAATTGGCTGAAACCCATCCATTATTTTCTGTTCGTAATACTGATGAATACAACCAATGGTGGAGAGATCATATCATCAAGTATCTTGAAAATTTGGATCAACAAAAGGAAGATGTTAAGAGAGATAGTCAGCTCCGTCGTGATATATGTAAAAGGGTAGGACAATCATATTTACAGGAGCTGGAAATTCCTAGCAGCGTATACACTAGTTTGACTTATGATGATGACTATGCAGGTATTGAAGAATTGGAAGGTTTAAAAGCTCAAGAAGCTCAAACCATTGCTCGTGATTTAATATCGACTGCTTTAACTTACTTGAAGCAAGCTGAAGATAAGGAAGATCCAGAAACTTGGGTAGCAGTAGCCGAAGCCATGATAAGTTTAGGAAATCTTTATGATGTTGATAGTGATGAACAAGAAGGACAATATGTTAAAGCAGAAGAGATATTAAAGAGAGCGAATAATGTTACAAATGGGAAATATGAAGACGTATTAGAAAATTTATTATCTGCTTAAGAAATGCAGGGTATTATATATGAAAAAACAAAATGAGTTCTATATGGAAAAATTATATGATTATATATAACTTGTAGAAAGTGAATGGAAAATCATTAGCATGGCATCATGGCTGAGGATTAAAATTAAAAACAAACAAATAAATTAGAGTTAAATATTAAACCTGAACTTTAAGGTGGAGTAGCAAATAGTAAGGAGTGCAAAGTAGTTGAATGGATGAAGTTGGAAACTGATTAAAATATGACCTATGACCAAAAAAGATGTAATTTAAATCTATACTCTACTTGTGATTGTACTTTCGCTCTGTAACTTCATGGCATTTCTTTCATGAGCATTATCTTTACAGAATTGTAAACCTTGACATAAATGGTCTTCTAAAAGACGATGTTTGGCACAGAATGTTCCTTGACAATGACTACAAGCACCTACCATTCTTAAAGGAGCAGAAGTACAAGATTTGAAAGAGCACTTATTCTTCTTCTTGGTCTTTTTAACACCAACAGTTGTAGAAACAGTTGAAGTATTGGCAGTTTCAGTAGTGATATCAACATGTGAAGATTGAGGAGTTAAATTTGTTGGAGTATCTGAACCATTACTCATAAGGATGACTGTTATTGGAGATGATGGTGTTATATTAAATGTCGATAAAGGTTTATAGTAAGGAGCTAATTTAACACCATTATAAATAAGTTTAAAATCAGAAGGTAATTTAGCAGAAATCGGACATCCAACTTTAGCAGAATTTCTTAAATCCTCTACGGTTGAGTTATCCGGGATAGTTATAGTATAAGAAGATTCAGTAGATAATCTGATAGTGACTTTCATGATTGATACGAGTATATATGAATTATGCTAAATGATAAAACACTAGATTTAAGAGTGTGGGAAATATTAGTTTGTGAGTAAAATGAAGATAAGATATAACAAAATGGTTGTGTGGTTCCGAAACTTATTTATAAAATGATGTGTATTTTGCCTCCCTTTGAAATTGTCGTCTGTGGGTTGAGGCTGCGACTCCGGTAGATAAGGGAAAGTCGCTAATAGAAATTGATGGTAGTAGCGTAGCAAATATTGATTAGTTTGCTATGTTATGTGTTGTTAGTTTAACTAAATAAACTAAATAGGGTATTTTAAGTATATATTAATAATATATATCTAGTATATATATGGAGGGTATAAAATTGGTTTAGTAAAGGTTTATATATAAATTGACTAATTACATCGTGATTTTATACTATCTGATGATGAATCATCAAAATCTCATTTGGGAAGAGTCATTGTCGGTGGCAAAGTTTCTTTTTTCGGTGTTAGGTCACATGACAATTTCTCTCTTTGACTTTCTTTTTCGGTCTTTCGGTCTGTGTCTGTCTCATGATTTTATATCATAGCCGGGGTTCTTTTAACGCAGTATGCAGGTACGTGCCGGAATTACTAGATTAGGAAATGTAATTGACTAGAGCATAGGAATCCCACTAGGAACTCTTTCTGCTAGTATATTTTGAACTTTGGGGCCATTAAATGAAATTTCTCCAACTACTCGTTCAACGTTGTTAACTGTAGTTTTTGTAGAATAAACTGATGATGATTTTAGTAACTTCAATGATTTTGCCTTTAAGGTGATATCCGCAGGAATTGGTGTACTTAAAACTCTTGTAACTGCCATAAGCATTACTATAGCAATGATCCCAAAGATTCCACTAGTTTGTTTGAACATATTACCGAAGATGTACCTTAAATGATAAAATTCAATTGATCCATGAAAGCTAAACAACTAGACTCAATCTAAATTGCAAAATTCAAACTTATTTACACATACTTATATATATATATATATAATCTAGATACATTTGCAACACGAAAATTACTACTTTCATACTTCTCCTTCCTTTCCTTTGTCTTCAATTATTCCCAAGATGTGCGTCTCCAAATTCGTAGATCTTTGTTTAAAATTGACATTACTTTATTGAGTAATTTCAGTTTTTCTCAAGACAAGGAAAAAAGGGCAAGTTGGCTTTGAAACAAATAAATATATTCAGATTGCTTTGTTAAGCAAGATGATGTACATTGCTATATAACTATTTACATCTCAGTACATTACCACGACCCACCCCCTTCGACTTATTAACCTCTTTGTTTGTACCTCTTGCTGATTTTATATTTATTTAGTTTGACTATGTATTTATTTAACGTCCTTAAGCGTTCCCTTCCCTTGCCTTTTTTTTTGCACCTTTTATTACACCGGCCCGAAGGTAGCTACTAATCAGATCCATTCTGATTTTCATTCCAATTGTTATTAAGTTTGCTCTTTAGCTTGTTTCGCAATTTTAACCCAACGTCTTCGTCAAAGTCGCTATTATTATTATTGTGATAAACACGTTTGTCTCCATTTGATTGAGGATGTCCTCGAATAGTTGTCAAATTTGTAAATGATGACTTGGCTGAAATACCTGCCCCAGTAACGCTATCGGTAAGATATGAAAAGATTGGAATATCACTTAAATTATGAATATTGAATGATTCAACGGAACTTATCCTACTTAACATTCCCTTACCCTTCTTACCTGCTTTATATATTGGATGTTCTCCTTCTTCATCTGATGATTCGATTTCATCACCTTCATGAACAACTGTTACTTTTTCATCATCAAAATCACCATAGAATTCATCAAAATCATCAAACATACCAGGACCATACTTGTTGCAAAATTCATCGACTTTACCTGCCAATTCCCGACGTGTTTTCTTTAATTCATCAATTTCAATCTCTCCATTGGTGTGGAAACTAACTATAGAAAGGAATAATGGTCTTAAAGACTTATAATAATCCATTCCAATTTCTCCAACTCTCAAAGATGCATATGTCGTTAATAATGCCCAGCAATAACAGAATAAGAAAATTATGTATACTGGAACATGGATTGGCGAAATATTGTATTCCAAAATTAAGATTGTTCCAATAATAGAATACAAAATGTATAAAGCGGGAGCTAATACTAAAGCAACAAGAATCTTCCATGTACCAATCACATCATTAGCTTTAATCTTAACAACAGATGCAGCAAGTGCTTCTTTGGCTCTTTTGTTGGATATTCTAATAGCAACAATAAACACAGGACTAAATAATATCATCCCAGGTAAACTTAAACCCATGAACAACGCATATTTGAAGAGTCGTTCTATTAAAACGATGAATGTATGGAATCTGTGTTTACGTGTTAATGTCTCGACATCGTGATCATGGAGTCGAAGAGCCCGTAATTTAGAATTGTATGCCATTACTTTCTCCCTTAATTCTATCACATCTGGTTCATTCTTGTATTGTTCATAACCTTTAATCAACCTTCTGTTCAATTCAACTACCATAGGTAAGGGAATATTCTCTCTATTGGCAGAAGTATATAATCTTCTGGCTGCCTGTAATACCATAAGTGTTTCGTAATCTTTGCAAGTAACAGTAACTTCTTTTAACCCTAATGTTATTGCATTCAATAACTCACCAACTGCGGCCCTTGAACTTTCAATATAATGCAAACCCATAGACTTATCGACTATAATAGGTTCTCCAAATTCAACAACAACACGCGATCTGAATAGATGAGGATGAAAATAGTTTAAACCTACTGGGATAATAGTAACAGGCTCAATATGAACATCTGAATTACCTTCCTTAAGTTTATTAATAGCTTCAGCAACTGTACCAAGTGCCATGATAGCAACACCTGGCTTCAAAGGCAACAAATCTGGTCTATCATGAGATCCACCTTCTGGAAATATTCCTAATACTCTACCGCTATTTAAATGGTTGAAGACATGTTTGAAAACAACACTATTGTCAATATGAGGAGCTACTTTATACTTTGTTCCTTCTCTTAATAGTTTGTCAATTCTAGCTTGATTTTCTGGGCGAGCTGACTCGAATTTCTTCTTCAATATAAGATGAGTATCATCTTGAATACTGAGAATTTGTACATTTCCTAAATATTCAGGTAAACCAACCAATCCCTTTTCCATACATTCAGTTGTGAACTTGGTACCTTCTCCAATCACTTCAATTTCATTATCTGGATTAACTCTTATTTTCCCCAGTGCTGGTTTGACTAGATCTTGTGGTCTTTCAACTGGGATTACCCCACATAACATGGCCATTGTTCCTATGAATCTTTGCTTATAAGATTTGTTAGCAATTATGAATGCAATACGACGACCAATGAATTGTTTTACTTTGGACATGACAATCAATGGATCAATGAATTGATTATGATGAGGAGCAATGACAAATATTACAGGGCCCTGATGAGGTATATGAAATGTACCTCGTGGTTGAATATCACGAAAGAAAGTATGAATTACAAAAGAAAAGAACCAAAGTACCAAATCATAGGTTATAAAACTTAATAATTGTAATATAGCTCGATATGTACTCTTATCTTCAGAAGTGAAAAATGATTGTCTATCAACTTTAACACTTTTACTACTTAATGGTTGCAATTTGGTTATTGTTGCTGATGCCTTTAGTGGGGTAACAACTACACCTGCAGAATCCTCTAACTTCATCACGATAAGTATTAATTTACAATATAATTTAGTTTACTGAATATGTATCTTGGACTATACTTTCTGAGAATTATATATGTCTATTGAACTTACAATGTGCACAACACTGTAATTGCCATCGTAAGATTTCCTAAAAAAAGCTTTTTGATATATAGCTTAAATGGTCATTTGCTCGCCACAAGAAAAAAGGTCAGACATAATCAAGCTCATAGTTGCAGCTTATAACTCATTGAAGCTGGTGATCTTGGATTAATGTATAGAAAATATATTATTTAATATATACCCTATATAAGGGATTAATACAATTTTTCTTTTATACCAATTTGTTAATTTTTTATTTTATAATTCTAATCTTCTCCTGCGGGTATCTCATCCTTAAGCACCTTATTTAACTTTAATCTTATCTCAGTACGATCATCACCTCTTAAAACATCTTTAACAAAATTAACATCTACATCTAATTGAACCATTTGAAGTGCACCTCTTAATACTCCACATAAAATTTGTGAATACCATAATTCTTTACTAATCTTAGAATCAGTCGTTATTGGTAATTCAACAAATTCTGTTAGTGGATTAGGTTCAGGAAGAATTAATGAACAAGTTTTATTATCTGAACTCCAATTTTCAATAGTTGGAACTATATTTAAGAATATTTTAAATCCAATTTTACTAATTATTTCACTTGTTTCTCGAAAAGTTTGGCATCGACGAACTCCTGTTTTGGCTAAGAATTCTTCAATTAATCGTAATCCAATATTATACCCCATTTTATCCAATTGATTGTTGACTTCATGATAATTGTTATTGAAGTCTCGACATAGTTGTGCTACAACAGACCCGTATGTTAATGTAAATAATTCTGAATTCTATATCTCACATGTTAGTACGATTTATATTCAATTAAAACTATGAGATCAAATATACTTGTTACTATTCAATCTCTTTATCGTTGCAATGGTTGTTTAGAATCTAAAACCAATACCGATCAGAGCTGAATAATCTTGAGAAATACATACAATTTTTTCGACATTATTCTTCCATATATCATCCCCGTTATACTTAGAGCTCTTGGACATGTTGGCTCTTCTATTATTTAAGTTTAATAGAACTGACAAGATGCTTATTGATCATGAAATACTTGGAAACTTTTAACAATATCACCCGTCTGGTTTAAAATTTTAGGACAAAAATAGCCTGCACATAAACAACACCTACAAACCTAACTAAAAACTACTATTATAAACATAGTATAATTATATATTAAAAATATCGTCGAACATTAGAGAAAGTATTATACTTGAAATTAAGATTATTAAGATTTTATTTGCTGAGTCATTGAAGCATTGATAAATTTGGTCACAATCTGTGGTGACATTATATATACATAGGATAAGAAATATGTGATTAAATTAATGATATTAAAAGGTTATCCTTTTGATTAAAAAATGTTTTGATAAATGATTAAGTGATGTACAATCCAAGGTGATAAGTAAGTGAATGATTGATTGAATGATTGAATTAATGAATTAATGAATTATCTATCCTTTTTAGATTCAGATTCACCATCGTCATTAAAGGTCCATTTACTCTTAGTCTTTGTAGCCAAAAATTCTCTATATCTTGTTAAAGTAATGTGATCTTGCATTTGCTTATATTCATCAACAAATTTATATTCGGTTCCAAATAATTTATCCCAATAAGTAAAGAATGGTTGAGAAAAATTATTTTTAATACCCCAAGTTTGATGATGAATGTCATGATAAATGGAATTATTTGGGAAAATTATTTGAAATAAATCAAATGGTAATCGATATCCACAATGATCATCAACTGTTTTTAAAGTAGCAAATGTATACAAGACGATAGCTTCTCTTGGACATAATTTAGTAATAATATTAGCAAGTCCAGTACCTAAAGTATCTAATAAGAAACCTTCTACTGGATCATTGTATAAAGCACCATAAGCATATGGAACATATAATCTATGATGTCTTGAATGAAATCTTCTGTATAAATACTTATTAACATGCATGATTCTATGTAACCAATATTGCCATGTATCAATTATAAGAAAAGCGAAAGTTATTCTTACTAATGACCATCCATACATATAACCATAATATACAAAGACATCAGGAATAAAGCTGGGTATGTAATTTTGTCTTAAACTCCACATTTCATATAATTCATGGCCAGTTTGTGGGACAGGATCGAAATAAAATACCACAAAGCCTACTACTGTTTGAACTACATGTTGTAATATGACATCTTTAACTACATCATCTAAAGTTGCTTTATTTCTCAGTTGTTCTTCTTCACTTGGATGTATTCTATATTTCTCAGCCAATTCATAAACATCAATAATATGGAAGAATGTCGCGTATGACCAATAGGCAACTATTGGAACTATTAGTGCTAATATACCATCAGGAAGTCCCGGAATTAAAGATGGTTTTATAGATAATTTTATATCAGCTTCATAAAATTTAGGTTGTGATAATATAGTTGAAAAATTCTTCGGAGGTACAAAGAATTCCAAAGTATTCATGGTGATTTGATAAGATATCGTAGATGACTTGACCTGGGATGAGTAACTGAAAATTCTTGGATGAGCTAATTAATTATGTGATTAAGGATATAATTATAGTACTGAGATTATCACTGCTGGATATATATTTATTCCTCCTTGTTATTTATTTATGTATGTATTATATTTTTAATGAGTGTCGTTGGTAAATTATATAAACAAATTCTCCAGTAAGCAGAATGATGAATGGTTTTGTTATGTTTATCTGGTGATCGTATTTTTCTAAGTTTTTTTTTCTTTTTTTGTTTTTTTTATTTTGCATTAACGATTATCGGGAAAGATGTCACGTGCCGTGCGGAATGTAAATAAGCATAATAGGGGTAGTACCACCACCCCATATTTTATAAGGTTGTTTAATACTTTATTTTAGTAAGGTGGTCTAATATCAGCATGACTCTATATATATGTGTATATATATGTGTATATATGCGACTGAGCTTGTGAATAGCTATAGCCCAAATGGTGTAGTAAACTATATAGTGTATTTCTATATGAGCACTTAATTTCAGACAAAGTAAACAAAAAACTTCCGAAAACTTTGCAACCAAGCCCCATAATATACAATGTGAGGTCGTCAATTCACTATAAATATCTCTCCTACATATTTACTTTTCGTTCTCTAGTGATTATGATTTGACAGAGTACAAATTGAGCATCGATGCATAGAGGTTTAACTACAACTAATGTCTGATAAATATGTCATAACCCCTATTTAAATTATATTTTTCTGAATCGCATAACAGATCTTTTACAAATTCTTAAACACCAGAATTTATATACAATGCATTATTGATATTCAACAAACATAGAATAGAGCAAATAATTGGGCATACTTCTAAAAATATAAATCTGAGAATTGAACAAAGATTTTTGCAGCTAGATTGAACAAAAATATCTGGAAAATCTCAAACACCTCTACTACCCTTTAGGAGTTTAATACGTCTAAATCGTTTATTTCATAAATCTAAGTATGCAATGAATAATTATGTTTACATGAAAAAATTACTAAATACTAAAAACAAAACCATTAAAAGAACTCTAATGCTTGTCTCTTATCATCATCATCATTAAAAAGTACATTATGATAAATGTCCAAATCATCCTTCTTTGATCGAGTGATATGTTCTTTAATAATTTCTAATGCATTAATATTAGCAATAAGTGGAAATCGTGTGGTGTAGTAATATTTACTCATCTTGTTAAGAAAAGGTTGATAATCGTCTTCAAAGAAACGGAAAAACCATTCTACATCTATAACTTCTCCATTTTTGTATAGACTAACTCTATCTTCAATTTGACCCAAAAGGATATATAATAATGCATACGAGGCTCGGAATAATGCTTCCCGAGCATGTAGGGTATCAGAAGTCTTACCCTTTTCAAGGAATGATTTGGCAACTTTATACAAAGAAAATGAAGTATCAAAACATTCATTTAAATTACTAACAGTTGGCGACTTATAATATTTTATGTTCACAAGGCATTGAACAAGTGCCAAACTTATATAATTTGGTTCCAAATCTTTACTGGCTAAGTTTTTGGAAATCTGAATTTCGTAATCCAAATCAACCTGCTTCGATAAATTATACAGATTGACTCTTTTACAAACACCTCTCATAACCTCAATTCTTTCTTTATAATTAAAAACATCATCGTCCAATAATTTATGCTCAACATAATCATCATTAATTAGAGTTTGATGACCTGATTGGAAACTTTTGATAGTATCTTCAAATAGAATATATTTCCACATATTCTTTAACGAAGTAATGTATGCCAAATCACCTTTGTGGATCTTATCAATATTTCTATTAAGACCCAATAATGTTGCCATAGAACAAATTGTAGATAACAAATTAATTTCTTGGATTGATAATTTATGTTTATATCTTTCATGAAAATTAAATTTTTTTACTTCATGTAGTAGAATCATTGCTTGCAATTCAGGAATTGTACAACCAAAACTACAATTCGAAAATATTAATTTAAGATTACCAATCAACTCAATTTGATTATTTTTAAATTCACCACTTAATTGACATGATATAATTATAATTGCTAGGGTTATACATAATTCTATTTGTGAATGGTTGGACTTTAATTTCCCATGTTTATCAAAAGTATTGTCAAAATATCTGTAAACATCATTAGAACTAAAGCATTTAAAAATTAGTTGATCTTGTTGTTGTAAGAAATTACTTAATAATTTAGACATATCCTTATAAATAGGTAATATACTCTCTAATTCTTTTGTTGGACGAGGCTCTTCCACACGAGATTGTTTCATCCATGATTTTATATCTACTCTAGTCTTTTCAGATGATTCAATTACAATAGGATGCAGTTGGAATAATTTTTGTATAATAGTTCTCCAACATGTTGCACCAAGATAGGCCAGGACATCAAAATGTGGTTTATATAATATGAATTGCAGTAAATCATATAGTATCGACAGAGTACCTTTAATATAGGTAGTGGAATTGATATTCTCGGTCCTGCCAGCATATAAACCATCATGACTCTCTAGTTTGTATATATTTTTAGCATCAGGTAAAGTTGAAGTTGATCCAGACTCTAATGACAATGCTGCTGCTGCTTCGGCAGCAGCTCGTAACACATGAGGCGAGGCCTCATATACACATAAATGAGCTGGAATCCTATTTCTTTGACAAGCAGAACATTGAGGCTTTTTTCTATTACATTTTACCTTCCTCTTTCTACAATTTGTACATGAATAAGATATTCTAGTTCTTATTTTTCCAGTATCCATTGCAGCACATGTACACCGACTAAAAAATCATTTAAAAAACAAAAGTTTTTTGGGGCAAAAATAATGATTACAAATGATATTTTCTTAATGATATTACAAAATCAATAAAAAGTAATGTTGTATAACTGAAGAATGAATTATTCTTTATTGTTTTATTAAGTAATTAGTTGGGTGTTCGATGGAGATTAATTTTAGGGGCCTTCATACGCAGGAATGAGCACGGCTACGTTTTTTTTTGCAATAATTCTTCGGTGATCTTCGGACGATCAAAGTTATAATGAAGAATTACTGTATATGTTATCAAAGGACTCTATCCCAAAGGCGTATAAATATAGATATTTAACTGATAGAATCCCATATATTCAGATTACTACTTCTACGTTCAATCAGTCTAGTGCATTACAATAAATGAAAAAGATATCTTTTAAGATGTCATCACTGGAGAATGAGGAGAAAGACCAATCGTCTTTAAATTTAGAGAAACAAGATAATGAAACAAAATTAAAGGAAGGGGAAACTGAGGATGTAGAAAACAACTATTTGACTGGTTTACCATTAATTTTATGTACTGCATCCATTATTTTAGCATTATTTTTGACTGCAATAGATCAATCCATTGTTATCACTGCTCTTGAAGGTATTGAAACTACATTTAACTCAGCTGCACAAATTGGTTGGACAAGTTCTGGTTATATTTTACCTATGGCAGTATTGGCTTTAGCATGGGGTAAGTGTGGTATTGTTCTTGGTAGAAAAAATAGTGTCTTAGTATCAATTTTTTTATTTGAAGTTGGATCATTGGTTTCAGCTTTATCAAATTCAATGTCAATGTTCATTGCTGGTAGAGTTATCACAGGTATTGGTGCTGGAGGTATTCAAACAAATGTCATTTTAATCAGTTCGGAAATTACCCCAATAAGACAAAGAGGTCTTGTTTTAGGTATAGTAACTATGACTTTAACTCCTGCAGCTGCAATTGGACCCATCATTGGTGGATTGTTTACAGGTTCTGCTAGATTAACTTGGAGATGGTGTTTCTATATAAACTTACCTTTTGGTGGTGTTGCAGCTCTATTTTTAATCTTCTTATATAAACCAAAACACCAAATTGCTAAACTGTTCACCAGAAGTAACTTATCAGTTGAATTTATTGTGAAAACATTTGATCTTATTGGAGTTTTCTTACTTTCGGTATCGTTAACATTATTCTTAGTTGGTTGTTCATTTGGAGGAGAAAGTGCAAATGGGTTTACAAAACCTTTACCTTTAAGTTTTGTAATAATCGGAGCAGCATTATTCGTGATATTTATTTACTATGAACTTTTTATATTCAAAATTGATGAAGAAAAGCAATTCTATCCAATGATACCTAAGTCTTTAATTATTAAGAGACAAGTTATGGCTCCAGCTCTAACAATTTTATTTGGAAATCTTGTTTTTTTTGCTTCCAGTATGTATATTTCGATTTACTTCCAAAATTTATTAGGATTTCTGGCAAGATCTACCGGGGTCCGTTTATTACCTATGATCATTCCTACATTATTTACAACTATCTTTTGTGGGGTTGTATGTAGTAGGGCTGGTGTTGTCAAACCACTTTTAGTAATAGGCTCGGTAATTTCAACCATTGCCTGTGGATTAATGACAATGTTCAATTATCATTCAAATAGTGCTATGAGAGATGGCTTTATTTTTATGATTGGGTTCTCTTTTGGGTTTTTTAACCAACCAGCAATTATAGCCGCACAGTTATCAAATAAGGAAGGTAGGCCGGATTTCAATTTGATAATTACTGCATTTATGGCTTTTTCACGTTCATTGGGATCTGCGTTGGCTGGTGTGGTAAGTACGGCGATCTATACCGCCATTGCTAGTAAAAAGGTGGATTCTTTCAGGGGGGAACTTGGACTCGACCAACTTCTCACCGGAAGAATAATGGGAACGTTAAATGAAGATCAATTTAATATCTTCATTGTATCAGTTACAAAGGGGTTAAGATGGGTATACTTTACTTGTGTTATCTTTTCAATCTTAGGATTTCTTTGCTCTTTATTATGTTTCAATGATAGAGTGCCAATAGCTAAAAAGGAGAAAGCGCAAGTTGAGCAGCCTGTTGAACAGGAAGTTTAAGCTCAACCATCAATAAGCCTCAGTAACCCATATTTCAGATCTAAATTTGGAATATGAAACAGGTTACTTTAATTATTAATTCTATTTATTTTACTTTCTAATTTTAATTGTTTTGATTAACGCATATTATGTTTGTAGTTAATAAAATTCGGGCTAATTTCTTATTGCAAAATTCAAAAGCGGGTTAAAGATGGAGAAAAACGTGAAGATTGGCGGCATATCTTCAGCATAACAATAAATTGAAAAATACAAAGAAATACAGAATTCAGTATGGATATTTATTGTTGTACTACATATTTCGGTGAACGCAGAAAAATGAAACGATGCTTCGTAAATAGTGCGCTTCTACAAGTAAGGGATTAAAGAACTATTGTATCGCATGTTACTCAAACCACTAGGGAGCATAAATTCGAGTGAGAACACAATAAAGCACCAGTACGTTACAATAATAGTATTACGTATATATACGACAAACAAACCATTTTTATTCTCATAATAAGAGTAATACAAAACAAACAATACCGTTATTGTAATACTTCTGCCGAAAAAAAAATAAATTGTGACAGAAAGGGTATATTTATAAGACGCACCAACCCTCCTCCCAAATTATACAAGCTATAGTGTATCATGTTTTAATATATTTTAGTTTGTTTACATTTAAAGAGACAAACAAAGAATACGACATTGTTGGGTTCACGATAATCCCTTGTTCGTCATTATGAGGATTGACAGAACTTGAGGGGAGAATGGGAATTTTAATCTGGATTTTAGAGGCGTAATTTCTTTAATCCCATAACTAATGAAGTCATGACTATTCACATCGCGAAAGTAATATTAATTGATAAAATATTTAAAGCTTATCTGCAATGTAACTCCTTCGTTTCCTTCATTAGAAAACCACTTGAGCCTGAGAGCTAGGTCATTAGTTCAATCATACTTAAATAATCTTAGGTAACCAAATCTCTAAATTGGAAACTTGAAAAATAGGTAAAGCCTCAAATTTAGGCAATAATTTCCTACTTTAGTAATTTTAATTTGACCAAGGCGTGCAATTTTCTTTGTTAAGGATTTAAAATACTCAAATAGTTATTTAAGTCTCTCTTCTAGAACCGATCCTTGAAGCATATTTGAGCCAAGTTGCTTTAAGGTTGACTAGCTCTACCATGAATGCTTAATATTTCTTAATCATCTCAATGAAACTCTCACACTAAGTTTTAGTTATGATCAACGTCATCGATGATCGTCGGCTTCCCTTACTGCTTACGATTAAATAATAAAGAACCGTAAGTTCCAATTCGTAGTAACTTCTGAAATTTCTAGAGGTATCACTACAATTATTTTTATTGGTCCATGGTTCATTGGTTTTACCTCTCACCCAATCAAAATAAACTGTGATTAGGAGAATATTAAGGGATACCATATAGGGGCTAGGGGTTCATAATCAATAATTTCTTTCTTTTCTTTTCTTTTCTTTTCTATTCTAGTTATACTAATATTATTAGATTTGCAATGGTTAGCAGTAATTTTCTATTACAGTTTGTATGAATTTCTTTTTACCAAAAGAATGACCATGATAATTATTAGCTATTACTACTTTGACTATTTTCACGATTCCTTTAGGAAACTGGAAAAATATTTATGGCGCCGATCTTCCTTTTTTGTGTATGGAATTTAATTAGAGCACTAAAATCCTAAAAAAAGATCTTCAAAAGTTCGTTGAAGATTGTCAAATTAGTGGTTCGGGATAAAGTAGGGGATGTGATAAAAAAAAGGGATAGGTGAAATTATTACTAAAAACGGAATTCGATAAAAGATAATTTATTTATACAAACTAGACCATGTAAAGTAATGTCTACTGCAAACTGACGCCAGATATGGCTCCAGCATACTTTCACAGTAATATTACTTTACATATATTATTAAGAGTATAAGAGCATCTAAACGTAGACTATGCTTCTCTTTCCTAATTGGGTATTTTCAATTTAGTTTTCAGAGTATTTTATATATCACCTTTGCAATGTTAAATTATGCATGTGAGAAGAATTGCTTGGTACCCTTCGTGTTTTTTTTCCTCTTTATTTTTTAGCAGAATTTACGACATGTAGGGTGTCATTTTTCTCGAACAATTACAAATGTTAACAATGAGAATTACTCTGGTCGCACAATGCATCGAACAAAACTCCCGATGTTGACACGACCCTTCGAATAAAATATTTAAGTTAATGTACTAAGTGGGGATGTCTTAGCGGATATTCCATATTATTATTAAAACTCAGTATAATTCGTTAAACAGAGAATAACTATGTAACATATAAGTGCAATACCGTTATATTGACATATAGTTGCCACAACTGGTTTCACCTCACACTAACCTGTTATATGCACTCGTGCACAATCTAAACCGAATCTCTGAAATTATAGTTACAAAATCTTAAAATCGCATGTATTAATTTAACTTTAGATTAGATATGTCATAACTTTAACCTTATAATATTTGTTTGAAACTTGTCTTAATTAACTTCGACGTGTTTTGCTTAGTCCTGAACCTGGATAGATTCACTCACTTTCTGACACTCTCACCAATATATTGTTTTCATAGTTGTAGTATTAATTCCATCGGAATACTACACAAGCTTTTAAAAATGCGTATATTTGAACAATAAAAGACTCGCATAAAGGCCCTTTCTCAGTCAAAAATAATCAGAAATTTTTCATGCACGATTCTTTTGCAGCTCAAAAATAATATATACAAAAAAAAGAAAATAGAGAAGCCATGATGCTTGCTGGAATTAATAATTACGATCTTATATTGAGTGTTTCAAACCACTACATTTAAAATATAGCTCGAGAGTTAGTCATCCAAAACCAAATCTATGTTATTTAGGTCACCTACTAAAATAAAGTGAAATAGATTAAAAAATAAGACCACTAGAAAGTAATGGGTGTTATCACGGATCTATATCAATATCCTCTTACAGTAAGAATCGACTTGTAAAGATATCCAGTCCCCCAAATTAGGTAATATTACAGGTTGAGTCTTCTCCAGATTAGGTTAGCGTTCTATCAGAACTAAATAAACTAAATGCAATTAATTGCCTGGCAGAAGCGTTAAAACACCCACAATTCTCCTCAAGAGCATTAGTATATAATAGCGCCAATTTATTTTTAAACGGCCATATTGACTTATTATCCCCAAGATCTGGTTTGAATAAATATTGGGACAGGTTAAAGTTGAAAATCCTATTAATTCGCATTCTACGTAGATATTTCGTGAACCAGCAAATTCAAATCTATCCATGATACAAAATAAGAACAATGGAGGATATGAAAACATCTGGAATTAATTCTGGAATTGATTCTGTACGATACTAGTTTTTGAACCTCCACGGTTCTTCAATCCCTTGCAGAACCCGAGTGCGAATGGAAGTATGAATTCTATGAGATTAAAAGGGATTTATGCGAAGATTTCGTACTTGTTTGTGTCGCTATTCCTCCAAAAAATATTACGTAACAAGAATCCTTCTATACTGGGATTTTATGTAAAGCACTTAAAACCTGAAATGGGTCATTTGTGACATTTCACAGGCATACATCAGAGCGCATGTAGATAAAATTATGGATTAGAAAATAAAAATATTTTTTATGTGTGAGGGTCTATTTTAGCAGCAATTAATATTTTTAGAACCTAACTTGTAGGTTAACCATCATGCTCAGCGGTTTTATTTAGGATTATCGATGAAACCAAATGGCGTACTGACATATATATAAAGGATGCGAAAGTATCCCCTCATATCTAGCCAAGATATTTATTACTTATTCAGATAAACCTTATTCAGCCCTTTTAGTCATTATCAGAAAACGGAATGAAAGGAATAGGCTTATTCTTGACCATAGCCTTCCAGCTAGTGCTCGCCTTGGCACAAGATGTCACTCAAGATACAGTTGACTACGGTACTTTTGATATCGGAGTGGGTGACCTTGATATTAGTCCTGATGTGTATTATTCCATTATCAATAACGCCGATACTACTATTTCCGGTAGTGTTAATGTAGGTAACTCGGGAGGGTTCTACATCAGTAGTGTCTCAAATCTCATTGGATTAAATGTTGAAATAACTGGTGATACTTTTGTGAACGATGGTACTACATCTTTCAATTCTGTTGCTTCCCTTATCGCTAGTACTTATATTCTTACTGATACGGGAGGTTTCACGAACAATGGTAACTTCTATATGGGATCCAATGGTGCTCTTGGAGTTGGTACTTTCACCATTAATGCCCCAACTATTACAAATAATGGTTTAATGGTTTTCTATCAAACTCAAAATAACGGTGGTCATGTCACCTTAGGTGGAGAAAACTTGGTAACTGGAGGTATTACTAACAATGGACAGATTTGTTTATACAACGAACTTTATGAGCAACTCTCGGGTATCGGAGGTACTGGATGCATTACAGCCCAATCAAATTCTACTGTCTACGTTTCTGATCCTTTCGCTAACATAACTGGCCAAACTGTCTATTTAGCTGATTCTCAATCATCTGTTATTGCCAATCCTCTTTTGGCAGGAAAGCCAATTAATGTTGCTGGTTTTGGTAATGGAAATATGATTGCTTTGAGTACAACCTTAGTTCCTAACGTCCTCGGAGTTACTAAACCATTCTCCTATGATGCAAGTACTGGACAATTGACACTTTATGCTGCAACAGGGTCTCAGGTTTTTAACATAGGTACTGGATATAACGCCAATGATTTCTCAGTAACAACTGATTGGGATGCCGTTCAAGATGGGGTGATATTACCCTTTAATGCTGTGACTTATAGTGGTCCCGTTCCTACTGGTACTGGTTCTACTTCTTCATCAGGTTGTGCATTATGTGATTCTCTTCCAGCTATTCCTGGTATCAGTGGATCCGATTACACGACTACCGTCACCAGCTCAGAAGATGGCCAAGTCTGTACTGATGTTGAAGAAATTGCAGTCACATCTGATGCTCTGGGTAATTTCTACAACACAACAATTCTTTTGTCAGCTTACTGTGCTACATCATCTTCTAGTGAAGCATCATCTTCTAGTGAAGCATCATCTTCTAGTGAAGCATCATCTTCTAGTGAAGCATCATCTTCTAGTGAAGCATCATCTTCTAGTGAAGCATCATCTTCTAGTGAAGCATCATCTTCTAGTGAAGCATCATCTTCTAGTGAAGCATCATCTTCTAGTGAAGCATCATCTTCTAGTGAAGCATCATCTTCTAGTGAAGCATCATCTTCTAGTGAAGCATCATCTTCTAGTGAAGCATCATCTTCTAGTGAAGCATCATCTTCTAGTGAAGCATCATCTTCTAGTGAAGCATCATCTTCTAGTGAAGCATCATCTTCTAGTGAAGCATCATCTTCTAGTGAAGCATCATCTTCTAGTGAAGCATCATCTTCTAGTGAAGCATCATCTTCTAGTGAAGCATCATCTTCTAGTGAAGCATCATCTTCTAGTGAAGCATCATCTTCTAGTGAAGCATCATCTTCTAGTGAAGCATCATCTTCTAGTGAAGCATCATCTTCCAGTGAAGCATCATCTTCCAGTGAAGCATCATCTTCCAGTGCTTCGGATGAGGATACCACTTACACCACCACTTTCACCACCACTGAATCCGATGGATTTGTTGCTACAGACTCCGGAGTTGTTGTTGTTAGTACCGATTCTAATGGTAGTGCTTCTACTTCTACTTCGTTGTTCCCAACTGAAAGTGATCCATTTACTTCTTACACCACCACTTTCACCACCACCGAATCCGATGGATCTGTTGATACAGATTCGGGAGTTGTTGTTGTCACCACCAACAGTGCCGGATCATTAACTTCAGAAACCTCATTATTCCCAACTGGAAGCGATGTTGATACTACTTACACTACTACTTTCACCACCACTGAATCCGATGGATTTGTTGCTACAGACTCCGGAGTTGTTGTTGTCAGTACCGATTCTAACGGTAGTGCTTCTACTTCTACTTCGTTGTTCCCAACTGAAAGTGATCCATTTACTTCTTACACCACCACTTTCACCACCACCGAATCCGATGGATCTGTTGATACAGATTCGGGAGTTGTTGTTGTCACCACCAACAGTGCCGGATCATTAACTTCAGAAACCTCATTATTCCCAACTGGAAGCGATGTTGATACTACTTACACTACTACTTTCACCACCACTGAATCCGATGGATTTGTTGCTACAGACTCCGGAGTTGTTGTTGTTAGTACCGATTCTAATGGTAGTGCTTCTACTTCTACTTCGTTGTTCCCAACTGAAAGTGATCCATTTACTTCTTACACCACCACTTTCACCACCACCGAGTCAGATGGATTTGTTGCTACAGACTCTGGAGTTGTTGTTGTCACCACCAACAGTGCCGGATCATTAACTTCAGAAACTTCATTATTCCCAACTGAAAGTGATCCATTTACTTCTTACACCACCACTTTCACCACCACTAATTCAGATGGATCTGTATCTACTGACACTGGTGTTGTCGTCGTCACTACCAACTCTGCCGGTAGTTTGACTAGTGAAACTTCTGTTATCACCAATGCTGATACTACTTACACTACTACTTTCACCACCACTGAATCCGATGGATTTGTTGCTACAGACTCCGGAGTTGTTGTTGTTAGTACCGATTCTAACGGTAGTGCTTCTACTTCTACTTCGTTGTTCCCAACTGAAAGTGATCCATTTACTTCTTACACCACCACTTTCACTACCACTGAGTCCGATGGTTTCGTAGCCACTGATTCAGGTATTGTCGTTGTTACTGGTTATCAAAATTCTCAAATTTACACTTCCACTTCATTATTCCCAACTGAGAGTGATCCATTCACTAGTTATTTGACTACATTTACCACAACCAATTCAGATGGATCTGTCTCTACTGACACGGGTGTTGTTGTTGTCACCACCAATTCTGCTGGTAGCTTGACTAGTGAAACTTCCATTGTAACTGATCCTGATACTACTTACACCACCACTTTCACCACCACTGAATCCGATGGATTTGTTGCTACAGACTCCGGAGTTGTTGTTGTCAGTACCGATTCTAACGGTAGTGCTTCTACTTCTACTTCGTTGTTCCCAACTGAAAGTGATCCATTTACCTCTTACACTACTACTTTCACCACCACCGAGTCAGATGGATTTGTTGCTACAGACTCTGGAGTTGTTGTTGTCACCACCAACAGTGCTGGATCATTAACTTCAGAAACTTCATTATTCCCAACTGAAAGCGATCCATTCACTAGTTATTTGACTACATTTACCACAACCAATTCAGATGGATCTGTCTCTACTGACACGGGTGTTGTTGTTGTCACCACCAATTCTGCTGGTAGCTTGACTAGTGAAACTTCCATTGTAACTGATCCTGATACTACTTACACCACCACTTTCACCACCACTGAATCCGATGGATTTGTTGCTACAGACTCCGGAGTTGTTGTTGTCAGTACCGATTCTAACGGTAGTGCTTCTACTTCTACTTCGTTGTTCCCAACTGAAAGTGATCCATTTACCTCTTACACTACTACTTTCACCACCACCGAGTCAGATGGATTTGTTGCTACAGACTCTGGAGTTGTTGTTGTCACCACCAATAGTGCTGGATCATTAACTTCAGAAACTTCATTATTCCCAACTGAAAGCGATCCATTCACTAGTTATTTGACTACATTTACCACAACCAATTCAGATGGATCTGTCTCTACTGACACGGGTGTTGTTGTTGTCACCACCAATTCTGCTGGTAGCTTGACTAGTGAAACTTCCATTGTAACTGATCCTGATACTACTTACACCACCACTTTCACCACCACTGAATCCGATGGATTTGTTGCTACAGACTCCGGAGTTGTTGTTGTCAGTACCGATTCTAACGGTAGTGCTTCTACTTCTACTTCGTTGTTCCCAACTGAAAGTGATCCATTTACTTCTTACAGTACCACTTTCACCACCACCGAATCCGATGGATTTGTTGCTACAGATTCCGGAGTTGTTGTTGTTACTAGTAATAGAGCTGGATCATTAACTACAGAAACTTCATTATTCCCAACTGAAAGTGATCCATTTACTTCTTACACCACCACTTTCACCACCACCAATTCAGATGGATCTGTATCTACTGACACTGGTGTTGTTGTTGTTACCACTAATTCTGCTGGTAGTTTGACTAGTGAAACATCATTATTGACTAGTATTGCTGCTACTGATTATACCACTACTTTCTTATCTACTGAGTCAGATGGTCAAGTTGATACTGACACTGGAGTGGTTATTGTTACCACCAATTCTGATGGCCAATGGTACACAACTACCTCTTTGATTGAATCGCCAACTGAATACACCACTACATTCTTATCTACTGAAACCGATGGAAAAGTTGATACCGATACTGGTGTTGTCATAATCTCCACTAACTCTGATGGCCAATGGTACACCACTACATCATTGTTGGGAGCTACTGAATATACCACCACCTTCTTATCAACTGAGACTAACGGACAAGTTGATACTGATACTGGTGTCGTCATAATCTCCACTAACTCAGAAGGTGAATGGTACACCACTACATCTTTAATCGGTGGAGTTGTTTGTAAGAGAGATGGTACCGGTTGTACTACTAATCTGTTTACTGAGTATACTACAACCTTTGTATCAACTGAACCAGATGGAAAAGTTGATACTGATACTGGAGTTGTTATCGTCACCACCAATGCCGCTGGAAGTCTTTACACTACTACATCATTATTAGGAGCTACTGAATACACTACTACTTTTACTACAACTGAACCAAATGGTGTTGTTGAAACTGATACCGGTGTGGTTATAATCTCAACTAACTCTGAAGGTGAATGGTACACTACTACTTCTTTGATTGAATCGCCAACTGAATACACTACTACATTCTTATCAACTGAGTCTAATGGAAAAGTTGATACTGATACTGGTGTAGTCATCGTCACCACCAATTCTAATGGTGAATGGTACACTACTACATCCTTACTTGAGTCACCAACTGAATACACCACTACATTTACTACAACCGAACCAAATGGTGTTGTTGAAACTGATACCGGTGTTGTTATAATCTCCACTAACTCCGCTGGTCAATGGTACACGTCGACATCATTATTAGGTGCTAGTGAATACTTAACTACCTTTACTAGTACACTTCCAAATGGTGTTGTTACTACTGAAACAGGTGAAGTTATTGTCTCTACGAATTCAGAAGGTGAATGGTATACCACTACATCCATTATAGAAAAATGTTCTTGTTCTGAATTCACTACAACTATTGTCACCACTAACACTGTTGGTGTGCCATGTACTGAAACTGGTGTATTAATTGTCACTACTAATGCAGCAGGTGAGACTTATACTACTACTTCATTGCTTGGAACTCAATCAGGTCCAGTTATTTACACTACTACTATTGTAACTACGGATACTGTTGGTGTTCCATGTACTGAAACTGGTGTTGTTGTTGTTACTACTAATGCAGCAGGTGAAACTTACACTAGTACTTCTATCTATGGTACTCCAGTTTACACCACCACTATTGTTACTACTGATACTGTTGGTGTTCCATGTACTGAAACTGGTGTTGTTGTTGTTGGTACTAATGCTGCTGGTGAATCATATACTAGTACTAGTATTGTTTCTAGTGCTTCACAAAGCATTTTATCTTCTTATACCACTACTATTGTTAGTACTAATGCTGCTGGTGTACCTGTCACTGATACTGCCGCTGTTATCGTTGCAAGTAGCTCTGAAGGTGGAGTATACACTTCTACTTCAATCATTGGTGCCGAGTCTACTGGTGAAGCTAGCGTTCCAGGAGCTACTGAAGCTGCTCCAGCTGTTGGTACAACCACCGCCGCTACTCCTGTTGCTGCTAATACTGTGGCCGCTGAATCAACTACTAGTTCCGCTACTTCGGCTCCAACTGCTCCAGTTGCTGAGGGAGCCTCTTCGAGAAGTCAAGTTTCAATTATTATGACTTTGATTTCTACATTTGTTGTCATAATGTTCATTTAGTTAGGTTGATTTTGATTAGCATTCTCATTCCTTTTGCTTTCGTCCTTAATTATTTATTTTCTATTCAGTTCATACCCATGTTTTCAATTCTTGTTACAATTTTGCTTTTTTTTTTAAATTTCAATCATTTGGATTTAACTTCTTTTTTTTCGTTAACTAGTCGTTTTAATTATTTCTGTATAAAAGACTCCTGTGGAGGATTTAATGTATTACTTTGCTTCGTATTATTTTGATATATTTATAGATACTGTAAAAAAAAAGAAACTATTTATGAGATAAAGTATCTATTAATAGGTACATAACGCAAAATATTATAGTATTTACAAGAAATGGATAATCACTTAGATTCCACCAATCATTAGCATTATATTCATCGCCAAAACTTACCATACTGGCTCGTCTTCTTTCTTTCTTTGCACCCTGACAATTTCGTAGTCATCATTAGATTTGACTTCTTTAGTAATATGATCAGTTAGAAGTCCTTGCAAACGATAATAATCATTCTTTTTATCTATGGGTCGTTTATTCTCAATCAATTGCATCATCTCTTCTTCATTTAATTGTCGATGCCTCTCATCCCATCTCTCCCATTTTACAGCAGTAAATTTCTGTAAATAGAGTGAACCAGCTACTATAGATATTAAAAATGGTAATCCAAAGTATAAAAAGTGATTTCTTTTCAATAATATCTGATATTTACCAGCAAACGTCTTATCATAAGCTGCCTGTTCTGCTTTCCCTCTGAACTTCCTATTATCAAAGGAAACCATATTACTTTTCTATGTATGTTATATTAATTTATTTGAACTTTGTGCTGAATATATATAAACGCATACACAAACAAAAATAGAAATATCACCCCCTTTTACAGTTACGAGATACTAAATATATCTTACCTACTGTATATATCTCTAGCTAAGCCAATTTATTATTGGTAACTACTTTAGTCGCGATTCATTTGGTAGATATTTTTCTGGCTTTTTGTGAGGAGAACAATTCTTTGGCTTGAGAATTTGTTAGGCCATTTCCGGGTCATTTTAGTATATAGAATACAGCAAATCCTAATTAATATCACTTTTATTGTATAGGTGAAACTTAATATTTTAACATATATAGTTAGTTTGCTTAATATAACACAGCATAGAATGGTAGAAGGACTGTCTAGAGTATTGGGACAAGAAATAGGAGCATCAGCTCATGAATTACTGACTTCTACAAAACAATTAGAAACAGGAGATGATACTATACATATTCAAGTTGAACAAAATGATGAAGATGAAGATGAAGATAAATCAAGTAAATTTAATAAAGTACTTACAGCCTTAAGAAAATATGGTACATTTATAGGTCCAGGATTACTTATTAGTGTGGCCTATATGGATCCAGGTAATTATGCTACTGGTATAACTGCTGGTGCAGCTAATCAATATTCACTTTTATTTATTGTATTTCTTTCAGATATTATAGCTATATTCTTACAAAGTTTATGTATTAAGTTAGGTTCAGTAACTGGTTATGATTTAGCTAGATGTTGTCGTGAATATTTCCCAAAATGGTTAAACATTATTTTATGGATTTTGGCAGAATGTGCTATTATTGCAACTGATGTAGCTGAAGTTATTGGTTCTGCTATTGCTCTTAATATTTTGTTACGTATTCCATTACCTGCTGGTGTTTGTATTACTATTGTTGATGTAATTCTTGTTCTTATTGCTTATAGGAATGATACATCATCAACAAAATTGGTTAAATATTTTGAATATTCAGTTGGACTTTTAGTCTTTGCTGTAGTTGTATGTTTTGCAGTTGAACTTTCTCAAATCCATGCTGATGTAAGAGAAGTATTTAGAGGATTTGTACCTTCTAAAGAAATGTTTGAAGGTAGTGGTATGACTATTGCTACTTCACTTATTGGTTCGACTGTTATGATTCATTCTTTATTTTTAGGATCAGGAATTGTTCAACCAAGGTTAAGAGAATATGATGTGATGCATGGTTATGTTAATTTGGATGAGATTTGTGAAGCTAATGATGAAAAGGATCCGAGATCCAAGAAGGATAGAGAAGCAGAATATTTCTATACTCAATATAAACCTTCATATCAATCAATTAAGTATTCATACAAATATTCAATCATTGAATTGACTGTGACATTATTGACATTTGCATTATTTGTTAATGCTGCTATTCTTATAGTTGCCGGATCTTCCTTATATAATACACCTGAAGCATTAAATGCTGATTTATACACCATTCATTATTTATTATCTAAAAATTTGGCACCAGTTGTTGGTACCATATTTATGTTAGCACTTTTATTTAGTGGACAAAGTGCTGGTATTGTATGTACTATTGCGGGTCAAATTGTTAGTGAGGGTCATATTAATTGGAAAGTTAAGCCATGGTTAAGAAGATTAATTACAAGAGCTATATCTATACTTCCATGTCTTGCTATTTCTGTTTCTATTGGTAGAAATGGATTAAGTATTGCATTAAATATTTCACAAGTTATTATTTCCTTATTATTACCACCATTAACAGCTCCATTAATTTACTTTACCTGTAAAAAAGAAATAATGAGAGTCGCTCTTACTGATGATGATCCTGATTATGAGTCTGACTCTATAGTTAGTCGTGCTGATGATCAAACAGACGAAGAGCAACAAGAAAATTCAGTAAGATATAAATATATGGCCAATAATTGGATTACAGCTAGCGTTGCCATTGCAATTTGGTTATTCATTTCAGCCTTAAATGTATATGCTATTTATGACATGGCAATTAATGGTGTTGCAAGTAGTTAATTATAAAATTTTGGATTTAAACATAGATTTATACATACATAGAATTATATATTATTATAAATATTTTTATTTTTTTATGCTTTATATTTCCGGGGTATAATTACTATAAAACTATTTTGTGTAGTCCCGAACTAAGATTGGCGCGACACACGTGACTCCGCTACCGGAACTGACGTTGAGTCATTGCAAGTAGGGCTATCACCAGATTGAAAAATTTCATATTGACCCATATTAATTAAATTTATTGTTAACGTAGCATTTTGTAAAGTATTGTGATTTTCATTATAGATTAGTGATATACTCCATAGAAGTTGTAGATTTTATTAAATAACTTTTATTCAATATGCCTGCATCTCCAGCATTATCTGCTCGATCTTATAATTCAGTATTAGATTTTAAGAGTGTCCCAAGTAAAGGTGGATGGATTGTTCAAAAATTTGGTGGTACATCTGTGGGGAAATTTCCTAATAAAATAGTAGATGATATTATTAAAGCATTTTCAGCAAATAATCGTGTTGCAGTGGTATGTTCAGCTCGTTCATCTCAAACTAAAAATGAAGGTACTACATCTCGATTGTTAAGAGCAGCTGATTTGGCTAGTGAAAATAAAGATTTCGATGCATTATTAGATATTATTGAAGAAGATCATGTAAATAATGCCAAAACCTTTGTTACTAATGATATAAAAGTTCAAGAACAATTAATTCAAGATTCTAAGAATGAATTAGATCATGCTCGTGAATTATTAAAAGCTTGTCAAATCATTGGAGAGATAAGTCCAAGATCTCTTGATTCAATAATGTCAATTGGAGAAAAATTATCATGTCTTTTTATAGCTGCATTAATGCAAGATCATGGATTAAAATCAAAGTATATTGATTTATCAGATATTATACCATTAAATTATGATTTCTCTCGAGGATTTGATGATAATTTCTATAAATTTTTATCTCAACATTTTGGTAGTCAAGTATTACAATTGGATGATGATGTAGTTCCAGTATTAACTGGATATTTTGGAGTAGTTCCTGGTGGATTATTAAATGGAGTTGGTAGAGGTTATACTGATTTATGTGCAGCATTAGTAGCTGTAGGAGTTCAAGCTGATGAATTACAAGTTTGGAAAGAAGTTGATGGTATATTTACTGCTGATCCAAGAAAAGTTCCAAATGCAAGATTATTAGATAGTGTTACACCAGAAGAAGCAGCTGAATTAACTTATTATGGTTCTGAAGTTATTCATCCATTTACTATGGAACAAGTAATTAAAGCAAGAATTCCAATTAGAATTAAAAATGTTGAAAATCCTCAAGGTAAAGGTACAATTATTTATCCAGATAATATTGGTAGAAGAGGTGAAGATACTCCACCACATCCACCTGCAGCATATGAAACATTATCTCCAAATTATATTACTTCACATAAAAAGAGATCTGCAACTGCTATTACTGCCAAACAAGATATTGTAGTTATAAATATTCATTCAAATAAAAAGACTTTAAGTCATGGTTTCTTAGCCCATATTTTTACAACTTTAGATTTATTTAAATTAGTTGTTGATTTAATTTCAACTTCAGAAGTTCATGTATCAATGGCTTTACAAATTCTGAGTGATCAAGAAAGTGCCTTAAGATCAGCTGTAAAGGAATTAAGAAAAATTGGTACTGTTGATATTACTAGAAATATGACTATTATTTCATTAGTTGGGAAACAAATGGTAAATTTTATTGGTATTGCCGGTAATATGTTTAAAGTATTAGCTGATGAAAAAATTAATATTGAAATGATTAGTCAAGGAGCTAATGAAATTAATATTTCTGCTGTTATAGATGATAATGATACTATACGAGCATTATGCTCTATTCATGCAAGATTATTAGAAGGAAATTATGATGCCCTTAGTAATGCTGTTGATTCTCGATTAGAAGCATTAAGATTATCATAAAATTAATCTACACTGTAAATACAAAACATTTTATACATCATATTTATTTAACAAATATATATATATAGGGATAACCCAAACCTTTAATTATAAAAAACTTATCACCCACTTAAATATCAAAATCTCCTGATTCTCTACTACTAACATTATCACCAGTACGATCACCATGTTTTTCTTCAATTAATGATTCAAATTTATCAACCAAACTACCTAAAACTTCATTAGCTAATTTATGATAAGCTAATTGAGCTTTTACTAATTCTAAAAATTCTTCTAAAGGTTTAGCATTTTCTAATACATTTTGTAAAATATTCATAGCATCTTCAACAGTATTAGCAAAATCATCTTCAGCATTTTCCATAATAACTCTTAATTGAGGTTCTTTTGCAGGATTAGTACATTGAGCAACATTTGATCTAGCTAAATCATAATCAACTCTTTTTTGTTCAACTTTCTTTTGAATATTATTACTTTGACTAATTAATTGTCTTAAAGTTGTATTTAAAGGTTTATTAAATTTAGATTTAATTAATTGATCTTGACCTAATCTTGCATTACCAATTTTATTTAAACTTGTTGAATATAAATCGAGTCCCTTAACTAATAAATCTTCTGAAGATGTTGAACTTGTTGATAAAATTGATGCATCAGTAGCTCTTGCTAATGCATGATATAAAGTTTTAGGAGGTTTATATTCACCACTATTTGGATTAATTATAGCTGCTTGAGCTTCAGCAGGAGTTGTTGCCTTTGATAAATTTGAAACACGAGAACTAATATTTTTACTAAAATCTGTAAATGATTCTTGAACATTTAATGGATAATCATAACTTTCATTTTCATAATTAGTTGTGATTTTTAATACATTTTTATATAAACTTTCAATTTGATTACATTTATTAGCTAATTCAACATATTCAGAAGGTAATTGACTAATATCATCAACATTAACTTTACCTATTCTTTCTTGAACAATTCTACTAGTTCGATGAGCCATTGGTAATACTTCATTATTGAATTCATTAGAAACTTTATCGGCTAAAGACTTTAAGTCCTTAGTGAAGTTAGTGAAATTGAATGACATTTATGTGATGAATAATCTGTCAGTTAGTTGTTTATTAAGTATGTGTTTTGTCGTGTCGTGTCGTGTCGTGTTATATAAACCTCAGCCGTAGTGGTGACCTTTTTTAGTGAGGCAAAGCTCCCTAATTTTCGGGGCGAGGCTGGTTTAGATTTAGATTTAGATTTACATCAGTTGCGCGTACTATATAACCCACACTCATAAGTGCAATAACTTTAGTATTGAATATCTATATAAAAGTTTGTAACATCTACTACAATTAAGTACTAACTATAAGAATTACCATTTAATTAGAATTCTAAGCCCTTTTCAAAGAAATCATTAATAGCATCAGTTAATCTTTTACCTCCTTCAATTAATTCTTCATCGGAATTAGCCGGAGCATAAGTTAATCTAAAGAAATTAGCATGTTCTGCACTAAATTTCTTATCAACTGCCATATTAATACCTGGTACTACACCTACACCATAAGCAGCAAATTTCCAAACCAAAAGTTTTAATTTAGTTAAGAAATCTGTACCTTCGGGAAAATTAACAATAAGTGCTACAAACATTCCTGCCTTTGGATCAATTACATCAATATATTTCTTGGCATAAGCTTCAGAATCAAATATTGTCTTTAATAAAACATCTCTTCTATGACTATAAGTAGCTCTCATTTTTAAAATCCATTGTAACCATCCATCAACACCACCGAATTTTTGTTGAATAACATTATTAACTATTAATTGCGAAGTACCACTTGAAGTTCTAGTAACAATAGCTGAATAATTACTAACAGCAGCAATAACATCCTTATGAGCAACAATAAATCCTAATCTTAAACCAGGAGCAAATAATTTAGAAAAAGTTTCAATTCTAATAACTCTACCTTTAGTATCAATTTCTAAATAAGATGGAATTAAATGATCTTTTAAATATTCATCAACAGTTAAAAATTCATCTAATTTAATAGTAGCAGATGGAGGTTGATATGGTGGTAAAGCTAAATAACCATAAGGATCATCTTCAATAATTGCAAAATCATACTTTTCAGCTAAGTCATAAACTTTCTTTCTAAATTCAACAGTTTGAGTTAATCCAGTAGGATTTTGACCAGTAGCAATAGTATATAAAGCCTTTGGTTTATTTTTACCAGGATGAATAGTTTCCCAATTTTCTAATAAATCAGTTAAATATTCTAAATCAAGACCTTGACTTCCATTTTTAATAGATAATTTAACTGGAACTGCAATTCCTCCAGCATTACTAACATTTTGTAAAAATGGAGTAAAAGTAAATTCTTCAATTAAAATAACATCTTCAGGATCTAATAATGCATCTGCTGCCTTATTTAATCCATCACCAGCACCATTAGTAATAATAGTTTCCCAATTTTCATAACCTGGTTTATGAGTTCTAGTAATAAAATCTCTAGTAAATTTTAATAATGGACCTAAACCTTCAACATTTGCATATTGCAAACCAGTTGCAATATCAATTAAATCTGGATCACTAGTTCTTCTTTCAATTCTTATAGTCTTTACTGATTTAGTTGGTTCTAAAGGTGGTGTAACAGTTTGAGCACCTTGATTTGAACCAGATAATGATAAATTTTCTAATGAATTATTAGTTAATTGATAAGATTTTTCAAAGGGGAAATCAACTAAATTAATATCAATTGAATCAATTGGGAAAAATCCATCATTTGGCATACCCCAATGTAAAGGTAAAGGTTTTGGATGAGCTTTAAACCCTTCTGGAGCTCCATCAGTAGGTCCAGTAGTAAAATGAGAAGTTGTTCTAGCAGCTGCTCTTTTAGAAATTAAATTACCTATACCAGTCATTATTTTAATTATTTTAATTTTATTTTTACTTTTAATTTTATAGTAGTGATATAATATTATAAAGGAAAGAAATATATATAAATATAAAACTACACTTATGGAGTCAACGTCTAATATATAAGGGTGTTTCCTGATTAGGGCATGGAGGATTTGTAATGAAAAATTAGAGCCGCAGCTTATCTAGGTTCTATTTTGTGCGGCAACGGTATCGGTTACAACTATACCATATGGGTCAGATCTATTCTTTTTACGGAATTAGAATCCGATGATAATAGACATTCTCAAGTAAGTTTTATTCATTGGTGAACTACTATAGCACAGACATACAAACATGCAACTAAACAAAAAAACAACCAAACAGACAAACAGATAGGAAGGTCAGATAGTTTCTGAGCTTAATTAGCTTTGTTAGTTATTGCATTAGTCATACTCAAGGCTCGTAGATATGTGGCTGTAGAAGGGGCCCCGCATAGAGGTCTTACTAATTATACTATATACAGTTGATCTATGAGGAATCGGTAACAAAGCAAGTTTAAGTAGACAATAACTATCACTGTAACTGTGGTGGTGGTGTCTCCCTTCTCGCAACTTTAAGTGTGGATTAGATAAGCTAGGAATTTGCGGAATCACATTGCCTAATTCGGGTAGAGCGGTACTTTCCCAATGCGGTACTCGTATATACATAATATATATATATATATAAATAATGCCTCGTTTATATAAGTTACATAATTTCGTCTTCTTGCAAGATGTCATCATCAAGATAACTATCCAATTGACACGACTTGTATTCATCAACAACACTGGCAATGGTTTCACGACATTCATTGAATGAATCAAGCACCCGTGCCCTTTCTACTCTATCGTTAGATTCCACATAGGAATTTAAATAGGCTTCTCTTTTAGCTAATAAATCATACTGTCTCAAGATTTTGTTAAATACAGGAACAATCGATGTATTGTTAGATATTTGAATCCCACTTAATTTGGAATTTGTCTTTATAAATGGAGATTTTTTACCATGAACTAATTGAATTGAATTTGAAGTCCACGGTACAAAATCTATTCGATTTTGAGATTTTATTATACCTTTACGTATTTCTTGTTGATCGAGATTTTGTCCAATTATGTAGTTTAATACACTTATATATTTGGTTTGTTCAACTCGATTCATTTTATACTTATCATTCAATAATTCTAAAAGCATATCATATTCATTTAAAGAATTATTAAATGGAGCAATTGATGTAGTTAAAAATTTTAAATTTGGAGTAGGGATTAATGTAGAAAATATGCTTTCAATAGAACTATACATATATCCCGGAAATCTTAAAGGATTTGAAACTGATGCTAGTACATAAGAAATTAATTTATTTGTACTTTCAAATACTTCATCAGTCTTTCTTGAATTATTATAGTTATTAAGTAGTAAATTTTCAATACTATTTAAGGAATCATTATGGAAAATAAATGATGAATCACTAAAATCAATTAATCTTTTTAAAGTTAATACTGTATTATATGGTTGTACAACAACATCACTTGTCTTTTCATTGGATGGGAATATCAGAAAGGTATTAATAAGTTTCTTATTACCAAATCTATCATGAAGTAATTCCAATAATAATGAACCTACACCTGAACCTGTACCACCAGCTACACTATGAATTAATTGAAAATTAGATAAATTATCACATTTATCCATTTCTCGATCGATTAAATTTAATAAATCTTCTTGATATTCTACACCATATGAATAACCATTTTTCCAATTATTGGCTGCTCCACTACCTTGTTCACTTAAATGTATATTTCGAGGATTAAACATTGGTAATTGATTAGCACATTTATTTATTACTGAAGGTTCTAAATCAATTAAAATTGATCGTGGAGTATATTTATTTGTATCAGATATGGTATAGAATAATTCTGGTCTATCATCTCGAAATTTGGTAGTAGTCGATGGTAATTCTTCACCCTCTTGTTGATACGTTAATGAATTATCTATAGGATATGCTAAGGGAGTTCCATCTGGTTGTATTCCATGCTCTTGAGCTAATTGATGCCAATACTGAAGTCCCACTTGATTTCCACACTGACCTGCTTGAAGGGTGATTGTTTCTCTAGAAAATTCTTTAGTTAGTATTCAGTTGTTATACATGTCTTAACCATGCATCTTTTATACATACCCAGGCATATTTATAGGTGTAGTCTATGGTTGGACTTTGTATAGTAAACAGTTTTCAATAGTTTGTTTATAATTTTCCAGTACAAAAGTATACACAAAAAAGACGCGATATCAAGTCACGTGCGACAATATATAGCCTCAAAAATAATATACTAACATCGCAGGACCCTATATAATGACTAAAGCTATTGCAACTAAGAAAATGATGTTTCTATTGTTGTTCTTCACATTATTGTTATTAGTTAGTTATTCTCTCAATTATCTGATGATCGAGCCGAATCAAATTAGTCAACTAATAAACACGCGAGATGTGAAATCAGGTATATCTGAGATATTGGTAGTCAAAAGGTGGCTGAACTGGGACTATATATTCCCCGCGAGTACTGCCCACGCTGGAGTTATGTTAACTTCAGGTACTTTAGGTTTAGGAGCAGCTGTCGCAGTCAGCATACCTGTTGCCGGCGCCGTTTTTGCTGCCATATGTATAGGATTAGCGTGGATATCATCTACTAGGGCTTACATAGCAAGTAGTTCAACTGCTAACACGCGTAGGGCTATTGTGTCCTTTGCTCAACATAATCAGAATCTAATCGATAGGTTTGGTACTGTAGATTCGAAACACGGTAAGATGATTAATTTGAGGGCAATTAAACCAGAAGTAGGGGGTATTATATCCGAATACAACATGACCTATAGTACTGTTTATGGATTGCTAAATTCGTATGGATTAACTGGTGCCGTGATATTAGATAATACACTGGTGAATTACGCGGGTTTCATTAATGAGGATCATGTGGCCAATCATTCGTTAACGTGGGCGTATTCTAACGGTACTAATGTTATGATAGCGGCATCAAGTGAGCACGACTTGGTGACTTTAGTGCATGCTGTAGGTCAGGCACACAGTAATAATAGCTCACTGTTAGATAAAAGAAGTTTTGCTGAGCTCATATAACTTTGATGACGAAAACGATGATTTGGCAACAGAATTTACACAGCAAGTAACGGGACTCACACCGAACTTTGAAGCTTCAATTTACAGCTATATGCAACAGACAGATAACTACAAGTACTGTGCCGCAGCACGGACAGAGGATGATCCGAACTTTAGTTATAATGATTTACCTCTGGATAATGCAGCAAAAGTTGAGATATACTTTAATACCTACGGAGGGATTGACAGCGAATGTAACGATAATTACGACGGTGTAGACTCAAGCGAAATGTAATTGGCAGTGTTCTTAGGTGGTTATGTGGTTATACAGGGTGGGAGCAATCATTATAATAATACATTTAATATAATATAATAGGGATTAAATGAAACGAATTTATAAAAAAAAAAAAAATAGTATGGGGGAAGCAAGTGCTAACGATAATTTACTCCAATGCGTAATACGGATGATAGAATATAAAGATTCAACAGGAATGGTGGTTAAATGATGTAACTGGCTTAAATGGATTAACTGCAGTTGTACGTCACGTAAATTATGGGCTTGACTAGTGGTGTGGAAAAGTTGTATGTGGTGTCTCAACATATGCTGGTTGTTATGTTGGGACCTAGTGGGATCATGCTTGATCATCCAATCTTTAAAATTCTTTAATGAAGTGAAGTGGAGATTTGGTTCACATAAGCCACTGATAAGGGGAGCATTTTTGACAGTAGCTGCATCATATAAGGCGAGCTTCAAAAGGGAGCTGTTAAAGGGAGTACTATGAAGATTGTGACCTAAGGCAGTGAGAATATCAACGGCGGAGGTGGTGAAATCAATAGTAGGGAACTGATAGTGCTTGTTAGAAGTAGTGAACACAGCTAAGATCATGAAATAGGTAGTGTGAATTCGATTCAAAAATTTGGCCAAGGGCGATAAGACAACTGGGGGTCTGGGCTCGGCAGGTGCAACAGGTGGAGCGTCAGAATGAAGGTGGAAAACATAGTGAATATTCTGAACCTTGGATCTGGATTCATTGGCAGGACGAGGACTGCGAGATATAAAGCGAAAACATGCTTTAACTAAATAATAACATATAACATAAACATTTTTTTTAAAACGGATATTAATCCAACTATACTAAACTATGTAACAAATAACTACTCCAAGTAGTACAATACTGGCAGGTATAACTGCAACCGAAAATTAACGTGGGATAAACTGTGACTCTACAACCTCTAACTAATTGTTTGTTTTGTCCAGACTAAAACAATTATTATACAGGTATATTATAGAGAAAAAAGGAAGGAGAATGAATATTTGTTTCAGCAAGTATTGGACATCGAAAGAAGAACCATAATTAACAAAGAAGAAAATCTCATTGATTTTAAAGGGATTTAAGAAAAGCAAATAAGAAACTTTAATGGGTAGTAAAAGAGTTTCTATAATAACTTTGACTCTCTATTTTTTTTCATTTTTTTAATCATTTTTTAATATTAATTTCATAGGTTCAAATATCCTAGTACGATCTCTTTCTCTTTCTCTTACATGAAACACCAGCACTTTGAGTAGATGTTCCTCCAGTACCAGTTGCAGTGGCAGTTCCAGTAACTGATGGAGTTCCACATTTACCTAAAGCAGCAGCTAAAGCATTAACAATAACAGTCTTTAAAGTGGCAACATTGAAAAAGTTTTGGAATAAGGAAGGAATTAACCCTGATTGGGCAATGGCTTCCACAATTTCTGGTAAGGTTATAGCACCTGAACTAAACAATTGTTCAATTAAATTAGCACCCCATGTGTAAAAATTTTGATCAGTGACTAACGCTTCAACAACTTGATCAGCTAAACCAGAGTCCTTTAATGAAGTCATTAAAGAAGTTAAAAGAGATGTTTCAGAAGAAGTAAGATCTCTCTTTTCTCTCTTAATGACAGTAATTGGAATATAAAGATCTCTCTTAGACTTACCACCAAGAATATTAGTAATTTGTCCAACCAAATTTCCAACAAATTGAAGAGCTAAATTATAAATTTCTGCATAAAATTGACAATCATTAATTAAATCTTGAATGACTTGAACAGCCAAACCAGAATTATTTAAAGCAGTAAATAAAGCATCAATATTAATTAAGCCACTCTTTACAACATCAACAATAACTGTAGTAGAAATATTTGCTAAAGTTGGATCATCAATAAAGTATTCAATAATAGATGGAGCTAAATCAGTATCAGCTATAGCAGTTAAAACATCTGTAACAATATTATCTCTTTTAGTAACATCAAATGATTTAACTGATTTCATTTTACTATATTCTTGTAAACCAGAAATAGCATGATTAATGACTTGAACATCCCGTTTAGTTAAACGAAGTTCATTTGAACTATCATAATTCTTAGCAGGGGCAGCACTAACGCATGCCATGAATGCCATAATAGCAATGGCAATTGTTTGGAAAACTTTCATGGTTAGTTATAGACGGTGACAAACAGTTAGCGATTGAAGATGTCAAATACTAAAGACAAAAGACTAAAAGAGTTAGAGTTTTTAACTTTTTTCTTAGTAACTTCACCATATTTATAATCTTGGTAAATCTTCTTCATATCCATTACTGGTAATGGGTGGTTAACTATAGAGAACTTCCTATTTAAGCCATACTTTGGTAAATGTATAGTGTAGTTGAATTAGACTGCAAATTCAAAATTTCCTAATGCGGAAATGTTGTTGAAAAACAAATTGGTAGTGCGGATTTCAATTGTATGAGTGGCCCCAAATTGTACCCATTTCCCAAACAGGCAATTCGCCAATTCAATAACTTCCAAGTGGAAAGAGGGTCGTAGCATTAACCTGAAACATAATAGCAAAGCCAACAAAAGATACGAAGTATCTGAGAGCTGATGATTGTTGTATAAAGAATTACAAAGTTTTGAACAAGGAACTCTTCTATAGTTGATCGATGAGAACCAAGCTTTATTTAGTTGACATAATAGAGTTAAAAAAGCTTAGCTCATGGACAAGAATATTGGCAGGGGTAATCGTGTAGATGTAATCAGACCATCAGCTTTGAATATAGTTTAATTGCAGTTGAATTTGGATTTACTCCACTATTTTAGTTACCGCTTTAAGCAAAAATATAATTGTGTGCAGGAAAATTTCTACTAATAAGGTTCTTCACTTGCCTCTTAACAGGTCTTGGCAGGAGATTAAAGTTATTTATAGGTATAGGCTATGTCTGCAAAGATCGGAGCTATGGTAAGAGTTCCGTCTATTATCGTCATTATACATTCACTTTAGCTAAACTATTACTATTTGTAGATCAAAGTATAGTATTTGTGGTACATGTAGGATTATTTACATACTTAGTACTTTTTAATTTCTATTATTTATTCTACTTACTTCTTCTACTTGACATTTACTTTTAGTTATATTAGTTCTACAATTGGTTCTTCGCTTCTCTTAATTCTCTATCCTTACATAAGTGCTGATACAGCTGAAGCATCGCAAGCCTCGTGTTTACGAACAGAACCTGTCAAAGCCTAGAAAATACAATTGACACTATAAATAACATAACATAACATACAAATGGAATGTAATATGAAATTATTGATAGTTCAAACACATAATAAAACTCAATAATAATCGACTGATCTAAATACTCGAAACATTTACTTCGTCATCGGCTAGTAAGTTATACCTCATCGGTGTTTACTAGAGTAGCCAGCGAAAGCGCCATACCGCAATAATTTACACACCGGCTATTACGGGCACCGGGCTTGCGACCTGAATTATAACCTTATCGTGAATGGCTTTTACACCATATATTAAAAATTATCTCAAGTATCCATAGTTTATAGCTAATTAAATATATGAAGTATTGAGTCATTAACTATTACCCAATGATAAGTAACATTTATTTGGTGTTGGGACTAATAGTGCTCCTATATGTGGGGCTCATCTTCTTATTTAATAGGCTACCCCATATTACTGTGAAATCTCTTGGATGGTTTTCAATTAAACATATAACTATAGAGTATAACTCTACTACCATTTATATTGGTAAGGCACAAGTTCGATTGAATTTATTCCGAGGGAAGGAGTCTGGTTTAAAGTTGATTAACTTTGAAATCATGGATATCGATATCAGATCTCTCAAGAGTGAAAAATCACATAGATCATCTCATAAAGGTGATGAAAATGAAAATGAAAAGGAAAATGAAATTGATATAGAAATAGTGGAGTCAGTAACAGATAAGTTATCATTTAAAATCCCTCATAGAATCTACGATTTTCTTGTTCATTATCGAGTAGTTAATCAAATCAATATTCATATATTTCGATGTTCATTGTATGATGAAGATATTAATAAGGATTTATCGGTATTTATTGATTATACTCGATTAGAATCATATGTTAATACAGATGGTACAGCCAAATTAGTGCTTACATTATTACATAGTTATCTAAATAGTGAAGGTCAGAATAAGCATGAAACATCATTATTCAGAAATGTCGAGTTTGTTATAAAGTTCGATACAGCCTTGACTTGTCATCATCATGATTATAATTATATATATTGTCATCCCGGTAATTTCAGTGTCCTTTTATCGGTAGGTAGGCTATCTATACCGTTGGATAAGATCAAGTTACCAGCCTCCAGCAAGAAGAGTAACACCACCACCACAACCACCACCACCAAAATCAATATTTCCAGTCGAATGGATGAGATTACCGATGCATTGAGTATCTTTTCCAAATTGGAATTACGATTGGAAGAAGTCACGTTAACCCATGGCGATATCTCCACCAATGCATCTAATTTCGCTACTGTATTATCTCATGAAGGGATATCACCAACAACAAGGGACACAGTATTAAAGTGTCACTTTTATGTAACATCATTAAAAGTTCATCATAAGGAATCTCAATGCTTTGAATTACCTACGGCCACATTCACCACTCTGTCTAATCCATTAGATTTCATTAAAGTGGCTGATTGTATTATATCTAATAATCATTATGATTCTAATAATACATTTATTAATTCCGATACTTCATTAATGCTAACGAGTCCAACAATAGATATCTATTATGATCAACTGGATATCATTTATTCATATTGTAGTAGTCGATTAAGTAAGAAGAATCAGAAATCTAGTGGTTCTTCCTTAACTCCGAAATTGATAGCTATCCTTCATAAATTAAAGGAAGTATCATTAAAAGTGGTGGTAGTAGAAACAAAAGTAAATCTTCATGTTCCTGATCCTAAGGATCCACTCACCTCATATGTTCGGAATTCAAAGGGGAATATAATTGTGACATTTTCATTATTATCATTCTTTCATCGATTCTATACCAAGAATTTCAATACCCTCATGACCAATAAGAGACGATCCAAACGATTCAGTTTGAATGGATTATTTAAACTCAAGAACTTTCGATTTGAAGCCGCTGGAAATTCCGTTCATCTTGCTAAAATCAATTTACTCTCGATCTTCAATATTGTTGAATCTACTTTATCATTAAAGATTTCCAGTAAAGATGTTAAAATTAAATCTGTCAATGCTGCAGTATTTCACCTTGTACGAGAATTCAGGAATCGATCAATTATTCATTTTAATGAGAAGTATGCCTACTTAACAGCCAAAAGTTTTCAACAATCTATCTTACCTCAAGTTGAAGATGAACAATTTGATCAAGTATACTATAATCTTTTTGAATTAGCTCCTAAATTCCTTGTATCATTTAAACTGACTATTACTAATATTCAAGCTGAGATTGTATGTAAGGATGGACTTCCATCCCATATTATATATGATGAAAAGCTTGAAAAAGATATTGATTTAAGTGAATATAAGCGAGGAGTTACCCTTCGATTGAATGATATATCGGTGATATATAAGAAACAAAAGGAAGATATTCATATGGGTATTAAATCCTTAGAAATGTTTACTGTTAGTGAATATACTACGGAATATATTGCTGATTTCGATCATGTGGAATGGCAAGGATCTGATTCAGAATTCACAGATATGTCATCATTAAATTCTCGAATCTCCATCAATAATATCGAAGGTGATGATGATGAAACATGGACTAATTCTCGAAAAGTTAAACGAGTATTAAGTATACGAGAGATTAGTCTTGGTAATCGTTCAACTAATGAAACCACTAAAGATATAAATCGTCTTCATCTTGAAATCCCTGAAGTTGATGGAAGAATGGATATCTTTTTCTTATGGTGTACTATCTATGCCAAGACACTTGTTAATTTATATGCTCCTACGGTTGAAAGTAATTGTCTGAAGGAAGAAATGAAACGACTCAGTGGACCTCTGAGTAAATTAAAGTTGGATATATCCGTTCATTCATTTGCTACGGTCATTAGACTACCTAATGATGTGGATGTTATGATTGAACTTGATAGCTTACGTATGAAGAATGCCTTAGTGGCTAATAGTACCACACTAAAATATGCTAGATTATATGTTATTCATCCATCTACCAAGCTTTGGACAAGACTTATAATCATTAAAGAGCCCTTGATTAATGTGGAGACTCATAAGATTATGGAACATACTCAAGTGGCTGTGTCGGCCGCCATTATACGACTTAATATTCCTCATCAATTCCTCTTTTATACAGTGATAGATAACTTTGTTACCTTATTTAAAACCATAACTCAACTCAATTATAACTTTCGAAATATGGGGTATGGAATCTATGACTATAGTCGAATCTTACCACAAGCCAAGCCAGCACCTAAGATCCCTAATGTCAATATTAAAACCAAAATGTTTGGACTCACCATTGAGAATGATCCATTTGAGAATGAGTTATCGTATATCTATGAATTGGGATTGGTGGAACAGAGAGAACGACTTAAGAAATGGAAGGAATTTGATAAGAAGGCCGAAGCCATGCGAAGTGGCGTTGAACCATCGATTGAGGATAAGATTAAGTTATCTTCTGTGCCTCCTCCAAGAAAGAAAGTGGGAGGAATCACTACCAACACCAACACCAACACCACCAACACCACCGCCAACACTACTATGGCCAATTCCAATTCCAATTCCAATTCCAATTCCAATTCCAATTCCAATTCTACTTCTACAAACACAACTACTGTTCCCAAATTCACTAGTCCACTTCGACAATTCTTTTCAGAAAGTGAACGAGCTCTGGGTAAGTCTGGAGGTAAAAGTTCTGCTGCCTCATCTACCAATATTAATGGTAAATCAGATACTGCAGAACAGGTGGAAGAAAAGATTCAAATGGCTAAGGAACATTTGGAATCTAATTTGGCTACGTCATGGATCGCCAAGTATAAGGTATTCCGAAAAGTTAAAGTGGATAGTTGGAAGAAACGATGTATACGAGCATGGGGAGATGATGTGGTTAGTGGGATTATTACTGAGAAATTTGATATTCTTGATCATCCTGAAGGTCCTACCTTAATGGGAGCTGTATTCCGAGATTTGGATTTGAATATCTCTCAAGCTGCTCTTCCTGATGTGGATCAATTCCTCTATGAATATGGTCAAAATCAACCTAAATTAGACTATTCTATCCTTGTCCCACTTTCATTCCATCTTCGAAGTCGTTCACTCTATGCATTCCTACGAGATTATCCACTCCCACTTGTATCATTTCCTGAGAATCATGACTTATCCAAACCCACTGTCAATATCTATGGAGATATAGTCATTAATGAGAAACTTGTTCATCGTAAAGAAGAAATGAGATTCATCTTTGTCCCCTTCTCTCCGGCTGTAACAGGGCATAAGTTTGAAGATAGTTTCTATTCGGTGTTCATTCCAAGAACGTTAACTCCCGTTAAGTTTATGGTTAATTTAACTTGTGATTTGAATACTGATAGAGCCTGTATGATTTCTTGGTGTAAATCTTATCAAGCAGCTATGCTGGCTGCTTCTATGGCATTTGATAATTTTACTAAACCTAAAATTGATGATAGTCCATTAGGATGGTGGGATAAAGTAGCATTATTACTTCATGGGAAAGTTAAATTTAATATTGCTAATGAGTTATGTCTTCATATTAAGAGTTCGACTAATCCCTATGAATTAGTAGGAAAGAATGCAGGATTTGTATTCTGTTGGAAGAATAATGTGAGTCTTCGAATTAATGAGACTGGTCAACTGAAGGAATTAATTATATTAGAGAGTGATGATTTTGTACTTGGAATTCCTAATTATTCCATTCAAGAACGTAAGACTTGGAGTTTATTCTATGATGAAATGGAAGAATATGTACCAGATATTGATCTGGAAGCTAAGAAATTTAGTAAACGAGTTATGAAGTTGAGTTCAGCCAATAAAGTTCAATGGACTTTGGGGATTTTACTTGAACGGAATAAGAATGGGACGGCAATTTTAAGTGATGATCAAGAGAGAACTAGTGAATTTAAACCTCATTATGATGTGGTAGTGACTAGTCCACAATTTGAATGGCATCCAGATTCTTATGCTAAGTATAGATCAGATTATATTCATATGGCAATATCAGTAATTTCTACTTCAGCAGAAGGGAATTCTCATAATGCTGTATATTTAACACCATTAACATTCCATTACTTCTTTACGTGGTGGAATCTATTGAAGAACCATACATCTTTACCCATTAGACAAGGTCGATTATTTCATGATAAAGTGGCTGATCCATCTCATGTTAAAATGGGTCCTCATCTTGTGACATTAAAGTATCAATTAGTACTTGATCCATTAACTGTATCTCATATGTATATGCATTCACATTCATCCAAATCTGGTCATGAACGTATAGCCTTTACCGGTTTAAAGGGTAAATGTACTCGGTTCTCATTAGATCTTCATCAACGTAAAGAAGTAGTAACGTATGTCAATAAGAAATTAAATATTGAAAATAAAGTACAACACTTTAAGATGAATCAGGGAGAAATTAATGCCCATGAAACTGATTTACGATTTGTTAATGCCATATTTAAGGATACATCCATGAGAGGACAATTGGCCTCATTTTTAAATGGAAGTGTTCATGAATCTATATCATCTCCTAACTATTCTGAAACCACTTCAAAGTTTAAGAATTGGACAGATAATGTTGATGTATTTGATAATGATTTCTCATGGGTTGATCCTGATGATTTTATTGAACTTGAAGTTAGAGGTCCGTTATCTCCTTATCCTCATATCACAGTTATTCCCTTTTGTTTTACTCCTAAATTCAGTTATGTGAGAGAGTATTCTCTTCACAAGGATGGTACTTATCCATTTGGTCATGAACATTCTCATGATTGTCTTATGGGAATGGCTAAGCCGGAAGAGACTCAAGCATTGCTTCTTAAGAGACGAATGAAGACACTTGAGAGTGATATAAAGACAAGTAAATCAGTACTTGAGACTTGTGGTGGTACTGGCACTACAGCTGATCGAATTAAACTCGATCTTAAGGTTCAACAGGAGAAGTTGGAGGTTGTTCAGTCACTTTATGAAGGGTTTGTTGATTCAGATCTGGGTCTGCGTCTGCGTCTGCATCTGAGTCATGGACTGGGTCATGAATCGGATACGGATAGTCTTGACCTTGCCCGAAGCACGTCTCGTTCCTTATCAGTATACTCGAGTCATGCATCTTATATAGGACTTGGAGCCTGTGTAGTGGGAGGTGTTAGTCAATTCCATAATCGATTCATTGTTCATAATTTACAATTGAAATGGAATAACTCGTTACGAGATTTGTTTATTGAGTATATACAACGAGTCAGTGATCGTAAATCTCATGTATACTATATGAGTAAACGAGCAGTTGATTTAGTTGAAAGTGTTATAAATTCCAGTGTTGAACGAGAGGGAGATGAAGTACCAGATACTCAAGGAACAGCCTTTACTCGAGAATTTAAGAGTGGAGAAGAAGTAATTAATGGATTTAATGATGAGATTGATGAGATGGATGATCCATTATATGAACCCGAATATAAATATCTTGTTAAATTCATTCATCCTCAAATACAATTAGTAAGTCTGAAGACGGTTGACTCATGTATGATTATTACTAGCCGAGATTTAGAAATGAGAATCATTGATGTTAATATGGGTAATACCAATCAAATCATTAATGATAGTTCATTACTGAATCTTGTAGAGTCTCGATATGGAGTGTTGTTTAAGGATTCTCATGTGTTTGTATTTAATCGTCAAGATAGTGGAATTATGCATCCTGAAATCGCCTATGGAAATGAAAATCAAGCAGTCAATGTTAATTGGCCTCCATGGCTTGAATGTGAAGTATGTTATGATACTTCATGGGCCAAGACTCAACTTATTATTGAACGGAATTCTATGGCATTAGTATTAAAGAAACCCAATTTCTTATTTTCTGAAAATAATGCTGTTAATCAAAGTAATGAGATTGTAGTACAATTGGCCAAGATTGTTATTAATGCTACATCTCAACAGTATAGTAGTATGTTCTATGTAATTACAGATTTACTTGTTCATGGTAAGACTAAACGAGATGAATTACTTAATCGTCTTGATAAGATTATGTCACTTTCAGATTCTGCTGATTTTCAAGGATTAGATGATAGAGTTCGGAATCTTCAATTTACTATTCGAGAGTATAATAATTTACTTTTAAAATTAGACTTTAAGAGTATTGATATTAATGCCCAAGAGAAGGAACAATTACGAATCTTGGAACTTGAATTAGAACGTCTGAAAGTTGAACTTAGTGTACTTATGAAAGGGTTGGGACTGAGATATAAACAACAATCCACTAAACAAAGTAGTAGATTCTGGAATATCTTGGCTGATCAAGTGATTTGGCATTTATTAGATGATAATCGTGAACCATTTATTGATTTTGCCTTAGCTTCATCTCGTTATACTCGTATAGATTCATATGATGGATCTGATATTCATAAAGTTGAAGTTAGTATGATTCAAGGATTTAATTTACAAGAAGGTACTGTATATCCAGAATTATTACGACCTTATTTAGATGGTAAAGATATGGATTCACCAGGAATTAAACAAACTATTGGGAAATGTGCTGATAATCCTCCAATCATTGAAATGACTTGGAAAATGTTGGAAGATGTTGGAGGTATCCCTATCATTCAACATGCTAAATTAGCCATTCAACCGTTAAAAGTTGAATTGGATTATAATACGGCTAAGGCCTTATTTAAGTATATGTTCCCTGATTCAGATACTGAATCAGATGATTTAGAACGAGACTTGTATGGAGATGATGAAGAAGATGAAGAAGCAGAAGGTGAAGCCGATGGTGAAGCTGATGATTCAGAAGAGAGTATCTTTTCCAATAATAAACCATCACGGAATCCATTCAAGAACTTTATAGCTAAGCATCGATCCCCATCGAGTAGTCGATCTCTGATGGATACAAACTTTGATAATACTACTAATGAAGTAGCATCATCACGAGCTTCATCAGATAATTTATCGCTTGCATCAGAAACTCAAGAAAAGGTTAATCAACTCTTGAAACCAAAGAAGAAAGATAAGTATACCGAAGAAGGAGATGATATCTCTATTATTATCAGTAGATCATTGAAATATAAATCAATGATAGAAGTTGAAGTGGCTAGCTTTAAATTATATGCTAGTTTTAAAGCTCCTAAACATCTTAATATTCTTGATGTTCATAAACTTCGACTTAATATTCCTAACTTAAAATATACCAATAAGATTTGGTCAGGTGAAGATTTTTGTGTTAGACTTCGGAAAGATATTATTAAAATCATTTTAAATCATACCGGGAAAATTATTGGGAATAAATTTAAGTATAGAAATCGGAATGCTGTGGCTGAACCTTTGAAACAAATATCTGATTATGCATCTTTTATGACCATTAAAGATTTACAACTGCTTGGGCGTGCTCGTGATACTGCTCGAACTCATCTTGATGAAAATCATCATGGTCATGTTCATCCTCATGCTCATCATCATCATCATAATCTTAAGAAATCTCGGACTTATTCTAATAATGCCTTTGCATTTGATGGGTATCTTAAGGATATTACTGATGAGGGAGAGGAATCCGATACCTCTGTGGCAGTAGATACTACTGTCTAGTCGATATTATAGGGTGTTTATAGAATATGTAATATAATTATGAATTGAATAAGTAAATTGCGCTACTGTGTAAAAAGGAAACAGCTCTATGTTAAAATTGGAATAAACAAATAGTTAGGGAATTGAATGGTATTTACAAAACACTAAACAACCGTAGACGAAAGCCCTTACTTTGGATGAGCATAAAGTACACTTGAAAACTAGAGGAATATTTAAGAAAGTACATGATTAATCTCATAAAAAGAATACTGCGAAAACAGAATTTAACTTATAAACACTAGCTAATTAAATTATTAAAACTATGAGGGTCAATTACACTTTAGACCATAAGTAAATGGTAAGCAAAATGCTTGTTGGTTTATCCATACCAGAACTTTCTTTGATGACTATCTATCAATAGACTATGGAAAGTATTATATTTAAGAAATCAAAGAAGACTTGAAATCATCTTGAATATCATTGAAAGTTGCAATCGATTCATTTGGTTTCAAATACTCCGTAAATAAAACCAGTCCAAAAATTGCAGCAATTAAAACAGTGTTTCCTACTGTAATACCTTTTACCCAGAAGATCAAGGATTGATCTGTGTTAATTATTTGAGATACATTATACCACTCTAATATGACTGTAAAGCAAAGGAAAATCAATCCTATGGTCAAGTTTCGATTCGGATTATTTTCTTCAAAATTATAATACTTTTTAATTGAAGTATGGCACAAGCATCTTAAGCCTTCAGTTACAATAATGATATAATATAACAACACCGGAAAAACAATAATAATAGTCTTCAAAAATACAGACATAATTGACAATATAGTTGAACTTAAAATTGCTACAGGAGGATTAAAAATTCTTAATTCGGCGTTTGCTTGTCGTATTTATACTGCACAATTGACAGATTATAAATTCTTGTGCTTATAGTATAAGGGGCAGAAAATTTAAAAGTATTTTCTTCTATGCAACGAAAATAAACCCTCTTTTAGAATGAACTAATCTTATAATTGTGTTGAAATCGCGAAAACAAATCAGTAGTGCATTGTTTAAGTAACATGTGAATCACTTTAAGTAATGTGTGAATCACTTTAAGTAATGTGTGAATCACTTTAAAGTAGTGGATAAAGAAAGAAGATTCTTCGTTGACATGATGTTCTGTGATTTGTTGGTGTTCGTGTTCTTGTGTTCAAAGGAAAGTCATGAATCCGGATAATGGAGGAAATAAGAGTTATCCAAAATAATTATAATTACGGGTATTAGGACAGGATTGCCTGATACTTTGTTCTATTTTTACGACAGGCTTTAAGCCCCCTTTGTACCGAAATATGTTCCGTATTGTTATGAGGAAATCGTACAAAATAATAATATATTTTCTGGGGTAATTTTTGACAACTTAAATGAATTCTAAAACAAATATGATAACATATTGCTTTTAACCTATTGTTCCTGCTAATTCTTTCTTATAATATTCAACAATAGATAGCGTAATCCTTTCAAAATGGTGCCAAATATAGTACTTATTTGTATTCTAGAAGCATGATATGCGGCTGAACGTCATAACACTTACTTGGAAGTTACTTGGAAGTTACTTGGAAGTTACTTGATATGTAGAAATACAATGCGTAACTGTAATAGAATGGTGAAGACAATGCGTAACTGTAATGGAATAATAAAGACAATGCGGTACTGTAATAGTTATCATTCCACTTTTTAGGTAGATATTTCAGTTATTTTTAGGTTAATCCAATTAGGACATGTAATTAACTCAAGAATTGAGACTATTTATTTAAACAGAATTCCCGAACTGAAATTTGATTATAATTAAGTAGCAATTAGACATTGGCACATAATGGTTCAGTTATTCAGCAGTTCACAGAAGACCACGAAAATTTTTGCTGCTCTTTCAGCAGTAATAATGGTATCTTTGTTTTTAAGTTTTTGCAGTACAGAATTTATGCCAAATGGATTAGATTATGCAGACAATGAACCTGTAATTTTAAGAAAAAGATGGCCGGCTTGGTTGATTGGTGCTGGAACATTTTTATTTGCTGCCGTTGCAAAAGGAGCGGAGATTGGTGTTAATCTATTCTGCAGTCCGGAGTTGCTCGAAGCAGTTGTTATGACTGGAAACTTTGAAGGAGTTATTCCATGTGTTGCTTGTGCTTCTCTTTATGTGTTGGGTGGTGCTATATCTGCAGCCTTTGCTACAGAAGGAGCCGCAAATGGTTGGGAGTGGTTTCAAGGTAATGGTGTGACTGGAAAGAGAGATTTGGAAGATTATAAAGGATACTACATGAACTCTTTTACAAATTCTTTGCATTATTCTTCAACGGATTTGGAAGTGGAATTTAATGCCAATTATTCGTCGTTATTGGAAGCAATTCCCCACCAATTATTATTCGTGGGAGTTAGTACTCCAAACGGCACAGAATTATTTGATGGATTGTCCAATAGCATTAAGAAAAGGGATTTAAACGAGTTTGATCATTCTAAATTTCCTTTGATTCATGTTACGTTTGCGGTAGACAACAGGACAACAACAATACTTTCCACTTACGGTAACATAGAGCAGGGTTTAACTGACTTAACTTGGAATACACCTCCGGATTCGTTAGAAAAGAGGTCCAGCAACGAAGTTACTTATGTTTCATTTAATTCATACGGTCTAAACATGGACTTGGCAAGAAATTTTGAAGCGAGCGATCACACTGTGGCTCATACTGTAGCTGAGAGCTTAAGTGATCTGTCCTGGGTCAATTATTATGATGGTATTGCTAGCAAATACTGTATGGCCCTCGGAACCAACGACAAAGCTGGCGTAGACAGCATTATTGTGGGAGAAGTATACGTGCAAGCTTATGGAGGAATTGATAATGAATGCGATAGTTTCTGAATTCTTTTTATTTATTACCCGGTACTTTCTTATCACACGATGTGTATCACTTGTCGCTTGACGTATTTCTTATACTTAGTTCTCAATTGGAGTATTTTACTTCTTATTTTAGGTTGTTTATTCTTCTTATTGGACTAGTTAACTTCTATTTATATTTTCTTAACCCTTAGGCTAATAGCCTTGGGAATACTGCTGAGTCGAATTTATTCGTACCAATTATTGTTCAAACCATTCAATACAATTTATTCAAAGCACATTTATTTGTAATTACTCTAACACAATCAAAGTTTTGATGTTTCATGTTTTACTTATAATAATGTCTACCGAATTTGAGCTACCACTGAGATCAATTTTGGAAATTTGCATACCTTTCTTTAACGACTATATATTATGGAAAGTATTATATTTAAGAAATCAAAGAAGACTTGAAATTTAAGGGATTCTAGTTATCTTGAATATCATTGAAAGTTGCAATCGATTCATTTGGTTTCAAACACTCTGCAAAAAAGACTAGTGAAGAAATTGAAGCAATAAAAACAGCGATTCCTACTGTAATGCATTTTATCCAAAATATCAATGATTGATCTGTGGTAGTCATTTGATCTATATTAAACCCCTCTAATAGGACTGAAAGGCAAAAGAGAATCAATCCTATGACGAAGTTTTGAATCCGACTATTTTCTTCAAAATTATGACACTTCTTAACAGAAAGACGCAAGAAGAATCTTAAACTATCAGTTACAAGAAAAATAAATTGTAATACAATTGGGAAAAGTATAAATAACAGACTTAAAAAATTCAGACATAATTGACAATATTGTTAGTTAAAATTGCTACACAATTTCATAATCTGCCAAATGAACAGTATAAATAATCTCAAGAAATTTTTCGCTTACAGTATGACAGGATTGCCTGATATTGTTCTATTTTAAGGGGTTTTGGTCCGCCTCCTTTGTTAGCTTTGTTCCATAAAAAAAAATAATGATATATTTTCTGCAAAATTATGGGGAAAATTTATTACAACTTTAAAAGAGGATTCTAAAACAAATATAAAAACATATAGCTTTAAACCTGACAATTGATTCTTATAATATTCAACAATAGATAACGTATTACTCCAAAATGGTGCCAAATATAGTACTTATTTGAAATTAAGAAGTATGATATGCGGCTGAACGTAATATCATTTACTTGGGAAAGTATACTTGATATGTAGCCAAACAAGGCGGAAAGTTATTGCAATGTTTATCATTCCAATTTTGGGTTTCAATCCAAAAAAGACATCTAATTAACTTAAGAATTGAGACTACTTATTATTAACCAGAATTCCCGAACTAAAGTTTGATTATAATAAAGTAGTGATTAGAAACAGGCACATACTGGTTTAGCTATTCAGCAGCTCATAGAAGACAATCAGATACCTCTGTGATAGTAAATAATACTGTCTAGTTGATAACATGTGAATGTTTATACAATATAATATAATTATGCTATCATGTAACACATGTGACTTGAGTTGTGACTCGTCGCGTGACTTGCTCACCCTCGAAATTCTTATCCTCTTCCCTTCCCCCCCGGAAATCCTCCTGTATGAACACGCATTTGAGTCTTCACTACTACTTCTTACATTAACTATTACATTAACTATTCATAATTAAGTATCAATTGAACTATGGCATTCCTCGACTCAATCCGTGAACGGGCCGTGTCGACCCTCAACCAGGTGCTTGACCGGAAACCGAACCGAGGATTGTCTCCACAAGAAGTGTTTTGTCGAGAGTATAACTTACCCAATGGAGAAGTTATCCTTCATGATACTCTAGCAGAAGTACTGATTGTATCGGATAATTCAAAAATTGGATATAAAGATTTAGGACCAATTGCTCAAGGTAAAGTATATATAACTGAACATTTTTTAGTATTCCGAGATAATTATGATCGACTTAATTGTTCATTTACTCTTCACCTTTCAGCTGTTAAAAAAGTTGAAAGAAGTCAAACATCAAATTATGATTTTACTTTAACTATAACAACTCATAGTAAACTTAATATAGTTCTTTCATTAGTGGGATTACGGAATAATCTGGAAAGATTTGGTCAAGTATTAAAGATTACTCTAAAGAAGAATCTTGCCAATATTAAGAAACTTCAACCATTTATTCAAACTTGTTATTCAGAATATCTTTTAGCAAAAAATCATGTTTCAAATGAAAAAATTGAACATATGCCTAATGGAGGTTTAGGACTTGTATTTAAATTTCCTGGTAATCCAAGAGAACAACGAGATAAATCTAAAATGAAATTATGGTTTGATTTATTTCGAGCTGATGGTAGAAATTTATCATTAATTAAAACTCCAATGTTTTATAAATTAATTAGAGTAGGATTACCTAATCGATTAAGAGGAGAAATATGGGAATTATGTTGTGGATCAATGTATTTAAGACTTGATAATCAAGATGAATATCATTTAATTTTAGAAGCTAATAAGAATAAAAAATCGTTAGCCGTTGATGAAATTGAAAAAGATTTAAATCGGTCACTTCCTGAATATGCTGCTTATCAAAGTGTTGAAGGAATTTCTCGATTAAGAAATGTTTTAACAGCATATTCATGGAAAAATCCCGAAATTGGTTATTGTCAAGCAATGAATATTGTTGTTGCTGCTTTATTAATTTATATGTCTGAAGAACAAGCATTTTGGCTATTAAATTTATTAGTTGATAGAATTGTTCCTGGTTATTATTCAAAAACTATGTATGGAACTTTATTAGATCAAAAAGTATTTGAATCATTAGTTCAAAGTTGTATGCCATTATTATGGGATCATATAACTAAAAATGATATTCAATTATCAGTAGTTTCATTACCATGGTTTTTATCATTATATTTAAGTTCTATGCCATTAGTATTTGCGTTTAGAATTCTTGATGTATTCTTTCTTCAAGGTCCAAAAACTTTATTTCAAGTGGCTTTAGCAATTTTAAAAATTAATGGTGAAGCCCTTTTACAATCGGAAGATGATGGAAGTTTTATATCAATTATAAAAACTTATTTTCATGAATTAGATCAATCAGCTCATCCAACATCTCCAAATCCAAAATATAAATCTATTACAAAATTTCAAGAATTATTAGTTACTGCATTTAAAGAATTTTCAAATATAACTGAAGATACTATTGAAAATCATCGATATAAACATCGAGATGGAATTTTTCAAAATATTTCAACTTTTGTTAGACGAACAGAATTAAGAAATTTACCCAAGACTAATAATATTGATAGTGATACTTTAAGTATTATTTATGATAGATTTTATTCAATTGTTCAAGCTGATGTTACAGTAGGTACTGGATCTAATTTTATGGATTTTAAATCATTTAGACAATTTATGGCTGAAACTTGTGATTGGGTTCAACCAAATATTAATAATGATAAACGTCAAGATGTATTTCTTAATCATTTATTTGCTCAATGGGATTCTGAAGGTCAAAGATTAATTACTTTAGCCGATCTTGTTGTTGGATTAAATAAATTAATTGATCCTGATTTAATGACTTCAATGTCAAATTTCTTTCAATTATATGATTATAAAAATTCTGGAAAACTTGATAGAGAATGTATACTTCAAGTATCAGAAGATTTACTTAATATAACTAATCCATGGAAAGATGGAATTTTACTTGATCAAATTACTGAAACTGCCATTGAAAATGCTGTAGCTGATGAAGTTTATAAAGCTCAAGCATCCAATAAAGAAGAAGACAAAGGTGAAGGTGAAGATGAAGATGATAAACATGTTACTACTACTAGTACTACTACTAATAATCATATTAAATTACCATCAGAAGTTAATATTGATAAAGAAAAATTTGCTGCTTTACAAAGTCAACGGTATTTACAAGCTGCTAGTACATTTATTCAACGAGCTTTTGAATATGCTCAACCAGAAGAAGAAGAAATCCTTATAAAAGATTTAGCAATTGATAATACTATTGCTCATAATGCAGCTCTTAATCCCAATTCTCCAGTATTCCTAAACCTCCCCACATTCCGGATGGTAATCTTGGCAGATGAGACTTATGAATTATTCTTTAGTCATACATTAAGAAATTCCATCCATTTAGATAAACCACTCGATTCCAAGTTTGATACCATGCGGAATTTGAAGGGGATGTTCGATGGATTATTGGCTGATGGGATTAAAGTAGCCAATAAAGTTCGACAACGAATGGATAGTGCGGCCAGTAGTGCACTTAATCCAATAGCTAATAGTGATGCATCATCAAGTAGATCCGCCAAGAGTCGAATCCAAGAAGATGAAGAAGAAGAAAGAGATGATGATTTAGGAGTTATATCAATTGATGAAGATATCCTTATGTCTCAGGAGACTCAAGGAGTGGATGGAGGACATTCTGAAAATGGAAAACCTCCTCCCCCAACTTCTAAAACTACTACTAGTAGTAGTGCTGGTAGTGCCAGTAACTTAATCGAGTTTGATTTATTATAAGAATATAGAAAATATATGACATAAGATAAATACTAACAATGCTAAAGTATGTGAGGTGGGGGTATATTATTTACACGGGGATAGTAAAATCCTTTCTATCTTCATTAGTTTTAGGAGTCTTTATAACAGTATTAGAAACAATCTTTTGTTTATTAATGGTTTCTCCTCGAACAATTCTTTCCATTTCTTCTCTTGTTAAAGTTTCATATTCCAATAATCCTTCCGCTAATCTTTTTAATTCAATTTTTTTATTTTCTAATAATTTTCTGGTTCTATCTTCACTTGAAATTAAGAAATCTCGAACTTCTTTATCAGCCATATTTCTTAATTCTGGTGACCACAGTTCCCAATTATCGGATAATTTAATGGGTCCAATTAAATCACTCATACCATAAGAAGTTACCATGGCTCTTGCAACTCCTGTAGCATTTGATAAATCACTTGAACATCCACTTGTAACATTTTCTTTACCATTAATCATTTCTTCAGCAATTTTACCTCCCATACATACATCTAATCTTGCAAAACATTCTTTTTTACTCATATCTACTTTATCCATTTCTGGTAATTGAAATGTTATACCTAAAGCTCTACCTCTTGGTAATATAGTTGCTTTATATAATGGTGTTGCCCCTTTTGAAAACATTGCCATAATTGCATGACCTGCTTCATGATAAGCAGTATTAATTCTTGATTCTTCAGTTATAACCATCTTCTTTTTAGCAGCTCCCATTAAAATTTTATCTTTAGCCCATTCAAAATGTCCCATATCAACAGCAGGTGCAGATAATTGTGAAGCATGAACTGCCGCTTGATTAACTAAATTCATTAATTCTGCTCCACTTAAACCAGGGGTACCTCTAGCAATAATTGAAGGATCAACATCTTCAGCAGTTTCAACATTTTTCATATGATGTTTTAAAATATCAATTCTACCTCTAACATCAGGTAAATCTACAATAACTTCTTTATCAAATCTTCCTGGTCTTGTTAATGCCTTATCAAGAGATTCTGGAAAATTAGTGGCACCAATAATAATAATTCCCAGAGTTTGAGAGAATCCATCAAGTTCAACTAATAATTGATTTAAAGTTTGTTTTGCATAAGCTTGATCTTTTGGATTTCTTTTACCTCCAATAGCATCTAATTCATCAATAAATATAATTGCTGGAGATTTATCTCTTGCTTGAGAAAATAATTCTCGAATTCTTTTAGCTCCAACCCCAACATATAATTCATCAAATTCTGATCCTGACATAAAGAAAAATGGTACTCCTGCTTCACCAGCAGTTGCTCTTGCTAATAAAGTTTTACCAGTACCTGGAGGTCCAGTTAAAAGTACACCTTTTGGTAATTTACCTCCAAGACCAGTAAATTTAGCTGGATCCTTTAAGAAATCAACAATTTCTTCTAATTCAGCTCGTGCTTCATCACAACCTTGAACATCAGAAAATTTAACGGTTGATTGAGATACATCAATAGATTTATCAGATACTTCATTATTTTTAAATATAGTACCATTTTCAACTAAATAATTAAATGCATTAGTTGCACCATAAGTTAATAAAGCTACTGGTATAAGCCATTTTAACCATTTAGAAAGTATAGTTAATAAGGATTCACTAACAATCACATGAACTGGTTCATATCTTGACCCAAATCCATGAGGTATTGAACCTCCCATTGGACCATTAATATTATTATTTGAATTGGTATTATTAGCCATTTGACTCAGTAATGATCGAGCTACTTGTTCAGCTTTACCCTTTTTACCGATTTTATTTAATGCATCAATATATAATGAAGTACAATCAGGTGATGAAGCTATACCAGGAGTTTCATATCTTTGAACTACAATATGAGGATAATTATTAGCTAATAAAGATTTATAAAATTCAGCTTGAGCTGTTGTATTATTAAGATCACTATTAGCGATTTGTTCTTGAGATTGTAATAGACTTACTGTTGAACTAGATACTATAAATCTTTGATTTATAAGAGGAGTTTGACGATATTGACGAGATTTTGATGATGGCGTTGATGATGGTAATGGTAATGGTAATGGATGTTGACCGAGGAGAGCTCGAGATGAGAACTTTCGGAGTGCTAAAGTGGATGAACCCATAAGAACGTTTCGGAGGGTTATCCGAACCGATGGGTTATGTAAAGTGGCCAACAGTAACATTTGTTAGTGGTAGATAAGGTGAAGTAGAGTATTAGATGAGGTAACCAAAGACCGGGACGGGCATTTATAGAATGTTGGAGAATTCTGCGACATGCGACATCAGAGAGTGAGTGTGAGAGTGAGTGTGAGACATAGTGACCGAGACATTAGAGTCACAGTACTTATAGTGATAATAGTAGATAGTATAGAGATAGTATAGAGATAGTGGAGTGGTGCAGTACATAGTGGTACAGTACATAGTAGTATAGTGGTGTAGTAGTAAGTATACAGTATATAGTGTTAGACAGGAGAATTAGTAGGGTATATAGTATAGAGTATAGAGTAATGAGAAGACCAACAACTGAACTGATGACTGAGTGATAAGAATGTCGCACTGGGTGTCACACTTTCTAACTGTCGATAAGACTCACCTGTCGCATTTCTCATTACTTTTCTGTTTGTCACTTTCTATGTCACTTTCTGTCACTTGTCGCATTTCACGTCCATTTCACTTCCTTTTGCGACACTCTTTGTTTTGTTTACATTTCCTTCCCATTACCACTACTCCATCCTCCACTACCACCTTCCACCACCACCACTACCACCACAATCTCCACTATGAATGGTCAACCTCTCCCTAAGAAACGAGGTCATACCACTACAACATCCAGTGACAATCTGAGATCAGTTTCAATGTCAAATCGGAATGTTAGTGGACGCACAACTCCCAGTAATCATAATAGAATTGTATCTCATCGAGTATTATCATCTTCAAGACATGTTAGTAGATCACTTAATAGTGTTGAAGATTCATTTAATGAAGATAGTGCTATTCATTTTAATGAAAATAAACATACTATCTTATCTAATTTTGAAGAATGGATTAAAATGTCAACCGATAATAAAATCACTTCGAAGAATTCATGGCAATTTGCATTAATTGATTATTTTCATGATATGAATGTTATAAAAGATGGTGATAATATTAATTTCCAACGAGCTTCTGCCACTTTGGATGGATGTGTTAAAATTTATCTGAGTAGAGTTGAATCAGCAGCTACTGAAACTGGGAAATTATTAAGTGGATTAGCTAAAAAGAAAGAATTAGAAGAAATTGATGAAGGTGATGAAGATGATAATGAAGAAGGTAATGAAGATGGTACTAATAAACAAGGAGAGAATGGAGAGAAATCAAATAACAATGATGAAGATGAATTTGATGAGTATGGTAGAAAGAAGAGAAAGTATAATCGAATTGTTGAATCAACTCTTGTAGATTTTGATGTTATAAGAATTAAAAAATTAGATCAAGAATTGGCTATAGATCCTTTATTTAAAAAGGCATTGGCGGAGTTTGATGAAGGAGGTGCCAAGAGTTTATTATTGAATACTTTGAATATTGATTCTTCGGGAAGAATCGTATTTGATGCAACATCGAAGCCACTTAATGAAGGTGAAGTAGATGGAAATGAAGATGAGGATGAAGATGAGGATGAAGAAGAAGAAGAAGACGAAGAAGACAAACAAGAAGACAAACAAGAAGTACCCGAACTCATAATAAACAAGGAAGAAATTGATATTCTGAGTCTTGATAAGTTTATATTCAAGAATAGTGAACAGACTAATTTAGATAACCTCACCATATGTCCATCATTAGGAGAATTTCATTCAGCCATTGAAGATATTTCTAAAGCCAAATCAATTCTTAGTGATTTTAATACTAAAATAACTGCAGCTGCCGAACAAGAAGATCCTTCCGATTATGGAGATCAATTAGATTATGATGATTTTGGAGGTCCAGAACCTGAAGATGGAGATTTAGATGGAGGTAATCTTGATGGAGATTCAGGATCTAATATAACTGATGATCCATTAAATCATATTAATCATAGTATAATGCATCGATTATTTAGTGAATCAGAATTACATTTAGAACCAGCTATAACGGCAGCTACAAGTACAGATTTACTTGATAAAGATCTTATGGCATACTTTGATGAAAGAATGAAAACTAATTGGCGAGGTCCTGAACATTGGAAAGTAGCAGCATTAAAACGTATATCAAAAATTGATACATCAGAAAATCGAGCAGAACAAGCCATAACTGGAGGACAAAAACGAATTAAACTGAATCAAATTATTGTAGATTTCTTTGGAGATGAACCTGATGAAGATTTATTATTTGCATCTCCGAAATTCTTAGTATCAATTCAAAAAAAAACTGATTCTTTATCATCATCAGAAGATAATAAACTTCCAGATGATATTAAATATAATTCAGCAAGATTAACTAATTTATTTACAAAACCAGAAATGTCTATAGTATACTTTCCTAAAAAGAAAGTTAATGGAGATAATACTCAATTTACTGATGAGAATTTCTTTGCTGAACAATATAATAAGAAAGCTGAAGAAGAACAAGAACAAGAACAAGAAAGATTAGCACAATCATTTCATCAAGCAGAATATGATGATTATAATTTTGATAATTTTGATAATGGAGATGATTTTGGAGGTATAGATTTTAATGATGTATTACAAGGAGAGAATATACTTGAAAATGATAATAATTCTAATAAAGATGATATAGCTTCTGAACAAATTATGGGAAGAAAACGTCCAGAATATGTTACATTCTCTCGAGTAGCTAAACGAGTAGATGTTAAAGCTTTAAAGGATAATATTTGGAATACTATCAAGAAAGAAGAACCAGAACCAGAACCAAAACCTGAGACAGTGGCAGAGACAGAGACAGAACCACCACAAAATACTAAACATTTTGGAGAGTTGGTTAATTCTGTCGCATATCTCTATGGTCCTGAACAGAGAAAGGATTTATCTACTAGTTTCTATTTCATTTGTCTTTTACATTTAGCCAATGAACATGGGCTAACTATCAATTCTAATGAAGCCCACGATGATTTGGACATTGTGGGTTTCTAATCTATAGACTAATATAAGTATTATGGGGTAAATTCTATATATATTACTATCTCTATCTTCTCTTCTTCTTATCATTTCTATGACCCCGACTATTGATCTTATTGATAAGATCCTGAGGAATTACAAGTCCGTTCCGAGTGGATCTACCAACACTAGCAATCTTTAAACCTCTATCTCTCATTGTTTTAGTATTCTTCTTACCAGTTCCTAATCGATCAGCTTGTGATGTATATCCTCTACCGGCATTTAAATCACGTAATTGACCCTTCTTAACTTTCGATAAAACAATACCTGCATCTTTAGCTTCTTGTTCATACTTTTGAATCTTTCGATCTCGTGATTTTATCATGCCTTTCCTCATAGACATTGGCATATTCTCTAATTTATGAGGTAATCCACCAGTCTTAGAATTAATGGCTGCTAATGAACGGATTCTAGAATCCATAGTTCGTTTACGAGCATTACCAGTAGGATCTTCATAGTCAAGAGTTTGTAATGTTACATCAGCTCCTGAGTATTGAAGAGAGTTGGCTAAAATATGTGATTCATCAAGTAATCGTTGAAGTTTTATATCATTTTCCAAATTATCTGAATCCTCTTGGGTGGCTTTTCTCTTTTGCTTCTCAGTCTGTTTATCGGCAAGTTTCTGTTTCCGTTCTATCTCTTGAAGTGTTGGTGCTCGACCGGATTTAAGTAACTTTCTATCAGCTTTGGATATGGGTACATGGGTTGAAGTAGTGTCGTTTAGTTTGAATACTTTGGGTCGTACAGGTACTGTCTGTTTGTTGTCTTCAAATCCAGTGAACTCGCTTTGACTATCACTATCACTATGACTATCACTGCCACTTTCTTCTTCACTATCTTCTTCTTCACTAAGCTCTTCACTAAGCTCTTCACTCAGCTCTTCGCTATCTTCTTCACTCTCACTAACTTCTTTACTCCCACTACCTTCTCGAGACTTATCCACATATCCAAGATCTTCTATCGCTCCAAACTGCGCCTCGAAGTTTCTCCGCTGGACCTCAAGGGCCCGGAGGTACTGCTCGTCGTCGCTCATGCCTGTGGTTGTTACTCTTCACTAATTTCTAGCGAAGCTCATCTCATTTGTGTATTAGTTTTTCTGGCTGGTTCCCATAGTTAAGCAGGGCAATTTTCTAGTATAGTGCAGTGTACTGAATGCACCAATAAATATATCAAGAATTCCTTTAAGTATAGTATAAGTACAGATGATCTCTACAGATTGGTATCTTTACATATTCCAATTTCTCATGGTAACCATCATATTTCATTACTAGTAGCATCTCCATTGGTGTGCGTTCCCCACACAAAAAATGTATAGGCTAAATTGAAAAATTCGGCCTAAAAGGGTAATGAGTCAGAGTCCGACTCATAATCATTACTATACTATAATATACGGTACATTAACTATGACAAAGTTTAGAGGTTGTATAGATATTCATGCTGGTCAAGTGAAGCAAATTGTCGGGGGTACACTTACTCAAGATGATACGGCAGTAGAGGGAGATACCACTACGGAAAACTTTATCAGTAATCGACCTTCATCATACTATGCTCAACTATATAAAGATAATGGGATTGAAGGATGTCATGTCATTAAGCTTGGAAGTAATCCTGCCAATGATGAGGCTGCCAAACTAGCATGTTCTACTTGGCCTCATAAATTACAAGTGGGTGGAGGTATTAATATTGATAATGCTCTACAATGGTTAGATGAGTATGGAGCATCACATGTTATAGTGACTAGTTGGTTATTTAATGAGTCTAAAGAGTTTGATTGGGATCGATTAGCCCATATCTCTAGTTTAGTAGGTAAATCACGACTCATAGTGGATTTAAGTTGTAGAACAGTTATTGTTAATGGACAAAGTCAATGGGTAGTAGCCATGAATAAATGGCAAACATTAACGTCTACAGTATTATCAGAATCAGTATTTGCTAAGATATCCCAATATTGTGATGAATTTCTTATCCATGCTGCTGATGTAGAAGGATTATGTCAAGGTATAGATGAGAATTTAGTAAGTAAATTAGGAGAATGGTGTCCAGAAGGGTTTGAAGGAAAGATTGTATATGCCGGAGGAGCTAAACTGATACAAGATTTACTGGTTGTTCATAAACTAAGTCATGGTAAAGTTGATTTAACATATGGAAGTGCATTAGATATATTTGGCGGTAAATTAGTTAAGTTTGAAGAGCTTGTACAGTGGAATAAAAGTAAAAATTAGTACGAATATAATGATTTAATTATAGACTATTAACATAATAATATACAATATATAACAACAAAAGTGTAAGGTAAGTTTATATGTAAGTTTTAATTCCATGCAGATCCACCACCAAATTCTCCATAAGGACTCTTTCCTGGAGTTTCACCACCATTTTCATAATCAGTTCTACCATAAGTTGTAAAACCTCCAGTATTTGTTGCATTTGAAGTTTCGACATTTTCATCTCTTAATCCAACAAGAATATCACCAACTTTCCGTTGTAATTGTTCAAGAGCGGTTAATACTACTTGATCAGGAGGTAAATTACCTACTGTTTCTGCATCAAAATAAAAATGATCTGCTTTAGCTTTATAATCAAATGGAGCATCTTTATCAGGAGGATCTTCGAATTTTCTATTTTCTGATTTTGGCCATTCTTCTTCTGGATCATCTTCATACCAATAATCTGTATGTTTTAATTTATTATAAGGATCATATTCAAATCCTACGGCTGCACATGGAGACCATTTAGCATGTTCTTTAGCTATACCCTTTTTAGCAATACATGTAAGTTTTATTTCTTGATGTTTTCTTAATTTACAAATTAATGGACCTTTCTTATTTTTATCTCTTATTACTGGAGTTCCTAAATTAGAACCATTTTGAAATTTAGCTAAATCAGATGCATAAACTGACATTGTAGAATCAGTATCACATTTACTATTTAATTCTAATTTAACTGAACAATTTGCACAATAACTATCACAAGTACAATCTCTTGAATAAGCTAAATCTTCAATTCCTTCACTAATTAATGGAATAAGTCCTAATCTATGAGATAAGAATTCATCAGCCAATACTGAAGTATTAATATCTATTTCTACTAAATCAATAGCTAAAGTTGGAACTTCCGCTAGCATAACTCTTCTTAATGAATTGGCTAATGATAAATCCACATTGAAAAGTTCGAAATTCACTCGATCTTTCTCGGCATTTGTGATTCTCACCGATAAGTCCTTATTCCTATCCATACTTCTTATATATATATAATCTATAGGGGTCCTTGCCAGAAGGTTAGACACACTGTCGTTAAGTATGGGTGGGAAGTATCAGTATTGGTAATGAAGTTTTCAGTTTTAATTTTTTCGGTGTTGGATGTAACCTGTAGTTGGAATTTGTAGGTTAGCTTTTACTTTTTTACATGTTAGAATACTACTTTTTCTACAGTTTGAAACAAAATATATTATACATTCTAATCGTGGCAATCTTACTATTATAGTGTGATACTACTAATTATTAAATATCACTATGAGTAAAAACTTAGGACAAATCCATATCCCGGACTTACGGTTTGAACAAACATTCATGCGTCAGTTGAATGGGTACGCACAAACGGGTCCTTCAAGATCCAGTCCATTGAGTGATGCTGAGTTACAGGCAGCCAATGTAGATATTGATGAAGAAGTTGATGAAAAACCCATTGGAGTTATTACTCCATCGATTGTACTTTATGCCATATTCAAAGATCAAATATTAATGCCATTGGTTCAAGGATTTCTTTGGACGGGTTTTCTCCTTAGTGTTCGTCCCATATTAAATATTATTGTTAGACAAGGTCAGCTTAGTGGGATTTGGTTGAGTAATTTAATGGGACTCAATCGAGTACGGAGTCGTCCTCGGTATATTTAGGAATGATGAATGATAAATAAATAAATAAATAAATAGTATAATGAAACGTAAATAGTAATCTAGTTAATATAAGAAGTAATTAATATTTAAGTATATGGACGTGCTCGTGACTTGCAGCTCGTGACTCCGCACATGACTTCTTCGTCACGTCAAGTCAGGAGTGTTTACATCCGCATTGGGAATGAAGTGAAATTTGGACCCTGTGTGCAGGAGCACAGGGCAACCCAGCCATTCAACATTCAAGGAACAGGTGTACCCATAGAGTTAATTACAATTATAGATATCAGTTAGCTGACTAATACTATAAGAATTAATAATTGTAGAAAGTCAGAATTGGAATTTTAATCATGTTCAGACGGAAAAGTCGTACTGTTCGGGATACTTCATATACTGGAGTTAATCATGTAGCCCCCCACAGTAGTCAACCTAATACCAATGCTTTAGCAGCTGCTTTAACTATTGGACAATCTATAAAACAGAAAGAAGGGATTTCTAGACCTCAGGCGGGGACCCATTCACGTGCTAGCTCCATACAATACATTACTAAACCAATTCAATCACAAACACAAGCACATCCTCAACCTCGAACTCAAAGCTCATCTGGTAGTTTATTAAAGAGAAATTCTATAGTAGGACAGAAACAAGGGACAGAAATTAAAAGTACAGTAACTCATCAACATCAACATCAATTCCGAGATTTTTCTGGTGGTACAGGACTGATTACTTCAACTTCTTCACCTTCAACTTTACCTACTCCTGCTTCATCATCACATTCTAAATCTCCATTAAATCATCTGCATCCAATAGTTTATGATATTGATGATAGTTTTAATGATTCATATCTTGATGAAATTACTGAAGAATCTCATCAAGTATATTTGAATAATCAACAAAACCTTCAAGATTTGAAATTATCTCATCAACCAATTTCAAATATTAAAACAAATTCTCGAGCAAGTCTTACTAATCAATCAAAGGCTCCAGTTAAAATGGTTAAGAAATATGTTCCAACTCCTAATGGAATTAAAATTATAGAAGTTCCTGAATCTAATTTTAAACAAGAAATGGCTCGTAATAATTCTATTAGATCAGGAACAAGTATTTCAAGATCAGGATCTTTAAGAAATATTGCTCCAGGTTCTAAAAGAATTCCTCGCTCTCCTTCATTAAATTCCGTTAATAGACCTCCAAATTTGGCACCTCCAGCTAAAAAGCAACCTTCTAGATTATCTAGTATTATTCATCAAGCTCCAGTTATGGAACCAATGACTGAAAATGTTGATTTAGAAGATAAATTGGGTCATAATGATGAAGTCGAAGAACAAAAATTGAAGATGCAACAATTACAAGAAAAAATTGATCAAGAAAAGAACTTTGCTAGAGAATTGGAATTGAAGAGACAAGAATATGAATCGTTGAAATCTCTGAATGATCAAAAATTAAGAGATCTTGAACGTCATATATCTCCATCTCCTGAACCCGTGCAAGTTACCAAAGCTGCTGTTCCAAACCCAATTTCTGAACCAGTTTCTCATCCAAAAGAGATTGAAAAACCAATTCTCGAGACTCAGCCTCACGAAGATGAGGAAGAAGATGAAGATGAAGAAGAAGAAGAAGATGTCCCAATTATCAATAAGGGAATCATTGTAGATGAGGTTTCTAAAAAGTATTTGAATGACGAAGATGTTCACACAACTGTAGAAGAAGAAGCCGGACAAGCTGAACAAGAGAAAGAAGCAGTGAACCCAGAAGATACCACTATCTATTCGAATGTTGCACATTCAGGTAGTGAATTAGGGATTATCAATCAATACAGTCACTTTGAATCTAATGAATTATTGAATCGTGATAGTATAATTGAGAATACAATAACTTCAGAAGAAGAAGAAGCTGAAGATATATCTTCTGGTGATGGATTGGCTAAGCAATTAAGACCTACATTTGATACTGTACCTGAAATTATTGAGAATAAACCAATTGATCCAGTAGATCTAGTTGAACCAGTACAACCTGTTGAGCTGGTTGAACCAATTGAACCAATAGCTCAACCTGTAGAAGCTGAACAAATTAGTGAAGATACAGTTAAACAAGAAACTAATGAAACTTTAGTTCCTGCTGTGAATGTTCCTTCGTCTACTGGTCCAACTCATTATTCATCAGATGATAAACTTCAAGTTCCACCTCCATCATTTGGAGGTACTACTAGTGGTGAAGGTAGTAGTAATTCATCACTTTATTCCACTAGTAGTAAAGATTCTCCTAAGAAATTGAAGTCGGCTATGAAGAATTCTACTTCATTCTATAATTCTAAAACTAGTGCAGCTAAGAATAATGCAGCTCATGAAGCTTATTTATCATTAACTACAGCTGAAAATACTAGACTTAATTCTAAATTATCATCTACCCAATTAAATGATGGAATTGGAAATGTAACTGCTTATTCACAATCAGCTCATTCATCTATAGTTCCAGCACCAACTACTGCTAAAAGATTATCTCAAAGTACTTTAAGAAAAGTTCCACCTAATGGAAATGTAACCGGTCCAAATCAAGGAATTCCAAATGCTGGAGTTCCACCTAGTGGTACTGGACTTTCATCGAGATCATTAAGACCTCAATCTTATCAACCTGATTCTGCAGGTCATAGATCATTAGATCCTAATATTAATGGTGCCAGTCCAGGTATGAGTGGTAGATCATTAAGAGCTAGTTATGGATATGTTCAACCTGTTCCTCCTCATCCTGTATTACAACCAAATTATCAATCGCCATCTAAAATTAAAGCAGCAGAATTATATGCTAAAGCCAATTCTCGACCACAATCAGTATTTAAACCACTTACAAAGAGATCATCATTTAGTAGAGAAAGTGGGGCACCACCTAAGAATAATGAACCATCTACTGGTGGTAGAACTACGTTAAGAGATGTTACTACTCCAAGTCCTGTAAAATCTCAAGCTCCAGTATATGGACAAGGTCAACCACATCCACATGCTCCAGTACCTCCATCACAAGGTGGAGCTCATGAACCACCTAGAAGTCATGGTAAACCATTCGCATCGAGATTTGATGATTCTGATGATGAAGGTTCTGGTCCAGGCTCAGGGTCAGGTGTAGGTTTTGGAGGTATACCAGGATTTAGAAATGGTAGTGGTGGCAGTAGTAATGTTCATCATGCACCTAAATATTCTTCAAGATTTAATGATTCAGATGAAGAGATTCATTTCCCCAAACCATTTGTTCAAGCAACACCTGCCGTTCCACTTTCAGCAAGTGGTAATGGAGGAATCAATACAAGTTTAAGACAACCATCACAGACTGTGTCTGTGGCGGAATCAGCCAATGCTAAACCCAAACGATTTGGCAAATTACGGAAATTATTCGGAAGTAATAACTGAGTATACATTCTATTTTACATACATTTGTTTAGTAATTATATAAGCGCCTATAGATTTAATACAAACAGTTCTGGGCATATTAATTTGGGGGGTGGAAGCAATAGTTGCAAAACGTAAAGTGTAAAATTGGTGGTAAGCCGTAAATGCAGGTTAGACGGTGAAGTCGAAGCCCGAAGCCCAAATAGTTAAGATATAAACTATGGAAGACTAATAAACAAGAGTTGTAACTTAAGGAGGGGTAGATTGGGGTGTTTCAATTGGTTGTGGCTAGTTGTTGGTAGGTTAGTTTAGTTACTCTTGTTCAAATTGGGTGTTTAATAGGTTCAGGTTATTGTTAGACTACTGTATATTACTATATATTACTGTATACTATTGTATACTACTGACGTATTATTGTTATAGTAAACGATAGAAGGATATAGTATCCGTGTATTATTCGTGTAGTAGTAGCTGTACTAGAGTAGTAAGAATAAGCGATAGAGTTACCATAGTAAAAGTTAATTACTACTACCCAATAATACCGTCACGCATCGCTCTCATTAACATACACTATAGGGGCCTAGACTTCACTATACTACATTATACTACTACATTATACTACTCTATACTAAAGAGATTTTATATAATACTTACTTCACTATACTAATGTATGTTGCTTTATAATACAGTTAATCTTACTGAACTTCACCAACTATACAATAGTACTACAATAATAAGTATCTATTGTCCTGCACACAGACCGGCGCCATATCATACTCAATTTATTGTCCCCACGTGGGACTGCCATTGATCTTTGATTGGATATGTCCACCTCGGCCTGGCCTTAATGTCGTGCCAGGAAATTCCTGTTAATTGATCTACATAAGGTTCTCATAGTTAAGGTTAGCTAAAACGACGTAGTAGCGACATTTATTAACTATTAAGCATTTCACTAATTAGATTTTTTAGTCTCTCGCTCAAATAGGCAACTCTAATTACAGTTCACTTGTTCAGAATTATTCACTACAAGAACAGGAGACTGTAGCGTAACTTGAGTAGAAGAAAGACAAAGACTACTTACTGTCTATAGGCTAACCAACTTCATTGTCGCTGTCACTGTCATTGTCACTGTCACTGTCTGTCACTCTGTCACAAACTGTCTGTCTATCACTGTCTGTAACACTGTCGCATACTGTCACATTGTCATTGTCTATCATTCACTACTAACTACTAACTACACTAATAAATCATTAATGGACCTGTCTGTGTGGAATACCTTCTCCCCTGGCCAAACTGGTCAAACACCGGGCAAGTCTCCCTATTATCATGATCATCTTCAACTGCATCCGTCTCAAAATCAACCAAATCAGTCTAATCAACCTAATCAACCCCTGCATGAATCATCTTCCACTCACCATTCAACCCCTTCAGCTCATCCATTTCAACAGACTCCTTTACAACCTCATCTCACTACTTCAACAACTCCCGGTTCTAACTTTACCGATACTGAACAAATGTTTCTTCACCAATTAGAACAAAATTTGTATGAGGCTGCAGCCGTACATCATCATCACCATCATCATCATCATCATCAACTTCCTTCTAATTCACATTCTACTGATACTACTCCTAATTCTCATGGCGGTGGAGATACTCAATCAACATCTACAAATCATTCATCATCTCAATCTCATTTACAATCAGGTGTTGTGGGGGCAGCCGCAGGTATCCCACCTCCACCTCCATCTCAATATGAATTTGGCATTGAAAATATTAATTTCATAATACCGGAAGATTTAAATTTTGATACTGATCCAAATCATGAATCTTCAGCTTTCCCTCCATCTCATTTACCTCCTACTCAAACTCCTAGTTTGTTAGCTGCCAATAAATCTGGTTCAGGTCCAACTTCTGTACCTTCATCAACCAAAAATACTAATACCACCTCCAAAAATGCTACAAATTCATCAACAAACCCATCATCTACTAATTCTAATCCTTCTTCATCTTCAGGTATAAAAGATGAGAAAATGTTTGCATCTCCTATTTTACCAGGTCAAAATGAAAAATCATATAATAATCAGCATTATTATCATAAACAAAAATTGAATGAACATCAAGGTTCTGGTGGTGCAGCACCTCAACAACATGTAAGACCGGATGCTGTATTTACACCATTAGTTTCACCAGCTGTAACTCCCTTGGATTCTCAAATTAAAAGTGGAGTTGCTACTGGATCTGGTTCATCTTATGGTCATCAACCTCCTGTATCAATAGCATTTGAACCATTAACATCACCTGCTTTAAATGCTCAACCATCAGGTATTCATCCTAATGCAAGTAATAATAGTAGTAATAGCAATAGAGATCGTGATGATAGAAGAAGATCATCTTCTAGTGTATTTGGTCCAGTAGATGAAACTCCAGCAACAATGACAACTACTCATTATAAAAGAAGAACTCCTCATGGAACTCCAATATTACTGGGGAATTCTTCAACAGCGACTAAATATTCTCCTTCAATTAAGGGAAAGAATGGAGTATTTCGTAATACTTCAGGAGCATTTGAAAATTTACCTGAACTGAGTTTAGAAACAGGTGAAATGTTACCTCCTTCATCAGTTAAGAGAATGGACTTTCAAGGTAATAACAGTAATAATAGTAATAATAATAACAGTAATAATAATAATAATGGTAATAGTGCCAATGGCAGTGCTACTGGAACACCATTAATGGGATTCACTATGGGAATATTAGCTGAACATTCTCAACATGAAGATGAAGGTAGTGATTTAATGAGTCATATTGATAGTGGTAATAATGGTGATGACAGTAATGTAGATATGGAATCTGTCAATATACCTTCTAAATCACTTTCAAGAAAATCCTCTACCAGATCAAGAAAGTCATCATATTCCAAATCTATTGGAAGATCAGGTGGATCAAGTTCAGAAACATCACCTAATTTAAAGCCTGAAAATTCATCAGGTAAAAAAAGTGGAGAAAAGCCTGCCACTAAAAAGGCATCTCATAAGTTGGCAGAACAGGGTAGAAGAAATAGAATGAATATGGCAGTTCATGAATTAGGAAATTTAATTCCTCAAACTTATCATGATGAAGTAACCATTCCTTCTAAAGCCACTACAGTCGAATTGGCTTCTAAATATATTCGAGCATTATTGACTGAAATTGATGAGATGAAAAGAAAATGATGTATAATGAAACCCCCCACTCCAACCCCGTATTTAAATTTTTGTCTCTACGATAGATATCGATTTCTTGTGTTATATAGTTTTATGTAAAGTAGTATATATTTAATTATTGTTCGATCGGTATTATCGTTCACACGTGACATTTCTCGTGCGCGCCCGCGTGACGAATTTCATAATGACTTGTCCTCAACACACTGAAAAACTCGACTAAATCTCCAATATTAACGAAGTCAACATTAGTTAAATTTTCATCAGATCTGAACATTTCAGTAAGAAAACATATCTCATTGATTTCCACTTAGTCACGCGACCAAGACAGTTCATTTAAAATTATTTTGAACTCAATACCATTCTTAGTCATTGAGATAGATCAGTAATTACTATGGATTTTGAAGAAGCCGAAGATATTAATGGAGTTCGTTTCGCCTGGAATGCATTCCCCTCTACCAAAGTTGAAGCAGCTAAGATAGTTATTCCAACGGGGGCATTGTATACTCCATTAAAACATCGAGAAGATTTACCAATTGCAGCTTATGATCCAATTTTTTGTTCTAATCAAAGTTGTAAATCGATTTTTAATCCTTATTGTACGGTAGATCCTAATGGGTTTTGGAGATGTCCATTATGTTCTTATCGTAATCCATTACCTGCTCATTATCAAGGGATTACTCAAGAAACATTACCAATTGAATTACAACCAACAAGTTCTACCATTGAATATATTACTGCCAGACCAGTACAAAATCCTCCAATTTTCTTTTTTGTTATTGATTTATGTCAAGATGAAGATAATTTAAAGGCATTAAAGGAAACTTTAATTATTTCTTTAAGTTTATTACCACCTAATGCACTTATTGGATTAATTACTTATGGTACTATGGTTCAAGTTCATGATTTAGGTACTGAAAAGATTCCAAAATCTTATATATTTAGAGGTGATAAAGAGTATACTGATAAACAAATTTCTGAAATGTTAAATAGACCAGTTTCAATTCATACTCAACAACAAATTCCATCTCAAGGTTCGAATTTTTCAAATAGTTTAACTAGATTCTTTTTACCAATTGAAGATGTTGAATTTCAATTAACTACTATTTTAGAAAATTTAACTAAAGATCCTTGGCCAGTTGCTAATGGTAATAGACCTTTAAGATCAACTGGAGCTGCATTAAATGTTGCAGCTAATTTATTAGGTTCAACATTCCCAGGTTTTGGAGCTAGAATTATGTTATTTAGTGCCGGACCTGGTACATTAAGTCCAGGATTAATTGTTGGAAAGGAATTAAAAGAACCAATTAGATCTCATAGTGATATTGATAAAGAAAATGCTAAACATTTTAAGAAAGCTGTTAAATTTTATGATGGTATTACTACTAAAGTTGTTAAAAATAGTCATACTATAGATGTATTTGCTGGTTGTTATGATCAAATTGGTATGTTAGAAATGAAATCTTTATGTAATAAAACTGGTGGTACATTATTATTAAGTGATGCATTTACTACATCTATTTTTAAACAATCCTTTTTAAGATTATTTAATAAAGATAGTGAAGGTTATTTATTAATGGGATTCAATGGAACTTTTGATATTAAAACTTCTAAAGAATTAAAAGTTAGTGGATTAATTGGTCATGCTTCATCATTAAATGTTAAAGCTCAAAATGTTTCTGAAAATGAATTAGGACTTGGAGGTAGTTCACAATATAAATTATGTAGTATATCTTCTCAACATACTTATGCAGTATTCTTTGATGTTGCTAATACTCAACAATTACCAACTAATAGTCAATCTTATATTCAATTCATAACTCATTATCAACATTCTAGTGGAACTTATAGAATTAGAGTTACAACTATTTCTAATTTCTTAACTAGTGATGAACAAACTTTAACAAATTCTTTTGATGAAGAAGCTGCAGCAGTTTTATTAGCAAGAGTTACATTATATAAATCAGAACAAGATGATGGAGCTGATGTATTAAGATGGGTTGATCGTATGTTAATTAGATTATGTCAAAAGTTTGCTGATTACAGAAAGGATCAAGAAGAATCATTTAGATTAGGTCCTCAATTTCAAATGTATCCTCAATTTATTTATTATTTAAGAAGATCTCAATTTTTACAAGTATTTAATAATTCTCCTGATGAGACTGCTTTCTATAGACATGTTTTATTAACTGAAGATACTAATAATTCTTTAATTATGATTCAACCAACTTTAACATCCTTTACTTTAGATAAAGAACCAGAACCAGTATTATTAGATTCTGTATCAATTAAAGATGATGCTATATTATTATTAGATACTTTCTTCCATATTTTAATTTTCCATGGTAAAACTATTTCTCAATGGAGAAAAGCAGGTTATCAAGATTTACCAGAATATGAAAATTTGAAGACTTTATTAGAAGAACCAAAACAAGAAGCAGCTCAATTATTGGTTGATAGATATCCATTACCAAGATTTATTGATACTGAAGAAGGTGGATCTCAAGCTAGATTTTTATATTCTAAATTGAATCCTTCTATTACTTATAATAGTTCTGAATATGCTACTAATAGAGGGGCCATTGTATTAACTGATGATGTTTCCTTACAAGTATTCATGAATCATTTAAAGAAATTGGTCGTTTCTGGCTCAAGTTAGATGTGTGTCTTCCCTCCCTCCCTCTCCCATTAAAATTACCCTGTTTTTTATCCTCTTTTAATTAATAAGTTTCTTCTATACATACGAATTGTCATTATTAACAAGTCCACATTCTCTTGTGTTGATTATATTCAACTTTAAGAATTAAAATATATAATACTGCTTATATGCACTTTGGTCTGATTGTAGTTAGAATAGAGTAGAGAGTAGTTCTATTTAGATTATTCATTTAAATGCATATATATATATATATGTATGTTTATTTGTTTATTCAAAGCATCACTTATTATAATATATTTAAACGTATACTTTTTTGGTTTTTAAATTTATTGTCTCTTTTGGCCTCTTGCCGGATGGGCATTGACTTTCTTAAAGTGTGGACATTTAAATTTGTTATGATCTGTTGTGTGCCAGCGACCACAGAAACTTAAATATGACATGAATTCTATTTTCACATCTTTATGATGATGCTTTCTGTGTTTAAAAGGTGTTTGACCACTTGTTAGGATAACAACATAGTAAATTCTTACTAGTTTCTCGTGATTGTTCATAAAGTGTGGATTATCTAGAGCCGATTGAACTTCTGGTGGAATGTAGGAATCAATTATCTCATATTTTGCATCTTTAGGGAAATGGTCTCTAAATAATTCTTCATATCTTTCGATTTCATGAAATGGTAATTCTAAATATAGAGCAACTGGTGTATCATTAGTCACAAAAGAAAATTGGACTGAAGTATTATTTTCTCTTCTAAATTGGTGGTTCTCCATGAATTCTAATAGAAAACTTTGGGGGTTAACCTTCTCCGATGTTTTAATATCACGCTTTCTGAATATGCGTGTTCTGTTATAATTTGTCTGCATTATGTCTAAGATAACGTGAAGATCATCATGATATAGCGTGACCACTGTATTTAAAATAAGCTGTTTAATTACTAAATAGAATAAATTTTGAATTTCTTGACCATATTCTTGATCTAAAGATTTCTTATTTTTGGTGCATTCTTCAAGTTGTTTCTTGTTGATAATATTTGCAGCATTAAGTTCTTTTAATGTATTATTATTTTGTTCAAGTTTCGTTTCAATTAATGAGCATTTGGCTTCAACTTTGTTTATTTCGGGTTCTAATTCTTCAGCACTTAAGTGTAATTCCGTTTCAATTAAGACATCAATTTCTTTAAGAGAATAGTTAGAAAGTTCTTCTGGAATTTTAAAAAGTAACTGATATTCAGTTCTGTAGATATAGTTTAAATAAAATGAATTTTGAAGTGGGCGAGGTAAATCTTTCATGTTTGCTTGATGAATTGCGTTTTGTTTATCTGATAAACTGTCTAAAAAAATATCTTTATTAAAATACGTTTGAGCGTATTTTCTTTGAGTTGGATTTAATAACTTGGCATCAAAGGCATCTTCCCAGATAGGAAAAGTTTCTTCATTAATAATATTTGAATTAATTATAGATTGAAATTCAGGTGAGTTTTCTGAAATTGATTTGGATTTTGCAGCATTATCGTACGACATTGTCGTATTTGCGACATTTGTCTCGGAAATTGAGGGTGAAATCCCTGGTATAGTGAAAGGCTGGTGGTTTAAACCGTCCAATACCTTAACTTGTAACCCATCAGATGATATTGGCGCGTCATCTATAGGTAGCAGATGCTGATTGGTTCCTCTGGAAAGATCTAAATTGGAATTCGTTGGTGGTAGCACTCCTGATGAAACAACTCTTTCGAGATTATTCGCATCGGTGGGGGAAAGTTGGAAAGTTGAAACTAGGGCATTAGTAGACCCATTTTGATGGGAAAAGGGTGAATTCGATGAAGACAGATCTCCTGAACTCGAATCTGCCCTCAAACTTGGCAGATCTGGTGTTTTATACCCCTTTTTCGACATTTTTTTATTTCCAATTGGGCAAGGGAGCCGCTCGATCACATGACCTAAAATTTCAACAATTACGGGCGTGTGGCGTAGTTGGTAGCGCGTTCGCTTAGCATGCGAAAGGTCTCCGGTTCGACTCCGGACTCGTCCATTTATTTTTTTATTTCTTAACAGTGGGTTGCAAAAGTTTATGTATCATTAAATGTAAGAGCATACTCTTCGGGTATAAAGTCAGTATCAGATATGAAGTTAGCTTCAGATGTGTGTGGTGAAGTACATGATTTACATAAAGGTAAGCTGATTAATAGTAATTTTTATAATACCTTTCTAGTTAGAACTACAGTCATAATTGTTATTTCGTGGGATCAGAGTATTTCGTCTTCATTCTATAATTAAAGGAAATCATAACTATTATATATTAATGACCATATATGATAGTGGGACCATAGATGATAATGGCAAACACATTATATGTATTTGTAAACTGATATCGTTGGTTTTCGCAACTTCATAGTCTAAGCAGCCTTCTTCAATAACCATGTGCAAAAATCTCTCTTACTTTCTCAGAGTGTAGGATCCTCTTTCATTATTACCATACAGATTTCGGAAACTGTAGCGGTTTCTAACTCATTTTCTTCCTGTTAATCTAGATGAAAGTTATTTTTATTTGAAGTTCAGCCAAAGGTAGTAGGGGCTTACTATAACTGTAGATATTATTATATGTTTATCATATCTGTTATCGGTAAAATCAAGACTGTTTTTATGGCAACTCAAAGGGAAAACAAAAGATTAAACTTTGGTAAATGTAGCGATATTTGCAGTGATGCAATGCTGTGGATAAAGTGAAATAATGCTATTCAGGCGACATATATATCAGTGTCTAGATAAAATATTATAATGTATAATATATATAATATATTAAACCAGAACTGTTCAGTATATATAAGTGTGTGGTCTGCATGGACAGATAGAGTTAAGAATCAACGACGTCATTGAGAGGAGGTAGAAGAGGACATACCTAACACAACATGAAAAGTTTTAGCTTTCAGAAAATAGGGTTTTCGGCTATACCTGGAGTTCTTGTAACTTAAACATTCTAAAAGGATAACTCTATTAGGTTAGTTTATTTTACTGCTTTATTTTGGTACAGAGGGGTATAGACACTTTGTTATTTTAGGAAAAAACCGGTATCGATTGCCAGATCAACATCTTTATCTTTACCTAAACAAATATAATTATTATTAGATATCAATCAATAACCCATCCAACCGGAATCCCTGACCCTTCTATGTGTGAGCAAGATAATGGTGTTTGGCCTGCCTAATTTTCTTAGAAAGCTTTCAGGTAATTGCAGCAACAACCCCGCGCTAAAGTCCGCGCCATAAACGTTTAAGGCTAATTATGACAAGTTAAAAAATAAAAAAGGTAAAATAAGAATTAATGAAGAGGAGTTAAGTTTTTTTTTTCATGTCGGTGTTAAAATAATACTTTGTCAAGTCGTCATTCCCGAATATTATTGACGATAACTATTTTCTAAGCAGAGAATTGGAAGAGCTTTGAAAGATTTTTCAAAGGTATTTAAACATTCAGAGTGTGGACCTTTACAAATAGTGACAAGACATTCAAATTAAAGTATACGGAATATAGTTTATTTGGCCTTAAACTTTGCTATAATTGACTTTCAAGAATTTAGAACAACGCAAGTCTATTGTATCTTTTTCATGCACATGTTCCAGAAAACGTACGAATTGTTGGGAAGGAGGGTAAGATTTTCAATGTGTGATTGCATAAGAGTCAAACATTGATTTGAACAGGTTACAAGAAGTTCATTTCACAATAATCAAAAGAAATGTGATTTTTCACAGTTTCCTCTTAAATTGACCCCTATATTTCCTTAATGAGCATAAGTTTAGAGTTAGGAGCAATAGAACAAAAAATAGATGGAAAATAACGGAAAGCCAAAATATATGGGGAAAAGGAACTCCTGCACTTCCACTTGTATTTGACAATTTATATTTCATATTTTATTTTATGTATAGTGTCGAGAAAACAAAAAAAACAAAGTAATGATGTTAAATACCTTAGCCTCTTTTAAATTATTGCGAATATTTATAAACTTAAACCAAAACTGCAATAATATTAATAAAACATTTGGAGGATTATGGGGTGACCCTGGTATTTACTCTGTGGTTTCAAATTATGTATATTTTCGCAACCCCTCTTCTTGGCGAAGTTTTCCGTTAACGAAGTTTGATGCTTAATGACTGCTTGCTTCTATAAAGAATGAGATCAAATGTTATAACATGACGATAACATCTAATAGTCCGACTCCGAACAGATAGTTTTCCGATTTTGGCTGATATTTTTATTACCCCAGACTAATGTACAAAGACGCAACATGTAAATGATAGTCGTGTAGGACCAATCGATGTCAGTTGCCCCGCGTTTTAAAGGGCTCCGTATTATCAAAAATTATTAATTTTTATTTATGGAATTATTGTTTATTGTTAGTTGTGTATTGTATTAGTTCGATAATTACACTAACCAACAATTTGGTACAAGCCTATTTTTGTATATATACGCTTATAGTATCTATATATATATATTAGGATATTCTTATTTGGAATTTAAGTCAGTATTGTTTACGATTGTAAAAGCCTTGAGTAATTCCATCCAAAAACTCCGAAGAGTCAAGGATTCCCGGTATAGTTTTAAATTTGTGATTTAAATAAATCAGTGGGCTCAGTTTCTATTCAATAAATATTTGATAAGTTCTTACTTTATTTTTCCGTACTTCTGTATTATATTATTAAAACTTACTTACTTATATATTTACTTATTTATTCATTTACCTATTTATTTATTCATTTATTTATTTATTTGTCTGTTTATTTATTTATTTGATCAACTTCTACTTCACTTAGGCACTGGTTAGCTGACACTGGATCAATCCAAATTACAGAATCCAAACATCTGACACAGAAGGATCAGTGTATTATACAAGAAAAAATAGCTCGGATAAGTGTTCCGCTGCGACAACTTAAACTCAACTCATAGATCCGAATTTGTATAGCTAAACTGTACCATCAATTCAGTCGCGGACATTCATTATTAGTGTTACTATCAACAATATCAGATCCGAATCAGAAGATTGCCAATATACATTAGTTCAAATTCAATTTCATTTCAATCTCAATCTCAATCTCACCCTCAAGCTTAGCGGACGGAACGATCAAAAATAAAACATTAAAAAATTAAAAAATAATAATTTAATACTAAAACGGATTTTAAACCTCAATTGTCTCCAGCCAGACAAAATCCATACTCATCAACAGAATTTCAATTTTCAAGTCTAACAATCAGACAGACAATCAGACACAAACACAGACACAGACACAACACAGATAACGGACTTGTCGTGATAGCCGTCCATAACCGCAAGTCAACCAGGCCCAATTTCCAATTGCCTGCCAACAACACTAAACTTCTACAGCCTGTCCATGCCCATCTCGACAATCAGGCACTACTATGATATCTCACCCATCTCAGTCTCCTCACCAGTCTTCGTCCGAATGGCTGGACGACTCTGCAACTGCCTCCACTAAACTCACCACCACAACTTCAGTATCCTCAACTTCATCGTCCACAGCCACCCCCTCTTTAAGTTCTAAGCGAGCTAGAAATTTACGAGTGTTAGCCGATGGACAAGTGTTGAAAGTACAAAAGACCCGACAACGGAAAATCCTCAGTTGCATTTATTGTCATTCTAAAAAGATCAAATGTTCCCGACAACAACCCATCTGTAACAATTGTGATAAGTTGGGATTTGAATGTAAATACTTTGTCAATGAACGGATAAGTCGAGGAGGTAAGAAATCGGCAAGGTTAACCGAAGAAGAACGACAATCTCGAAAGAAAGGTGTAGTTTTGGTAGATAAGAAACGTTCACGGAGCACTACTTCCGATCCCGATGAAGATATGCCCAAACACTCCGACAGTCTGGACTCGAACCATGATGTCGACGACATGAACGATGACGTTCATTCCGATAACGATAATGATAATGATAACGACCACGATAATAATACTCACATCAAACTCGAACAGGATGACAACGACAACGACAACAACGCAACTTCTACCCACCATATGTCGTCGGCCGCATCCTCCACTATCTCATCTTCAGCATCTAGTACGGCCGCATCCTCCATCTCCCAGGGCTCTGTCCCCATTGACACCTTCTCCAAAGCGTCCGGTACGCCAGGAGGTATTCTTCCTGAACTTTCATTAAATTACCTTAATTTAAATTTCAATATGACTAACGGATCCGCTACAGTTGCAGTTACGGCCGATGAAACTAATCAAGTCTCCAACCAAGGCGGCGCTACCATGCTCGACGCCGAAGTCCGCAAGCAAGCCCGAACTCTCTCCCAACAGCAGCAGCTGGCTAATATGCTTCAAACTCCCATATTGAATAACGTATCCAACAACATCACCAACACATACTTCAACACGAATTTCTTGAATCAGAATCCGCAAGGGTCCGGATCACCGGCCCATCAGAACTTGAATGCGGCTGTCCCCAGTGGACCTCCAACATCAGCTACGGATGATCAATGTGTCTTTAACTTATCATCCTTCACGTTTGCCAATCAGGAGGGCTTGCTTTCCGCATCATTGCCGTCCAATTTCAATTCTCCTGTGACTCACCACAGTGTCCAAACCACCGCCGCCGCCGCCGCTGCCACGACGACGACATTATCTCATAGTAACAGTAACTCCAACATTAGTGGATTGTTCACAAAGTCCATGGACTCGGCCGCACCTTCCAAGATGAATATGCCTCCTACTCCGTTGTCTAGTGATACCCCATCCAGTGGTAAGACGGCGCAGCCCAATAATCCGGGCTTACATAACTCGCTCAATGCCTACTCTTCGAATCCGGCTACGACCATCAACTACTTGTATGGCACCAACACGTACTACTCCAACGATAACTTATTGGAAGACTTGTTGAAGCACTTGCCGCAGAGCAAAGAGCGGTCGTTTGAGTTGATCGACCGGTACATCAACTCGGTGCATCTCCTCTTGCCCGTAGTGGTAAACCTATCGGACTTCTTGAAGGAACACGAACGGTACTGGACGCTCATGGGAGTCAAGACCACCACCACCAACTTCAACTACTTACAGTTCTACACGCTCTACTTCCCCATCTTGTATGCGTCCACCATCTCCGAGTTCGAGGAGTACGACAACTTACTCTTGAACCAGGACATCAACCGGTACTTGAAGGCATTCAACAAGATCTGTCAGTACTACAACTACCCACACGGCCTCAAGACCATCCCGTTGCTCTTGGGGAATGTCATCATCCAATCCACGTCTCCCAACCCTTCCACCATGGAAATGTCGCAGATCATTCGGTATGCCAAGTTCCTACAAATGCATAAGGATCCGCTAATCACCCTCCGCATCAACGACTGGGAAGTCATCAAGTTCCGTCGACTCTTGTGGTGGGTGATCTTTGGCCTCGATGCTCTAACGTCGCACAACTTCTGTCTCCCTCCCGTGTGTAAGTTTGAAGACTTCAATGTATTGATGCCCGAGGAGGAAGAGCCCATCTTTGATAAGTTGGGCATAGTCAAGGAAAAGAAGTTGAATGTCAGTATCTTATCCATGAACGTCAAGTTCAAGTACGATCGGATTCTCAGTGAGTTGGTGTACCACTTACACAATGGACTCTCATCCAACATCACTCCCATCCAGATCAATGAGATTAAGGCCATGATCTCCGACTACTTCAAGTACATCCATGTGTCCATCTACAAGATGAACCAGTTCTATAAGATGAATCCTCCGTCGACGGTTCAGGAGATGAATCTCATCAATTTCATAAAGAACCACTCGTGGAGCTTTGTGGACCGAGCCCTCATGCTCTTGCACAAGAAGATCCTATTTGGAGATAATACCAATGAGTATAACAACCATAGCGATCATGATAACTATGGGTTGAAGACTGGCAATCAGTACTTGCATCATCGGACCAGTATCAACGATACAGACGATGACTTGGAAGTAGGAACGCTCTCAAAGTCTCGCAATGGAGTGTTATCACTAAGTCAGTATGAAGATACCTTTGGAAGAATCCAAGAAGCCAACATTATCTTGAACTTTAATAACTCGTCCATCTCGCTCTTGCGGTTCAACCAATCCGAGAACTTCTCGTACGAAAACATCCACAACAATTTGATTCCGTCGATCTTACATAACTTGAATGACTTTTTAAAGTATAATGATTTCATTAAGTTTGGCAAGTATAATTGGTATATAAAGAGAACTATCCCTATCGATTCGGTAATTCTTATGTTCATTATCATTACTGTCAAGTTCAAGTATGAATTCATGACTTTGAATGAGTTGTGTATTTATGTTAAACTTATCAATAAGGCGTTATTCATCTTGAATCGCAAATGGTTTAAGAATGAAAAGTATAAACGGATGTTATCTCTTACCAACTTAACATGGGAATTCTTATTGAAGAGATACAGTATAATTGAATTGATTAATCAGTATAATGAAGCCAACGGTAATAATGTCGGAGGAAGAATCGAATTCTTTGATTATCAAGTCACAGGATACATGAACATGAATGATTTGTTTAATGTAATGGATGTACCCCAACCCATCTTTGATGATGAGGCCTTTATGGAAGAGATGTTACTTGAAGAGGGCAAGGTGAAGGAGAAGAAGAGCCATGAACAACAGCAGCAGCAACAACGGAGAAATCATAATCATAATCATAATCATAATCATAATCATCGATTGAGTTCTAGTACGGGTACAGGTACTGGTACGGGATCGAATTCTTTAGTACCTACTGATCCTATACGAACCCCTATGACGAATAACCAATTGGCTATCATCAGTCATAACTTGAGTCCGGAAACCAAATCGGAATTAATCCAGTTGAATGAAAAGATCTACTATGATCTTCGTAACAACTTTGTGGATATCAATGATTACTGTGCATTCTATTCTAGTTTGGAGAATATCCTCCATGAGTTGATGGACTATGTGCACAAGGCGTAATTCTCTGATATAGTATATAAACTATCTAGTCTTCTAATTTAGTACTGCTTTCTGCTTAAGAATTAATGTAGGAGAAGTAATACAAATACTACAAATACAAATACAAATACAAGATAAATATAAAATTAGTATATATTAATATGGAAGTCACTAAAACGTTAGTACATTCTAATCCTATATTCATACAATTCGAAGTAGTAGATGACTGTAGAAGACAACTTCTATCACAGACCGACTACTCCAACTTAGTAGATTAATCCTAAAAATAATAGATCCTACCAAAGCACACGTCTTTCTTTGAAATTAAAATATCATTGCTAAAAACTTATGGAAGAGACTATAAATTGAAATTAAAAAAAATGTCCCCCTTCTCCTTATCCTCTACTACACTACTAAATTGCCCCGCGTGGTAGCGCACGCCATGCTTTCTACTTGTGATCTATATCTAATAGTTAAATACGGGTAAAATCGTCTGTGTATTCAATTCCTAAATTTTATTGTAAACTGAATTCTCAGAGTCATGGGTGATCTCTAATCAATATAAGCCTATACTCAAAGATATATAGCCATTTTTGGTTAATTATTTATTCACAAATTGGCACTAAAGTGACATTAATAATCTATTAATCATAACTAATATGAAACACAACATTCTTGAAATCTATTTACATAAGCCAAACCCCGAAGTTTCGTAGAATTTCAATTAATTACCAACTCTTGTTCTGTCCTATCACTGTTCAATTGTTTGCCTTTCATTGCCAAATATCCTAAATATACTCTAGTTATCTGTTCTGGTGTAAAAATCTCATTACCATATTCTTCAGTAATGTTATCTAAAAGCAGCTTCGAAATCTGGGTAATCAATAGTATATTCATCTTCGTAGTTGTTGGAATTAACAAAATCACTACTTAAATTTAGATATTACCCATCAGGTCCTACTGCACCAATTTGATACCACGCTCCTTGGATTTTATACAGGGCTGAGTTTGTTTGAATATTCAATACGTCACCCTGATTGACATTGCTTGGAACTGACTCATACATTACCATCCCATTTCCATTCCTGTCTTCTATTGGTATATGGATACGTAACGGGTCTATCCATAATGGGAAATCCCAATTCTGTCCAATTTGTTGTTTGTAGTTTAATCATTTTACATTTAACCAGGTAAATGATAACGTTGAAATTAGTAAATGATGTAAGGTTAATACATCAATATTAACTAAGCCAATGGATTACTTGCTCCACTGTTCTTCCCAATACGTTGGTAATTAATTTAAAGTTTTCTAAGTAAAAATGTGTTATACAGTATGTACGTTAAATAATAATTAGATTAGACGATTTTTAAGAGTAGTATATGAAGTTCTATATAGGTGTTCGCTGTAAAATATATATAACCCTAACTAACTGGTTATGTCCATCCACCTTATATTGTAAGTGTAGGAGATATGGCAGCTATACGACATAAATCTCCATTTATTAGTAAAAATGTCGCGCACGTGATCAATCACGTGAATAAACGTTTCGTGAGGGATCCAAAACAAAAATTTTCAGAAAAATGACTTCGTGGCCAAGCTGGCTAAGGCGTAAGACTGTTAATCTTAAGATCGTGAGTTCGATCCTCACCGAGGTCGTCTTTTTTTTCCTTTTTGTTTGCTTAATTCAACATGGAAAGGTCAATTATTATATAAAATACTAATTGAAACGCTTAATACTACTACTGATTTGATAATTGTTACAAGCTATCATTGTCATTATATTATAATTAAAGAAAGAAGAACTATGTGCACGAATGGAAAGTATACTGAATAAGGAATCATATAAATAAGTAATCCAACTACTGGTGTTTTTGTTTTAATGGTTCAACTACCAACTTATCAAATGTAAACATTTGGGAAATAGTAGACTGCCTATGTAATTGAGCCAAGCTCTCTATACCTTTATTATAGAATTCAGTAATAGACTTCTCTTCACTCAAATTCTTATTATCTTTGAAAGCATCTCTTACTCTTCTCTTGGAGTACTCTCTAAAGTTGTAGTTATCAAACTTAGCAGCCTTTTCTAATAATTGTTTGTACAATGACAACACTTGTTTCGAACTCACAGCCATACTTAATGATGTATTAATGATATATTAATGATATATAAAGTTAGTGTACTACTTATATGGGATATAGTCCTAATACTATTTAAGGAATAATGTCAATCTCATTATCTAAAAAATCGGATCGAGGCCGTTGATGACAAAATGAAAAAAAATTGGGTTTCGCACTACATACAATTTCATAGTCTATTTAATGGGGGGATGTTTATACTATTGGGTACTATTTGGTACTATTGGCAGTAGATTGAGATGTGGAAGCAGCTGTGCCGGTTGCAGTAGCACCAGTTGCAGTAGTACTTGCATTACTACTGATTTCCGAATCTTCCGAAGCCGCATGTCTTAAGTATTCTTCTATATCTCTATCTGACATTTTACCTGCTCTACGGTTTTTCTTTGCATTAGCTTCTGCCATCATTTCTTCAAACACTCTAGCTTCTTCATCTTCTTCAGGAGATCTCTGGACTGCTGAAGCTTGTTTACCAATAAACAAAAGTGCCTTAGCTCGAGAGAGTTTTTCTTTCTTCGTGAGTGATTTATCGTTCAATACTTGCTTACATACTTTATTAAGTACTCCAGTAACTTCAAACTTAGTAGCAGCCCAAGCAGTTGCCACCATTTTACCACTACTTATTCTTTGCTTTTCAGCATGTCTATATCTGACTTCATCAGAAATCTCTATACCATTCAATTCTGCAAGTTGTAATACTTCTTCTTCTTTCATCATTTCTTCAACGTATGATTGCGTATCAACGGCGGATTTTAAGATAGAATAACCATTCTTAACCGTAGTAGCTGCATTTTTAGTAGATGAGAATATTTTTGATACACCAAAAGTTTTAGATGATGCAATGGTTGCATTAGCTTGAGTGGTATAAATTTTACCAATTAAATGAAGTAATTCTATACCAAAACTTTCAATCTTTAAATCTTCAAATTCTTGATGCAATTTACTAGTGAATTGTTCAAGAGCAGAAGAATTAGTAACGGCTGTCTCATATTTTTCAATTTTGGAAAGTAAATTTTCAGACAACTTATTAACCTTAGCAATCTTGGCGAGTCTGGCTTCTTCTTGCATTTTTATAATCTTATCTCTTTGTTCTTTAGAGATTCTTTGCTTTCTCTTCTTTTCTAATGTCTCACTGGTAATCTCAGATGGTCTCTTACTAACATCATTATTATTATGCAAAGTTAAATCGGAAACATCATGATTCAATTTCTCATCGACTACCGTAGAATCATCTTCATCTTCACCTAAGATTTCAGAAGCTTTCGATGCTTCATCAATTAATGATAATTCTCCAATCCAATCTTGAAAGGCTACACCTCCGAAAACCATAGTGAAGAATTCTGAAGGATCAATATCAGTATTTGCACCTCCAGAGTTCTCATTCTTTAATCCTTCAACTCCTAATTCATCATAGAGTGCACGCGAATCAGCATCTTGAAGTATACCATAAGCTTCACCAAGTTCTTGGAATTTTTCAGCTGCTTTAGGATCATTAGCATTTTTATCAGGATGAAGCTTAATGGCTTGTTTTCTATAGGCCTTCTTTAATTCAAGAGCTGTGGCACTGGGTTCAACTCCCAATATATCATAGTATGTAGTGTCCTTCACCATTGTTAATTGAAGTTATAATTCTACTTACGATTTCGAATTCCGATGCCATCGTGAATCTAAAATCTAAATTTAATCCTGATATCGAGGGCATTTTTGGAGAGCTATGCTAGGCTATATACAGGCCGCGCCATTTTCAGCTGCAAAAATGTCGGCACTTTTTGAGGCTATGCTATGCTATGCTATGCTATTTATATCTATTTAAAATGAAAACGTTATACTATCAAGTTCAGGCACAACTAGTAACGTTTCTTGACCATTTTTTAGGTAAGTTCCTAAACTATCATCATGTACTGAATGAGATGATTTTATGATAAATTTTGGTAGAAGTAATTTACCGATATTTAATGGAATAACCACTAATTCTACTTCATTAACCTTATTACTATCAGTCTGTAAATCAAACAGGAATTTTTTAAATCCTGAAATTAACCAATTGTCATCATTTTGAATTTGAAGTTGAATACTCTCTTTTACGCTGGGTATAACCTCAGGTGAAGGTGAAGATTCAGCAAGAACTGAGGTATTCCCACTAATTGAATTATTACCGTACCATTTGGTTTCGGTTAAGATCTTAACTTTAAGCTTAATTGGTTCTCCAACTACATACTTGTATTTTTTCTCATATTCAGCTTCAATTATATGTAAATATTTCAAATATGGTACAGCCACAGATATATGAAGTCGACGAATTTCACTATTATAATTGTAATCTCCAACTTCTAAGGTATTATTCAAAAAGCTTTCAATAATCTCAAATAATTTAACTTGATCAGATTTTAATTCAACATGTTGAAGTATAATTTTTTCAGCCAAAATTAATAATTCCTTATTATTGAGGATCTGTACAAAGTCATTAATTCCATAATTATTTAAATCATACTTCAATTTATCTAGAATGACTAATTTTAATAAAAACCAATATTTCTCAAGATGCACTGTCTTTAACTTTTTTAAAAGGGAATCCTGAACAATCGCAGAACACTCATCCTTTAAGTTAGAGAATTCAATGGCTAAATCTAAAGTATCTGATGATTTAATTATATAACCTGATTCAGGTACCACTTTAAAAAAGAAACTAGCTGGTTGTTCACCAAATGCAATCAATGGAGAAAATCCATATTTTGGCTTTAAAATAGCATAATTTTCATTCTCGCTACTCAATGATTTTGAGATAATTCTTATAGGAAATTTCGGAGATGCAGTTCCTACCAGGAAATTCGAATAAAGAAAATCTGGTCTAAATATATCTTGTACTGATACTGCAATAGTAAGTGTAGTATCAATACCTGCTGTAAAAATATGACTATAAATTTCTGAATCTATTTCATAAGAAACCTTGGCTGTAAAATCAACAACTTTCTTCTCTCCAAAATACTTGACAGGGAAGGAAATATCTTGAATTGAAAGAGATTCTAAAGTTTCAAATTGAACTTTAACTCCCTTCAAATCTAAAGATAGACCAACAGATCTAGGAATCAAATCAATTGATACATTTTTAACATCATTTTGACCATTATGAATTCGAAGTACTACTTCTGTACTACCTAATTCTATATTTTTACTACTGACAAACTCACACCATAGTTTATGTACATTCTGATAGTAAAATATTTTAGGGACTTTCTGACTGGCACCTGGTTTAGTTCGTGAATTTCCAGTATGAATTACTGTAAGATCAGCTACAGCATTATCAACCAATGCACCAAATTCTTGCAGAAGTTCAAGATTCTCATTTAATCTAATCCTTATAGTTCTTGGTATAACATTTCCCAGAACAAATGAATTGGAATATAATCTTATTTTCTGAGATCCATTAGACTCAAACTTAACTTCATTAGTAGAAAATATCACTTTATCACCTAACTCACCTTCTAAATTTAAGGTAATGTTTTGAAAAGTAAAAGGTATCTGAAAGCTATTCCAGAATTCAATCTCAATATAATAAGTTGAGTTCAAAGTTGAATCATCGGCATAAATATATGGTAATAGGTCTATACTAAATAAGTTTTCAAGAGGATAGTCAATTAACTCATCTTGAGAAAGACAATTGTGTAAGATATTACCAATTAATCCCTCAAGTTTCTTAGAATGCATTAAAAGGGAATAATTATTAATTCCAATTTGGGTATAGGTATTTGCTTTCAAGCATGAAAGAAGCCTAAGACCGGTAAATATCATACCTTGATAATCATCCAGTCTTGTTTTATTCAAACAGTTAAGATATACATCCAATAAGAAACTGCCCATATAGTTCCATCCATTGGAAATATAAACTTCAAAGGATTCCTCCAAAATTTCAAGTGATTCCAAGAATTCTTCTCTTTGATATTTCAATAGTGCTAGATCGATACTTAAGATATCAATAGATTTAGATCGAGTACATTTGGAAAAATCTTCAATGACCAATTCAGTTAATTTTTCAAAATAGTTATGGAAATTACCTTCAGTAGATAATATTTCTGTCAATTTTGGTGATTTAACTACAGACTCATCATCTTTACGAGTCTCATTATCATCATTTAATGAAACTTCTTCAAGAATCCCAGTCAGGATTAATTTATAGCCTCTTTGAGCTGCTAGATTTGTTATGGCAGTTCGAAGTAGTAGCTTAAGTTCTCCTCGGAATTCATATATTTCACTCAATGAAATTGGTTCATCTTCTGTATTATCTTGAACCTCCATCAGACTTTTCGACACTGGAATATCAAGATAATATTCTATTAATGCTATACTATATTCATTTAATGATGCTGCTTTAAATGTGTTATTAACATCATTAATGTAATATACGAGCTTTTGATATAAGCTTGTGACAAACAATGCTGATATGGATCTTGTAGTTGCACTATATGCCAAATGTTGTAAGATCACAGTTTGGTTTGCAAATAACTTCTGCTTTAAGGAAAATAAGTTAATGGACTCTTGACTTACTGCTGGTTTTATATGAACATCAAATTTATAATTTTCATACGAATCAGGTAAGTTTAGAATGGAATAATCTATGGCTTGTTCGGCTAAAACGGATGGGTCTTGTGCTTGATATATATCTAATGAATCTTGATAAAGTCTCATATCATAAAGTAAATTAGCTAGATCCAAGGAGTATGTAAAGGTCTGATAAGGATCAGATTTGAGGTTATTAAGTTGCTTATTAATGGATTGAAATCGTTTATCAAATGACCCAATAAGTAGTTGTTTAAGTTTCAATTCCAAATCGTTATATACTTGAGAATTCTCCGACTCATCTTCCTTTACTTTAAGAAATTTAGCTGAATCATCACTTGAATCATAAACAGGAGTCTTTGCAATATTTTGCCATTCTTTACCATTATATCCAAAGTCTATCTTTAATTTATCAAAACTTGAAGTTTTCATTAATGTACTATGTTTATCCTTAGTAGTTGAAGGAATATATAGTATTATCATCCATTCTACTAATTTATCTAGTACTAAATTCTTTAACCATTCTTTAATTAAAGGTCGAACTTGAGATCTATAAAAATCAATATTATCTACTTTAATTATCATTAATCTTAAATAAACATTGCAATTTGGTATATCATTAGTTTTCGGTATTTCCTCAACTAATTGTATTGGTAATGATGCTATTGACTTCTGAGGTTTAGAAGCATGAAACTTCCAATGCAAATTAGTTAGGGGCAATTTGGATTCGAATTCTGATTTGAAAGTGCCAAACAAATTGAACGGATCATAGTAGCCTACCTGAACCGGATTAGTGGCTTCAAACTCATTCAATTCTACCATTAGTTGTATGTATATTCGGTTAGTCGGTTGTGAAATATTGGAGAATCATAAACAGTGAAGAAAAATAAAAATAGTAGGGGATATCCGGTCAATACGGTCATTCCGGGGCTGTGTGCACGTGATACATAAGAAACTTAAAAACCAAAAACCATAAGTGTAGTCCAGTCTCTATTTTTATTCTCAAACGTAAATTTGGTCGTGTGTTAGTTCAATTTGCAAAAGACGCTAATTTAAACAGAAACGCGAGTTTTCAATTTAAAGTAGTGCTAACTATAAGTAAGCGATGGTAATGTAGACCAATGAATATTAGCAGAAAAGTGAAAGAGAGTAAATTCTCGAGATGCGAGATTCTTCCAATTTCTGAAGGAATTGTATGTATTTGATTTGATAATGAAAATATACAATTTGTAGTATTATAACAATAGGATTTATGTGGTATTAGTATTGGTATGGTCGTGTGTTAGTTCAATTTATACAGAAAAGCGTAAATGTAGTCAACTGGAACGTTTAGCTCCCACACACTCACTTTCTTTCTTATCATAGATAAGATGAGCACTAAGTAGTAAAGCAATTTATTCAATTGAAGTAATAACAAAAACAACAATAATATTAACTATTTACATATTACTAGAGAACCACCTCCATAACTCCACCGCAACCAAACCACAGGAGTCACCCCTGTATGTATCTGATTATTAATGTCGTCAATTGAACCGGTAAACTGTGTCGGGGCATGAATTGCGAATTTATGCTGCAACCAAATTTGTCGCCTGGCCCAAAAGGGTTCTCCAAAACTGTGGATCCTTTACTGAAGTAATTATAAATAGCAATATATATTACCATTGTAGAATACTGTAAAAATTGATCTAATATGATTTAAAATTTAATAAGAGCATATAGAATATATTATAAGGAGTATGGAGACATCGACACTACTAAAGAAGAAATCTATGGTGTCACTCTTAGAAAGAAGAGATTCCGATCTGAGTGATCAGGAAATCCCCTTTATAGATCTTGACGTATTTGATGATACTGCTTATAAAAATACAACTACTTCATATACTAAAGATTCTTATGTATATCGAATTAAAAAGTTCTTTAATGATAAAATTGATAAACATCCATTGGAACAATCTTACCTTACTAAATTAGATTTCTTTTTAATGACTTCAAGTATGTTGGGATATTTCATAAAGAATTTAAATCAATATAATATAACTTTAGCATATAATAATGGTATGAATGAATATTATAATATGGATAAAAATCAATTTAATTATTTATTATCAATATGGACTATTGGATATATTGTAGGACAAATTCCTGCCAATTATTTAATTCATAATAATTTAATTAATTTCAGATATTTCTTAGGTTCTATACAATTTGCCTGGAGTTTATTAGCAATTTTACAATATAATGCTGCATCATTAAATGAATTTTATTTATTAAGATTTATATTGGCAATATTAGAAGCTCCATTATTTATTTCATTAGAATATTTATTAGGTACTTGGTATTCATCTACTGAACTTAGTAAAAGATCAACTTATTTAGCTATAAGTTCAGGTATAGCATCAGTAATTGCTGGACCTTTACAACAATTAATTATTGAAATAAGTAAAGGTTCTGATTTACCACCATTCAAATTAAATTTCTTAATGGATGCAATTATAAGTTTACCTATAGCATTATTTACAATGATAGCCAATCCTAATTTACCAACAAATACCAATAATTGGTATTGGAATGAAACTGATAAATTAATTGCATTAGAAAGAAGAAGGAAATCAGGATCTAATGTATCAAAACCACATAATAATAAATCAACAAGTTCATATAAGTCTTATTATAAGAGATGGCAAATTTGGATATTCCCCTTAATGTTTTGGGCTTTCAATAATGGTGGTCATGTAAATGGTCAACCTACATTAGTTAGTTGGATGAAAATTGATTTAGACCTACCATCAAGATATTATAATCTTATACCATCAATTATTCATTTCATTGGTATAGTAGCTGCCATGTTTGTAGGATATTTAAATGATTATTTGGGGGGAACTTATAATCATGTGTTCTTAAAGATATATTTTAGTTGTATGGTGATTGGATGTCTACTATTAAGTTACTGGGATTTACCCCTTTGGCTTCATTGGTTTTCTTATTTCTTAATTGGAATACCTGGTTCTTGGGGTCAACCTCAAATTTATAGTTGGATAAATCGTATTATGGTAAAGGATGATTCATTTAGAAGTTTCTTAATTACAGTTACAAACACATTAGCATATATAATAGGAAGTATTACCCCAATATTTGTATTTAATACTAAATATCAACCAAGATATTTTATAGGATTCATGTATACTGCTTGCTTAACATTCTTTGGATTAATCATGACTTATGCAGCAGATAGTTTTACAAAGAGAGATGAAGAACGAGAAAAATACAAGGCTGTAGTTGAAGTAGAGTTATAAATAAATACTATTTCTATTATCAACATAAAAATAAATGAATGTATGGTCTCTATACTAAAACCATGATAATTTATCATTACCTTCCCAAATTAATTGACCAGATTGTAATAATTTATCTTCTGGCTCATTATTTATTAAGATAGCTGATCTAGAACTATTTTCAAGTCCAGCCTTACTTCCCCAATGTTCAATAACATATTCTTTATTGACTTGACTAAGTTCAGATTCCCAAACAATTATTTTAATATTGGTTTGTCCTTCAATGTCTTCATTTTTTAATAAGTAATTTCTTAAGAGTGATAATAATTTCAAAGAAGTTGAATCTTTATCTTCACCATCAATAACGACAATTTTTAATACTGTTGCATACTTTTCTGTACGATTAATCCAATCAAAAGTCCAAATTATATAACCAATTGATTTATTTGATTCATTAAAGAGTTCAATTCCAAATTTCTTTGGATCTAATTCAATGAAATTATCAACAATTTCCTCATAGGATTCATTAACGAAATCAATAGTTTTTGTATGTTTTTCTTCATGAAATAATTTATAACTAATATATTTACATCTTAAATGGAACCAATCAACTAAATCAGAATTAGGAACTAAAGTAACTCTTGATAAGTGATCTTTATTAACTTTTTTAATTATTTCTTTACTCAATTGTTCATTATGAACTTTCAAGTATGGTTCAAAAGTATGATAATCAAGTAATTTAAAATTTTCACTAATACCTTCTTCTGGTTTACCAGTTTGTAATGGAATCAGAACAAGAGGAACTTCAAATGATTTAAATCCACTCTTGGCATAATATTCCCCTACTTCTGAATATAAAAAGGTAAAACCATCTTCCTTTAAAATATCAGTTTTAGCAATTTCCATTAATTTATCAACCATAATTTTAGCTAAGCCTTGACCTCTATGTTCAGGATATGTAAAAACACCTCCAATACAACCAGTTGATACTTCTTTTTTCACAACCTCACCATTTACATAGTCAAATTTCCATCCCCTTCTAATTAAAAGTTCGATAGAAGATACAGGTTTTTGATCAGAAATTTTTCTCAACATAAAAACCATTAACCCATTTGGCTTTTTGGTGATAATTTTAGATTTTCCTAATACAAGATCTCTAATAACATAATCATCAGCTGTTAATCTCCCCTTCCATGCTGCAGAATTTTGTTCTCTAGTAAACTTTATTAACTCATAATCAGTCAAATGGATTAATTCATATTCCTTTGGATTAACTTTTGAAGATGTCATAATGGATAGATAACTAGTTAGTAGTAATGAGTAATGAGTTAAGCGTTTAAACTATATATAATACAAGAAGAAGAAGCACTATTTGTTAAGTGAATGATAAGATTTTTGCTTCAGTTAAATAGTTTTAAATGAACGTAGTAAGATCTGAGGCCGTAGATAAGAACTTTGTTTGCCGTGTACTTAAACTGCAAGTGGTAACATGAATTTTGACCCCACTAGATCAAACTCTTCTGCTAACGTTAATTAAACGCGATCTGGCTTTTGAGTTCAATCCCCAATTGGGCAATTTTGCCGACACTGTGCACTACTAACAAAAGTTGACTTGACTTAGTTAGCAGCCAAGACAAGTATATACTATAAAGTCTGTTTTAATGTAACTACTTTATTCAGTATAAGTTATATATATTCAGTAATCCATTAGCAGCATCATTTATACAGTTAGGTATAAAATTTAGCAATACTATTAGAACTGATTAATAGAAGGTGAAAAATTAGTAGTACGCTATCGTAATACTATACCGTACCATACTATTTTTCACATTTGGGCACGACACATTCTTTTGTTGAACTGAAAATATAAAATTGTGGGTATTACCCAATTGGGGATATCGATATCAAAAGTGCCGTGAATACATAATACACACAACAATAAATCATGGAGTTACTACCTGAGGGGCAAGTTAATACTGCTACAGAAGTATTGTGGGAGGATCAACAAAGAATTAATAAGTTCTCCACTTTAATAAATAAAAAAGATGAATTAACAGCCGTACTTAATAAATATAAGACTGAAAAGGAATACTTGGATGATTTATCATTAGAGATAGAATTATTGGATGAAGATGAAAAGATACAGTATAAGATTGGTGAAGCATTTGTGTTTATGAAAGTTTCAAAAGCCATCGAAAGAGTAGAGAAGAATAATGAAATATTGACAACTAAAATAGAAGAAATTGATGAATCAATAGATAGTTTCGATGAACAGCTTGAATCATTGAAGAAAGATTTATATTCCAAGTTTGGAAATAATATTAATCTCGAACGTTAAGGGGACATTATAGATCCAGATACATCCAAAATAGCATACCAGCACTGTCAGTTACTGTCACTGTACTGTCAGTGTACTGTCACTGTATATAGAATCAGACTACATCCCTGATTTATGTTGTAACACTTATTAATAGAACTTTATATTATACATATTGGTATATTACATACATCTAAAATGTTTAGTCTTCGTCATCACTGTCGTCATAAGTAGGTAAATCGTCTAATACCTCTCGTCTCTCTTCGACTTTAGGTCTTTTTACAACTGGTTCACGTTCACGTTCACGTTCTTCTTCATGATGACGTTTTACTGGTGCCAGATGTTGAGCAGGAACAGGACCATGAGATTGAGAATGAGATCGTTTCCTTCTTTCAGCTTCTCTTCTTTTCCATCTCTCCAGAATTTCGGGACATGCATCAATTATTTCCTGTTCTCTTACACCATCCTTAATACTGAGTAATATCTTTTCTACTACACTTACATGATTTCCATTACTCTTATCATTTCTGAATCTCAACATTTCCCAATAACCTGGTTTTGTAATACTTTGTCTACATTCAGCTATCCTGCCTTGAAGAGGTTCATTTAAGTCCTTTAATTTTTCCCAATCTTCATCACTCAAATCTAATTTAGCAAAGTCAGTATGAACTCTATCTCCTTGCCATACTTTCAATTTAATTAAATTTGGTTTAGTATCATAGTCTGTATATGTAGATGAAGGATCCTTTTCATCAATGTCTGGATCTTGGAATTCATTGAATATAAATTCTAATTGATAATCAATGGTATTCTCTTCTGCTGGTTTCCATTTAAGTAAAGATTGATCTGTTCCATAAACATAAGGAGTTTCAGCACAAGTAAAGATTAAACCATCAGATTCATGAAATAATTGATCCTTTTTAGATAAAACATCATCAGCTTTATAAGCAAAAGTCATCATTTTAAAACTAACTTTAAAGGGGAATTCAGGAGAATTCACAATTTTAGGATACCTCAATTTAAATTTATCAAATGGTTTCATAACATTTTCAGTAATATGACCCAACCTCTTAGTTAAAGGTCTATCAACTACAGTCTTACTATTTATTGCTAAGATATCAAATATACAATATCTTAGTACTGGTTCACTAACATTTTTACTTTGTAATACTAATTCTCCATCTAGAAGAGTTCCATGATGATACTCTCTATTTTCAAGTGTTTCATTTGCGGTTAATGGGAAATGAATATTTGGTATAAAATAATAATCATTTTCTCGAGTAATTAAAAATACTCCTTCACCCTTTTCACTATCATATATTATAAATAGTAGACATCTTAATCCATCAGTCTTTTCACATACAAAATAATCTTTATTCATTAAAGTATCTTCTAAATGTTTTCTTTCAAATGATACTGGTTGTGATCCAGGAAATCCTGTACTTCTTCGTCCAAGTAAGTCTGCCACCATTCCTCGTAATTCTCTTGCTTCTCCATCATCTAGTCTTGATCCTGGGATTTGAGGCATTCCCCTTTCTTCTAACTGAATCATAGTGTAGGTATTGGTATCAATTGTCTCTTGGTAGGTATACTATACTCTTACTGAATGTCTATAAAAATGTGCTATTTGTATGGGTCAACAGTTTTCTTGTGTTCAGTATGTACTTTTTTTTGCGTGGGTTATATAATTGAGAATCGAGTTACGATATAGTGGATATATAGAGAGTCGAAATTTATAGGAGATATATCTGAACATGAGATTAACAGCTCAAGTAATTAATAATGCCACAACATGTCTAAATCCAGAAGGTAAGTTGACACTTCAATTAAGACAACTTGAAATTCCCTATATTGAAAATCTTGCATTAACTCATAATAAATTTAATGTCATCGATTTAACTAATAATGAATTAATAGAATTAGGAAATATACCGAGTGAATTAACTAATTTAGAGGTATTATTACTTTCTAATAATAGAATATCATATATAGATAATAGTATATTTGAACATAATAATATTAAATCATTAATGTTAATGAATAATAATATATCAAGTTATCAAGAAAACTTTCAACAATTCAAAAATTTAGAGAATTTATGCTTAAATGGGAATCCAATTCAAAAGGCAGATAATTATAGATTATTTATTATATGGCTTATACCGTCTTTAAAAGTATTAGATTTCTCTAAAGTAAAGGTTAGTGAATTAAATGAAGCTAAAAAATTATTTGGAAATACTATTGAACAATCAACTGAATTAGCAAAATCTTACTTAAAATCCAATTTAATAATCCCTCCTGAAGCTAGACTGACATCTAATCCTCAAGATAAGAGTTTAAAGACGGTTGGATCTAAGTTAAGTAAACAAGAAGCAGAAGAGTTGGTTAAGAAACTTAATCTGGCTACCAGTATAGAAGAAGTCGAACGACTTGAAAGTGCATTAAGAAGAGGTTATTTATAAAGCCCATAGTTATAATTATAATTTTATTAATTAGTTTTAAGTTTATATGTATTATATGTATTATATAATATTATGTATATATTGCGTGAAATTATTCACATTACACAGAATAGCATTCCCAAAATTTTTTTTATGTCTAATTCATTTTCTTCGCTAATAATTTGTATGGGTAACTAACCAGAATATTTCTTATAATTAAAGTGTAATATCTGAGAATCAAAGTGAGATAATATTTCTTGAATCAAAGCTTGCGCAACTTCTCATGTCTCAATGTCACTGGTAAGGCCGAAAAGAAAAGCGACAATCAATAAGTCGTACAACGACACACTTGAGGAATTTCAGTTTGAAGATGTTAATCTGAAAGTATCGACCAATGATATTAATAATAGGAGGGCATCTCCTAAAAAGCCTATCACCAATAGTGAATCCAAATCCAATGGGAATACTAATACTAAAATAATAAAAGAAGTGGCATCCATTCCATTTAATCTTCAAAGAAGCCCCATAGATTCAGATTACTTTTCAATTAAATTGAACTTAACTGATGCATATATTAACTTAAAGACTCAAACTTTATATTGTCCTAATCATTATCAGATTGACTCTAGTAAACGAAAAAATGGGAAGAATAAGGAAGAATTCCTGTTGAAGAAGGGTGATTATATATATATGGTGAGTGAACCGCCTGGGGAGCCATACTATATCGGAAGAATAATAGGCTTTAAAGCTAAAACTTCAAATGTAAAAATAGATGATTCAGTGGTAGATGCTAAGGGCTATACATTTCAAGTTCAATGGTTTTATAGGCCAAGAGATATTTCTAAATCTACTAGTGATTCAAGAGTACTATTTGCTTCTATGCATACCGATACTTGTCCACTAGCAAGTTTCCGAGGTTTAGTAACTGTAATGCATAAACATGATATAGAGGATAGATTCCTTCAAGAATCAACTGATAATAGTAAATCCAAAAAGCATCTAAATCAAAAGAAATCCGCATCACCAGGTAATTCTTCAACTGCTATTGATTTGTACATACAAAAGCCCAATCACTTTTATTTCGAAAAATTATTTGATAGATATATGATCAAATTTTATGATATTTTACTGACATCCAACTTATTACAATATGCTAGTGATGATAATGTTACTAGCAAAAATTTCTTAATTGCCTTAAATAAAAGATTTGAGTTTGTCTTTGTAGAGAGTCAAAGGACAAAGTCTTTTATTAATACATTCAGTTCAAGTGCTTGTAATTGTGAAAAATGTGGTCAATGGTGTGGAATATCTCAAGATTCTATCAATTGTGCTGTATGTGATAAATTTTATCATATGTATTGTTTGGATCCTCCTTTACTTAAGAAACCAAGTCGAGGATTCTCATGGTCTTGTGCGGTATGTACCAAGAAGCAAGAAATAGAATATCATAAACGTAAGATGTTAATGTTATCTCATGATAATAAATCATCAAATGAGTTCCAATTACATGAAGAATTGTCGGTATTAAATTCTCTCATTGATTCACAGGCTGAATCAGATGACACTGCTTCATTAGAAATTGAACCTGATGATGATGGTAGTGAAACTCCTGTCGAGACATTACCAAAATACGAATCAATGGCTATTGATTTCCTTGAAAAGGATTCTAATTATACCTTGGAAGAAAGAAGAATAAATGAAGAATGGCCCATGAGATACTTGGGAATGCATGCTCGACTAGAGGATGCTGTAGATCCTGAAGATAGATCTCCATACCCAAGAGCAGCAACAAGAATGGGAGCAAAACATCAAGCAACCAATATTCCAGAATATGAAGATCATCCTATAGTGTATTATGACATAGATAAACCCACAAGTGCCACTAAGAAGAAATCTAATGGATTACCTAAATCAAAGCTGTCCAAATCTCATAATCTTGTTGACGATGAAAGAAAATTAGAAATACCAGAGCAATTCAAGAATATGTCTAAAAAGGAATTCCCTCAGTGGCTACAACCGAGACCTAAGGGTTATATTGAAAGAGGTGTAGATGATGGTGAAGGAATTACCTGTACGTCTTTATGGAAAGCCTCTCTGTTTGATGAAGAAGATGATTTTCATACCTTGGATGAGTTTATAAAACGATGTTCTCCTTTGGCAGCAAAATTGGATTTGCTAGATACTTCACCTAACTTCATGGATGCTGTAGTTTATAACTATATGACCTGTAAAGGAGATCTTGACTCGGCATATGAAAATATAACTAAACTTACAAGAAAACTGTTAAAGGAACCTACCTTTAATAAAGAAGAAATTAAGAGATTTGAAAGTGGAGTACGAGAATTTGGAAGTGAATTATATCCTGTATTCAAAAGAGTCAAAACTCAACCAAGTGCCATGGTAGTTAGATTTTATTATCTTTGGAAGAAAACCAAGAATGGTAGATTGATTTGGGGGAATTATGAGGGAAGAATGCAAAAGAAGCTTCAAAATATAGTCAAGGATGAAACTTCTAAACAAGGTGCTGTTGAAAAACCAGACCATATAGTCATTGATAGTTTGGCTGATCCTGAAGATGATTCGTCATATGATAATGTCAAGGCAGAAACTAATAAGAGACAATTCTCCTGTAAACACTGTCATACTAACAGGTCATTACAATGGTTCAGAATTACCGGGCATGACGCTGACAAACCTGAGAAGGATATTGAGGGAGTCACTCCATTACCTGAAGGTACTGTTACAGCATTATGTTTTAGATGTGCAAAATTATGGAGACGTTATGCCGTTACTTGGGAGGACCCTAATGAAATTGAAAGAATAAACAAGCAACCAGGATGGAAGAAAAGAGTTGAACCTGAACTATTAGAAGATGTTAAATATATTCTAAATGAAGCTGATAGATTAGGAGCCACAATCTCATATGATATTGATATGATTAAGTCACTTCCTTCAAAGTCAGTTAAAGTAAAGGAAAATTCTGCCCCTGTAGTCGATATTCCTATCAAGAAGGCAACGAAAGAAATACGTAAAGAGGTAAGTGTTGAACCCAAAAAGAAGAAGATTGTGAATAAATCAACTCAAAAGGAAAATGTCAAGACTAAGAAAGTTGCTAATGTTAAGGTAGAAGATAAAACTAATTCAAAATCCGTGAAAGCTAAGAAAGTAAAAGCTTCCGTTAGTGCAAAGGAAGTGAAACCAAAAGCGACTAAGAGGAAACTTGAGCTGGATCTTCCTGAACTTGAATCTAATGATCCCTCAAAGATTCAACCTGTAGCTTTGAAGAAACCAAAAAGAGCCAATGATGTTACATACCCATCTTTCAGCGAGAACTATTCATCATCAAACATTAAAGGAACAGAAAGAATAAAGGATTTGTCAAAGGATATGTTACAAAACATTGTTGAACAGTTCAGAAGAAGGCAATTAACCAATTTAGAATCACAGATAGCTTCTATGCATGTACCTTCTCTGACTTCAGTTTCAGTACCATTCAGTCCCAATGAAAGGAAGTGTTGCATATGCAGAGAACATGACATAAATACCAAATCTGGACTTGAAATGCTTATTTGCTCTAGCTGTGGTGTTAATATTCATGCCTCCTGTGCTGGTATTCAGGTGGGTGAAAAAACACCTCGTCCTGTTAAGGAATGGTTATGTGAAGTATGTATAAATGATGTTCAGCCACATAACTCCACTATATATTCCTGTTCTTTATGCTTTGCCAATGAAGCTAATTATGAGTTGGCATTTTTAGGATCAACATTAGTACGTCCAGATTTCTTGAAGCCAATATATGACTCTAATAAGTGGTGTCATGTTTTATGTGCTATATTTAATCATGAACATGTTACGTTGAGAGGTCATCAACCTATTCAGCATTCGTTAAATCGTCAATCTCCACCAAATGATTCATATATTACTGATAATGGAATAGCATTTGAAAGCGTTTCCGATATATTCGTTAGACCTAATAATCCTTCTTGTGGAATATGCTCTGCAAGAAATGGTTCAATGATATGTTGTGAAATATGTGGACCAAGTGATAAATACCACGTTACTTGTGCTCAAGATACTCCTAATTTTAAACTCGGATTTTCTTTGGATCATCGATCAGTAAAGGAAAAGGACTCTTATCTAGTTTCTGTTAATGGATCTTATGGCATACTTCATCCTATTTTAATTTGTCCAAAGCATGATCAGACATCATCAACTGTTTTTGGTATGCGTACATTAGGTAAGAGAGTTCATGGTACAAGTAAAGATGAAGGTAAACCATTAATTCAATTATATCTTGAAGATATAACCAGACAAAACTATTTATTGAAACCGGGCCCACAATCTAAGTCCAAGTTTTACATTGAACGATTTAAAGCATCTGTAGAAGATAGTCAAGAAGGTTTTCTGTGGAAAGCTGATCCTGAGCTGCCTATTAAAGCCAAGAAGAATTGCATACATTGTATAGAATGCAGTACCACTACATCACCCATATGGTGGGAACATTTTGCTACAAACAGTACTATCACTACGACTACTAATGGTACAAGAGGTTATTTATGTCAAATATGTTATCATAATAGTCTCGATAAGGAAGAAAAGAATGAAATTGAAATTGATACTGAAACAGAAACTGGAACAGAAACTAAAGTTGTTTCAGAGGAAGAAGATACTGAGACCTTTGTACAAGCATTAAATGCTCCATTAATTGGACTGCACTATGGAATCCAAGATCAAACAGATAATGTTCGCTCAATTTTTGTGCCTACATTAAGAGCAGGTAAGGACAAAAAACCGTTTATAGACACTCCACGATCAAAGATATCTATAGGAGATATTCTTGGTTAAATTATATAAAAATGTGTATAAGTAAAATGTAAGTCTGCGATTATATACAGTCGGACAGCTTGTCACAGACCACAGTGCATAGACTGTACCTTCCGAAGTAGATATACCAACCAGCCTTCTATCACCGATCTCCACAACGGCACATCAACCCGTCGTTCAACTTTGGAAGATACCAGTTAGTCCCACCTGATGGTAGGATCAAATTAAATCCTAAACCTCCCCAGTCCACGTTACTAAACGGCGTAGCCAGACAGTTTAAGTTAGCAGGTACATCTATTAAGTAGATGGTGTGATCATTTCCCACTGGCTGACGTGGCATCTGGCTTTGACTCATCTCGACGCTGGTATATGCTCTCTCTGTAAATAGCGTACTCGCGACCAATCTGATAACCAACAAAGCCCGAAACACACGGAGTGAAAACATTGTGAAAAAAATACTTATACATGGTGTATTGAAGAACTCGATGGGAAAAGGTTTCGTAATTCGTTACCTTGAGATAAATTGAAACTTATATAAAAAGAGGTCTTCAACTGAGTTGAGTCCATGAGTTTACAACAATATTTAGGGGGGCGCCTGTCACATAGTGACCGACATTTGTCGCGAGTACGGCTTGAATGGAGTAAAGCGGAGTAAAGCCGATATACAAATGTCGTACCAACTCCTGCAGTTAAGGCTAATTATGCAAATCTTGGCAGACTTGCCACCAGGAGCTAGAATGTAACGCTAAGGTTTCACTAATAATAGAATAAACCTACATTTAGGGGTTTATTCGGGTCTAAATGATGCTGTATAAATATATGGTAAATGCCATGAAATGTGGATATTTAGATTTATATAGAATTATACGATTACTTGGCTAAAGTTGACCTGTAGCATCATCATGGTGTTGGACCTCAGTAGGTCCTATACTACGCCAATTGTGTTAGGCACCAAGGTTGAGCTGAACCGGCGATTCGAGCTAAAGCTCAATTACATCTGTTAGCGACTTTACGAAGAAATAGGTTGCCACACGACACAGCTTATCAAAAGGATAAGTTTTGTGTTTGTGTTGTGTATGTATGTATGTACAGTACCTTAATCTGTCACATAGTGACCGACATTTGTCGCGAGTACGGCTTGAATGGAGTAAAGCCGATATACAAATGTCGTATCAACTCCTGCAGTTAAGGCTACATATAATACATGCAAATCCTGGCAGACTTGCCACAAGGAGTTTAAATGTAACGATAACGCAATTTCATTAATAAGAGAATAAACCTGCATTTAGGGGTTTATTCGGGTCTAAATGATACTGTATAAATATACGGTAAATCCTATGAAATGTGGATATTTAGATTTATATAGAATTATGCAATATACAGAGAACGAAACAGACTTAACGTAAAGACAAGTACGATTACTTGGCTAAAGTCGACCTGTAGCATCGCCACGGTGTTTGACCTCAATAGGTCTTATACTACGCCAATTGGGCTAGGCACCAAGGTTGAGCTGAATCGACGAATCGAGCTGAAGCTCAATTACATCTGTTAGCGACTTTACGTAGAAATAGGTTGCCACACGACATAATCATGCAAAAGGATATAAACACCACTTTTAACTTAAATTAAATAATTTTTAATACCACTCTTTTTCTTATTACTATAGAACAATATGATTTATGAAACCACAATTAACCCTGGTGAAGGGTTGGGTAATTATATCAAATTAGGAGCATCGATGTATACTATTATGAAGTATCTTGATAAGTTTAATTATAAATTAAGAATTAGTTATAGTAATACTGATTTTTTAAATGTACCAATACTTGTTAATGTAGTTGATTTGGGTATAAGATTAACATTTCTGAATCATAAAGATCAATTATTGGAATTAATTGAAATTCTGGATTTTAATAATAAACAAGGACGTAATGGTTCAAGAAAACTTTTAAAATTGGTATATAATGGTATTAGTTTAAATGAAATTGAAAGTAATAGTAATAATACAAGTAATAATAATAGTAATGTTGATTTTACTAGTGGACTTGAAACTAATTCTTCTTTATCTAAAAGTTCATCATCCAGTACTATCTTAGATACAGCTTCATCAAATTCCTTATCTTCAAATTCTACCCTTCATACATTATTATCTAAGGGTCCTAATTTAAAATCAATTTATAATAAAATATTTGGTCCAACTTATCCAGGAGTTTTCAATAGAGATACTGGTTCATATATATTATCATATCCTGGAATTTCATTTAAATTTGTTATTACTAATGAAGAATTAATTAATAAGACACATGGTCAGGGTGATGATCAAGTATTATCAATATTATTAAATTGGGATGATAATTCCGATATTATATGTTCCAGTATAGCTTTACATAAGGGGAAATCTTGGTCCCAATTCAAATTAAAGAAAGATTCTAGTGTTTATTCTGAAACTTCTAGTCAATCTAATGTACAAACTGTTTCAGGATTAAAGTTTTATTTGGATGAAGGCAAAATAGTTGTTGATGTAAAAGGGTATAAAGGAGATGTTAATAAGACTAAATCATTTGATATATTGTTAAGTAAGACCACTCAACAAGAAATCCTTAATATATTAGGTCCTCCAGATGATTACTTTAATAAATTTGATTCACGTTTATTGATTCATAAACATCTTTCAAATAACGAAGAAGATCATGAATTAGACAATACAGCTCTAGATTCGGATACAGATTTGAGTCATTTCAAATTCCATAATTATTTCAAATATGGTATTGATATTTTGTATGATTTGAATAATGGAAATTCTTCTTCAAGTGGTATGAGTGCAACTGTCAAAAAAGTCATTGCTCATAATGGAGGTTTGACTGAAAGTTTAAACTTTATGAAATGGAATAGATGTTCTTGGGAAATAAGTACTAAGAATAATGATGAAGAAATAAAAATTGATTCTTCTATGTACTTTAAAGATTTACCAATTCAATTTCGTAGTTTAACCCCGGTTTTATTGAATAGACATGAATCTGAATACATTGATAACGAATTGGATATCATTGATTTCCCAACTACTAATCAAGAGGAGGTAAAGAAAGAGGAAGATACCGAATTTGGTATGAAGGTTAAAACTTGGGGTCAATCAAAGTTATATGGATATGAAAGGTGTATAATTGAAGTAATTAATTCGAATGGTTGTATTTCATCGGTGACGGTTTATTAAATTGGTAATTATAGTTTATGTGTTTTAAATAAATATATATATTCATTTGTTATAAGAAATGCTTTATTTAAAGATGAGATGATAATTAAGGAAATACCCAAAAGAAGTCTAATCCAGTAAACTACTTAAAGAGAATTGAATCAATGATTTCGAAAATGATTATTATCTTAAGATGATATCTTTTTCATTTTATGTGAATAAGCAGAAACTGCATTTGATTTGGAATTAGATGGAGTAGGTCTCGAACTGAAAATTGAACTGACATCGGAGAAGTCAGGAGTACCACTTGTTTGGTTCTCTTCTTCATCCAGAACATCAGTATCAACATAAAAGTTTGTTAATTGTTCCAGCAATTCATCAATACTTCTTTCTCTAGTCAGCATAGAACCATTAGAAGTTAGACGACGATGACTAGATTTCTTTGACTTTTTGGAAGCACTCAATGCTTCATTAATGTCTGAATTAAAACTGTAGTTGAAAGCCGTAACTGAATTCTTGTCCTTCAACGTCTTAGATGTGTTAGATGTATGTTTTGTAAGATTAGATAACGTAAAGGTTTCGCTATGAATAGATGATCTCCAAGATTTGGATGATCTTGGAGATTCTAATGAAGTAAGTCGGATGGAAGAAGAATCTATTGAATCAACTACAGATCCACTGATTGATTTTGCCGAAGTATCAGTCATATTAAAAGATCTTGATGTTTCTGGAGAAGGTACTAGATCTGTAGAGTCATAATCTAAGGAAGAATGACGCTTATTGCTGGAACTTGACCTTCTACTATGACTATGGCTATGGCTATGACTATGACTGTGACTGTGACTGTGACTACTTCTAGAACTCTTCTTCTTTGTCAGCTCTTTGAGCTTTTGCTGATTTTGATATGAAACTGGAGGTAATAGATAGAAACTCATAATTAATTGAGTTCTAAGTGTAGAAGAAATTCAATAAATTCAATAAAATCAATAAATAGAGAATTAATATTATTTACATATAAGAATGAATTCTTATTCTACTTAAATGGGCGGTTTAGTAGTATTTATTCGATTTGAAATATAAGGCTGTCGAAAACATCCCTGCTATTATTAATAGATAATATAAGGCAGAAACTTATCGGGTGAACCGTGCAGCAAAATCGAAGCTTAACAATACAATTATTGAGGTGGCAGGAAGACGTAATTCATGCATCCAGAACCATGCGATGATTACTATGGTAGTAAAAGAATACAAATAGAAGTTTTTAGCAACTTGTTCTCACATTGTCAAGATCCTCCAGCTTAGAGAGCGTATTTTTACCGGGCTGTAAAATAGTGCAACTGAAACATGCAGTCTGCATAGAAAAGAACAATGAGATACTTGCAAGTTATCGAGAGCCCTTAAGTATGTTTTACCTAGGATCTATTGTTAAGAATTTGAAGGAGTAATTCCCATGTTGTGTGTCTTAGTTACAAACTATGTTAGTATCATGTTAATATTTATGATTGGCGATTTGCATCATGGTTTATTTCGCCTAAAATAGTATTTGAATCCAAAGGTGGTTAAGTTATACCAGGTTGAACAGTTTACAGTTACTGGTCGTAGATTAAAATGACAATGACGGGATTGTCAAATACTCTATACTATAAATAAAGCGGGCCTGAAACGAATGTTTGTGCAACAATAATGAAATGGTGCATTACATTAGATTCTATGTCACTTTTCCAGTTGAAATTCAAATTTGGACAAGATTTAGAAATTCATTCAACGAGGCAATCTTAGTTTCTTCCATATTTGGAGATTCCGGGCTCGTCTAAGTTGGTTCTTCACGCCTTAGATTTGACCATCCTTTGAGGCGCACCTACTACATAGTTCGTAATTTTGCAATTGACAACTACTACAATAGAAAGTGCAATATCAAAACCAATACTTAGAGGTTAGGTTGATTACATTTTTAATACAGTGCATATAATACTAGATCATTTACATCAAATTGTTACTGACTTCGACATGTGGACTCTAACCGCGTATATTTCAGGAACAATAGATCCATTATAAAGATTTTTTCCTAATTAAGGAACTGCTCGGTACACTTAATGTACTCCTTAAATATCGAACCAATAATGATAACGTAGTATATAATATGTTACATTTCCATTTCTTATCTAATCCTTCCATGATCTCCTTAATTGTTTCAGGCAATTATTATAAATACATTTTAGTAATGCAAGAGAAGGTAAAAATTTTATCTGTCTCAAAAGCCGGCATTCGTATTTTTCTGAAGTTATATATGTCAGCCTCCTTTGTCTAGCAAAGTCTCCAAGACAAACATCCTTACACCAATACTTTTGGACTAATGTGGGGTTGAGCGGTCACTTACACTCTAAAGTGCTTGTTTGGGAAAGTACCGTAACCAATAAACATTTAGTAATCCTCCCGAGAATCTTTTAAGTGGGAAATTATTGATTTAGGTCTCCCCCATTCTTCGGCTACTAATGGATACTCGGAAGGATCAGTTAAGAGGAGAACCTTACTCTTAAGTCCATAGTATACGAATAGCTTATCCCCAGACCAGAGTATATAAGTTAAACTCTTCCTTTCTCAAACAATTTTCCAATAAATATATATTTACTCAAGCAGTAAAGCCTAAAGTTCTAAGTAAATGACTGTAGACGAAGATATTGAATTGGCACAATTAGCCAATCCACCGTTAATTAAAGAAGCAATTGACAAGAATATTCCAATTGAAGCGATATTTGGCACTTTAACTCCAACTGAAGTGGTCGAAGGTAAAGATTTAAGTTTAAGAATAAATACATGGTTAGCTCAATTGAATACCGCACTTGATAAAGTTAATCAAGGAACGTTGGATGATAAATTATTTGATGATCTTTTTGCACCCCACGCATCTTGGAAAGATCATTTAGCAATCAGTTGGGATTTTCATCAATTTCATGGAATTGATAAAATTAAACAAGCTTTGGAAGTTCAATCAAAAAATTTTAAGATTTCGAAGTTTAAGTTTCATAGCACAAACGACAAATTCTATAAGGAAGGATTTAGGATTGCTGCTGTTGCAGGATCAGATCCGGTGATCCAATATATTGAAGTATTTTTTGATGCAAATAATGTATTTGGACAAATCTCAGGTATGATAAAGTTGTTATCAACTACCAAAGGTCTCAAAGCTTATGGAGTCTATACCGCCTTAGAGTCAATTAATGGAAATGAGGAATACTTGGGTGAAAGAAGACCAAAGGGAGTTGATCATGGTCAACACGTAAGCAGAACATCATGGTTAGATAAGAGAGATGAAAGATTTGTGTGGGGAGAGGACAAACAACCAACAGTACTTATCATCGGAGGTGGACAAGGTGGGCTTAATTTAGCTGCAAGACTTAAGGTTATGGGGATTTCTCATTTAATTATTGAGAAAAATCCTAAAATTGGTGATAATTGGAGAAATAGGTATAAATTTTTGGTATTACATGATCCTGTTTGGTATGATCATATGGCTTATATCAATTTTCCAGAGACATGGCCAATTTTCACACCAAAAGACAAACTCGGTGGTTGGTTTGAAAGTTATGCCGAATCTATGGAATTAAGTTACTGGACAAACAAGAGTGTTACTGGATCTTCGTTTGATGAAACCAGTAAAGAATGGACAGTGAAAATTGTTGATAATGAAACTGGCGAAGAAGTTCAACTTCATCCTAAACACTTGGTTATGGCAACGGGTCATTCTGGGGAACCCAATATTCCACATTTTAAAGGTGAGGAGAATTTCAAGGGAGTTATTGTGCATTCATCAAAGTTTAAGAGTGGGAAACCTTTTGCCGGTAAGAATGCCTTAGTTATTGGTTGTTGCAATTCCGGACATGATATTGCCCATGATTTATATGAACAAGGGGTTAATGCAACTATTCTTCAGAGATCAAGTACTTGTGTGATCACTTCTGAAAATGGTTTACGGATCACAAATGTAGGTACTTTTGAACAAGATGGACCACCGGTAGCAATTGCGGATATTATTGCACACTCAAGTCATATTAAACTTCAGAATTTAATTCAACAGCAACACTTCAGACAAGCAGTAAAAGAAGAACCAGAATTTTATGAATCACTTGCTAAAGCTGGCTTTAATCTTGATGCTGGTTTTGGATCAACTGGATTATTTGGAAAATACGTTCGAAGAGGTGGAGGTTACTACATTGATGTTGGTTGTAGTAAGTTGATTACTGAAGGGAAAATTAAAATCCGACTGGGAGTTGAAATAGATAGCTTTGGAGAGAATAGTGTAACCTTATCAGATGGTTCGGTTATTAATGATTTATCTATAGTTGTTTTAGCTACAGGATATTCCAATATGAAAGATTCAGCCTTCAGAATTACTGATGAGAAGGTAGTTAGCAAATTAAACCCAGTTTGGGGATTAGATGATGAAGGAGAATTGAAGACTATTTGGAGACAATCTGGATACCCAGGATTTTGGTTTATGGGAGGAAACTTAGCTCTTTCTAGATATTTCTCCAAGAGATTAGCTTTACAAATTATTGCCTACGAAAAGGGATTCTTATAGGTGAAATAAAGTTTCTATATAAAAAGCTTATTATGTTAGTCGATATTGTGTACTGAAATTTAGATCTAACATTAGACAAGAATAGTTAATAAATGGATGTGATGTTTATTTCTTAAGATTTGTAGTCAAATTTTTAAATAAAACAAAGTTCGATAGATCTAGAATCGTAAAATGGGAATTATTAACGAAGTGATGTTATCAATGGCATGTGTTTAATTTACGCCAGGGAAATTATTAACGAAGTAGTTTTATGTTAAGTAAGAGATTCTAAAGCCAAGATATTAAGTTAGGTTGCGAAAATTAGCCAAATTAGTTAAGTGAAGTCAACGTGTTGCGAACATAATCAGAGTCAATGAGGGTAAGGGTCAAGTCTATCTACATGCGCTAAAAAGCACCAGTTAAAAAATAGCAGGATAAGCGGAGAGGAATCCGTGAAGACTAAAATTATTATTAGCAAATGGAAGGAAAAACGATTATTCCGATGGGAAAGGGCCAGGGACAAAGCAACCGAAGTAAAGAAATGGACTGAGCAAAGTCGGGAGGTCTTTCCTATTTAATATTTAGTTCCTAATTATTCCATTACATGTCATAATATTACAGACCAGCTAACTGGTCAAAGGCGCCTTAAATTCCTTTATCGCACCGTTGTATTACACAAAATTTGGAGGGGGCGCTGTATGCCGTACTGCGTTCCGATAACCTAATTCGTAATCGAGCCAATCACAGCGGGCGATAACAGAATCTTTAGGTTATAGAAGACTTACATAAGCTCCCTAATTAAGCGAAATGGGTGTGAAAAAAAAAGAAACAACTAAAACAATCAATCAATCACCAATAAGAATTTGAAACAGTGACCGTTGGGATCTAAGTCAGCAATAGATCAGACGGTAGCCAAGAAGAAAGTTGATGACATGGTGACAAATGAGTTAATAGATCTTTAACAAATATATTAATCATTGTAATAATACAATACAAATATACTTTTTGTACATATCGCAAACTCATTATTCTATACAACGCAGTGTAAGGGGTACAAGCCATTAATACAGCCTATTTGTTCATCAATAAGTCTTGTGCCCCCTGCCATCCTTATATTGCAGTAAACTATTTACATATTACAAACCAACCACTCCGTTGTCGCCCCAAATTTGCTAAATGCCGGTATATGTAACTTATATGTAGCATATTCTTTGTATTCTTCCGTACTTATTTTAGTCGTAGCATTGCGTATATACCTGAAATATCTACCGGATTCTGTTCGGGCCTCAACACCTGTTTATTATACGTTAATTCTTATTATTATTCTTATAATATAATATATTATATTATAATTCTAATTCTTATTCTTTTATTATAATTCTAATTCTAATTCTTATTCTTATTATAATTCATATTCTGAATTTCTTTTTCCCATTCCAATCCCAATCCCAATCCCAATTCCAATCCTTGATTCAATATCAATATATTTTATTTCTTTCTTAGTTCTTTAGTGAATAATCAAGTCATCGTCCATTTAACTACTTATCCTCCAAGAGTTCAACTATGACTCCCTATAACTCACTGGGAGGAGCTTTAGGTACAACTTCCACCACTATTTTAACTAATACAAATTCAAATAAACCTTTCCAATATACTACTGCAAGTGCAGCAACTACAAATACTTCAACATCATTTTCTCATTCAAATACTCCAAATTCAAATGCTTCATCAATAACTAATCCTCCTCATGCTTCTGTACCAAATACAAAATTTACATTCTCAACTAATTCTGCATCAAATCCAAATCATACTACTAGTTCAAATAATAATACAATAAGTCTATCATCCCTTTTAGCTAATGAAGCTGAAAGTTTAGAAGGTTTATGGAGAATGTATAATCGTGCTAAAGAATCTTTACCTTATAGAGAACGTATGGAAAATTTAACTTGGAGAATGATGTTTATTACTAATAATTTAAAGAATAATAAATCAATAATTCAAACTTCTAATATTAATAATATAAGAGAAAATCTTGATGCATCTAATGGGAATTCTCCTAGTTTAGATCCAGCAGCTGATGATTTTGATTATGTGGCTCATATTCGTAGAATGGGTCAATCTTCAACAACTGACAATCTTATTATTAACAAACGTTCATCAAATTCTAAAAATGATACTCCTGTTAATAGGAAAAGACCAGCAGAATTTTCACCCTTAATTACAAGTACAAATAATGTTCCACCAATAACACTTCGATCAAATCTATCGATGTCTTTAAGTCAAGAAAAGAATAACAACAACAACAACAACTATAATAATAATAATAATCAAGTTTTGAAACCAAAGATAACTTTACCATCTTCTCAAAGGCAATCACCTCAAATTGATTTTGCTGGTCATCAACAATATGAATTTTCCTTGGATCCTTTAGCATTTGAAGGTCCTAATAATAATTTCTATAATGAAATGGATATTGATATGCATTCTAATCAATTTATTAAACATGAATTTAGCGATTTTGGAACTCCTCATGAAAGTCAACACGGAATATCAACATCTTTACCTCATTCTCATTCAAATATTAGTATTGGACCATCAACTATTTTGAATCAATATGCTAATGATAATAATAGTACTAATCGTTTTAATAGCATTTCTTCCACTGCAGCTTCACCATCTAATTTAATTAGACATGATAGTTCAATAGTGAGTTTACCTGATTTTCATCATCAACATCAATTTCATCAGCAAAGTATTTCAGGTAGACCTGAAATAAATAGATCTATTAGTCAATCTGCCACTAATTTCTCAAAATCTTATAATGATGGAACTAATGGTACTTTCCAATTGGCTAGTCAAAATTTTAGTAATAATAATTCTAATAGTCAAACGAGTCAATCACCTCGTTTAGATTTTACACCTCAATTTGCATCTCAACCATTTAATCAACTGACATATTTTGATAATGTTCAATCATTCCCTTCGAGTAATAGTGGTACATTTTATGGAATTGATAATAATTTACCTAATTCATTTGTTGATAATAATAATGATAGTGCAACAACATTAACTTCAGGACTTAATAGAAGTATAAGTAATGTTGATTTGAATTCAAAGAATAATATTAAAAAGCCTACGGTAAAGAAATCAAAGAATAATAAATCTTCAATAATTCCTACCAAGACAAAGAGAACTTCATCACCTTTAGATATTCCTACAACTCCTATTGATTCAAATAATATTGTTATACCAACTTCAATGTCAGTACCTAATAATTTAAATCAACAAACCAATCCAAATTCTGGAGTTTCATGTACTAATTGTCATACTAAAACAACTCCACTTTGGAGAAGAAATCCTCAAGGTCAACCATTATGTAATGCATGTGGATTATTTTTAAAATTACATGGAGTAGTACGTCCTCTTAGTTTAAAAACTGATGTAATTAAGAAGAGACAACGTAATACCAATCCAAAAAAGCCCAGTGTTAGTAGTGATATTAATAAAGATGGTGACGATTTAAATCCTACATCTATAAGTAAAGGTGATGTTAAGAATATTAATAATTTAATTGCTAGTGAAAGTTCTTTAAGAAATATTAATGTTAATACTGTAACTCCGCCACCACAAGGTTATGAAGAAGATATTAAAGTTAATACACCAATTTTATTATCTTCCTTGTCTCCTAATGGTGTGACTACCATTTCAAATACCAATACTAATTCTAATACCAATACCAATACAAATTCTAATTCTTTAAAAGGGTCAGGAAAATCACCTATAAATTCTAAAAGACAAGGAGGAGGATATAATAATAGGAAAGGAAATTTAATAAAACAGAATGAATCATCTAGTAACCATATTAAGGGATTTCATTTAGATAATGATGATGATGAATTCATTAATGTATTAAATTCCGTAGCTTCACCAGCTTCTACTATTCAACAACATGGGAATTCTGGAATTAAATTTGAAGACCATCATACTAATGGAACAATTGATAGTAATATTCATAGTAATGGTAGTGAAATTAATGATAATTCCAATACTAATACCACTAATAATGGTAATGGTACAGGCAATGGTAATGGTAATGGTAATAATTGGGATTGGCTCAGTATGACATTGTGATCATTTTATACTCATATTTTATAATTGTATTCATATACTTTAAACTTGTTTTACTTCTTCATAAATACTCTTTGTTAGTGTTTGAAATCTTATACACTTCTTATTACCACTTTTTAGTTTAGTTTGCTGGATACAACTAATATATAATAATAATACAGTGAATAATAAAAATGTACTGTAGTGTAGTGTAGTGGAGTGTAGTGTAGTGAAAAAATGAAAAATAGTATATGGATGTTAAGCTTACTAGCGTGCTTAGGTAATAGAAGCATCAGTAATAGAGAATATGAATTCATATCCCAAAGTGGTCATACGGTATTGTGCCAAATGTAAATGGCAGAATCGAGCTATATGGTATGTTACCGAGATACTTCAAACATTTGGTGAAGTAATTAATGAAGTGAGTGTTCAACCTATTTATGATAAGCCAGGAGTGTTTGAGATTATTCTTGTTGAGGAGACTAGTACAACAGTATTGTATAAAAGAAAGTTTAAGAATGCGGAATTAGCTAAGAAATATGCCACCGAGGGAGAAACTGGTGAACAAACTGAAGAGTACTATTATGATGGATTCCCTGATTCAAAGTTAGTTAAGTTACTAATCAAAGATGCATTGAATGGATCAGTTAAAGTTAAGCTCGGTAATCATATCATGAAAACAGATACTACAAATATTCTTAGTAGTAATCGAAATGTGTCTGAACCAGAACCAGAACCAAAACCAGAAGAAGTGGAATGTCAGGATTGTAAGTTAGAACAGTAACCAACTATTTACTACAAGTAATGAATAAAATTAACTAGTACATTTAAATTAAACAGTGTAGAACTAAATAGATAATTTGACAATATAGCAATAGGCATAGATATAATAGAATAGAATAGAATAGAAATAGAAATAGAGAAGAAATAGAAATACATCTCTACTTCTCTAAAAATTTGAAATAAATTAAAATAAAGTAGAAACAACGAACAACAATAACAATAATAGCATATAATGATAATAATAAAACAGTAATATCGGATGATACTATATGAAAACAACTTTGAAATCTCAACTAAATTAAGCAAATATATATACAGACTTAACTTTCCTAAACCCTTCATCCCTTTGTATAAATCAAACAGTAGTAATATATGGAAATAGACATCTATTAACATTTTGGTCCCTTTTCTTGGTAGAACTTATGAATTAGTTCTATTTTGATATTTTGTATCGAGCTTTTTGGTTTTTAGATTACATCTTTTTCATCTGAAAGATTTATTCAATATCATCACTTCCAAAGTTATGATAACCTTGATCAGCAATTTCATCCCAGCCATTTGGAGCTACTACATATGGTAAAGAACTTCCGAGACTTCCAAAATAAAGTACATTATTAGGTAAACCTAATAAAGTTTGATATTGTTTAATGACAAAAGTTGGTGATACATTTTTAGGTTGAGGTTTGGGAGTTGGAGTAAATTGAGGATCAAGATCTTGATTATGTTGATGTTGTTGATTAATTGCAAGGTTTTGAGTTGATGATTGATTAATTTCTTTAGTAATTTGTTTCCATTTGTGTTTTTCACCAGCTACTAATAACTGTTTTAATATTTGAACATCTTGAGATGTAAATTTACTAGTAATATTTGGATTACTATTAGGAATAGTTCCACTTATTGAACTTGAACCACTAGCAGTTGTTGTTTGATAATGATAAGAAGTGGCAGCTGTTGCCCCTGGAGGTGGTAATACAGTATGACTTCCTGATGGGTTTGCTTGAGGCAGTTGTTGTTGGCCTGTAGATTGATTAGGTACTTGATTTGGGACAGATGGAGCTGAAGTTCCAGCTGATCCAGCAGCTTGTTGTTGATGTTGTTGATGCTGTTGTTGCTGCTGCTGCTGTTGCTGCTGTTGTTGATAGGAGTAATCACCCAAGTATTGTTGATTACCGGAGCTGCTATTTGAATACATATTAGGAGAACGAGGAATTGTTGTTGTTATGTTGGCTTCGAAATAAATCATAATAGATTGAAGTTATTCAATGGTAGTAAGTGAAAACAAACCAATTAAATCCTTACAGATACTATATAGTAGTTCTGAGGGTACTTTAATTTAGAATGTTGATGATTTATACTACTACTAACAAAGGTTTGTTAGGTTTAGTAGTGAACAAAGGAACAATGGTAGTGAAAAAAAATTGCTAACCAACTAGAAAGCCTAATACGAAAAGGGGGTACGAGCACTTTGCACTTTGCACTTTTGATAGTGTAACAAATATAAAATCAATAACACACCAGTTAACCAGATGTTTGTTTATGACTTGTCGGTTTCAGGAAGGAAGACTAGCCTGGAGACGAAGAAAATATTATTATTTATGCTGGGGGGCCCAAATAATAAAGTAAAGGGTGTATTAAAGAGTTAAGGGTAATGTATGGAAAGTAATAATTAATAAGTAATAAACTAATAAAGTAAAGTAAAGTAATAGACTAATAAAATTATTTAAGTGTAAATCGATTCGGGGGAAGTTGGGGAACAGATATAGTTATTAGATATAGTTATGTGTTGATTAGTTTAATTAACTAAAAAGACAATCATTATTCGTATACTTACAGCATTTAATGAATGGACATTCGGATATATATGGACACAGAGCTGATGCACAATGTCAGAGTACGCACGGATGCAGATGTACAAAACTACACCACAAAGACAGGTGTCAATATAACTCTATTCTACAAATTTATATGTATACATATATTAAATTTACTTTATTTATGTATATATGTATGTATGTATGTATGAATATGTATACTCAATTGTTTGTATACTTAGCGGTAACACTAATAAGTCCAACTAGTAATTAATAGGGCGGGTTTCCCACAAACTGTAAAAGATAAGAATGTGGTGTTTTCGTATATTACAGTATTAGACAGGTCTATAGACAGATAGATGACCTGCTGCATCAGCTCTACACGACTAGAACTACCTCTACAACTCCATTCTTACTATAAGTAAAAGTTCTTTATGTAAAACAACAGACTAATACAATGACTACAAAAAACTACTGATCATCTCTATAACTACCGCTACAATTAGTGCTGTGCCCTGTTACGGTGGAGACGCGAAAACCACCACCTTTACGAAGGCGGACATCCACTAATTTAAATTAATGTGAAACGGCCTGCACACAGCTCATTTACGAATGTTTACACAAACTCTCAACTGGGAAGTAACGATCTGAATCAATCTTCTAGATCAACCGTTAGTAGGGTATAAATGCCTACTTGACTAAAATGTGGAGGAGTTAAATAAATAGTGCTAGATCCCCACAATTTGGTTTTGTATTTTGTAGGTTAACTAACTAATTTACTAACTATATATATATATTTGTGTGTTACACTATTCATCTTCGTAGTACTCCTCTTCCTCGTCATCTTCCTCTTCTTCTTCTTCATCAGACATAATGATATCTTCTTCGTCACTGTCAATTACTTGATAAGTAATTTTTTTGACGGGTCTTCTACTGGTAGATGGTTCAACATTAACTTTACTAACTTCTAATTCTTGTAATTCTTCCAACAATGCAGCTTTAGATCCTGGCTTTGGCCGAGATTTTTTGACCTCACTAGTATTCTTGGCAGGTTGTACTGGTTTCTTTGGAGTAGATTCAGTACTCAATCCAAGAAGTATATCATCATCACTATCATCAAATAATGATGGCTTACTAGTTACTTTCTTATTAGGTTTCTTAATTGGAGTATTACTAGATGAACTAAACATTGATGATATATCTGCTTGCTTCTTTTCTGGTTTAACAACAACTGGTGTTGTAGATTTAGCCTTGGCAGTTTGTTTAACAATATCTGGTGTAGAAGATTTTACTCTCGAAACAGTTTGCTTCTTACGAACTGGTAAATCAAAATCATCATCATCATCATTATCATCATTATCAATTTCATTCTTAACTGATGGTTTAGATTTAGACTTGACAGCTGTCTTTCTAGGTCTCTTAGATTTACTACCTTTACTAACAGGTGCAGCAGATCTATCTCTATAATCATCATCAAGGAATTTCTCCCAAGCTGCTAAGAATAAATCTAAGTCTTCATTCCATAAATCTTTAGCACTCTTTCCTAATAAAACCTTTAATTCACTTTCTTTATTATCACGTTGTTGTAATAATTTCTCATATCTTTCTCTACTTAAGGACCAAATTTGCATACCTAATAAGTAATCATATGTTGAATAAACTGTATCTGGTTTATGTACATTTTCATCATCAGGATTAATAATACCACTAACATTTAATTGACTAATATCTGCTCCTTGTTCTTCTTCTTCATCATCTTCATCTTCAACAAATAAATCAGATTCAATCTTAACTGGTTTATTATCTTTACCAAAGGCTACAAATTTATGTTTCTTTAAGAGTTCAACTAATTCAGATCTTTTCTTATTAGAAACACTTAATTCTTTATCAATAATCATCTTAATAAATCTAGCTTGTTCACTCAATTTTAATAATTGATTTTGAAGTTCATCAGTAAAATAATCCTTTCTCTTTTGATAATATTCCAATCTAACATAATAGAAATCTTTTAAAATATCTAAACAACTTTCATATCTCTTAATTCTACCTAATGGATCAAAAGCGACCATATTTGCTAAACTTATAGATGAGATTAATTTAAATCTTTCTAATAATCCAATCTTTTTTGATTTAGCCATTTCTTCAAGAGTTAATTTAATAACAAATCGAATATTAACTCCATGTTGTTCTTCCATATCTTTAATCCAAGCCGCAGTCTTTTCATTACCAAATCCTGATAATAAGAATTCTTTAACATTATTAGTCCAAGTTTTAACGGGGATTTCTGTAATTTCTAAAGTAGTATCATCAACTTGTTCAATTGCTCCTATAACTTTATATTTATCATTACCATTTTTTTCAATAGTTCCTTCCCAACCTTTATACCAAGGATTCATTTCTTGTAATTCATTACCATTCATAAGATTTCTAATATTATTAACTATATCAGTTGGATTATAACATGGAATATTAGTTGACCAACCAGTTCCAATACCTTCAGCTCCATTAACTAATACCATTGGTATAACTGGTAAATACCATTGAGGTTCAACCGTTTGTTCATCTTCTTGCATATAAGTATATAATGGATCATCTAAAGGATTAAAAATTTTACGAGTTATATCACTAATTTCTGTAAAAATATATCTGGCAGCTGAAAAATCTTTACCACCAGCAGCTCTTGTACCAAAGGCACCATTTGGTTTTAAAACATTAATATTATTTGATCCAATAAAATTTTGTGCTAATCCAATAATAGTTTGAACTAATGATTGTTCACCATGATGATAACCAGTATGTTCAGATACATATCCAGCTAATTGAGCTACTTTAATTTCATTTTTTAAATTTCTTTTAAAACATCCAAATAATACTTTACGTTGACCAGGTTTAAATCCATCTAATACACTAGGAATTGATCTAACATTATCAGCCATTGAGAATAAAATTAATTCTTTATTAATAAAATCACTTATTGGAATTTCTGATAAATTTGGATCTAAATGAGTTCCAGGTATAAATCCTTGTAACCATTCTTTTCTATCATCAGCTTTCTTTTTTGAAAATGCTAAATCAATATATTGTTTATCATCTTCTTGTAAAGCATGAAATCTCTTTAAATGTTTATCTAAAGCAGAAAAATATTCTCTTGCTTCAATAGGAGTTGAAGTACCCAACCCCTTATAATATTTTTGAGTCCATCTAACAGTTTTACCTTCTGAATCTCTCCAAGTTTCAAATTCAGGTAATGTATAAAATGGTATAATTCGTTTAGAATTTCCTCTACCTTTAATAGTTACTTTAACAATAGGTGTAATAAATTCTAATAAGAATCCTGGAATATTTAATAAACCTGGGAAACTTGTTTCTAAGAAATTAATAATTAAACCTTTAATATGTGAACCATCTTGATCTTGATCAGTCATAATCATAATATGACCATATCTTAAAGATTTAATATTTTCAGGACTATAATGCTTTTTATGTTGTAAACCAATAATTTGTTTTAAAGAATTAATTTCTGAATTCTTGGCTACTTGATCAGCTGAAGCTTCTCGAACATTTAATAATTTACCTCTTAATGGGAAACAACCATAATGATCACGTCCAACAACTTCTAATCCTGATACTGCTAATGATAAAGCAGAATCTCCTTCAGTTAATATTAATGTACATTTATGACCATCTTTTGTACCAGCACGATTTGCATCAACTAATTTAACTTGACCTTTAACTCTCAGTTTTTTAGATCCATCAGCCTTTTGTAAAGCTTTATCTTCATTAGCTCCAGCAATTTCTCTAATTTTTTCAACAATACCTGTTTTTAAAATCTTTGTAATAAATTGATCACTAATAGTAACTTTTTCACTTGGTTTACCACCAAATTGAGCCACTCTAGTGGTAAGTTGTTCTTTTGTTTGAGATGTAAAAGCAGGATTTTCAATAAGACAATTTAAAAATAAAAACATATTATTTCTAATTTCAAAAGGTTTAATCATTAACTTCTTTTTACCCTTTTCCTTTTTAGACATTGTATCAATTAATTTTGCAATAATTTGATCAGATACATATTTAACATGAGTACCACCAGAAGTTGTAGCAATTGAATTTACAAAACTTACTTGATTAAAATTCCCATCACTAACAGCAAAACCAATTTCCCATCTATCATTAATAACTTCATGAACTAAAGTTGTAAAAGATTTATTTTCTTCACTTGTAATTGGTTCAGGAGATCTTTCCTTAATGGCTTTAATATACATTTCAATATAATTTTTAAAATTCTTAATATTTAATTTTTTATCATTAAGATAAATATTACAATCTTTAACTGTACCACATAAATCATATACTCTTCTTCTTAAAACTGATAAAATATCTTCATCTAAAGAATCCATACCAAATTTTGATAAATCTGGTTTAAATGTAACTCTAGTAAATTCCCGTTTAGATTTTAATTTAGTGATTTTGGGTTTAGTCACATTAGACATATTATTCGACCATACTTGTTTATAATTCTTTTCAGTATTTAAATCACAAGTTTCTAATTGAAATTCAGTTGAAAATATATTACATAATTTAGCTCCATAACCATTCCTACCTCCTGTAACTTTTTTCTCTTCATCATCATAATTTGATGAAGTCAATAAATTTCCAAAAATTAATTCTGGGATATATATTTTTTCTTTATCATGAATTTCAATTGGTATACCTTTCCCATCATTCATAACTTCAATTAAATTATTTTCTGCATCTATTTTAACTCTAATATTTTTCATACTTGAATCTCTAATTTTATTATCAGCAGCATTTACAAGAATTTCATCGAATATTTTATATAATCCAGGTACAATATTAACTTCTTTAAATATCATTGAATCACTTGAAATATCAAAACACCACATTTCCATAGCAGTTTTTTCAATTGATCCAATATAAGTATCGGGTCTTTTTAAAATATGTTCTAATTGAGATAATTTTTGATATTGATCTGAAGCATTATTTGATGGGTTTGTATTTGAATTTGAATTTGAATTCGAATTCGAATTAGATTTCTTATTTGATGGGTTAGGAGTAGTGGATTTTGATGATGATGTAGATATATTCGATACGGTTGATGGAGATGTATTAATATTAGTAGCATCAGCCAATGGTTTGGAATGCAGTTTTTTCACAGGAGGTGAAGGCATAAACTCATCTTCATCTCCATCGGTGTAATAGTCAGATACTTCTGAATCACTGGACATTGTGATGGTGTTCAGTTGGTGATATTAAGTGGAAATCAAAACAGTGGGTGAAGTATTAGGCTGAAAAAATTCCATGCGCGTCTTCGTAAATATAATATATATATATATATATTATTGGCGGGGGAGTGTTATAAATTGCGATGAGTAACAAAGCACTGTTAAGTATAGAACTATACTAAGTATAGAACTTTAGTATATGGACTATAAGCATGTGGACTATACAACTACTGAACTACTGAACTATATAGACCAATAAATATTTATATAACTAAAAGTTATTATGTATGGATACTGATGTACCACCTGCGACATTGTCTACTTCCTCTTACGTTTACTTTCGAGATCCTTCTGGATTCGATCAAATTCATCTTCATCAATATGTCTATCTGATCTCTTTTTACCTCTTTTATCAAGATATTTAGATTCAAGTGAATTTATAAGATTATCAAGTCGATTAGCTTGACGACTTTTAATTAGTAGTCCAAGATCAGATTCATTCTTAATCGATCTCTTACTTTTATCCTTAATCATTTTTTCAATTTCTTCAGCTTCTTTAGCTTCTTTTGCTAATTTTTTTAACATTTGTTTAACTTTGGTTTTACGAGATTTTTTATATTTATTCCATGATAATAATGTCAGTTTATCTACTACTAAATCATTATTATCTAATTCTGATTCAATCTCATCTTGTATTATACCAAATACTCGTTGTTCTTCTGATTCAGAAAATTCCAAATGAGGTATTAATTCAAATAATTTAAGAAAATCTCCTTCATAATATAAGAAATTAGATATAATATCTTCACGTTCTTCCTCACTATTTTGATATTTAATTTTATCTTCTTCAATCATATCAATAGTAATTTTTTCATTAATTGAATTAAAATAATCTTGCCAATCAAATCCTTCTTCTTGATCTCCAAATTCTTCAAGTGATCCAGTACGATCATACCTTTGTCTTTTACTTGAATCACTTAAGATACTATATGCAAATTGAATTTTAGCAAATAAATGTCCATCTACATTGTCTTGCTGTTGCTGTTGATATTGTTGTTGTAACTTATCTGGATGATACTTAAGACATAATTTTTTATATGACTTTTTAATTTCAAGAGGTGACGACTCCTTCCCAACTCCGAGAATAGTATACGGATCTATATCCGGGAACGGTACAGCCATTATAAATTATTACTATACTATTACGGAAATAATCAGTATATTACATTACTAACGAGATCAGATAAAAGGACTATTTTTCTTTTGACAAATCGCACTACTACTACTACAGTAACTAGTCGCAGCTGCAAAATGGAACGAACAAATTTTATACTAACAAATAAAATACATAGGGCTACTAATACACAAATGCTAATAAAGAATAACAAAATATACAAAGGGGAAAATACAAATAAGAAGGAAAGGGGATTTTGAGTAGATAATAAATAGAGTTAAATAAATATCTAACTCTTTTCTGGTCTCGCAATTGATTTCCATTGCTCAATCTCTTTATATGCTCTCTCTAATTCAGACTTTAATTTTTCATTGGAGGAACTTAAATCACTAACAGCTTGTTCAGTTAATAATTTCTCTAAAGTCCATTTTTCAATATTATTATTTTCATTTTCCTTTAATCTTTTTATATATTCAACAGCTCTTTGTAAAATTTGTGCTTTATTAGTATCTTGAGTTGGAATTAATGTAGCCAATTCTTTAATTCCTAAATTAATTGATTCTCTTCTTCTTCTTTCAACTTCTTTATGATTTTCTCTTCTTTGTTTATGCCATTCGTCGCTACCATGTTGTGGTTTATTACTAGTTGGTAAAGTCGTTGGTTGGAAAGTAGTTCTTGAAACAGTAGTTCCGGAATTTGGTCCTCCGGCTGCTGCAACGGCTGCTGCGGCATGATGATGTTGTTGTTGAGCTTGTTGCTGTTGTTGTTGATACTTATAGGCTTCTTGAAAAGCTGAATGCAGCTTATCAGCTTCAGCAGCAACCGCAGCAACCGCAGCAGCTTCTGCTTCTGCTTCACTAATATCTTGATCATCATCCTTACCTTCTGAATTAACTCCTCCAGAGTTATCATCATGATCAGTATTTGATGAAGTCACTTGATCGGTCTTAGCATATGAAGATTGTTGACCTAATAATTCCGAGTCAATAACAATGTTGTCGTCCTTTTTATCATTAGCTCCCGAACTCTTTGATTTTTTAGAATCATTATCACCAGCACGGTCTTCAATATCTCTTTTAGGCATTCTATAAAGTTTGTTAGTATGTTGGTTGGAGTTGTGGAGGGGGGGGGTCTGTTGGTGTGACCTGTATCACGAGTTCTATAGTATTGCTGCACAAAAACAACTCACTCTATATTAGACTCAAGATTGCTTATAAACAATTGGACAATTGCTTAATTGTTTGTTAATTAAACTACTTACTTAATGGTGGTACTGTAACTGGAAGTTTGTCTATGGTAGTGTCTGTCCTTTAATTAAACTATGTTGTTTATAGAAACTTGTTTGCAACAATTAGTGTGTTCTGTATGGGTACGTTGTGATACTAATCACGTTTTCAAAACAAGGATTTGTTGTGGGTTTTAGAGGATCACCTGAGAAAATCCCTCGTGATAATTTTTGGGGAAGAGGGAGCGCCGGGTAACTGTCTCCTCCTCCTTCGCCTTCTCCTCTCTCCTCACTGCACGTGTCAGTGGTCACTTGATGAAGAAAAAAAATATTATTTTTTTATTGACTATATGCGCTTAACTGTAACTTATTAGCTGACAGTTCAATGAGTATGCGTTTAAATGGAATCAGGTTGCTATTTACCAATTATAACCATTCCACTTAGATCATGTTCATAGTATATTCTTTTACAAATATGTAACTTTCTCAAATTATGTTGAATAAGAGTCATTATAATAATATTAATATTATTAAGACACTTATCATAACGCATTCTTATTATATTTAACTTACCATCACGGGATCACTACTATTTACTATATATACCTGCTGAGTATCTTATTGCAAAAAATATTCAATTTTTAATTAATATAATTAATATACCCTTAACCATGTCAGATATAACACTAGGAAGATACTTATTCGAAAGACTACATCAGTTACAAGTTGATACGATCTTTGGACTTCCAGGAGACTTCAACCTTTCCTTACTAGATAAAGTATATGAGATACCAAAAATGAGATGGGCAGGTAATGCCAATGAATTGAATGCTGCTTATGCAGCTGATGGTTATAGTCGTATAAAAGGGTTAGCATGCTTGGTTACAACCTTTGGTGTTGGTGAATTATCTGCTCTTAATGGAGTGGGTGGAGCTTATGCTGAACATGTAGGGTTACTTCATGTTGTAGGTGTACCATCAATAGCTAGCCAAGCTAAGCAATTATTATTACACCATACATTAGGTAATGGTGATTTCACAGTTTTTCATAGAATGTCCAATAATATCAGTCAAACAACAGCCTTTTTATCGGATATTACAACAGCTCCAATGGAAATTGATCGTTGTATAAGAGAAGCTTATATCTATCAACGTCCCGTATATATTGGCTTACCAGCTAATTTAGTTGATTTAAAAATTTCAGGAAATTTATTGAATCAACCTATTGACTTATCACTAAGACCCAATGAACCAGAAGCTCAAGAAGAAGTCATTGAACTAATTAAAAAATTACTTTCAACTTCTCATAATCCAATTATTCTCGTAGATGCTTGCGCTTCAAGACATAACTGCAAATCAGAAGTCGAACAATTAGTAAATAAAACTGGATTTCCTGTATTCACTACGCCTATGGGGAAATCCACTATTGATGAATCTCATCCCCGATTTGGGGGAGTTTATGTTGGTACTTTAAGTCAGCCTGACGTTAAAGAGTTTGTAGAGAATAGTGATTTAATTCTTTCAGTAGGTGCTTTGTTATCTGATTTCAATACCGGTTCATTCTCATATTCTTACAAGACAAAGAATATAGTTGAGTTTCATCTGGATTACACTAAAATCAAACAAGCTACTTTTCCTGGAGTTCAAATGAAAGAAACCTTACAAGAATTATTACGAGTTATTAGTGTTCCTAAGAATTATATTCCACCACCCATTCCAGTGATTGCACAATTAGATACAACTAAATTCTCACCTTCAAGTCCCTTAACGCAAGAATATTTATGGTCAAAAGTATCTACATGGTTTGAAGAAGGGGATATCATTGTCACAGAAACAGGTACTTCAGCATTTGGTATTATTCAATCTAAATTTCCTAATAATACCATTGGAATATCTCAAGTATTATGGGGATCAATTGGATTTACAGTAGGGGCAACTGTTGGAGCTGCTATGGCAGCTCAAGAAATTGATCCCAATAAACGAGTTATTTTATTTGTTGGGGATGGGTCATTACAATTAACTGTTCAAGAAATCTCTACTTTATGTAAATGGGAATGTAATAATACTTGGTTGTATGTATTGAATAATGATGGTTATACTATAGAAAGATTAATTCATGGAATGAATGCTACCTACAATGATATTCAACCCTGGAATAATTTGGCCATACTACCGTTATTTAATGCTAAAGCTTATGAAGCCATTCGAACTTCGACAGTTGGAGAATTAGATCAATTATTTAATAATTCTTCATTTAAAATTCCAAATAAAATTAGAATGATAGAAGTAATGCTACCTACTATGGATGCCCCACCAAACTTAATAGCTCAAGCAAAGTTTTCTCTGGAAGCCAATGAAAGTTAGGATGACGAGATTTGCATTAAAAAATGAAATAAAACATAAAATAAATAATAATAAAATAAAGTAACGGTAAAAATTATAAAATAAAATAAAATAAAGTAAAAATTAATAAAAAGGTGACTGTAAAACAAAAAGCGCAAATATTTCTAATTATAATTATTGACAGCCCTATTTTTAAAACCCGCACCAAACGCCTGGGTACCAAACCCTTTGCTATTTATTTGCGGCTATATAAATGCAATGCCGTACTGGACTATAAATAGTAGGGTTGAAAGAGGCTTTGATTTATTTAAACTTTGTTTGATGTTTCATGGGATCTCCAACAGTAATAATAATTAATTATTTTTTACTCAACGTTTTAATTAGATGTAAAGTAAAATATATAAATAGACGCAAATTTCTTTCGTTCTATGATTAAAACGTGTCTCAGTAATAAACGGTATATTCTACATATTTTAAATAAAATTAATTATTCACATTTTTAATAAATTAAGTATATTTAAAAATGAAAAACTATAATAAAATACAATTTAAATGAAAATGAAAAAAGACTTTATTTGATGCAGTATATGAGGTTATCAATGTATGCAATTGCAATGTTTGACTATTATAATGTGTGGTTGTGGTTGTTCTATTAATGCAAATGAGAAAGATTACGAAATTGCCTTGACAGGTTTTACTTTTGCAGCCTTCTCTTGTTCTTCGTAAGCACGAGATAATTGAACATATCTATCAACTTCTTCTTCAAAAGTTGTGAAATCATTCTTTAATTTAAATAAGAATGGATCATATTTAATAGGAGGGAAATCAGGAGCATCCTTAATCAAACTTGCGGTAGATTTACCATATAGAAGTCTCATCATTTCTTCTTCATGGAATGTAGTAAAATCTTTAGTTTGATAATAATTCATAAAGATTTCATCCTTACTTAATAATTCCAATAATTCATCAAGTTTTAAATTATGAATCTTTTTAACATCATCATCATTTAATTCGATTTTATGAGCTTTAAAAGCTTTATTTCCTGCTTTCTCATTAACTTCGATTTCATACTTCAAATTTTCCAATTCTTCTTCTGTCATTTCATATTGGAAATCTTGGAAAAGATCTTCTGCCAGAGTTTTATTGGTATTGATATTATCAAAATTCATAAGATAATTCAAATTATAATTATGGAATTTATTCCAAACTTCTTTATCTTTGAGGAAATAATATAAATCAGTTTCTCTCAACCATAATCTGATTTGTGGAACAAATACCCAACCTTTAAATTTCTTTGAAGTTAATCCACCACGATATTCTTGTTTTAAGAGTGTAGTATATTTGTTTGGAATATATCCTACTTCACCTTCAATTGTGGTTTTTATAAGAGGAGAAAATTCATTCAAATGAGTGAAATGATTATCACGACAATTATAGACTTGTAATTTCCTATTGATTTCAGTCCATGTACGAAGGGTTCTAGTATCTTCACGTTTATTGTTCTTTTGTTGTTTGGATTCAGAATTTTCCTTTGCGGAATCCTTTGATTCACCTTCTTTGGTATCTTCACCTTTAGCCTTTGCTTCTGCTTCTTCCTTTGCTTTCTTTGCTTCTTCCTTTTCCTTTTCGACATCTTTTGGAGTCTTCCAATCCTTTGGTAAACGTCTCAAATATCTTTCAGGAGTTTCAGAATTAGATATTGCTAATCCAGTTATATCAACATAAAGTCCACTATCAACATCAATAAATCTTGCATCGATATTATTATTTCCATTACCTTTATTTCTTTGAGTTATGAATGTACCACAATCAAGGAAATATCTTCCATAACCATCTTCAGTATCTTCAATAATTAATGTTTGATTAAATTCAAGAGATAATTTATGTAAATCAAAAATTGGCATTTGAACATCAATATCATTATCCCATGGGAAGGCAAGACCATCCCAATACCAACTAAGAAGAGAGCCATGGGCAACCCAAGATCTAATACCAGCCTTTCTAGTAAAAGATAACCAAGTACGAATCAAACGATGAAGAATAAGGGTTTGTTCATAACTACCATACATTATACCTTTAAAGAATCTCCAATCATAATGATCACCATAAGCAGTTTCATAAAGTCTTGCTTCTTCAAAATATTTTGGTGGACCTCCATTATGAATTTTATATTCAGAATATCTAAGGGAATTCAAATAATTTTGTTCATTTTCAGCTAAGGATTTATCCTTTTCTCTTACTTCTAATTCTTTAATAATACTATCGAAATCAACATCAAAGGATGAATGTTCAAGAATCACTTGATAAGAATCAATAACATCTTGTTTATTAGGAGGATGAATTTTTTGAAGATTATTATATTCTTGAACAACATCAAGACTAGTTTTACCAGTATTAGCAACATATTGTTCAACAAGTCCATTATCAAGAAGTGGTTGTTTATTAGAAAAATCAATTGGGATATTATAAGTACCATCTTTAGTGACGAAAATTAATGAAGCTGGAGCTCTTGCAAATGAATAAAGATAAGAAGCTCCAACTAATATAGTATTTGCTTGATTACCTTTACCTTCATGAGTAAATGTATTAAATCCAGGATGAATTTTATGTCCATCATAATGATCAGGAGGTAAATTTTCATCATTTACACAAAAAGCACTAGCTTCTTTTGATTCTAGACGTTTATGAATATCTGATATTGATCTTTTCTCTTTCTTTCCTTCTTTCTTTTCTTCTTCTGCATCAGGATCTTCACCTTTTAATACCTTAATTAATCTTTCTGTTTCTTTTTCTTTAGCTTTCTTTTCTTCACGGAAACGAGTTTCAGCTTCTCTTGAGTCAATGATATCACAGGAAGGACGATTTAAATCAGAAGATGATGCTAAGAGATATTGATTTAATGGTGATAAATCAACCCAATCATACCAATTAAATGGTACTTTAACTGATGAAACATCCTTTTCATCATCAGCATATGATGATTGATCTTTAGTATTGGCATCCTCAGATTGAAATTTTTGGGCTAAATAATGATAATATACTCCTAAAGTAAATCTAGGATCAAAAGGTTGTATTACTGGTTTTGAAATAACTTCTTCACTTAAAGAATCAACTGATGATGCAAAATAATAATTTGGAATGGTTATAGAACTATCTTTTGTATGATCTACATCTAATACCCAATATTTATGCTCTAAATCAGATAATAATTTTTGTTGATAAAGAATTTCAACTTTTTCCTTTAAATAATTATCAGGATCTTCATGTTCATAATATTCTATTTCTGAATCAGGATCATCTTGAGATGGTGATAGAAATGATTTTAAATATTTAGTATTGGCTCCTCCTGGTCCTGCTTGAATTATGGTTCTTATGGATTCATCAGATGATGAACTAATTATAAATGATGAAGATGTTATTAATGAAAAAGATATTATTAAACATAATGCTAATACGAGATATGTTTGTAATTTTCTTCTGAATAAGTTATTAAATCTAACTTTGAAGAATTTCTGGGGTCGTTTAAACATTGAATCTTTTATATTCATGGTTATTATATTATGTTATGTTATGTTGTTAATGTTATGATAAATCTAATAAATTAATTAATAGGTGTCATTAAATTACTACTGATATAAGGAGATATTCTATGTTTCTTATATTGTCAACACTAATATTACTGCTGTTCGTCTCAATTATTAATATGAACGACCGACGTAGACGACTAGCAGTTTGTTAAAGAAGTAAAGTATCTATTTACTGGAAGTTTGGTAGAATTTATCTCGAAGATACAATCCCATTCGGGGAATATTAATATTTTAGGAACATCACTTTTTTTATATTTTTTCATGCATTTTATTTTTTTTGGCTTTTATTTATTTATTTTTTTTGGCTCTTGTTAATTTAGGTTTTAGTTTCTTATTTTTTTTATTATACGTCATGTCATTCAAGGTAATCTTTCAATCGTTCAATCTGTTGATGGAACGCGACTGGCATGCGGAGTTGGATCTTGCTTGAATGCTGGTGGTAGCAAAGTAGAAAGTGCTTAAGGGTGGGTGCGAGTCACTAGAGTTTAGAGTTTAGTGTAATGGCGGGGTCAATGATGTGCACAAGGGTTCTTTTATTTTACGTCTTCATAGAATAAATTGTGATATTGGTTCCTGCTCTAATCAAGGATCGATTAAGACGCGGAAGATACTGGCCAATCCCAATTCAGGCATCACAACCCTTGAGTCAAATGTGTATAAAATTCTCTTAATGTGTATTTTGAATTATAGGGAAAAAAAGAGTTAAATGTCGTGTGATGCGTTACCACATCCAAATTGGGCTCACTTGTTCGAATATTTGTGGTACTTGGTCGACATATTTCTGCTGATTGTGCATTATCTTCGAAGAAATTAATGGCTGTTACATTAGAAGCCTTACTATTTAGTGCAGTACAATTTGTACATAATACCGTATAATATAATTTATTATAAGACATTACAATAGAATTCATTTTGAGGATCTCTAGATGAGGCCAATTTAATTTTTTTGTTGTCTCTTTTAGGCCATTACGTAATTTTAGTCAGACGACATGAAATGAAATTATTGTGCGATCCACTATATTCAGACAATAAGGATTCTACTCTCTTGGAAGATGACTATACGTGTACAATACAATATTAAAATAAATAAAAGACATGATTCGATTCTTGGTCTACACAGAACCAAATGTAGATGAAGAAAGCTTATTTACTTAGGCTAATTTTCTGACAAAGTCGTTAAAGTTTCGGTAATAAATCTTCTTTAGTACCCTCCTTTTTTTTCTTCTTATATTTGTTCCTTAAGTTCTTTCTATTATGGCTTGATCTCTATTTAGGTTTTACTTTACATGTGTATTCTTGATACTTATGCATATGTAATGTGAAAGATAGGATTCACATGAATTTCTTTTTATAATGTCGTGGCAGAAGTCACCTTTTGTGTAGTGTCGTGTGTTCAAATATATATTTCTCGTGTTTATTTTGTATATTCTGGGCGTTTTGTCGTCCCGAACTACTGAAATTTTCTTGGCTATCAGTATTCGGAATTCTAATCAATAATTCCACACACAAGATCATCATCAAAGTTGATCTTATTCATATACATCTGTCTTCTGATCATTCCATGATCAGTTCATGTTACTCTCTAAACCCACTGTTCATCATTTACCGAGCCACGTGTTATATTCTCACTTTCCATCTATTCTTATGATGCAATCTGCGGCATTCTTGGCCGAAAATCTGGTCCCTCTTTTTATTAAGCTTTAGAGTATACACTTTGACTATAAAACGTAGAGCAATATAACAGCATATAAACTGTTCGATTCCCACAGATATTTAAAAGCATTCCATTCGGTTGCACTCGGTGTTAATACCACTAATTTACTGGTAATGCTGGTGGTGCTACTCGTAGTTAAATCTCATTTTTTCTGATTATAGATATGAAATGACATATTTAAGTCACTACTAATGGATTATCTCATGAAGCAGGTCCTACTAGTTCCATATACTGGTATTCTGATTTTTTGCTGCAATTATTACTTTGCAATAAAAATATACCTTTTGGAATATGGAGATTTCCGAACACATAACGCGCAAATGCGAACGGATTATCCCTCGTGCAAGGAAGCAATAATAGATTAAATTAGTAAATTAACTATTTCATTCTGTAGTTTATAGTGAACAAACTATTTTATTGTTCACAGTCTTCATTCTTAACCTGTCAGAACTATAAATGTAGAATACTATTGTTCGATAGAATACCGTTATAATCCCGAAATATATCACTCCATTACCTTAAAAACGTTAGTTGTCAATGAGACGTATCTAAACCATATCTTACAACATCAATATTAGACCGAAAGATATCAGAATATAATACAATATCATATCAAATAAATCAAATGAAAATCATACCATATCATATCAAATCAATCATATAAAATATAACAAATTATTTCGTTATTATCTAATTTATAATTTATAATTTATAATTTACAACAACTTCTAATCTCTTAATCGCTATTTCTGTATTGGTAATTAAAAATCATGGAGATCGCCGAGATTTTTACGAATTTTTCACTTTTTCATGCGCCGCTCATAGTAAATTTATCTTACACCAATTAAATTTTTATCCATAATTCTTGGAAAATGCCCCTTAACTAAATTCGCTTTATGCCATTTGTTTTACACGGCCCGTTAATTGGCCTAAAATTGGCCTAAAACCCTTTTGCGCTATTCATTCCTCTACGCGAGCGTTACCCTATGTGTCAATTTACACTTGGTCTAATCAACTTTGTATTTTGGACTCTCAAGATAAGCATAATTAGGTAGAAAAAAAATTAATTGTTAGTTTGCTGCTTATCAGTTTTGAGCTACAAAGTGAAAATTTTCACTATGTTATCTCTACATGATCTATATGTATTACAATAATAGATATAGATTATTTGTATATATATATAGACAAACTATTCACAATATTCACGATTTTAATAATTATAAGTAATCTCGAAAAATCAAAGTAATATTAACTCAACATGGCCTTGCCAGATATTAGTGCAACTAGTAAAAGGTTAATTAGAAAGTGGACTACCAAAGAAGGTTTACTTGGAGATTATGATTATTCATATTTGTTTGTACCTGATGTACCATTTTTCGCTAAAGAACCTAAGACTCAACCATTTTTTGGTTTGAATTCAGAAATGCCCATAGTACTTGGGTTAATTCTTGGATTTCAACATTCTTTAGCTATGTTAGCAGGTATTGCTACTCCTCCAATTATTATTGCTGGTGTAGCTAATTTACCACCAGATGTTTCTCAATATTTAGTTAGTGTATCACTTATAACTTCTGGTATACTTTCATGTATACAAATAACAAGATTTCATATTTATGGTACGAAATATTATCTTGGTACTGGATTATTATCAGTGGTTGGTACTTCATTTGCAACTATTTCTGTAGTCACAAATGCTTTCCCATTAATGTATAAAACAGGAGCTTGTCCCGTAGATGCAAATGGTAAATTTTTACCTTGTCCAGATGGTTATGGTTATATATTAGCTACATCTTCAGTATGTGCTTTACTTGAAATCTTACTTTCATTTACTCCTCCAAAAACTTTACAAAAGATTTTTCCACCAATTGTTACTGGTCCTGTTGTTTTCCTTATTGGAGCTTCATTAGTTGGTAGTGGATTCCAAGATTGGGTTGGTGGTTCAGGTTGTGTAGGTGAAATGTGTACTGCTGGTCGTCATACTTTACCTTGGGGTTCTGCTCAATGGGTTGGTCTTGGATTTTTAGTTTATCTTACTATTATTCTTTCTGAAAAATTCGGATCTCCAATCATGAAATCATGTGCTGTTATTGTTGGTTTATTAGTTGGATGTATAGTTGCTGCTGCATGTGGTTATTTTAATAGATCTTCAATTGATGCAGCTCCAGTAGCTACATTTATGTGGGTTCATACTTTTAAATTAAAGGTTTATGGACCAATTGTACTTCCATTCTTGGCCGTCTATATTACATTAATGATGGAATCCATTGGTGATATTACAGCCACTTCAGATGTTTCACGTTTAGAAGTTGAAGGAGAATTATATGAATCAAGAATTCAAGGTGGAGTTCTTGCTGATGGATTTAATGGATTATTAGCTGGTCTTTTAACCATCACTCCAATGTCAACATTTGCTCAAAATAATGGGGTAATTTCAATTACTAAATGTGCTAATAGAAAAGTTGGTTATTGGTGTGCATTCTTCCTTATTGTTATGGGAGTATTTTCAAAATTCGCAGCTGCTCTTACATCTATTCCAAGTGCAGTTCTTGGTGGTATGACTTCATTTTTATTCTGTGCTGTTGCAGTATCAGGTATAAAAATTATTTCAACTACCGAATTTACTAGAAGAGATCGTTTCTTATTAACAGCATCACTTTTACCAGGATTAGGAGCTACTTTACAGGCTGATTGGTTTAGTACAGTATTTACTTATACTGGACCAAATAAATCACTTGCAGGATTTTTCAATGCTATAATTTTAGTTATGGAAACTGGATTTGCTGTTACTGGTATAATTGGAGTTATATTAAATTTACTTTTACCACAAGTTGAAGATGAAATTGAAGAAATTAATGAAATTGTATTGGAAACAGTAGGTTCAGCCGATCAAAGAGGTATGGAAGAATTTGCCAGAAAGGAAGGTATTGCCATAGATGCTGTCAGATCTCATGTCTCAATGGCACTCCATAGATCTTCTGATGATGATCAAAAATTAATGTAACATTTGACATACTTCATACTTCAATTCTTTATAGTACATCTCTGTGTTGTGTTTGGTTATTATTTTTATATACTTGTATATTCAATATACTATACTTTGTTATTTATTAATTATTTAAATTTTGCATCCATCGACTTTTTTTTCCGTTTTGGTGTATTCGATCCGAGGTCCATTTTGGTCACTTGCGCTTGCGTAATGGAAATACGATTTTATAGACTATACTAAATTCTATATATACTCTATTCTACTATATATACCACTATATACGACTATATACTACTGTATACTATATATACTACTGTATACTATACATACTATACACCCATACATACTATACTAATTCTACTATGAGTATTCATGCCATATCTCCATTATCTACCCCAGTGAAATCACCGAGAAATTCTATTGGATATACTATTCCATTATCAATAATCTTAAAACTTAATGGATTATTAAAAAAATCAGTGTTATCTCGAAAATTCTATCAAGAAATTAATGATAAAATCTTAGCCAAATCATCTACTGTAGATGCTAATTTATATTTCATTTGTTATTTTACTTTACTTATAAGTGCTGTATTAAATAATCAATATAAAATTAAACATTTCTTATTGGTACAGAGATATAATTTAGTATCGATTATTAAACGAGTATTTAATTTTAATTTAGTTGGTCAAGAAGAAAATAAATTAAATAAATTAAATAAATTCCTTAATATATCTAAACCAATATATAATGAAAAGGAAGCTACTAAACCTTCACATTTAGCTATACATTTAAAGGCTATTTCATCATATTTATCAGATATTAGAATCTTTAATAGATTAACTGAATCCATTAAATATATGCCATGGATTATTGATGAATTCACAGCTATGACAGATCCATCGGCTTCAACTCCAAAGTCCTATCGAATCATTAATTTTCTTCAATCAATTAATTGTTTGGTATTAGAACTCTTAGAAAATGCTGGTTGGATTACTGATCATAATTGGATAGGTACATCTGATAATGATTGGTGGTCTTTTGAAACTTATATTTGGTGTTCAAGAGTATGGGGATTATATCTCGTAATTGAGATTATAGAATTAATTAGAAGAAGTCCCTTAAAGGAGTGGAATACTACTAGTTGGAAAATTGCGTTATTTAAACAAGTCATTCAAGTACCTCTAGTATTACATTGGTCACTTCGTGAAGGATGTTTAACTCCATTCTGGGTAGGTGTTTGTGGTAGTGGAGCTTCATGGTGGGGGTTTAGAGATTTATGGACTTCGTTAGAGTTGAATTAATTAGAGTTGAATTAATTAGAGTTGAATTAATTATCATGTACGTATATATTTATTATATTTATTGTAAAGTAGTACAAATGAAAACAAATCAAATCAAATCAAAACAATAAGAACACTACTGTACATAATCAATTTCAATCAATCTCATTCTCTGAATCGTCTGCTATCTTCTTTGGCGGCTTTTCTTTCCATTTCATCCCAATCTTCTCCATCTTCTTCTTCATCTCCACTAAAATCAGATCCACTACCAGAATCACTAGCATAATCATCTTCTTCATCATCATCTTCACTGACTGCACTTTCATCATCAGGATCTTCATCACTAACTTCGAATTCCAGTTCTTGATCTTCTTCATCTTCATCATCGGATTCTCCATAACCAGTTAAACAACTCCAACCTCCATCAGCAAAGAATTGATATGGATCTGATTGAACTGCTTTCATAAATGTAATCCAATTTAAATTAACTTGTCCTTCACTTAAAGGTATATCAACATCAGTTAACCAACTTTTAACATCTTCTAATAATTCCATGGGAATTGTATTAATATGAACTACGGGTTTAGAAAAATCTTTAAATACAAATACCATATCGAAATTCTTTAACCCAAATTGAACTCTTTCTAAATGGGCCACTTCAATTTCTTCTAAAGTAACTACTAAATATGGTGGATCAATTAATTGAACTAAACAATCTCTGGTTGGCATACAAAATACTGAGGATCTAAATGGTACCCCTTGAAATCCTAATTCTCGGAATGGAATATCTAAATCAAGAATTCCATGAGATGAATCAGCAATTAATTCAGCAAATGCTTTAAATTCTTTATCTAATAAGAGTTTTCTTCTTCTTTCTTCTTGTTCTTGTTGTAATTCATCTTCATCTCCATATCTATATTTTCTCTTTCTACCTCCAGTTTCATCAAATGCCATATCACTTGCTTCTCGATAAAATTGTACATCAAAGGTTTTCCTTTTACCTACCATAATAGGATTTTTTAAATGACAATGAATTAATACAATTAATTCATCTCTACATGGTTGAAAAAATAAATGTTTAATATTTGAAAATAAAACATCTACTCTTTGATCCGATTTAAATGATGATTGATATCTTAAACCATTTTCATGAATTTCTAATACTCCAGCTACTCTTTTATTATCAGGTTGAGGACGAATAGATACATTATCAAGTTTTTTAACTCTTGAACCCTTTAATTCAATTAAATTAGCTTGAGTTACTACATCGGCCATTTGTTTACGTTCCAGTTCTCGTTTAACGGAATCTTTCTTTAATTCTTGAATAGCTTTAAATACATCAATCATACGTTGACGATCTTTGGATCTTAAAGTTATTGATCTTAAAAATGAATTATCGGGATTATCTTCATAAGGTAATTCTGTTCTTTTACTAACATTACCTCCTGCACCAGGAGAATTAAAATTTAATCTTAAATAAGTATAATCACCTTCTTCATTAGATGAACCATTTTTAAATGAATTAATATGAAATGGAACTGGTCTACCACAAATTGGTAAAATAATTGTTTGATTTTTATAATCTACATGGATTTTTAAATCACGTACAGTATTAGGAATTTGTGATTCTCGAATATATGATTCATATTTTTTAAATACTGGTTTAAAATCTGAAGAATCAGTGGCATCAGCTTTTGAAAATCTAGCTAATCCTTCTTGTTGTCTTCTTTCATGTAATTTAACTTGATTTTCTTGTCTTAATTTTTCTGCATTTGCATCATCTTCATTACTGGCAGATTCATGTCTTAATTTAGATTTTAAAATTTTGGATTTACCATTATCAATTTCAATTCCAATTTTCTTTTCTGGTTTAATTGAATTATTTGGCATAATATTATTATTATCATCTTTAAAAAAGAATGAAACTTCGGATCTTTGTTTAGAATAATCAGTTAATAATATAGCTTCCGATTCAGTAACTTTATAAGTATCACTTAATAATACTGCATAACTTTTACCCTTAATATTAAGATTATTAAATCCAATAGTTATTGAAAAAATTTGACCATTTTGTAATTTCCGATCATTCTTTGCATTTAAAATAAATGTCGAATCTCTAAATTCAATTCCAATTAACCAACCACAATTCTTAGTGAAATTTGAAACTAATTCAGGACGATTTTGTTTAATAAATTCAATACTTCCTTGATAAACTTCATTAGCTAATTTACCTTGTTTTAATAAATTCTTAACTATATGATCTTGTAATTGAAGTAAAAAATCATAATTCGATTCCATTTCGGGTGTTGGATCAATTAAAAAGGTTCTAGCAATATTCGAACAATAAGATTTATATCTTAACCCAATTGATGCTAAAATAATTCCATCACCAATTAATTGTTTATTGGTTGATATAGCACTTGGTTTTAAATCATAATCTCCTCCACTTTGAATAATTGGAGAATAACACCATTCTAATAATTCAGGATCAAAATTCTTTAATTTATTACTTAATTTGGATTTCTTATACCAATTATTATTTTCAATTTTATCTTCAATTTGATCAGTTAATTTAGAATTGGTAATTTTCCGTTCTTCATCAACTATAGTCATCATTTCATTGGTAAAAGTATCCAACATTACAATGGATGCATTGGCTGCTGTTGATACATTACTAAATTCTTCTGAATCTTTAATTTCAATCGATTTAGAGATTAATAATGAAATATCAATAGCAGTTAATTCATCCTTAACTAACTTTAATTGGTCAGTCCATTCATCAATAAATTTACCCTTATATTGATCTTTAATGACAATTCCATATTGAGAATCTACCTGTTTAATTTGTTCAATTAATTTAACAAATAATGATTTATTCTTTTCAATATCTTTAGTTCTAATCCAAATATCAACATCACTGGAATTTTGACTGGGTTTATTGGGTAAATGAGTTAAATATTTCGATTTACCTTCACTAGTAATAAAAATACATTTATCTTCCGATACATAGATTAATGTATGAGTGAATTCATAACCCAATAACCAATTTTGAATTACATTGGACTTCTTATAAGTATTCTCATCATCTGGAGCTCCTACAATGATAATTACTTGTTTAAGTTTATCTTGAACCAAATGACGTTGAATGATCGATAATCGTTTATGAAACGTATTCAAATCGATGTGGACATCTCCCATGGCGCTTATATGAACTTACTGCTTGTGGTAATGAAGTAGATACCCTTGGGGGGACATTGCTTTGGCCAGTGACTTTTTCATGGTTGATTTTTCGCTGGCTCCCTGTCGCGAGCAGTGCACTGAGTGCTCACTGCTCAGTGTGCTCACTGCTCGCTGAATGCTCGCTGAGTGCTCGCTAGCTACTCACTAGGCTCCGGCATACAGAGGCGTGTAGCGAGCGACGCGTATGAGTTACAGCTTTTGTTGATGTTTACCTATTGATTATAACTGAATTATCTAAAAGTAGAGACTAAGTAACAGTGTAAGTGTAAGTGTAGTATGTTCAGACAAGTGAAGAGAAAGACTACTGGAAGAAGAAACTTCGAAGAAAGTGTTAGCGGAGACATTCAACAGAAACTTGAAGGACTCTATCAGCATCGATTATCATTTTATGATATTCCACCTCTACAAGAGATTACCCTTGAAGATTTTGAAACATGGTCAATTGATAGATTAAAATTATTGATTGAAATCGAGAGTTGTGTAGCACGATCTAAATCTTTAAAGGATATAGAAGCATCTATTAGACCATTACTTTTAAAATATTTACCAATGAATTCAAGTGGTGATGCATGTTTACGAGAAAGAATGAAAGATCATTATTCCCATTTTATATTAAGATTAGTGTTTTGTCGTAGTGAAGACTTAAGAAAGAAATTTATAAAAAATGAAGGAATTTTATTTAGAATTAGATATAATTTATTACAACCTAAAGAACAACAAGAATTTATTGAACTGAATTCGGATAAATTAGTATGGAAATTTATTACTAATGAAGAAAAATTAGATAAATTCGATCAATTATATAATGCATCAGGTTTACTTATTAAAAATACTTTAATGAATGATAATCCAGGTATAGAATTTACTAATGAACAAATTAAAACTCATATAAAAACCAAAGAAAATTTTATTAAATTACCCTTTGAAAAGGTTGCAAATTTAGTTAGTTCACGGTCAATTTATTTATATCAAGGTTATGCATATATTCCTTCAAGTTTACAATTAAATTTAATTGCTACTGAATTTCAAGATAGTTTAAATACAATGTTATTAAGAACTTTTCAAACTTTACCAAGATTAGAAGAAGATGATAGAATTTTACCATTATTAAATAATTTAAGTTCAAATTTCTCTAATATTCAATATGATAATTTTAATAATATTGATCCATCATTAGTTAGTGATATTAATCATCAATCAATTCAAACTCCAACTATAATTCAACATTATCCATTATGTTCAAAGATTTTACAACAAAATTTATCATTAAATAGTCATTTAAAATATGCTGGTAGACAACAATTAGGTTTATTCTTAAAGGGAATTGGATTAAATGTTGATGAAGCACTTAAATTTTGGTCAATTCAATTTACAAAAAAGATATCTATGGAAAAATTTAATAAAGATTATAAATATAATATTAGACATAATTATGGTTTAGAAGGAGCCAGAATTAATTATAAACCTTGGGATTGTGCTACTATCCTTTCCAAGCCAAAACCTGGTAAGGGAGAATTTCATGGATGTCCATATAGAGATTTAAGTGTTGATAATTTAATAACTAATTTAAATGAATTAGGAATTGAAGATCAACATCAAATTAATGAAATTATTGATGATGTAGGTAAACGAGATTATACTATTGCCTGTACAAGAGTATTTGAAATTACTCATGCCAAACAATTAAATCAACAACAACAAAAAGTTGCAGAAGGAATGCATATAAATCATCCAAATCTTTATTTTGATAGATCAAGACAACTTGAAAGGTCTTTGGAAAAGAAGGAGGCCAGTGTGTAGTTTACTTGAGTATAAGTTAGTTTAATTTAGTATAGTTTTACGTAAGATTTGATTTACAGAAGTTGCAATATTATGCAACTCGTGAAGAGTAATACATCAAAACAATACTGCAACTTTACTAATGTGGTCTAAGGCGGTCATTCGTATTTTTTTAGTAAATTTCAGATAATTGCTGAATGTGCCGAAGAAAGTAATTAATAGTAATTACGAAGATATTGACAGATTCACAATAGTTATGTGGAATTAACTTCTACCAGGTACGAATATTTTTTACCTAGTTAGGATTATTATTCAGTAGAATCGTAAACTTGTACTGATTGCTTTGCATACTGATCAAAATAATTATATCAATGTAACTCCGATATGGTACCTATAAACGAAGGGTATTACGGATGGATTAATTATTGGCTGCTACTTACCGGATTAGGTAATTGCAAAACATACTGCGGAATAAAAAAATATTTTAAACTACTGAAAATGACATGCTACGTACCTGAATCAAAGACGTAGACGTGAATAGATGCCTGATTCGTATAACATGAGCTGGGTACTTTGCGTATCTTGCATGTGAGAATAGATGTATTAATGTTTTCGAAAGGTTAAAATAAGTTGGTGGGAATAGCAATTCAAATGGTGCATATGGGAGGCTGGTAATTGAGAATAATCAAAACACAGCTCTACAGTAAACTAGGAGAGAAGCATTAGCATAAGCATAGGTATAAGCATAAGTATAATAATTATAGATTGAATGATTGTAAAGAACTGTAATTAAACATCAAATGATTGTAAAGAATTCTAGCTTAGATTAATAGAGGTATTTAAACTTAAGGTTGCAATAGTATAGTGCAAAACGATTTAGGCTAACGGAACAAAGAAACATAATCAAAACAAAACCGTCAACAAATTCCGTTCCTTACATGGTGAATAATACAAGCCGAATTGAAAATCGGTAAACACGAATTAATGTACTTATTGAATTTGTTCCTGGTTCCTGCTTTATGCTACCGATGATGCTGGTTGGAACCTCGTAAGCACCCATAGAATAAATAATAATTTGAAAAATTAGTAAGTAAATGTTAGCGGATTAATGGTTTTGTGATTGAAAAAAAATTTAGACATTGTTTCAGATCGTTAATGAAACATTGTTAGTTGAAACAAACAGGCAATTTAACCCAACTCTGTTTTGGACGTGCATTTCGATTCAGGTGTACTTTGTCTCTGGGATTTGGTTTGATCTGATTTAACTGTGTAGTTATAAATACCAGAGAATATTCTTCAATTCTTAAACATTCACGTCAATTAAGATTTAGTCTTACATCAAAGTTTACCAACTTCCTACGTTCCTTTAACTCATTCATTTCTTATATATCTTTTGGACCTCTAGCATATATAATTGCTTTAACAGAACAAGAAGATAAAATAATATAATATAATAAAAATAAAACAAAAATAATAATAATAATTATAATAATTATAATAATATAGAATATAGAATAAAATAGAATATACAAGAATTCGAGGCACACTATACTCAATTACACCAGACCAAAATTTTAGCAATTACTAGTTAAAACTGAACAATCACTTCATCATTCCTTTTTCATATATACTTCCTCGATTATACGTTCCTACAGCATTAACTCGTGATCGACCTTCATATTTCGTTCGTATAAATTAAAGCGTATCTTACTATAATAATAATAAAGATATTTTTTCGTTCGGTCCCATCAGAATTGCTTTTAAAACTCACTTCAAACAAGGTTAGAAATACGTCATCACTATCAGCTTCATATTAAATCACATCGAAGCACCAATTATTTATTCATCTATTTATTCGTTAAGTACTTCATTCATTCATAGCATTATATTACTGGCGAATTTAATTGTTCCTCCTTCACTTCTTCCCGTTATTACTATTAAACTTTCGTTAGCATTTATCACTCCCGTCATTTGCATAGACCATAATCCAACAGACAGAACTGATCATATCTGAAACACGAAACTATGAATGTTGATCAACAAGTACAACTTCAACGGCAACAGCAGCAACAGCAGCAACAGCAACAGCAGCAACAGCAGCAACAGCAGCAGCAACAGCAGCAGCAACAGCAGCAACAACAGGAACAGCAAGTGACATTTAATGTGTCGAGTCATTATCAAATTCTAGAAATAGTGGGTCAAGGTGCCTATGGTATAGTTTGTTCAGCTATTCATAAACCTACTGAGCAAAAAGTCGCCATCAAGAAAATCCTACCGTTTGAAAGATCCATGCTTTGTTTGAGAACATTAAGAGAATTGAAGCTTCTTAAGCATTTTAATCATGAAAATATAATTAGTATATTGGCTATTCAACGACCCAGAAATTATGAAAGCTTCAATGAGATATATCTTATTCAAGAATTGATGGAAACTGATTTACATCGAGTTATACGAAGTCAGAAGTTAACTGATGATCATATTCAATATTTCATTTATCAAACTTTAAGAGCTTTAAAGGCTCTACATTCAGCCAATGTACTTCATCGTGATTTAAAGCCTCTGAATTTATTGTTAAACTCCAATTGTGATTTGAAAATTTGTGATTTTGGTTTAGCAAGATCCATTGCTTCAAGTGAAGATAATTTTGGATATATGACAGAATATGTAGCAACAAGATGGTATAGAGCTCCTGAAATTATGTTAACTTTTCAAGAATATACTACTGCCATTGATGTTTGGTCAGTTGGTTGTATTCTTGCAGAGATGCTTAGTGGTAGACCATTATTTCCTGGACGAGATTATCATAATCAATTATGGCTTATTATGGAAGTATTAGGAACACCAAATATGGAAGATTATTACAATATTAAGAGTAGAAGAGCTCGAGAATATATTCGATCATTACCATTTTGTAAAAAGGTCCCATTTCAACAATTATTTGCATCAATAAATCCAAACATTAATCCATTAGCTCTTGATTTATTAGAGAAATTACTTATTTTTCATCCTACAAAGAGAATTACTGTTGATGATGCCTTAAAGCATCCATATTTACAATTATATCATGATCCAAATGATGAACCAATAAGTGAAAAAATCCCTGAAGATTTCTTTGATTTTGATAAACATAAAGACGATTTATCCATTGAAGATTTAAAAATGATGTTATATGATGAAATTATGAAACCATTATAACTTAAAATCATTCAGTAATTTCAGTATTGTATATATTATTATATATTTCGTTCAATATATCAAGACATTTGAAAACATTATTTGTAGCTTCATTTTGCCACAATACACCCTTCTACCATATGATTGCAAAATTACATTGTTCAATATTAAAGAACAATGGGCTAGCCAAACAGCCAAAGAATAAAACGCGACTTTCTACATTTCCATATCAGGCAATTGCTGTTTTGGCGGCGAATGTAAAAGAAATACCTGTTTTATTAAAGGACAAATACAAGAAATAAACATAAATAACTATATAAATATATAACTTCATATGATACGATATAATGTATTATCATATAAGGGGGGGGGTGGACGGGGGTAAGGGTGGTGGTGTCTTTATTTGTTTGCTGTGGGAAAAAAAAGCCATGAAAGCACTAAAATCAATCGTAAAAGTTCGTAGAAAAGATGGTGAATGAGTAGTAATTGCAATGATCTAACTAGTTATACTTAGCTCGATTACTTCTTTCTACCAAATAAACCCCCCTTTTTCTTTTTCTTACCGTCATGTCTTAAACTTGAAGCACTGTAGTTATTATTTTGATAAATTGCTTGATCAAAATTAGCTGCAGGAGCTTGATATAAACCAGCTGAACCAGATCCTCCAACTGGATCAACAGCTCCTGGAACAGTTGCTTGTAAATTGTAATGAGGGAAATCTTCATGGAATCCCCAACCTAATCTATGAGTCTCTAATTGATCACGATATGATAAATCACCAGTAATAGCATATTCAAATCCTCTAATTGTATCTAAAGGTCTTTCATTTCTTGCTCTAGTTGGATTGGAAACATCAGGTCTGTCGATTGGAGTTCCAAAGATATCTTTTAAATCATGAGATCCTTGACTCAAATAACTTGGTCTTCTATTATCAAGAGTTCTATCAGCAGCCTGTTCGAATGGTTGTGCTTCATTAACCGCAGTTAAAATTGGATCATGAACAGATGATGAATTCATTTGAAAATCTCGTTCATCCTTAGAAGAGATTTTAACATCGATATTATTGACATTAGTTGGACGACGTCCTGGTTTGTTTGATTTTGATCTGAAAATAGCCATTCTGACTTGTGGTTCTTAATTTATATTATTAGTACTAGTTCTTAGTAAGTAGTTATACTTATATTTATACTGATTAATGCTTCTTCTTAGAATAGATATTTATCTTTGTGATCCCGTGGGGTGCAGGTAACGAAACAGAAACAAAGATGTAATGATCTCTTACGTAAAGCAAAAAATACTATGAAAGCGAATGATACACTGTTTGACTAGACAAGAACAAGAATCTAACAAACTTTAACAGTGAAAACTAAAAGTAAACAAGATAAATATATATTAAATAATCTTTAAACAACTAAATATTAATTTGTTGATTTCTGTTATTACCGACTTTTTTCTGATTTGACACATACCGAAAATTTTTTGACTGAAAGGGGGAATATCCACCTTAAAAAAGATGAGCCCAAGCCTTTATTCAGTGTAGTGGCAATCGCAAATTTTTATTATACTATAGGAAAACTATTTTCCTGCTATTGTAAAACTATGAGGTTGAGGATATTACACAGAGACTTTTTAAGGGTATATTTCGCATTACGTAGGGCTATGTAAGTTACAAGATTATTTTAAGGTTGCGATTGTATTGTTTGCGTTAAAACTCTGCACATTCAAAATTTGTTTTCACTTAATCTGTAATAATCGTGCTTCGTAAGTGTGTATATATAACATCTCTATAGTATATGTGTATATATAACATCTCTATAGTATATGTATATATTTATATGAGCTTGTAAAAATTCATATCAATGTAGGAGATCGGCTTCTAAATTATCATGGAAATAAGAGAAGAAAGCGGGTCAATTAGTTAGGTTCTAAATTTAGATCTCACCTTTGTGCGTCTATACGACAAGACCTCCTCCGATCCGATCCGATCAGACACTTCTTTGCGACGCTATCAATTTTCGCGACATTGGTCCTGTACATAAGATCAACCATGTTAAAAACCAAAACCAGACCAATTCATAGTGAAAGCTGCTAAGAATATACATTGAACTACACATAGACATACTTAAACAATGACAGACGCGGTTAGTGCAAGTCTGTCTCAGCTACAGCAGCAACCTCCTTCATTAACTGCAACTCCTCAACCGAATGCTGACCAACAGCCTCAACCAGATACAGTACTATCAAGCCCTTCAACACCCACAGCAAAACCTCCAAACAACCAATCTTTACGTTTCATCTCCATAATATCCAGACATGATAAGCCCCTTTATATTCAATCATTCAATTCTTTACCCAATTCTTCACCAAAGGATGAAGAAGAAAACAATAACAACTTTCTCAAGTATAATTTCCTTTCTCATATGGCATTAGATATTTTTTCATCACCTTCTTCCTTAAATCTCAGAGAACAACAATATTATACTTATCAACGTCACGTTCATAGTGCATCTGCATCTGGATCTAATAGTGCATCATCAAATACCTCAACTACTGCTGCTAGTACTTCTGATTTGGGTGTAATTTTACTTTTCATCCAAGATGGAATTGAAGTTTACGGATATGAGACTAATAATGGATTAAAATTAATTATCGGTTTGTCAAATAACTCCAGCAGTAATACTCCTCCTCCTCATAAAGTAAATTATCAAGATATAAAATCATTGTTTCAATCTGTTTATAAATGTTACATAAGATTAATCTGTAATCCATTCAATTATTCCTTAGCTACATCTTCCAGCTCATCAGCCGATAGTGATCAGACCATTGATAATGTTACTTTTGATAATAATATCGCGAAAATTGTTAAGAGTTGGATATAACTTATGTAAATAAGAATTCTTTTATTTATTTACTTATTTATCATTTAATGACCTATAATACACATAACCATATATATACAATCTATTTCAATATAACATTAGCGCCTCTTAATTCCAAATACTCTTGATCCACTCCACTTGGCATATTCTTAATAACTTCTTGATATATTTCAACATTATGAAACCTTAACATATTAGCGGGATTCTTATATGGACCTTCTAATCCGGTGATATCACAATAATTTTTCAGAGGTCTTAAACTAGGAGGTGATACAATCGACACATATGTAGGAGTATCTACCGCTAAATTCTTTGTCTGTAAGAACTTAACTTCATCACTTATCAATTGTTTAACTGGTTTATATCTTCGAGGAGGTGGTTTACGATTTGGATTTTGTTTAAATGAGTGGGGCTTTGTAGTAATATCTGATATGAAATGAAGATCAGTATTTGTCTGATCTACAGGAGTTGTGTCCTTGCCGTTATGGTTACGACTGCCTCCGGCCATTATGTTTAGTTTAGTTTAGTTTAGTTTAATTTGCTTTGCTTTGCTTTGCTTGGTTCGTACAATAGATTTGACATTCCTCATAACGAAAATTCAAAGTAGGATCGAAACATCCACGCCGCACTACATAAAATAAATACTGTACTACTGTTACCAATACTTCAATAAAGCTGCTACGTAGAGGGAATGTTATTATATATGTCGAAGTTATACCTAAATAGTTTTCATTATGACTTTACTGTTTACAATATTATTTGTAGGACATTTACTTACATCACTCATAGTCCAGCATTATATGATTCTTTACATGAGATACAACTGATTGCAATGAACGAAGCTTGTCAATATTTTATTAACTTCGGCTTAGAATAGGTATTATATACATATATTACACATATATTACACATATAATACACATATATTACAGATATAATATAGATTAGATTAGATGCAATTTTAGATTAGATATTAATGTCGCTTATTCTATCCAACAAGTTGTTCTTCAATAAAGCAAATCATAAATGCTTTCTTTCACAAGCAATTCTAAATATAACCTTAGTAACATTTAGCGGAAGAACCTATTAAGGCACCTAATAAGGGGTGATAATTATGATAAATATGCGCGGCTAATTTTTAAAGCAATGTGGCTGAAATAGGTCTAGTCTGTGAGATAAGAAATAAAACTTTATATTAGACTTTGAAAGGTCAAATCGAACAATCTGTTATCTATTACATAATATATATCAAATTTAATCACCATTGTTATAGATAAGTTGAAATTTCTGTCAAGGAAGCGCATTTCTGTGTCAAGCCTTATGCGAAAGACAAATTAGGAACGGTTTTCGAATGCGAAATTCCCCAAATAGGTTCCAAAATGCGGAAAATGAATCTTTATCCGTGCTGATAACACTTAAACTATAAAGGTGATAAGAACCGATTTGATAAATGAACCACCTGAGTATATGATCAAAATTTTGTTAATGATTATTAATTATGATTATATAAATAGGTAAATTAGTCAACGAAAATAATAATGTTAATTCTATGGCACCACCAAAACTCCATTGGAATTATTGAATAATAATGTCTGATACAGAAATAGATACAGAATACGATAATGTTCCCGGAACGATTCATTTAGTGGATTTAGAAGGTAACTTGGATGTAAAAAAAGGTGAAGGTAGTGGTAAGAATATTATTCTTTTACCACAACCGTCTTCAAACCCTAATGATCCATTAAGATGGCCCCAAAAGAAAAAGATCCAACAATTTACTTTACTTTGGATTTGGGCTTTTTTATTGGCTGTTGCTGTTAACTTTTATGGTCCAATTTATGTAATTTGGAGTGAAGATTTCGATATTTCATTTTTCCAATTAAATGTAACGGCGGCTCTTTGTTTCCTTTTCTTAGGTTTTGGCTGTTTATTCTTACAACCAACTGCTTTAAAATTAGGTAGAAGATTTGTTTACTTGGTGTGTACAATCTTAGTCTTAATCGCCTGCATTTTGGGTAGTCAATCTAAAAATTTCGCATATTTAGCTTTCTATAATATTATTAGTGGGTTTGCTGCTGCTCCAGTGGATTCGTTAGTGGAAATTTCTTCTACAGATGTTTTCTTTCAACATGAGAGAGCATCAGCTATTTCTTTATTGATCTTAGCCTTATATGCTGGTAGTTTCCTTGGACCAGTTGCTTGTGGGTATATTACAACATCAATGGGTTGGCAATGGTGTTTCTATTTCCAAATTATTTTCTTTGGCATTTTATTTGTTATTTTATTATTTGGAATGGAAGATACCACTTTCCGTAGAGATTATAATGAGGAAGTACTTGAAGGAAAAATTCTTCAACAAATAAAATCAAGAGATGCAGCTCCAGTTGATAGTACAGAAAAAGGAATGGTTACAGAAGTTGGAATACAACAAGTTACAAGTAAAATGCTGTCAGAAGAACTGGAAGACTCATCAATCGATTATTCTATTCCAAAAAGAACTTATTGGCAAAAGTTGAGATTAATTGAATTGGAATATAATGATAAAAGATCATGGTTAACTATTTTCATTAGACCTTTCTACTTATGTACGTTCCCTGCTGTTATTTGGGGTGGTGTTATATATGGTGCTCAAATGATGTATTTATCGTTACTTTTCACTTCTCAAGCCGAAATATTTGCTGCCTCACCTTATTATTTTGGAGCAAATACAATTGGTTTAACTAATCTTGCAGTTTTTGTTGGAAATATTATTGGTATGATATACGGTGGTCCATTTGTTGATTGGTTAACTGTTAGATTAGCAAAAAAGAATAATGGTGTTTTAGAACCAGAATTCAGATTGCATGCCATGCACGTTCCAACTATAATTAATGCAGCTGGTTTGCTTGCTTATGGTTTAGGTGCTTATTATCAAGCCAATTGGGCTATTCCAGCTATAATTGGTCAAGGATTATTAGGTATAGCTATGAGTGCTACTGGAGGTATTTGTTTATCTTATACTGTAGATTCATATCATCAACTTGCTAGTGAATCTCTTGTACTTATGCTTTTCCTCAGAAATTGTATTGGTTTCGGATTCACCTTTGGTTTTCAACCATGGTTAGATCATAATGGTTTAAAAGTTGTTACTTGGCTTATCTTTATGCTTTCAATTATTATCAATGGTAGTTATATTTTGATGATAAAATACGGTAAAGCTTGTAGAAGATGGACTAAGGAAAGGTACGAAAAGTATTCTGATCCAAACTATGGTGCTATTTCACTTTTCGGTAAAAAGTAAATCATTTTAGTCGTATAATTACATTTAGAACTGGTTTTTATTTATATACTTCAAATTAATTAAATATCTAATTACAAATTTTCTTTGCTAATGTAGTAGACTGCAAAACTCAACCGACATTTTTGCATCGATAAAGTATTGCGACACAACTCCGCAACCTTTATCCGAAGTGAGACATTTTCCTCCACAAAAAAAACTAAATTGTGCGAAAAAATCGCGGGAGAGTGATCAAAAAAAAAATAATGTGCCCCAATCGTTTTGTAGCTTTAGTATCGACAATTACTATCGAAGAGCTGTGATGGAACTTATATAAATAGTTTATACTTTATTTTGTAATTAATAATATTTACAATAGTTGGAGTACTTTGTTCTTTGAATTTTTTATTAGAATTGTTTGTTTTATGATCTAACTACCACTATCCTTTGCTATTTAGTTTGCATTTCGTCATTATCATTATAGAATTATAATTAATAATAATCTAGAATTATAATTAATAATTAACAATAAAATAGAAAAGCTGTATAGACTTATTAGACAAAAAAAAAAGTATAATATCACCAATTATAAAGTATAGAGCCTATATTCGCAATATGAGATCATTTGCGAGAAATTCAAGAATAATTACCGGAAGAAGACTATTTTCAGTATCAATTCCAAAATGGAATAATGTTACGCCAATTGAAGAATATGATAAACAAATTAAATCTGGAAGATTAAGAGATGATCCATATCAAAGGAAAATTATCTCGAATTTATCTCTTTTGCATGAAAAATTACTTGATTATCATCCTCCAGAAATACAAGCACCAGTAATTGAGAGTCTAGAACCTAAGTTTGAAGTTGGATCTATATTTCGATCATTTTTAAGTAATAGAGGGAAACTGAGGCAAGATCAACCTATTCAATTTGCTGAGAATGAAATTAAAGGAATCTATTTATACGGAGATGTTGGATGTGGGAAAACCATGTTGATGGATTTATTTTATAATACGATTCCTAAGCATTTACCCAAGAAAAGAATTCATTTTCATCAATTCATGCAGCATTTACATAAGAGATCTCACCAATTAAAGCTTCAATATCGAGAAGATACTGATGTGATTCCAATACTTGCTAATGAAATCGCTAGTGATTCAACTATTTTATGTTTTGATGAATTTCAAGTGACAGATGTAGCTGATGCAATGTTATTAAGAAGATTGTTAATGATATTATTAAATCCTGATCATGGGGTTGTATTATTTGCTACATCTAATCGTGCACCAGATGATTTATACCTTAATGGGATTCAAAGAGTTTCATTCATTCCTTGTATTCAATTAATTAAACTTCAATGTCGAGTTATTTATTTGAATTCTCCAATTGATTACAGAAAAATTCCTCGACCATTATCATCCAATTATTATTTTCCTAAGCCGGGAGTTAAATATTTACTGCCAGTAAATCAAGCTAATTGTGAAAAGCATATTGAAAATTGGTATGATTATTTTAATAGAAAGAATGATGATAAAGATAAAAAATCACTTGATTTACAAGTATGGGGACGACCATTAAATGTTCCAATCTGTTCACCACCTACAGTAGCTCAATTTACATTTAAACAACTTTGTGGAAATAAATTAGCAGCTGGAGATTATTTAACTTTAGCTCAAAGTTTTAAATCATTTATTGTAACAGATATTCCATATTTAAGTATAAATGTTAGAGATGAAGTTAGAAGATTTATTACATTTTTAGATGCAGTATATGATAATCATGGAAATTTAGCAGTAACAGCAGCTGCACCATTTAAAGATTTATTTGTTGAACCAGAAGATTTAAAGCAAGGTAACTTTCAATTATATAAGAAACAACAAGATAAAGGAGGTGTTGAAGAGACATTTGAAGATGATGAATTAGTATTAAAACATGGGTTTGATAAATCGATTGCAAAGAAAGCTTCAATGTTTGTCAATGATGAAGAGAAGTTTGCATTTGCAAGAGCATTATCTAGATTAAGTCAAATGAGTACTACAGATTGGATTGAAGCCGAGAGAGACTATTAATGTAAGTAAATACGGATTTACTTATCATTTATTATTATTATTTATTATTATTATTTATTATTAATTATGTATTACTATTACTGTAGTGGTTCTGTATTCGATGAACTATTTTGTAATAATTCCTTAAGCATTAATACAAATAAATCCTTTTGAATCATCAGTTTGCCATTAGCCTCGTTATCTAATGTATTATCTTGAGAGGCTGTGACATTGATCTTTGAAGCTTTAAAAGACTGTTCTAATCCTACTGCATCATATTGCTATCATCATTATTCCATCTCTTACTCAATCCCAAAGTCATTACAAAAGTTGAAATCTTATTGGTGATAAAATGGAATAGACGTCCTAGTTTTAGAAGATATTCAGTTGGATTTGCAAATTATATATACAAATTTATAACCAAAGCATGTAAATTCAGCCTTTAGGGTATTTCGAAGTAGTCTCTGAGAAGGAGTTTGGTAGAACTTAGAGAGAACGGCAATATAAATAGTATACGGAGACAATATGGTTTCATAACAGTCTCTGTAAAGGATTGAATGTTTCTTTTCTTGGTGCAATTTCTTCTAAGGGTTGTATCGATTTATACGTGAGATCTCATGGATTTGCAGCCACCAGAGAAGAAAAGTGAGTACTAATAAATCTCAAAGTACTTCTAGAGGTACCACAGCGAATCATTCCCATTAATTAATCAAATCTGTGATTAAAGAAATAGAGACAATATAGAGCTCAAAATTTAAAAATCTTGACAATGTTGTAATACACAAACTTTGTAATATTCATATTAGTTGCTCTGAGTGGTTTAGAGCTAGTGCGCTTAGCATTATATTTTCCGATATTAAATAAAATTGAGTTCTGGTTAATTTGTAGATCTAAATTTAAGAGGTACTTAAAGAAATTAACACTAAAAGTTATAGAAGCTATAAGTGAGTTAACTACTGAATGGTATGAAGGTTCTGTAGCTATGATAGTAGACATATTAATTTGTTCTTGAAAAACTAGTTATTCTAAGAGAATATTATTAAAAAGTAAGTTAAATAAGTTCAATAGAGTTGTAAGGATTGTGGCAAAGTATTTACAAAAGAAAAAGATGGAAGTATGAGTTAAAATTAAGCCCACTATACTGATAGCATATCCTTATTCTTTATCTGTTGTAAAGTGCATCTATGAAAAATAAAGGTATTACATATAATTAAGGGTTAAGAGCATAGAAATTCGGGGATTTTACACGTGACCTGTGTCACATCCGGGCGATCCTCTAGAAAATATATGCGAGTTCCAAAATCATCCAAAAAAAGGCCTAATTAGGAAGTAGCGATGAGTGGCAGAAATGAACTAAGCATACTTTATAATACATAATAATATTGTTATCATAGAAATTATTTTTAACCATTGTTGATATATATGATTGTTAAGGTTAAAATAACATAGCCCACACATTTATGTATTTGTACCTTATCGTTAGGGGTCCCACATGATGGTGTATGTCTTAGGGGAAGAGACGGAAGTATAGATCAAATTAGAAATTACAAATTATAATTACATATAATCCTGAATCAAAGGATTCAAAAGTATATATATCCGAAATTACAATTGCAAAAACTGCTGACCCATCGACTGAAACTCTCACTCAAATAAACATTAGTTCATCGACGCCTGTGTATTCCATCAGTACTTAACTGCAATTGATCCAACTGCTAATTATAAACTGGAATTGGCGACTGCACACAGCCAACCAAAACAAAAGCAAACCAAAAAAAATTGGTGTACGGGTCTATGTGCACTCCAGTAACCCATTAAAAGCTAAAAGCAAAGACCTGTTCAAGACTATTGAAACCTTTGGTAGTATAATAACATTATCATAGTAGGTATTCAGTTACTATATACTGATACTGTTGATAAGTGTAAATTTATTACGACTTAAAAAGTTTTTGTATCATTTTCTGAGCAATCTGCTCATCCCATTACCAAATTTCAATATTACTATTCATTCGCTTTAAAGTACTGTTGTATCACCTTCGCTTGTTTCATTTCTATACCTCATAAATTGTTTACTATCATGAGTCGCAAGCTGGTTTCTCAACCATCTATGAATGGTACTAATTTCACTACTACAAATAGTAATATAACTACTACTAATAATAATAATAATACTGCTAATGACCACGAAAACTATTACGATATATCCATAACATCGACCCACATCCCAATAAATTTTCGGAAATTGAATTATCTGACTTCAAGTATAACTAGTTCAACCAATCAGAAGAAAAAACTTACAATCACAACTACTCCTATAAATTCAGCTCCAAAAAGAGTGGTATCTTTATCATCATTAAATTCTTTAAATGAATCAAAACGTCCTGGAGATTATTATATTCAAAAGTTATCAAATCAAAATCAGAACCAGAACCAGAACCAGAACCAACAAACTCAAAAGCCAAATGGTCCTTTACCTTCTTTACCTGATAATAGTATTAGTATTAAATCGAATACTGCTGGTCCAGTAAAGATTAATCGACCTATTTCAGGAGAATCATTAGTATCATTTTATTCTGATGAATCATCATCTATACTATCTTCACAATTTGATCATCCAATTTTAGAATCAGGTGCAGTAGATTCAAGATTAAATTCTTTAACTAGTACTTCTATAGGTCCATCATCAGCTTCACCATCAATATTTAATGGTAGTTCAAAGTATAATCTGATAACCATTGATAATGATGATGATGATGATGATGATCTTAATGATGAAATCGGTAGTACCATTAGTTCAGAAGATATAAGTAATACCACCATTAATGTATCAACTCCCAGTAAACGAGTAGCTGGTCGTCGAGCTTCAGCACCTGCGGAAACTTCAACTCCAATCTTAGATAAGTATAGAACTCCACCTCAGATAATTGATAACAATAATATTAATAATTACAATAGCAATATGAATAACAACAATAACAATAATATCAATACTAATCTTCCTCATAAGAATTTGAAATCATATTCACTATCCAATATCCACCATTTGAAAAGTTCTAATTCCAATTCAGTCACACCTATTCTAAGATCAAAGACTAGATATATAAGTTCTAAAGAAATTAAAGAACGTCAATTATTGAGAAAGAAGAAGTATGATGAAAATGATAATGAAGAAGAGATCTTATCTAATGATCTTGATAATTTGGTATTTAATGTCCCTGTTATTAAGAATCATGCTGAATTATATATGAAGAATTCATCACGGAATCAACATATTGCTGCTCATCAAGTTAATCTTCGTCAGAGTTCTGTTCAACAGCTTAATGTCTCACAACAAGCACAACCACCACAACAACAACAACAACAACAACAACAACAACAACAACAACAACAACAACAATATATCCAGGCTGGATCTTCATCATCCAGTTCTAATACTACTCTTAATCGATCCAAGACTAAAAGTAAAGATAGTTTATTAACTCGTAATGATTTAATTACTGATATTGATAAGTATAATACCACTGTAATTACCAATACTTCAGTTAGACCATGTCCATTACCTGGTAGATTAGGTTCTCAACCTGATCTATCGAGAATTTCTCCTTCCAATTCTAGAAGAGGTAGTAATGGATCAATTGGAGGTGGTAATAATTCTATAATTGGAATGACTAATATAACTCAAGAAAGTATTATTGAAGAAGATGATACTACTGATGATTTTGATAGTACCATTAATTCCAGTGCAGGTAATTATACTAATGATGATATTGAAATCACTCAAAACATTAGTCAATATTATAATCAACGATCGACGTCATTTTCAAAATTAATTAAATTATCAAGAGATCAAACGGTTATGTATAAATTACCCAATTTCATTAAATCTCAATCTTCAATGGAAGATTTACATTTAATATCGACTGAAAAATTAAATCTCATTGATCAAACTCGGCCCATTAATTTACCTCCTAAATCAACGGGAGATAAGTCAAAGCATAATCGAGAATTTAAGAAAGTTTTAAGTAATTATGAATTAAATACGAAGAATTTAAATGATGCACGATTAAAGACATCACAAATTCATATCCAGAATCAACAACAATGGATAAAAGTAGTTAATAATTTAATTAATGAAGATAATAATAAAGAATTCAATCATAAATTTGAAGTGGATAAAAATACTATTAGAAAATTAGGCTGGGATTCGAATATACCTGCCAGTTTAAGATTTGAATTTTTTCTTAAAGTATTATCTAATAATAATAATAGTCAAGATTCAATTAATACTATAAATAATTCATTTAAATTATTCGAAGGTAAATATAAGAAATTACTGGAATCTATTAAAACTAATAAAGATTTTGAATTTACTAAAATTATTGAGATGACATTGAATCGACCATTATTTACTTCAATACTTAAAGTATTAACAATTGAAGATCAACAACTATTTAAATCAAATTTTAAGTATCTTTTATATATTAAGTCCTTATCGGAATTTGGATTATCTAAACATGATGAAATGTTTTTAATTCCAGTCTTATTACTTTTATTTGAAAAGACTCAATCATTACAAGATATTTATTGTTTATTAGAATTAATGAATCAACAAATCTTTACTCGAGAATTCTTATCTCATTTAAATAAATCTTTGAATAATTGGACAAGTATAAATAATTATTCTTCAAGTCATTATCTTTATAAATATTTATCAAGTTTTGGTGGTCATGAAGATTTAAAGGAATTTGAAAATTTAAGTTCTACGGGATTTTTTTATATATTAAGTCAATTAAATGATCAATTACCTTTAAGTATGTCTGCTCCTTCGACTCCAATTCTTAGTCAATCAGCTCAATTTACATTTGCTTCATCTCCAACCTTATCTAATTTCTCGAATTCCAGTTTTACTAATATAAGTGAAGTTGTTACTACCACCACTACCACAACTACTAGCAGTTCAATTACTCCTAAAGCTAGTGTAAATATAACTACTAGTTCATGTGAAGACCTTGCCAATTCTGGTACTAGTACTAGTACTAGTACTAGTTCTGGTACTGGTGTTAGTACTAGTACTGGTTCTACGGTTAGTGATATAAATTCTTCAGTATTACAAGTACTAATTAAATTATTTCAAATCTTAATAATCTATTCGAATTCTTTAAAATCAAAGGATAAGAATAATTTAAAAGTTATTCAAACATTTCTTATGACAATATTCCAATATTATCATATAGGATGGAATAATTATCAAGAATTAATCAAATCCAATAAATCAATTAAGTTTAATAAAAGTTTGGATCAAGTGGCTAATCTTGATTCTTTTGTTGATAAATGGAAAGAGACATTTAAACGATGTTAAGTACTTTTATAGTTGTTAAATATATACATACAAATATTCTACATATCCATATCTATATCAATTTCATCGGGATTGGTATTGGTATTGGTATTGGTAGTCTCTGATTGGATGGGTTCACTGGCATTAATCGATGATACTTTAGGTCCATCGGATGATTTAACAAATCCCATAGGATTAAGTGCATCCCTAAAGGCTTTACTATCTTGAAATTCCTGTTTGGTAACCCGCTTAAATCGAAGCATTTCTTTAAAGGTGGGTTCATTACCATACTTAACTTCAAATTGTTCCCATTGAATCCATAGACTATCAGCCGAATTCTTAGTTAGTTTAATAATATATTTGAATAAACTTCGAACTCGATCATACTGATGAGTTGATGTTTCATAATCAATAAACTTATTGGTTAGAACAAGAAGATTTGGTAAGGCGAGTTCCACATCCTGAATAGCCATTTCATAAGTTTTGCGTAATTCAATCTCATCCTGAAATTCTTCAACTCTGTCGAGTAATAAGGAATAGAGTTGATACTTATCCTTACTAACTTTTTGTCTATCAATTTTGGATTTATAGTTAATATTAAACTTATCAATATTACTTTGTGAGAGTATCTGAATCCCTCGTTTGAGTACTCGAATACAATTCATAATAAACTTATTCTCCTGTTCAAAGTTGGCATAGAGTATAATGAAATCCTTACTTAATTGAGGAGGGATCTCATCAAGAGCTTGATCGAATAAATCTCTTATTCTTTCTATACCAGTTTGATTCTTTGTATGTGTATGTATTTGTTTAAGTATCTTAGTTAAATAAACATTCCAAATCTCATACTTTATAAAGGGATCTTGGAATAATTTAAGTCCTACTTCAAATACCGTAAATGATCTCTCATAATATTTCCAAGTTTCTAAGAATTTTGCATAGGCAATAATAAGTTTTGGAGTAGCTATGTTTAATTCAATAAGTTTTTCATAAGCATTAATTACTTGATGAATTTCTGTAGTTTGAGTTTCTTGTTCAATAAACATTTCTAAAAGATCCAAATAAAATGCCCATAGTTTAACTGATCTATGCATTCGTTTATGAACATCTATTGATGAATCTTCATAATCTACATTAGCATCACTTCGTAATAATCCATCTTTAATAACTTCTATAGCTCTAGAATCAGCATCTTCATAATCACTCTTCAATAGCATTTCACTCCAATTAATATAGATATCTGCCAATTCATCTGGATGTTTAAATTGTGAACCTATAGCCTTTGTAAAAATCAATTCAGCCGTTTTATAATCATCCTTTGATGAATATATTTCAGAATAATCTATCCAAATTTTCGATAGTTTATGAGCCAGAATTCCCAATAATGAATGAGCTTTAAATGGATTTATTTGTCTTAGAGCTTGGGCATAAGTTTGTAATTTTGTATTAAGATCATCTTTGAATATCCCAAATCTATCAAACCATACATCCAAATTATTAATGTCTTGTCTTAACATCATATCATTTATAAGTATAGGTCTACTATCCATAAGCTGTTCAAAATAATAACATCTATAATCAAGTAACTTACTTAGTTGTTCATTAACTGGTTTCAATTCTAATGTCTCTGATAAGTCATCAAGAATTGTTTCTTCAAAATTAATGTATGCATTGTATATAAGTAAGAAATCTTGAATTGTAACACACAGTTTAATTCCCTTATCATAAAAGTATCGTGCCGAATCTTCTTTGTCGGGTTGAGATTTATAATAGTTTGTTAATTTTATATAGAAAGTACCTATCTGATCAGGAAATTGTTCAATACCTTGTAGTACTAACTTTTCAATATGATCATCATTAACTCGAGCTCGATATTTATCATCAGTTAGAAAATCAATATAATCTAGCCAAAATTGTAGATTGGTTTTATTTAATGATATGTATTGATCTGGGTTATTAATGATATTGGCATATATACCGTTTATTTCATTAAAATCTTCAAATTCTATGAATTTATTAAGAATATCTTCAATGGTTAGGTTTAGTATTGGATTGGGATGTGATTTTAATCCTTTTAGTATGGGTGGTTCAGCATATTGTAGATACTTATGATATATTTTAGCTCCTGTAAGTCCCCCGACAGAATTAGCAAACACTAAGTAAAGAGGCCATATAACTTCATGAGATTTAATGGGTAGATTCACGAGACATTTATTAAATGTTCTTCTTATTAAAGTCAATTCATTTGGTTGAGTATCTAATAAGAATTTAAGATATTTTATCCATATACCTTCATTAGCATATAATAGTAATAATGCTCTATTAAACAATTGATTTACAAGGATAAATTGGGATTTATACTGTATAGAATCCACACTTTCAACTATTCCAACTACTAATTCAAGATATATAGTCCATAACTCAACGGATTTAGGTAAGCTCTGAACGGCTCGTTCAAGTATAAATACCTTATTATGGAATGAAGTCGTAGTACGTGAACACTTTATCAGATAATAATGTAACCAATTCTCGAGTTCATAAGGGTTTTTCGAAATTTCTTCTTCATAGGCATAATCCTCTTTCTGTATTAGTCGATCTAACTCCCACATTAATCTTATTATATATAATTTTTACTCCAGTAATTATGAGATTTGTAAATTTTTCACTATCTATGTAAAAGAAAAAAAAATATACTCAATGCTTATAGATGTTACACAAACGCAACCCAATTTGGCACTACTGTAATTTTCCAAAGGGAGCGTCGATGAACAAACGAATTTAATGAGGCAGGATAAGTGAGCAGTAGTGAATTGAACAAAGTGAACAAATTGACCAATTTGAACAATTTGAACAATTTGAACAATTTGACCAATTTGAACAATTTCAAACATATTGTAACCAAACCAATTGAACTAATCACTGTAGACCATGTCGGGAGCAGGAAATCGTGAACAGGTTTTTCCAACCCGAATGACGTTGGGATTAATGAAGGGGAAATTAAAGGGAGCTCAACAAGGACATTCATTATTAAAAAGAAAATCTGAAGCATTAACTCAAAGATTTAGAGATATTACTCAAAGAATTGATGATGCAAAGAAAAAAATGGGTAGAGTTATGCAAATTGCTGCCTTTTCATTAGCAGAAGTTCAATATGCAACTGGTGATAATATAGGTTATCAAGTTCAAGAATCAGTTCAAAAGGCCAGATTTCAAGTTAAAACAAAACAAGAAAATGTTAGTGGAGTTTATCTTCCAACATTTGAAAGTCATATTAATGAAGAAATTAATGATTTTAAATTTACTGGTTTAGGTAGAGGTGGTCAACAAGTTCAAAAGGCAAAAACTGTTTATACAAGAGCAGTAGAAACTTTAGTAGAATTAGCATCTTTACAAACTGCATTTATCATTTTAGATGAAGTCATTAAAGTTACTAATAGAAGAGTTAATGCCATTGAACATGTTATCATTCCTAGAACTGAAAATACTATATCTTATATTAATTCAGAGTTGGATGAATTAGATAGAGAAGAATTTTATAGATTGAAAAAAGTTCAAGAAAAGAAACAAGAAGCGGCGGCAGCAGCAGAACTTGAAGAGAAAGAAGCAAAAGAGCAAAGAGCTGCTGAAGCTCTTGCATTATCAGAATCTCAAGATACTCTGAAACCTCATTCAGAAGAACAAATTCAAAAGGAAGTTGAAAAGTTGGATCTTAAGGCTCATGAAGAAGGTGATGCCGATATTCTTCAAGAGAATGAAGATGATGTTATCTTTTAATATTCCTTGTCATTCATCAATTTTTATTTCATTTCTTTACTCCCCCAATACCTTTTACCTTACCTTTTATTATTAATGGTATTGTGCTAGTTAGTCTTATATATCATATTTCACTTTTATTTCATTATAGCCTATAGGTTAATTATATTCCCCCATATTTAGAGTTGTTAATATTAAATAAACTACACTAATATCGATACCTCTCTAATCAGGACTCGCTTTTCTATCTAATTTTTGATTTTAATTGTATTTATCTGGTTTAACCAAATTGTGTTATTGGATGCTCGCAACTTTTCTCGCAATTAGAGACGCAATGTTTATAGGGAGTACTGCCAAAGTAGGTTAGACTACCGAGAACTTGCAGGTATAACAGTGGAGGCTTTTCCAAGTGATCTACCCCGAAAATTCAAAAGTAATATCTAAATTCATTAAGATTATCAATAATACAGTAAGATATATATGACGTATATATGTAAATGCTTGGCCCGATAATCGGATTGGATGTATGAAATTTATGGAGCACAATAACCACCATCGACAAGAATGTCCGCACCAGTAGTATAGGTAGATGCATCAGAAGCTAAATACAAATAAGCACCCACTAATTCTTGAGGTAAAGCTTCTCTACCTAATGGAATGATTTGCCACCATTTCTCTTTCATTTCTTGAGGTACGAAATCAGCAATATCAGTAATAATATAACCTGGAGAAATTGAATTGACTCTAGCAAATGGAGCCCATTCGATAGCTAATGATTTACTCAAATGTATAACTGCAGCCTTAGCAGCATTATAAGGAGCTTGTAATTGAGGTACATTGGCAATATGGCCTGACATTGAGGCCGTGAAAATTAATGAACCTTTACCTTGTTTCTTAAAGATCTTTCCAATGGTATGAGCACAGTAATAAACTCCATTAACATCAACATCCCATACTTTTTTCCAACTTTCATACTTAGGATCGGCATCTATACATGCACCATCAGTCCATGGAATTCCTGCATTGGCTACAAAGATATCAATACGTCCAAAATCCTTTTCAATTTGATATATGGTTTTTTCAACCTCATCAGCATTGGCAATATCAGCCTTATAAGCCTTAGCTTTAATACCATAAGTTTTTGATAAATATTCGGCTTTTCCCTCAGCAGGCTTACTATTATACCAAATACTTACATCAGCCCCAGCTTGAGCAAATGCTTCAGCCACAGCATAACCGATCCCACCAGAAGATCCAGTAACAGTGGCAACTTTTCCCTTTAAGGAGAATAAGTCTAACACATTAGAAGCTAATTTAGGAGCTTTGGTAGGTAATGGACCTACAGCAGGATTAATTTGTGAAGTAATAACCATAGTTAATATTTTATGTCAATTATTTTGTGGAGTAAATGCCGATCCGCTAACTACAATAATTCACTCACTACTGATCTCAACAATGTCAATGACTTTTCGATGACTTTGCCGAACTATAGAAAAAGAAAAATATATATCAATTAAGATCTAACTGAAAAATTATTCTAATTTGATATTCAAAGGAATAATTGCATATTTATAGTATTGAAGTTGTATCGCCTATCAGCGGGGGTGGGGGAACTCTCGCTATTTTAGGTCTTTTTTTTTAGCTATAGGGGTTGGACCCTTCTTATCAGGAGTTAAATTGCTAGGTTACAATTTCCTCAACTAACTCTATATTGTTGCTACTTTTGTTGTCATTGTCGGATCAAACAAATGTATAATGGTTGTTACTCTGAGTATAAGATTAAGAATAATCATATATTAATCTAAGTGTAAGAATAATACTAATAAATAATTAATTAATTAAAACAGATCGAACGTTTCTTAATTGATTAAACAATTGATTGTTGAACAATTGACAGATTTGTTGATAGATTGATTGTTTATTCAACGGGTTGAACATGCGAAACTCATAAGAAACATATAAAAAATAAATAATAAGAGAGTTAATGAAATAATACTAGAGTTGCGATAAGAACTAATGTCTGTTATACAGGATTAAATGTTTGTGTGTATCTCTCTAATAAACACGAACGGCTGGAGGTACAGGTTTACAATCACTTTCATCCATAGTAGTCTTGATAACATCTCTGTAATCCAACTTAACTGGTGCACCAAATTCAGTTTGGTAAGATAAAGTATGCTTTCTCCAGTTAACATCATCTCTACTTGGGAAATCATCTCTAGCATGAGCACCTCTTGATTCTTTTCTAGCAGCAGCAGAAACAGCAGTTTGAGTAGCACAAGTTAACAAGTTTTGTAATTCTAAAGTTTCAACTAAATCAGAATTCCAAATCATAGATCTGTCAGTAGTCTTAACATCAGTAAAAGATTTATCAACTTCAGTAATATGTTCAACACACTTATCTAAAGTATCTTGAGTTCTGAAAACAGCACATCCCTTTTGCATAGTAGTTTGCATATCCATTCTGATATCAGCAGTACTCTTAGTACCATTAGCATTTCTTAATTTATCCAAGTTTTCAATAGATTCATAACCAATATCCTTTGGAGCTGGTGGTAATGGAGTACCTGGAGTTAAAGAATCTCTAATAGTATGAGAAACAGCTCTACCGAAAACAACTAAATCTAATAAAGAATTAGCACCTAATCTATTAGCACCATGAACAGAAGCACAAGCAGCTTCACCACAAGCCAATAAACCTGGAACAACTTCATCTTCACCTTTTTCATTCTTTTTAAGAACTTCACCATTCCATTTGGTTGGAATACCACCCATATTATAATGAACAGTTGGTAAAATTGGAATTGGTTCTTTAGTAACATCAACACCAGCGAAAATATGAGCAGTTTCAGAAATACCTGGTAATCTTTCCTTTAATACAGAAGCAGGAATATGACTTAATTGTAAGAACATGTGATCCTTCTTTGGTCCTACACCTCTACCTTCATTAATTTCCATAGTAATAGCTCTTGAAACAACATCTCTTGAGGCTAAATCTTTGGCTGATGGAGCATAACGTTCCATAAATCTTTCACCTTCAGAGTTAAGTAAGAAACCACCTTCACCTCTAGCACCTTCAGTAATAAGACAACCAGATCCATAAATACCAGAAGGATGGAATTGAACGAATTCTAAATCTTCTAATGGTAAACCAGCTCTTGAAACCATAGCATAACCATCACCAGTACAAGTATGGGCAGAAGTACAAGAGAAATAAGCTCTACCATAACCACCAGTTGCAATAACAGTCTTATGGGATCTGAATCTATGTAAAGTACCATCTTCTTGATTATAAGCAATGACACCAACACAAGCACCATCTTGCATTAATAAATCCATAGCAAAGAATTCAATGAAAAAATGAGTATCATGTCTTAAAGATTGACCATATAAAGAATGTAATAAAGCATGACCAGTTCTATCTGCTACAGCACAAGTTCTGTAAGCTTGACCACCTTTACCATATTCTTTTGATTGACCACCAAAAGCTCTTTGATAAATTCTACCTTCTTCATTTCTTGAGAATGGGACACCGTAATTTTCCAATTCATAAATAGATTGAGGAGCTTCCTTTGTCATATAATGAATAGCATCTTGATCTCCTAACCAATCAGAACCTTTAACGGTATCATAAAAATGCCAATGCCAGTCATCTTTATGCATATTACCTAAAGCAGCATTAATACCACCTTGAGCAGCAACAGTATGAGATCTGGTTGGGAATAATTTGGAAATACAAGCAGTTTTAAATCCAGCTTCAGCTAAACCAAAAGCAGCTCTTAAACCAGCACCACCAGCACCAACAACCACACAATCATATTCATGATCAATAACATGATATTTTTGACTAGTATATTTAGCAGCATTAAAATCAGTACCTCTAATATCGGAACCAATGGTTTGACATCTAACTGATGATGAAGATAAAAATCTTCTTGGTATTATTGAATTTGACTTAACAGTGTTACGGAATGAACTCAACATGCTGAAATAACGATTTTAATTAATTAATATAATGAATCAACAATACTTAATTGAATATATACGATACAACAAAAATTTAAAATTAGGAAAAAAATCAGACAAAAGTACTGCAACCAATTATATATGAATCAATGGCAATACTTTGGTGCGAATGTTAACCTGACTGAATGTTTAGTTGACAAGTACCTGAGTTCTTAGAGTGGAAGAGTAATGACAAACTTTTCCTCATATATTTTTCGAAATCTTTATAGGCTCCGTTGCTTCAGCGAGAAAGGAAGAAAAAAAAGTTGAGACTTTCCGGGGCATAACTAAAAAATGTATGGAGAGAGAAGGGGGAAGGAGAATTACTAAGAATTATAGAATAAGTATGTAATTATGTATATAAGTATGTAGATATATATTTGATGTATTTAGTAGTAACTTTATGAACCTATTGATTATCAAATTATTGTTAATTCAATGGTAAAAGGGGGTAATAAGTAGGATTGCAAATAGTGAACTGGCTTTTTGTGTAACGTTAGAATTACTAAAGCTGCAATATAAGTGGTCAGTTTCCATTGGGCGAGACCTAACAGTATGAGCGCGTGGACTGTAGCACGTGATACCTACTCCGAAGTTTACCGAGATCAGTCCGGGGTTTTATCTATTAGCATTAAACATTTATTAAATGTATTACTATATAACCTAACCAATTGTTATATAGCGTTAGTAATCATATCTATATAAACAAAACACTAAACTATGCATAATTCCTTTCTGTTCTGGCTTCTTATCAATATTTTTCTTAAACTGAACAGTACCCACCATCAACTCTTAAATCAGATCCAGTAGTATAAGTAGAAGCATCAGAAGCAAAATATACATAAGCACCACATAATTCTCTTGGATGACCTTGTCTACCTTTTGGAGTTAATGAATACCAAATGTTCTTGATGTCATCAGGAACAAAATCTGATAATTCAGTAGCTATGTAACCAGGAGAAATTGTATTAACTCTAGCAAAAGGAGCCCATTCAACAGCTAAGGATTTACCTAAATGCAATACACCAGCTTTAGCAACATTATAAGCGGCTTGTAATTGTGGAACATTGACAATATGTGCGGACATTGATGCAGTCATTATTAAAGAACCCTTACCTTGTTGTTTAAAAATCTTTCCGATATTTTTAGCACAGTGGTAAACACCATTTAAATCAACATTAATAACATTGTTCCATTCAGCATCATCTGGTTGTTCGATTAATGCACCAGAAGTCCATGCAATACCAGCATTAGCCACAAATATTTCAATGGTTTTAAATTCTTCATGAATAGTTTCAATAACTTTTTGAACTTGTTCAGCACTTCTAACATCACAGTCGTAGTATGAAATAGTAGCCTTTGGGAATTCTGCTCTTAATTTACTGATACCTTCATCATTTCTAGAATAATCAATAATAGCTAATTTGGAAACTCCGGCTTGTAAATATGCTTCTGAAATAACGTAACCAATACCTCTAGCACCTCCTGTAACAACCGCATGTTTACCAGTTAATAAAAATAATTCTAAAATGTTGGCAGATAAAAATGGGAATGCAGCTGGTAAGCTACCAATATCTTTGTTGCAGACTGAAACTGCTGGAGTGGAAGTTGATGATTCAATAGTCATTATTGGAAATTATTGATTTGATTTATTGATATACTTGATGAAAACTATAAGAAAGTTAGAAGAAGAAAACAGATCAACAACTTCTAAACAGAAAAGTGCAATTCTCGATGAATTTATACATTTTACATTTCTATGACTATTTCACTTTCGTAATTATTTCCCTATACCGCTTCTAGATGATTTATTCTCCGAGCCCCATACAATCGCCAAATTTTTTTCTGCTGAATCCTCCCCCACAAAAGTTCAATTTTTCCGAAGCATGTTTCTTTTTTACGAACGCACGGGTAATTAAGGTTTGGAATGATTAAGATTCCATTTTTGCAGCAGTTGACTTCAAATTACCCTCATTGATTCACTTTTTAACTATCGGTATTATAGGGTAGAGATTATTTGTTAGAGTTCTGAAATGTACTACTAATTGTGTTGCGAAGGTAGTTGTGTCAAGGTATTAGGAAAACTAAGAATTTGCCACTGTAAACAAGATATTTGCTACTATAGACAGTGAAAATATAACTAGTGAATTAATCTACAAATTATCTTGTAGTTGTATAGATTATTAATTCGCCGAATTCTCTATCTCTAATTAGTTTATTCCTTATCTAGATGACCTTGTAAAAATATTACTGGGGAAATAACCAAATTTTCTTTTAGCCTTAGCTCAAACACCACTCGCATTATAAAAATTGATGACCAATTTCTTGTTATTAACGATACCGTAAGCCAATACAGAGGGACCTTGGAAAATATCTTTCATATTAGCCGTTCTTATTCTTCCATTTCCTCGTCTTTTACTAGTGTTATTGTGTTACATTTAAAGGCTGCCAAATTGAGTTCCACCGAAACTATGGACTGCACACAACTCACTGTGTAACAAAATTTTTGTATTTTACCGATCTCATCGATTTTAGTACACACATCCCCAGCAATTCAAATTTAACTTGGTTGAAAGGAAGAATTGCTAATATGTAGTTGTCCTCGGAAAAATTACTGTAAAGTTTCCACAAAGTCTTGAAGCTAATTTATTTAGCATTTTGGCTAAATTTTACCGAGTTTGATAATTTGTACCAACCTCACTGCCGGGAAACTGTTCCACTCTCCGTCTAGCTTTTATTTACCTTGTAGTAACCCTCTATTTAGTTTATAATTAGAGTAGTTGTTATCTCATGATTTCCGGAGACGGGTATTGTTTCTCCTATTTTCATCCATGAGAAAAAAAATTCTAATCGGCCGGTTGCAAATTATGGACCCCCATTGTCATCTGTTTACACTGGCAATACAGACTACTCATTTTCTGTTATATTCTATACTTTATATTCTATCTTCTATAATTTTTAGAGCTGAGATTAACTATTCTATATTGTTTATATGACTCTTATTGATTATTCGCTTGACCGCAAAGATCTATTCCATGATTTCAATTCATTAACAAATATGCCTCTTGTCAAACCTTCATCTTCATCTCTTACATGGGCAAAATGACAATTAATCGATGCGACATCTCGGTTTCTTAATTCATCATCAAATAACACAAATTCTCCCTTGCTTAGTTCTTCAACCATTCCTAATTGACGAGCAGCTTTACTAATATGTTTGACTTTAGAGCCTGTTCCCCATTGCAATGAGTCAAAGAACTTAATTGCTGGTGTATCTAAAATATGCAATAATGATAACATTTCTTGAGCTATTCTTGGGGCTGCTGTACGACTAGCGCCTATTATTTTGACATTATTTTCAACTAATTCACGGATTATAGATTCTACATCTTTATAAAACTGTAGTCTCATTCCAGTACTATCTTCAATTTCTTGTTTACTCACAGATCGAAGAGGCATGGATATATGAGTGTCACACCAACAGGGCCATAATGTATAATCTAAATCAAATACAACAGCTTTTGGATATCTTTCGACTACCATTTTCAAATATCCTTCTAACGTATGTCTTTCTATAAGAATATGATTCGTAAAAGCGTTCAATCGTACGCGAATGTCCCGCTTTAAAATTACCAGCTCGATACTAGATCAGATTTTCGACTGCATACAATTACCCCAAAGCTCATATTTACTGCAAAATCAATTTATATTAGATTCTAAATGTCAACCAATTAACTCTTTGAAGTAAGAATATATATCTCCAAAACTGAACTAACTTCTAAAGAAGGAATTAAAGCTAAGTCAAGTAGCAAGGAAATTGGAAAATGATTGATTAGTATTAGGATATTATGCATCCATTAACTTTTCTCAAGAATTTAACCAAAATCCAAAAATAAATAACACTTTTGTAGAACTGTCATAAACTCCACTTCACTTGAAAATTAGTGCATTTACAAACACTAACTTATTAACCGTTAAAATGTATGAAATGAAGGAGTTAGGAAAGGTGCATCTGGTTTAGAGGGTTTAAAAAGATCTTTCAAAAACATCAACGTGACTAAAATCACGCCATTTTCACGTGAAAATCACGTGCAATTACATATCCATGAAAAATCGTACAGTAAAAATTGCAAGGATATGTGATAGTAGCGTGGTGGTAAAGTCTACAGGTCTAATCTTGAATTTCGAGGTTTGATCGGTTGACTCCCGGATTCCATTAATGTGGAAGCACGTGAAAATGTCAGCAAAATCAAACAAATTCCGGGAGTGTGGTCTAGTGGTATGATTCTCGCTTTGGGTAAATTGGATTAATTCAATTGAAACAAACATGCGAGAGGCCCAGGGTTCAATTCCCTGCTCTCCCCTTTTTTTTGGAAAATTTGGATCTTAAATGTATAAGAGGTGAAGAAAAGATGTTCATTATTCATATATGGAGCTCGTATTTATTTTATTTGTTCTCACTCTTACGTTTATTAAATTGTGGGTATCGTTTATTACTAGTACTTTTCAATCTTAGATTTTTGCTATATTAACTAACCATTTTGGGATATCATTCTTATAGAGTATTGGCATAATTATTATTCCCAATGTATTCTCTATAGTTACATTTTTCATTCAGATACACTTTATAGGGTGATACATATCAAAATTGATAAAAACAAATTTACCAACAGGAATGAGCAGCTCATGAGCACTCACTGACCGGAAATCGAGACCATTTTGTTAATGGCCGCGAAATTTACTTCTGCTTCATCCTTAACAATCAATTTGTTTTGATACTGTTATAGACTTATATATAAATATTAATACGAATAAAACAACTGAAGAGATTGTCTAATTCTAAATGCTTATATTTGCTTGTTTGTTAAATTTTTAAAACTGAACCTACCGCAGGAGTAAATCATGAAATTTAACTATTCATTAAGCTCCTTATCGAGAATGTTTATACTTGTTTAGGGTTTCTTCTTATTTCAAATTAATAACTGATTAAAGGGCCACTGTATATTTCTTCTATTATGGCTTGAACTTAATAAACTTAATGAAAATAATAAACATAATAAAAATAATAAACATAATAAACATAATAATAAAACATAAACAGCCATACTGGAGTCCACCCATTATGTGCAGTCCCCTTTTTTGGTGCGTTGGAGACGTTCAAAAACTCCCCTGGAGATCTTTAAGGCTCAGGTGTTTGTTAAGCTCCAACAGAATAGAGCCAATAAACATATATATACAATTACCATGGAGCAAGAGGATCTTACAGCTTCACATTGGGATGATGTTATATCTCCAAACACCAACACCAATTCTGCCTTGAGTAGTCATTCAGTGCTTGATAATCCGTTAAATAATCAATTTCAAAATCTATCTTTAAATACTGCTAGTCAGAGTTATTATGGACAATATGATGAAGATGAAGAAGATGACGAAGAGAATGATCAAGGTGATAATGTTAATATACACGAAGGTCATGAAGATACAAATTCCAATATAGTTCAACTGAATTATAATGATTATTCAATACCTAATATTAATGATAATTTGTTTGCTTCAACTGATAACTATAGAGATAATCAATTAAATGATTTAAAAAAGGAAGAAAGAAAAGAGCATCGTGATCAATTACTCTCTGAATTAACTCATGGAACTGATGAAGGAGGAATATTAGATTCATCTGTAGTATCTTCTAAACAAATAAGTACTGGAGATTCATTATTCCATGATAAAGGAAGTCCAATTAAAGTAAAACCAAACCAACAAACACAAATCACATCACCAAAGAGGCCGATTAATTTAAAAAATAGTCAATTATTTAGGGCCCCAAGACCCAGAAAATTTAGTGGTCAAATTAATGCTAAATTTCTCGGAGGTGAAGCATCAAACTCATCTGAAAAAGAAAATAATGGTTCATTAGGTCCTTTAGGTAGTAATCAAGATGATTCCAAATCTAATGATAGATCTTCAGTCATGTCTAGTACTAGAGCTGAGTTATTGGCTAAAGAGGCAGATGCTCCGTTATATGAAATTCAAAGTAAGAAAACAGATGAACAAAAAATTCAAGAATTTAGGACTCCTGAAAGTAAAACTTCTGATGCTGAATCAAAAATACCAATAGCAAAGAAGAATGGAGAGCTTCCTCCAGCAGCTGATAATAATAAGCTTGTTATAAGTGTAGGAGATCCTATGAAAGTTGGAGATATAACAACTGCTCATATTGTATATTCGATCAAAACAAAAAATACTAATCCTGAAACCAAACATTTCCCCATAAAAACAGAAGATAATGTAATTGTATCAAGGAGGTATAAAGATTTTAGATGGATTTATCATCAATTACAAAACAATCATCCAGGAAGAATCATACCACCTCCACCAAGTAAACAAACTTATATTGGTAGATTTAATGAAAGCTTTATTGAAAATAGACGATTATCGTTAGAAAAAATGTTAAGTAAAATTAGTAATATTCCAATTTTAGCTAATGATGCTGATTTTGTTATGTTTTTAACCAGTGAAGATTTTGCTAATGAATCAAAGGAAAGAGAACGTTTAAGTGGTAGTGGAGCATCTACACAAAATAATGAATTTTTGGATAATGCTATAACCGCCAATGATGCTAATTCTGTTGCTAGTGGTAGTAGTGCATCTACTGGAGGTATAATTGCATCTACAGCTCCAAGTGGAGGATTTATGTCATCATTTTTCTCAATTCCTACTAAGATTAATGAACCTGATGAATATTTTATTGATAAAAAACAATATATTGATGAATTAGAATATAATTTGAAACAATTATACCTCGCTATTGAATTAGTTGGAAATCAAAGAAATGCATTGGTTGGAGTTTATGATGAAATTTCGTTGACATTGGATGAATTAGCTGGACTAGAAATACTGAAAATTACAACCGAATTGTTAGGAGCTTTTAGTCAAGTTCAATTAAAGATTAAGGAGAATTTAGATAGAGTTAATCTTCAAGATCAATTAACTTTAGGATTTTCAATTGAAGAATATTTACGTATTATTGGATCCATTAAGTTTGTATTTGAAACAAGAGCCAAAATTTATCAGCAATTCTATACATTCAATCAAGAATTAGCTAAAAAGCAAGTTCAATTGGATAAACTGATTCGAAAATATGGTAGTACTCAACAAGAAAAACTTAATTTATTACAATTTGAAGTTGATAAATTAAAACAGAAAACCAGTACTTATGAAAGTAGTTTTCAAACTATTAGTGAAACAATTAAAGAAGAACTTGATAATTTTGAAATTGAGAAGATTGAGAATTTCAGAAATAGTGTTGAAATCTTTATTGAGAGTTCTATTGAATCACAAAAGGAAGCTATTGAATTATATGAGACATTTTATGAACGTCAAAATTTGGCTAATGTATAGTATAATCATTATCTCTCGTATCTATTCACAATAATAATGTATACTTAAGAGTTGTTGTAATCGCAACTTCCGAACAAAATTTTTTTGCGCCCATTTCGTATTGGAATTCCTTCCTTTATTGTATGTAGCTAGCTCTTTGTTTCTGTCTTGTGCCTCATCCTGGTATGAAGACAATACAAAGTGAGCCTTTTTTTTTGCCATCTACTTACACGACAACAGCTGTAAGGGGGTAGGACAATGGCTAGGCACTTTGACAGATATATGTCTAGAGGTTAGTGTTTTAGTGTTTTAGTATTTTAGTATTTATCTTATCATAATCTTATCACGGATAAGCTCGGAAAGAAACGGCTTGACCCCTCTGCCAAAGCACACGACCCAATTAGAAAGGGATTAGACCCTAGTTACCTACTATTAACTGATGTACTTACCCGACAACCTATTACTTAGTAAAGTAAATGCCGAAATATGTCAAGTAATGAGCGACTCACATCAATAAACTTCTACTCACTACTAATTACATAGTATATAATGACTAATTACACAGTCTGACCCGATATGTGTGTGAGAGTGTGTGTCAACAATGACTCAACCTCCACACAAAAGTTTTTTTTATTTTTTTTCAGTCCCCTCTATGTGGGAACAATAGGAGCCATACTATTAATACTTTGAAAAGTTTTCATTGTAGTTATTGATGGTTTGTTCAAATCAGTATTGTAGATAGATCAAGAGTTTTATATTGGAGTTAATACCCGAATTGCTGTGATCCTAATTATAACTATAGTTGTTTAATAATCTATCCCTTTTTAGAGATAAGTGTGTGACTCAAGTACTTTAGAGCCTCACAAAAAGTGTACTGATATTAAGTTTTAATTATTATAAATGATAAACTAAATCCTTAAATTCTAAAATATTAAGTTAATAAAAATTAGATCAAATCAGACAATAGATATATAAAAATCCTTATACAATAATGAACACTCAAGTTCATTTAAATCCTACAAAACTATCGATATTATCGATTCCAAGAGATAAGTATTGGTTGTTTGTAAGTTCAATACTTCAATTACTATATAAGGAATCATCTAAAAGTTCAAGTGGATATAATACTGAATTAAACTCAAGTAAGAGTGATTTGGAAGAATCTCTGGATGATGAAGATGAAGATGATGAAGATGAAGAAGAAGAGACTGATGAAATTTCAAGTAATATTACTCATAATAGAAATGAATCCATAAGTTCTACTTCTGAAGATCCAAGTATCAGTAAAGTAAGTAGTAATCCAAGAGGTTCAGTTGATAATTCAAGTAAAGTAAAATCAAATGATTCTTATGATAATCTAACATCAAATGTTTCAGGAAACAATAATGATCAATCATTAGATATAATCGATTCAGATGATAATAATAATGATGATTTTAATTATTTTTTCCATATCGCCTTAACACCTTTAGAGTGTACCCTTATTTGTTCAACATCAGTCATGAAAACTTATTTCAAAAATCCTATAAAGATCTGCCAAGAATTAAATTATGATGATGTCAAAGTTATAGACCAAAATTTCTTAAGTTTACAAGTTGATAGTGATGGAAGTTTTGATAATAGTTTAAGAATTCTTGAATTGACTAAACCATTATCAGAAAATAATATATCATTATTCTTTTTATCAAGTCATTTTAGTGATATTGTTTTAATACCTTATATTTTTAAAGAAAAAGTTATTAGTATTCTTACTAAAAAGAATTTTGAATTTTCCGATATTTCCAATAGTTATATAATGACACCTAATGATCTTATAGATCCGTCAATGTTAAATGATTCTGATGAAGATAAAGAATTAGGATCTCAACGATTTGAAAATAAGACTTTTAAATTATTTAAAGATTCTAATATTAAACCTATAGTTAATAGAAATGTTAAATTATTATTAACAGGAGCAAGAGCAGGAGAAGTTAATAATACAATATTAAAAACTGCCAAGATATTATCTAGTTTTAATTCTATACCTGATTATTATGCTATCACTAGAACTTCTATAAATGAAGTTTCATTAATTTTACCTAAATCTTCAAAAAAGAGATTAAGTATGGGATTTGATTCTAAAAATATAATTGGATCAACTCAAGATATAATTATTCCAATAACAATTGATTTTTCTAAATTACCATTGGATTCAACTGGGATTGTGGCAGGGGTTGCCAGTAAATTAATTAATGGACTTAAAAAGTATAATGATTCTACTATTGAGATGAATTATTTTTCAATGGCAAGATCTGGTATGATTATGATTCCTAAAGAAAACATTGATGTTATTAGTGAAATCCTTAATAATATCGATTATGATATACCAATTGATTCCTTAACAATTTAAAATTTCACTAGTTCATTTCATTAATTCTCTGTATTATTAGTTATTGTAAGTAGTATTCTTTCTTTCTTTCTTTTTCTTCTTTCTTTCTTTCTTTCACTCTGGTTATAGGTTTTTAACAAAAATAAAATATTCTTTAATTCTTTCAATTGGTTATATATCAATTAATTAGTCTATTAACTTTATAAGTAAGTTGATGTAAAAACGCTTTCCATAATGGGATATGATCACGTAATGATAACTGTTTAACTTCTGTCCATACTTGTATACCGATGGCTAGTAATACAACAAGTATAACTAATTGGAAAAAGCTCTTAAAGAAACAAGGTACACCCATACTGTATGATGAAAACTAACTATAAGTATACGTATATATATAGTAATATAAGTATACGGTAATATAAGTATACGTCGTATATGTAAAGTATACGTCGTATAGGTAAAGTAGTGCGACGTATAAGCAACTAGTCGGTATTTGTTAGTATCAGAGACGAGAAACTACAAGGCTTTATTATTATTTTTTTTTTTGATCAAGACCTTTTTTTATTCCGGTGCTGCTTATATAATTTAACTATTTAACTATGTAATTAAAACTTTTTAGAGTTACTCTTCTTCTTAGATTTCACGGTAGTGCTCCAACCATCTTCATCAACAGTAGAAACTTTATCAGCTGATGAAATAATGGCAGCTGACCAAGAGTCTTCATCATTACTAACTTGTTGATCAACCTTTTGTCTTCTCTTTAAGAATTCTTGAGCAAATCTTCTACCATCCATAGTTGCCGATGAACTATAAATTGTATCGGCAATTAATTGAGAAGAATCTGAACTTGAAGTTGGTAAAGTAACAAAGATATCTAATAAATCATCTTTAGAAACTGTAGGATATAAATTAGTCATTTGTGATCTAGCCCAAATTAAAAATTCTTCTTTTAATGCTACATCATTGACTGAATTAGTAACAGGTCTAGTGGCTGAAACAGAACGTAATAATTGAGGACTAGCCTTTGAAGCAGCAGCTGAATTAGTAATAGTCTGTTGAACTGGCTTTTTAACAACAGTTCTTTTGGATGCAACTGTAGTCCATACTCCTGTATCTTCTTTAATTGGAGTTGAAGAAATAGCACTAGCAAAAGAATTCTTTTGAACAGAAGAACGATTAGCTAATTTAGATGCAGCAGCAGCTTCTGCTTCTTCCTTTTGAATTTCTGCTAATGTCTTTTTAGTTACAACTGGTGAATTACCAGTAGTAGCACTAGCCCAACTTGAAGTCTTTGGTAAAGCAGTAGTAACTTTTTCAACAACTTGTTCATCAAGAGCAGCCCAAGCTTTTGCAGCAGCAACTTGTTGTTCTAGTTTTTGTTGAGCTTTTTGCTTTTCTGATCTTTCTGCTTCAATACTTTGAATTTCCTTTAAAGTTAAGCTTGGTTTGGAATTATCTTTCTTAGCAGCCCATGGAGCTAATTCAGGACGGGGAGCAGGAGCAGCAGTAGTATTTTTTGAAGCATCTCCTACAATAACTTCCTTTGGTGTAGATCTTTCCTTTTCTGATCCTTGCTTCTTAACTGGAGCCCCCTTTAATTCATACCTAGTGGCTTCTTCAACTTGTTCAGCTACAGGTTGAGGTTCAGAATCTTGCTTTTGTTCAGGTTCATTTGAAACTACTGCTGGTTGTTGAACTTCAACTTGTGCTACAGGGGCAGTTTCAACAGCAGGAGCAGAATTAGCACCAAAATGATCTTCTTCACCTTCATTCAAAATACCAGTTACTACTGAAGTATGAATTTCATCTAAAACATGATCATCATTATTTGGGATTTGATTTTGAACTTCAACTGCGGCATTAATATTGGATGATGAAACAAATGGAGAACTAACACGAGACAGAGATTGAATACCAGATAACCAAGGAGAGATTGGAGCAGGTTGAGAAATTTGAGGTAAAGTATTACTTACTGGTGTTGAAGGATTACTATTACCAAATCCTCCAGAAGTATCTAAACCTGCTGCCCATCCACTATTATTTCTTGATAAGGTTGGTTGACTATTTTGTTGTTGAATTTGATGTTGTAATAATGAAGGCATGGATTGTAACGGATTATTAAAACCATGATGATTTAAAGTGTCAAGACCGAATTGATTAGTAGATGTTGTATTTTGGAATCCAATCGAACCAGGAGCATTCAAAGGGCTAGCAGTTCCGAAAGGATCATTATTGATAAAATCATTACCAAATAAGGAGGATTGAGGATTAATCGAATTATTTAATCTTGAAGATCCTGCAAGGAATTGATGAAGTTGAGATTGTTGTTTTTGGAAAGGAGGAGGTTGTTGAACAAATGAAGAAAATTGATTTGTTGGTACAGGAGGTGGAGGAACAGTTAAATCAGGTAATGGAACTTTAAATGGTTGAACATAATTTTGGACTCCATCACATAATTGTTGAACAGTTTTAAAAGTTGTATCTTCTTTTCTTCTAATTTGTAAATCAAGATGTAAATATCCTCCACTTAACCATTCTTGCATCATATCTCCATTAAAAGGTCCTTGTTCAGTACCATGAGGATCAATATAATACCATTCAATCTTATCTGAAGTAAGAAGGGGAGGCGTTAATGATTGAAGGGGTATATCCTGATTAATTACTGGTTGAGAAATACCTGGAGGTGGAGCATTAATTTGATTACCTCCAACCAAAGATACTGAATCAGGTAAAGTCAGTGATATAACATTATCATCATTAATATTCAAATTTTCTAATGAATTACTTACAACTTGAGGAATTTCATTAGTTACTTGATCATATGATTCACCGTTTTCTTTATAATTTGATCTAACAAATGATTGTAAGTCCAAGTGATAAATTTGGTTAGGCTTTGAAAGTTTATAATTTTCATTCTGTTGTACAGGTAATTCCATTGATGGTTCAAGAATTTGATCCTTTTTATCATACCAAACTTGGAATACTTCATTCATACTATAACGTTTCCCACCTTTATTTGGTGGAATTGTTGTTGTAGTTGTTGTTGATGTAGTAGTAGTAGTAGTTAATCCATTACTACTATGAAGAATACTACTATTAGAAAGTGGTTCTTCAAGGTTATTTCCATTTGTAGATGGTTCAAGTGGTTTACGAGTCTTGGAAAACATGGTTGACATATATGGCAAGGGATTTTAATGCTTAGTTATATACTCTTCTATATAAATATATTTTATTGGAAGACTATTAGCGTACTAAAAGTTAACTATGGTTAACCTGATTCCAAGTGAAAAATAAAAATTTTTCCCTTCCCTTCGATCACTTTGCTCAGTCGCACACGTCAGTAAAATAACGACGAAATAGTGAGGAATGCTTTAGCTTTGTGCAAGTTAAGGGGAGAGAGAGAGAGGTGTTACTGATAACCTGAATTGAATATTGTATTATATGTATGTTATATGTATGTATTTCTACTTAGGGGAAATTCAATCAGTTCTGGTCTAAATACCAACCTTATTTTCTAATTCTGAGTGGAAATCTTTAACATTATTCCCACTTTCAAATCCTCCCTTATATATATCTTCCCATGTAACACTTGAATCTCTATTTAAAAGTATATCTTTATGTAAAGGATCAGATCCTCCTAATAAACTTGGTTTAAAATCAGTCGATTCAATTATTTGTAATTCCATAGTTCTCTTTATAGGTTCTCCAGCTCCAAATACTCTTCTATAAGTTTCAAGTCTAGTTTCATATTGTGTTTGTTCCCAATTACTTATTCTACCTTCTAATGGATGACGATTATTTACTTTAGATGCTAAATTTAATGGTCCTTCTCCTGTTTTTAATATATCTTGTAATCCTGGTGCTGAAGCTGCGGCTTCTCCAAATGTAGTTGTACTAATAGATGATACTTGATTATTATCTGGAATTAATCTTAATGACTATACTATTTGTTAGTAATGGTTCTACCACTAATATATCTATCCAATTAACTCATTATACATACCATTGTTATAATTATTTATATATTGTTTTTACTATCCACTAGTTAATGTTTTCTTCAAAGCTAATCAGTGGCAATTAATTTTTAACTAGTAACTATTTTTGTTCATTGTCGCATATGCAGGACACCACACCCAATATGTCTTAGGCTATTAAATCAAAATCTATATATTTATATATTGATATATACATATTATTATTATTATTATTATTACATTCTTTCGATTTGTTCATCAACAACGTCAATTAAACGACCTTCTGGATTAGTATCTTCCTTTAACCATTGAGGTATAAATGGCCAATTTTCTGGTGTTAAGATACCATTGAAACATAAAGTACCAAATACTAAGACTGCGAAACCGAAAAATTGCAAAAGATGGAATTGTTCCCAGCCCATTAAAATAGCTAAAATCCAGACAAGTAATGTTCTACAAGTATCTATAGTTGATCTTGCAGTAGCGGATAACTCATGAGTTAAAGTTATACCACAATAATTAAAAATAGCAATTGAAATCATAATACAAATGGATGATAAGAATACTTGTTTAGAATGAACAACTTGAGATACTGCTTCAACAAGATTAAAAGGTGATTCTTCAAATTGTTCAGGACTTTGAATTGCTCCAACAATTATACTAAGAATTATCATACCAACAAGTAAGATAGCACAACCAAAGAAACCTTCAGAATAAACAATTTGTAATGGTACAATAGGATGTTTATCTAAAATATGTTCTTCAATAACAAATTGGAAGGCTTGTAATAATTCACCTACTACAATTAATGAAATCCCCAAAATAACTAATCCAGAAAGGCTAACCCCATCAGTAGTAGACAGAGATTCTGCATTTTTAGAACCACTTAACCCGACAAGAGCAACACCCAATGAAACAAAGAATAATGATACCCATTCTAATTTAGTGATTTTTCTGTTTAAGAATAATACTGATAACATTGCTACAAATAATACCACAGATCCTCTAGTCATTTGATAAATTGAAACTGGAGTATATACAAGTCCAATATTTAATAAGGTAGTACAAAATAAATCACAAGCAGCAGGAATGACAAGCTTCCAATTTTCAAATACAGATATTTTGCTAGATTTACTTTGTTCTTGTTGAGCTTCATCAGAATTTTGTTCTCCACCAATTTGGGTATAACCTTCATTTCGGGATTGGATACCATATTTAGACTTATAAATTAAATAATAAACAAATATCATAGCAAATTCCCCTACAAACATTTGAAACGTTTGTATTCCCGGCTGCTCAAAGTTTTTATGAGTGGAGACATCGGGATTAGAACAATTTCTAACACATTGATTATCTTGATATTTAGTGAATAATGAATTAGCTGCCCCAGTAACTAAGGTACCAATGACAATGAGAAATAAATATGAACTGGCCATATTTAATAGTACCTATAATCAAAGTAAATCAAATAGCTTAATATAAGTATCTTCAAAATTCTTCAACATTGCCGTTGAATTTTATACCGTTTTAGCCTAGTCCTTACAAGGCTCAAATAGGTAATTTTGTGTATTTTGTCTCCTCCACATTCATTCAAACGACTTTTCGCGCCAGAAATGATCACATGACTATAAACGTGATTGATTTGAGCCGCATGATGGTCATCGTACCAAATCTGGAGAAGTCAACTTCATGTTAGTAATATACCACCAATTTTCTATCGGTCATTCTATAAATGGTTTATTATATGTAATTATACCACATAAATACAATTATATTAACAAACATGAAATTTAAAGGATTAAAAGTGAACTTATGGCTTCCTAAAGCCGTAACTTAACAAATTAATGACTTTGAATCTAATTAGATATTCACACACAAAATTTATTAATTAGAAGATTTATCATTATATAATATAAAAGTTCGGTTTATATGTCTATACAATTCAAAATATATTCTACCATATAAAGTTTCTGTTCAATTGGTTGCAAAAGATTCAAATTTGACAGTTTTAAATAAACGCACGATTATATAAGCACACCATACTTAAAGGCATATTTATTACATAATCTTAAGCTTACCCGCCTTCCATCGAAGTATCGAATTACTAAAAAAATTTTCCTTCTTAGTTAAAAAGTACTACTTGCACAAATTACTATTAGGAAACTAAGATTTTTCATAACCGTTAGACTTAATTCTTATATAAATAGATACAATACATAATGGCTTTCGGTGCTCCAAGAGGTAGAGGCGGTCCAGCAAGAGGTGGCCGTGGTGGTTCAAGAGGTGGTTTCGGTGGTGCTTCCAGAGGTGGATTTGGTGGTGCTAGAGGTGGCCGTGGTGGTGCTAGAGGTGGTGCCAGAGGTGGATTTGGTGGTCGTGGTGGTGCCAGAGGTGGTGCTAGAGGAGGTGCCAGAGGTGGTCGTGGTGGTGCCAGAGGTGGTGCCAGAGGAGGTGCTAAAGTTGTCATTGAACCACATAGACATGCTGGTGTTTTCATTGCCAGAGGTAAAGAAGATTTATTAGTTACTAGAAACATCGCTCCAGGTGAATCAGTCTATGGTGAAAAGAGAGTTTCTGTTGAAGAACCAGCTAAGGAAGAAGGTGCTGCTCCAACCAAGATTGAATACCGTGTTTGGAATCCTTTCAGATCTAAATTGGCTGCTGGTATTATGGGTGGTATTGATGAATTAGGTATTGCTCCAGGTAAAAAAGTTTTATACTTAGGTGCTGCCTCCGGTACTTCTGTTTCTCACGTTTCTGATGTTGTTGGACCAGAAGGTATGGTTTATGCTGTTGAATTCTCTCACAGACCAGGTAGAGAATTAATTGGTATGGCTAAAAAGAGACCTAATGTTATTCCAATTATTGAAGATGCTCGTCATCCTCAAAAGTATAGAATGTTAATTGGTATGGTTGATGCTGTCTTTGCCGATGTTGCTCAACCAGATCAAGCTCGTATTATTGCATTGAACTCTCATTTATTCTTAAAGGATCAAGGTACCGTTGTTATTTCTATTAAGGCCAACTGTATTGATTCTACTGTTGATGCTGAAACTGTTTTTGCCAGAGAAGTTCAAAAATTAAGAGAAGAAAGAATTAAACCATTAGAACAATTAACTTTAGAACCTTATGAAAGAGATCATTGTATTGTTGTTGGTCGTTACATTAGAAGTGGATTAAAGAAATAAATTTAATAGTATACCATTAATACTATTGTCATCATAGAATTGTCATGAAATAGTCAAATGAAAGAAAAGAAGAAAAGAGAAGAAAAGAGAAGAGAAGAGAAAAGAAAAAGAAAATGGGTTAGAGATAACTTTTATCTCTTGTCCTAATTTATGCATATTATTGTTTTTTATTTCAAGGGTATAGTCCGGTTTTTATAAAGCTCTAGTTTATAGCCTTTTGGACTTGTTATTACTAAAGACAGTATTAACCATTCCAGTTTTGTATATTAATTATTAAATACATTTATATCGTGTTCATCATTGTTTAATATCGAGTGTAATACCGAGTGTTACTTAGTGTGGTTATGGCGGTAATATTACACTTCCCAATTAGGCAAGTCATGCACTTAATATAAATTGACAGAAGAGTTTGGTAATAATATCCTCAGGCTGCATGCAGGACTCGAGAGGACCAAAAAAAAAGAAAAACATGGATTACGAGAGTAGTCAAGCAGTTACCAAAAGAGTAAATAGAACCCCCACGTCCGCATTACTATTAAATATATCACAATTGCTCAATAGCAAATAACTTAGTAGAGGTGGCCGAAGTGGATAGGTGATATTTATAAAGTAAAAAATTAAGAAATATCATCATAAGTATTGAAATAAGTGCATTCCCGGACCTCACATAGAGTGATTTAGTGGTACAAATATAACGGAAATTGGGAAATTAGGAAATTAGAAAACTACATCATATACCCTATTTGAGTATTAATATTAATTTAAAGTGAATAAACTAAAGGCATAAATAATGGAATCTAAACGACTACTGTCAGATCCCCGACTGGAAGGTTCGAGATCTAAAGCGTTAGTTAGTCAAGTAGATGATCATACTAATCATAATCATGAAGAAGTGATTGCCACTGATAATGATGAAGATATTATTGAAATCTCATCTGATGATGATTTAGAAGTTATGGAAATCCGTCGACCATCACATAGTCGTAACCATCTGATTGTTGATATTGATGATGAAGAAGAACCTACTATTAATGAAATTAATGATACTACTAATCATAATGATATTATTGTAACAGACCATGAAGATGATGAAGATGATGATATCCAAATCACAGGGTCTAATCACCATAGTACCGTACCTTTCAATATATCCATACCCATAGTAACAAGCCATAGTCATCCTGAAACTTTACTGGGAACTAGAAGAAATCCTACTTTAGAAGAGGAAGGAATAGAAGAAGACGATGAAATTGAAATCACTAATTTCAGACCATTACAATCTCCATCACCTCCTCTTGGAATGGGATTACCCCAAATGCCATCAATGGAATCTTGGGATAATAGCTTGGCTCAAATAGTAGGCTATTTACCCATGCCATTTTCAAGATCATACCAATATGATGAAGGAATTAATAATAATTATATTGATAATATAAATAATACCCAAGACAATGTTACTGGTAATGGTAGACCATTAACTCCTACAACCACCAGTACCAGAAATAACCATAGTCATAACCATAATCATAATCATAACCATAATCATAATCATAACCATAATCATAATCATAATCATAATCATAATCATAATCATAATCATAATCATAATCATAATTATAATCATAACACCATGCATAGAGTAAGATTTACTACTGATGATCAGGTACTACCGGATCAAAACAATCCTAATTCCCGAGTAACATTTGCTATTAATGATACTATAATAGGTGGAGGAGGAGGTGGTAATAATGGACCATTCCGACGTCCCGTTCTTCGTAGTAATTCTAGAAGGAGAAGAGGGATGGGAAACTTTTTTGGTAATGGATTAAATTTCACTCAAGCCATAACCCATTTACGTGAACTACATAATTTAGCCATAAATAATCTTATGTTTGATAATATGGAAGAAAATGAGAATGCAATAATGCAAAGAATTGAACGAGATAATGAAAATGATTTAAATCAAAGAATACAAACTGAAACTAATTTTAATAAACGAATATTAGAAGAAAAGAAAAAACTTGTTAAAGAAGAAGGTTCTGGATATGTAAATGATATTGTTAAAGATTCTCATTTATGTTGTGAAGTATGTGGAATTATATTAGGTGAAGGAATTCCTGAAGATTTTCAGCCGGATATTCGATATAATGAAAATTTTGAAAAATATGCTAAACAATATCGAGTTAATGCTCCATGGTTTTGTATGATTCGTCGATCAAAAGTTGATATTGATTTATCTAAACGAATATTTGTTGCAAAATGTGGTCATGTATTTTGTGGTCGATGTGTTAAAAATATTGGTAATAGACCAAGAAAGACTAAGACTACTCCATCTGGATTTACAATTATGAATCCTCAATTATATGCTCCTCATTCTTGTCCTGGTCCTGAGTGTACTAGTAAAAAATTAACTCCCAAGAGTTTTACTGAATTGTATTATTAACATATTACAATATTCTTTGATTATAGGTATTTATATATTTTGGTTAATGGGTTATGTTATTCATTTTGTTTAGTTTTCTTTCTTTATTTCTTCACTTCTATGTTTGTTTAAATATCATTTAATAGACATTGTCAATATGGCTCGTTTATTACAGTATTCATAAGTGTACATATATGAAGAGCAAAATAAATAAAATAAATAAAATAATTAAACTAAAAAATGTTAAATTAAAATTAAAATTAAAATTAAAATGTATCATTAAATTAATCAATTCTAGCTTCCGATAATGTTAATGGTTTGATATTATTTGAGAATACTGAAGATCCTGATTTAAATCTATTAATCTTCTTTAATTTTTCTCTTACAACCATTACAGGTACTGACAGTTTAGTTACTAAATAATTAGATAATGAACCTAATAAAACTCCCTTAATTGCAGATTGACCTTTTGAACCTACTACAACTAATGTTGGTTGTAAATTATCAATAAATTCTAAAATTAAATGTCTTGGAATTGGATGATGAATAATTTCAATAACAATATGAATTTGTAATTTAGTTAATTTTAATAGATTTAATACTTGTTGTTTAGCTTTGTTTAACATATTTAAACGATATTGTTCTCTAGTATTTTCATTATTAGTATTACCCTTTAAATTATGATTACTATCATTTTCTTCAATAACATAAACAATAAATAAAACAGATCCATCAACAAGTACTGTACCAAGACACCATTCTAAAGCAAATATAGATTCTGGTGAAAAATCCATACATACTAAAAACATCTTTGGTTTTATTTTAGGATTTATTAATTGAAAAAAATTACCTCTAGTTATAGTTTGAATAACTCTTGATTGAGATTTATTACTATCAATTTCTCCTTCAATAATAGTTTCATTTAATTTTGAAGCAAATTCACTATCAAGTTTATCTTCTACAGCAGAAGTATAAGGAATTAAGAAATCTTCATCATCTTCATTAGTTACAGGTTCACCAGTTGCATCAGTTGTTACAATGGCTGGGACTGGAGGAATTTCTTTATCAGTAGTAATAGTATCTGAAGTTGGAGTATTTAAAGTTGCATTAGTTGGTGGAGGACTTGAAGGATTAGAATTAATTCCATTTTCTTGATCAATAATTTTTCTCCTATAAGCTTGATAATTCTCTAATTTTTGTCTTCTAGCATTAGCATCTTGATCAGATCTTTTTAAATCAAGAGTTTCTAAACCAGTTAATTTTTGTTTATCACTAGCTAATTTATCAAGAGCTTCTTTATCAATTTTACCACCAATATTTTTAGCATTAGCAAATGCTCGTTCACTAGCAGTTAATTGTTCTAATTTTTTAATTGTCAGTTGATCACTTAGATTTGAATTTTCTAAAATTGAACTAATTTCATTAATCATTTCATCTTGACATGCATAATTTGGGAGAATATTTCCTGTATCATCATATTGAAATTTTTCATTAGCATCATCATCACTAATATGTTCTTCATCACTTACTTCATTTTCCCAATCATTTTCATTAGTAATAGAAATTGAATTGGGATTATTATTATTATTACTGCTATTATTATTATTATTATTATTTACATCAGAATATTTAATTAGTCGTTCCAGTGGATCATGATTAGTGATAGACCATTTAAGTTCTTTATTATATTCTTCATTAGATACTGATGATGAACGACTATTGGCATTATTGGCTCCCGACGCCGATGGAGATAACGATCTACCTCTAGACATATTAATAATATTCTGTCTTTCTGCTTGTAAAGATGCTTGTTTTGCTGAAAGTCCAACAGGTGTCGATAATAGCATTTTCAATTTATTCTTTTTGGTTTGAGGGGGTGGTGAAATAAACCGAATGGAGGACTGTATATAATATGCAGACGAACAGCCAGACAAAAATAAAAAGAACAAATCAGTGAGGCTTTAGCTTTGATAATAAAAAGATAAGGAAGGCTGACTTAAGGTACGTGATTATCTAGGGGAAGTAATTTAAAAATATTAATGGGAATAGAAATATGTCAATGGAGGCTATGTAAGAATGGTTAGTAGTGAATAATAATTATTCAAAGTTGGGAGTCTGTAAATGTGACACTGATGGCAAACACCAGTTAAAATGTCGCAGTATGGGGCAGTGTAAAAATTGCTAGTATATACAACAAGTTATTAATAAGTATTTGTATAGAATTGAAAATTTTGAATCCAATCAACGGGATGAGCTAATAGGTGTGGTATGAACTGACTAAGTTAATTCAATCAATTGATCTGTACAAAATACTTATGTAGAAGTTACTCTCTCGTAAGCTAAAAGTCTTTTGTTTACTAGTTGTTGATCTATAGGATTACCAAACACTTCCGACAAGTAATAAATTTCATAGAATACAAATAAAATTATCTGATTTGATATATATACTCTGGCACCTGAAAATACGTTATACGACTCGGATCTAAATTAGTACCTACAGACACTCCCGTGGTCACGTTATTCAATTTACTTGGCATTTTCTATGTATAGAAGTGACTATTTATATCTAGTGGTAGTATTTTTTTATTCTTACTAATTACTAATTATTAATTATTAATTACGAATTACTATTTGAATTAACTTAACTTTTACAATATCTATCCTAACTTTCGTCTGTGGTATACTCATCGTAATCTTCTTGTTCTAATCCATCGTCTTCATCGTCTTCATCGTCTTCATTGTACTCTACCAAGAAATTCGCACCCGATCTGAATTCGTCCATTTCGCTTAGGGTCAGGTTGCTGCATACAACAACCTTCTTAGGGAATGGCTGAATAAGCTCGAATTTAAATGAATATGATTCAAAGAATTCTTCTTCTGTAGGTATTTGACCATCAGGAATTGTATCCACTTTGAGATTAGTAGCAATTTTATCAATAACTTCTTCATGATCATCCTTTATATTGACTGCATGTTTATCCAGAAACAATACAAGATCAATATAAAGATAAACTTGATTGACTCGAGTATCTTTATTAAATGATTGAACAAGTCTTTGACCACTGGGTAACTTTATAGCAACTCTTGTTGATGAATTAGGCAAAGTCGACTCAGTAATCGAAGAAACAAATTTAGACGATAGTAAACTAAGAAGAAACTTAACACGAAGTTTCTCCTTCAATTCTTTTGTTTTAGCAAGTTTTTCTTCTTGCTGTCTCTTTTCTTTCTTTATTTTATCTTGTTGTAATGATTGTAAATATGCATCATCTTGTTGTTGTTTTAAGAGTCGAGACAATTCAATCTCTTGTTGATCAAATCTAGCTGCCACAAGTTGAGGATGAAACCTATCAACAACTTTAGCTACATTTCGATATACTCTTTTAACTGTGGTAGTAGTTTCAGCTGGTGTTTCAAGAAATTCAGCCATCAAATTCGATTTATATACAATAGACATTGATGACATAATAGATGGAGATGGAGTTACATTACCCACAAGCATGACAAATGGAGTACGTCTTACTTTATAAGTAGAAGCAATCTCAAATGCTTCTGGAGACTTATCAATATTATTGATATATAGAATAGTATCTTTGAATTGACCAGATATCTTATTAAAGAGAAGATGGAATCCATTGTTCTTAGTATTATTATTATTACTATTATTATTATTGTTATCATCATCATTATTTGAATCTTTTTGTGGTGAAAGGAGTGATTTCACAAATTGAGTGGATTCAGGAGAAGAATTGATTAATATGACAAATAACCAAAGATAGTTCTTCTGACATCTTTCATGAACAGCATTGTAATCTGTATATTCGATATTATAATCATCGAATGAATCAATTGTACTTTTTATATCTTGTTCAGAAGATTCAGTATCCGTCTTAGATTCTACCAAAGTAGATATATCATCATTAGAAGTATCTTCGATATTATCTATTTTTTCATCTTGCGATGAAAATGGTAACTTCCCTAAAGCTCTTTCATACCAAGGTAAGAATTTATAAGTAGGATCAAAATTATCATCATAAATAAAAGACTTTGGAACAGTATTTCTTAATGATTTGTCTGAATTTAATCTTGGAGATCCAAATAAATATTTATAAGCAGATACTATCAAATGAAGTAAGGTTTTCGGTATTATAAGTAATATCAACCACAATGAATGGAAAGGTTGTTTGGTTTCTCTATCTGAAACTGTTTCATTTAATGTAGTTGTATCAGAAAATCTATCACTTTCAGCTTCCTTTCTTCTTGCACTTTCTTCTTCTCTTCTTTGTTCAAGTAAAGATGATTGAATGCCTACTTCTATTTGCCAACCATTGGAAATTTTAGGAGCTTTTGGTAATCGAGGGAGCAAATTTTCTGCTAAGAGTTGCAGTTGTAAGTTCATAAATTGATGAGAACTATTACTTCGGTGATGATTTGCAGTTGCTGGTATGGGGGATGCAGAAGAAGATTCTGAAAAAGGTGTATTATGCGAATGGAAATCTCGTCTTCTATGAATGGCTGAAGCATCATTGTCACTATCATGTTGATCTTGATCGTGAACATCCACACTTGAACTAAAGGTATTTGCTGGAGTTCTTGTTCTTTCTGTAATTGATGTGAATCCAGATTCAAAGAAGGCATTTATAGCATTATTAACATTAAAATCATTTATACTAAGTAGTGTTATAACATTATCATCATCTTCTTGATTATTCTCTTTATCTGCTAGACCAGTAATTGCCTTAAAGGTATTGAACGATTGTAGTTGGTCCTCATTTAAACCACTTACTCTTGAACTCATTTCAAAATTAGTTATTGGTTATGGCAAAATGTAAACCGATAGATAAATTAAACCTTCTCAATTAATTGACCCACTTTATCACTAGAGACAGTTGCCTACAAATAGTGTAGCAAAGAGATATATTCCGCTTACGTAGTTGTACGCTTATGCGGTTTGTGGTGGGCGACCGTGGGTGTATGCAGGAGCAGACACTTTTTAGTAAGACTCATTTGCAAAATGTCAATTATCTTGATAAATTTGTTAAGAATAATAGATTGAGTTTCTAATAAAATGTGTTTAAAATAAACTTCTCTTTAATCAAATATCATTATAAACTAACTTGGTTGTAATTCTATAAAATATGCCCAGAACCCACCAGACCTCACCCCAACTTACTGTTTGTGGGATCCGGATCAGTTGCTAGCCTGACAATTAGCGTGAGGGTTCGAATCCTTTCACTGGCGCGCAATGTTGCAAAAAATAGCCCGAAAGAGAAACTAGGTGCACTTGCTGTCACTGCTGCAGTGAGAAAGTTAGGTTGACTAATTAGGGAGGTGAGTAGCCTGAAGAAGGAAGTTCCAGGCTGTGTCGCTAGCCATATGTATATTTTCCCGAGCGAACAATTGCAAAAAAAGTTATGCTTAGCAGAACAACAATAAAGACAAGTAGATCGGGTTCATTATTCTTTTTTATTATTCCTCGGTATAATTTATTAAGGTTTTTTGCTCGGACGAAATGAAAAAAAAAAATGAAAAAGAGATGAGAGTATTGAAACGAAATTACATCTATTGTTTCAAATAACAAGCTACAATTGGATGGATATAGCTTAATTCTATATTAAGCACTGCATTACGCCTCAACTTTAGATCTAAGTCAAGGTTGGAATAGAATTTCCCGAGAATTAGTGTACTATCTATGAAACGCAATATATGGAAACCTGCAAAATTTATATACTAGGCCTCGGAAATATGAGTCCAGTAATTCAATTTTAGCGTAAATTTCTTTAATTTATAGTAATTATTAATTTTGTAGATTTATGGTATATGTACGATGAGTAGGCATGGTTACTGGTAGTTAAGCCTTCCATCGCTAGGAACTCCCAAACAGGCAAAAACAAACGCAACGAGCCCAACCGGTATTTACTGTCGATCACCAGTTATCTTACAGTTTTCGCGGCGAAGAAAAGGTTAGTCAGCCAGAAAAATAAGCTAACTATTCAAATTACTGAATGATCTGCCCCTCACTATTCCCCCCCCAAAGCATAGAAAATGTAACAATTGCGCGTATTTATAGGTATTGTTTACTGCAAACATAATTTTGTAGAGGTGACTCAGTACCATAATTTATAATTAAAAGACAGGCGGAGAAGCAACCAACCAGAAATAGATCATAAAATATACATTGGTCACGAGCACAGTCATAAACACAAGAATAACCGAATAGTCCACTAAAGAAACCATTCAAAGAAACACCAGTTTAACTCTCATCACCAGTGCTCTCTTAGTCTTCTGATGCTTCTTCTTAATCGTACCTAAGTCTAACTCTGCGCGGGAAGTAGAGTTAATTAATTAATTTAATTTTAAAAAAAAATAAAAAAAAAACGTTGCTGCTCAACTCAAAAGCCAATTTTCATAAGCACTTTATGCACTGGCCCGAAACGTATTGAATATATATATATATTTGTATTGCTTTGATTTTATATTTCATTTCAGTTCTTATTTGCTGTGTTTGTCTTCTGCTCTAGTGCTTTTTTCACTACCAATACTCCCTAAAAGTAAATTCCCTTTACCTCCTAAAATTCTAGAGACTACTTGAGTACTTTCTTGGTTTTAGATTTTAGATTCTGAGGATCATCATAACACACTAATTATTACTTAGTTATTTATTCATTTATTCATTTATTCATCCATAGACTCATCATAGATATTTTTTTTATAAAGTTGATTAATTGTAATCATTGTAATTCCTTAATAATATATCTAAATCAATATAAATATCAATGTCAAGATTCCTTAAGTCAACCTTAGGTAAAATTACTATTTCTTCTGGAGCTCTTGTTGGTGCTACTATTGTTTATTTAGATTTCATAAAACCGGCTTATCCTTCCAATTTAGTAGATACTTATTCTCCATTAAAGAAACCATTAGTAAAAGCTCCTACTAGATCTCAATTATTAGATAACTTATCATCTACTAAAAAATTCGATGTAATTATTATTGGTGGTGGAGCTGTAGGAACTGGTACAGCTGTTGATGCTGCTACTAGAGGTCTTAATGTATGTCTTTTAGAAAAGACTGATTTTGCAGCTGGAACTTCATCCAAATCAACTAAAATGGCTCATGGTGGTGTTAGATATTTAGAAAAGGCTATTTTTCAATTATCTAAAGCACAATTAGATCTTGTTATTGAAGCACTTAATGAAAGAGGTAATATGCTTAGAACTGCTCCTCATTTATGTTCAGTATTACCAATTATGATTCCTGTTTATAAATGGTGGCAAGTTCCTTACTTTTTTGTTGGATGCAAAATGTATGATTGGTTTGCTGGTTATCAAAATTTAAGAACTTCAACTATTTTCTCTCGTGAATATACTAATGCTGTTGCTCCTATGATTGATGATGCTAATTTAAAGGCTACTTGTGTTTATCATGATGGATCTTTTAATGATGCTCGTTATAATGCTACACTTGCTGTTACTGCTATAGAAAATGGTGCTACTGTTTTAAATTATTTTAATGTTGAACAATTGCTTAAAGATTCTCAAGGTAAATTAATTGGTGTTAAGGCTCAAGATCTTGAAACTGGTAAATCTTATACTATTAATGCTACTTCTGTTGTTAATGCTACTGGACCATTTGCTGATGCTATTTTAGAAATGGATGAGGATGCTCAAGGTTTACCTCCAAAAACTGCTATTCCACCTCGTATGGTTGTTCCATCAAGTGGTGTACATATTGTTTTACCAGAATATTATTGTCCTAAAGATATTGGATTATTAGATCCTGCCACTTCTGATGGTAGAGTTATGTTTTTCTTACCATGGCAAGGAAAAGTTTTGGCTGGAACTACTGATCATGCTTTAAAATCTGTCCCTGAAAATCCAGTTGCAACTGAACAAGATATTGAAGATATTTTGAAAGAATTACAAAAATATCTTGTATTTAAAGTATCTAAAGATGACGTTTTAAGTGCTTGGTGTGGAATTAGACCTTTAGTTAGAGATCCAAAAAATATTCCAAAAGGAGCTGATTTAACAGGTGCTACTGAAGGTATTGTTCGTTCTCATTTAATTACTAAAACTGATTCTGACTTGATAACCATTAGCGGTGGGAAATGGACTACTTATAGAGAAATGGCTCAAGAAACTGTTGATACTTTATTGAAAAACTTTCAATTTGATAATGCATCTTCATTAAAACCTTGTCAAACCAATGAAATTTTATTAGCAGGTGGTGAAGATTATTCTAAGAATTATATTTCAAGATTGATTCATGAATATAATATTCCTTATAAATTAGCTCATCATTTATCAACTAACTATGGATCTCGTGCTCCGTTAGTATTGGATCTTTATTTCCAATCTGATTTTAATAAATTACCTATTACTTTGGCTCATGATAAAGTAATTAAACCATCTACAACATCCAATACCGGTAATTTTGATTTATATCAAAGTGCTGATGAACCATTCACAGTAGCTGAATTAAAATATTCAATTCATCATGAATATGCTAGAACACCACTTGATTTCTTAGCTAGAAGAACTAGATTAGCCTTTTTAAATGCTAAAGAAGCTCTTGCAGCTATTGATGGTGTATCAGAAATTATGAAATCAGAACTTAAATGGTCAGACGCTACTACTAAGAAATTAAAAGCTGATGCTATTGAATATATTTCTCAAATGACTCCAATCTCTGTTGCTAAGGAAAAGGCAATTGTTGAAGCTTCAACTGCCATTGATAATGGTACTACTGTAACTACTGTCGTTGCATAATTGTGATGATTAATAATGTTTTAGATGACCTCCCCATGTGTCCCAAGTATTTCTTTCTAGCTTAATTTTCTTTTCTTTTCTTTTCTTTTCCTTTCTTTTATTAATTTTATTTTAATTTTAATTTTAATTTTATTTGTTAGTCCAAATTAATATAGATCTGTAATATCTACAATTTGATAACTATACAGTACTTTCGCAGTGTACATGTTCAAGCGAACAATCGCAACAAACACGTCTGACCGACAAGCAATCAACTTGCATTACTAGACAGCAACAGCGTGCAACAGATCAAATAACCCCACGTTCGCACTAAGTCGATCGTATATTTATTCAGTCAGTCAGTAGACAACATACACCAAGTAACCAACCACTGACCAACTATTTCATAGGTCTCTGCTCATAGGTTACCATGTCCATACGACCTCCACCACAAGATTTCATCAATAGATTAAGTCAAGAAGCAAATGAGATAGATCTCGATATTAACAAGTCCTTCTCATTTGGTGGTCCATTACCCAAAACATCGTCCAATGAACAACGAGTAACGAATCCATTTATTTCAAATGCAGGGCCTTCTCCTTATGGTAACAGTGTACCGTCTCTGTCACCTTCAAGATCTCCATCTCCAGGTTCATTATCATCTTCTTCAATGGTGACTACGCTTCTAACAAGCTTTCCGTTGTTATTGGCCTATCCTACAATAATATTATCATCATACCTTGCCATTAGTTCTTCTTCACACCTGTATTATATTCCTACCACTATTTTTACCCTGGTGGTCTTGTCTTCATCATTTTTATTATTATTCAAAATAATTATTCATTTTAATCTAGTTAAAATAGCGGCTGTTACCAATCCAGCCCAACTCATTCCTACAAAGAGAACTTCTATTCCTTCAACGTTAGTGGCCATTGTTAGTCTTTCGCTCATAACTTTATCATCATTATTTATTTCTACTCAAAGAGTCACGATTCTATCATTCAGCTTGTATTTAAACCAATGGAGCTTATATACCCCACTTGCTTTGATATTCGATATCTATAATGATCCTTCTCAATCGATCTATATACTTATAGGTTATAGTTTGATTCTTGTGGGTTGTCATCTCTTTGCCAATCATAGTCATTTATCATTGTTGAATACAAAACTTCTCATCCCTATACTTTTTACTTCAGTTGTCGGTCTTATAATATTAAGTCCAGAAATCAGTTATAGTATGATTTTTGTTAACATTGCTGCTTCAATCATATTAATCATCAGCTTTCAAGAATCACCGTCATTCAAATTATCTATCATACCTATATTAATGGCCATAATGACAGTAATTCTCGAATATGTGGTTTTATCTAGTCGTCCAACTATACTCACCTGTATTAATATATTGCTCCCGATAGTAATTAATCCAGACAGATCTCGTGATATAGCTGCATTAAAAGATGTGAAATCTTCAACATCATCAACAACTTCGATAATAAAAAAATTATTATCTCATTCGGATACCAGAGCTATTTTCCAATTCTTATTGTTAAACACAATCTTCATGTTTGTTCAACTTCTTTATTCATTCCGTTCCAAGTCTCTCGGATTATTATCAGACTCCTTACATATGGCTCTAGATTGTCTCTCGCTTGCCATTGGTTTAATTGCAGGTATCCTATCTAAGAATGAAATCAATATTAATGGGAAATATCCCTTCGGTCTCAAGAATTTCGAAATATTAGCTGGATTCACCAATGGAACTTTATTAGTTGGTATCAGTGGCAGTATTTTATTTGAAGCTGTAGGAAGATTGTATAATCCTATTGTATTACAGAAGACCAATGAATTAATTATTGTTTCCGTTTTAGGTCTTATTGTCAATTTAGTAGGGATAGTAGCCTTTAACCATGGTCATGTTCATGGTGATCATAGTCATGGTCATAGTCATAATCATGGTCATTCCCATTCCCATGCCCATTCTGATGAGCATGAACACGAACATAAACATGAACATGAACATTCACACAATATTGCCACCCATAAGGAAGATTCCCACAATCATGAAATGAACGATAACATGAAGGGAATCTTTTTACATATTTTAGCTGATACACTTGGATCTGTTGGTGTTGTTATTTCGACTTTATTAACCAAATACTTTGGCTGGAATGGTTTTGATCCTATTGCCTCGATTATTATTGCCTCGTTGATTCTACTTTCTGCCATGCCATTGATTCAATCAACAGCATCAACTTTATTATTAAAGTTATCCCATGATAAAGAAGATAAAGTGAGATCATCACTTGTAGAGATTTCGAAAATTAAGGGTATAAAATCATTTACAACGCCTAGATTCTGGCCGGGATCTTCTAGCTCAGTAGATGGATATATTCACATTCAAATCTATCGAGGAGAAAACGCCACCTACATCAAAAAGAATTGTGAGAAAGTATTTGAATCTGAAGGAATCAATGCAATGATCCAGATTGAAAATGACTATGATGTATGTTGGTGTAAGAAATAGAAATAGAGTTAGAGATATAAATAGAATTAAGAGTAGCTTAGTTGCAAAAAGTGACCATAGTTACAAAACAAATGGATATTTTACACGACTTTTTTTATACCCATAGTAATTTTTTTTCTTACTATTTGTAATGATCATCGAGGAGTAGTTTAGTACTGTAGAACAATAAATAATGTCAAGAGTAGGAGTATTAGCTTTAGGACCAGCCGGGGTTGGGAAATCGACATTTTGTAATGCTATAATATCGCATATGCAATCGATAGGACGTCGAGCACATATTGTAAATCTAGACCCAGCTGCAGAAGCTACCGAATATGAATTCACTATTGATATAAGAGATTTAATATCACTACAAGATGTTATGGAAGAAATGGATTTAGGACCTAATGGAGGATTAGTATATTGTTTTGAATTCTTATTAAATAACCTTGATTGGTTAGATGAAGAGATTGGAGATTATAATGATGAGTATTTAATTTTTGATTGTCCTGGACAAATTGAATTATATACTCATATACCTGTTTTACCCACCATAGTTAGACATTTACAACAAAGTTTAAATTTCAATCTCTGTGCTACATATTTATTAGAAGCTCCATTCATAATAGATACTTCTAAATTTTTTTCAGGAGCTTTGAGTGCCATGTCAGCTATGATTCTTCTTGAATTACCTCATATTAATATCTTATCAAAAATAGATTTAGTTAAAGATGAATTTAGTAGAAAACAATTAAAGAGATTCTTAAATCCAGATCCATTAGTATTAGCTCAACAAGATGATGATTATAATCCTAAATTTGCTAGATTAAATAAATTAATTGCTAATTTAGTTGATGATTTCGGTATGGTACAATTCTTACCATTAGATTGTCGTAAAGAAAGTGATTCTGTCGCTACTATTTTAAGTTATATTGATGATGTGACTCAATGGAGTGAAAGTCAAGAACCTAAAGAACCTAAAGATGAATTTGAAATTGAAGATGACAATGATAATTAAATAATTATAGATAAATAGATATTTCCTGTATATTACCTACCCTTTTCGGGCTCAATTGCCCTCAATACAAAATTTTTTCGAACCATAAATGAAAATAACATGGTGAATATTATGATAAACAAAGTACAATAACCAAAAAGGAAATTGTAGCAATGGTTCAAATAAACGAAGTAAAAGATTCATCTCAGTCTAGAGAAAGTCGGACTGCTGCCCATACCCATATTAAAGGATTAGGTTTAGATGAGCATGGGATTGCCAAACGAGTTGAAGGAGGATTCGTTGGTCAAGCTGATGCTAGAGAAGCATGTGGGATTATTGTTGATTTAATTAAATCTAAAAGGATGTCTGGTAAGGCCATATTATTGGCTGGAGGTCCTGGAACAGGTAAAACTGCCCTTGCTCTAGCAATTTCTCAAGAATTAGGTCCAAAAGTACCGTTCTGTCCTATTGTTGGATCTGAATTATATTCAGCAGAAGTTAAAAAGACTGAAGCATTAATGGAAAATTTTAGAAGAGCTATTGGTTTAAGAATTAAAGAAACAAAGGAAGTTTATGAAGGGGAAGTAATTGAATTATCACCTGAAGAAGCAGAAAATCCATTAGGTGGTTATGGTAAAACCATTAGTCATGTTATAGTTGGATTAAAAACTGCTAAAGGTACTAAAAATTTAAGATTAGATCCAAGTATATATGAAAGTATTCAAAAGGAAAGAGTTACTGTAGGTGATGTGATTTATATTGAAGCCAATACTGGATCTGTTAAAAGAGTTGGAAGATCTGATGCTTATGCAACAGAATTCGATTTAGAAGCTGAAGAATATGTTCCATTACCAAAAGGTGAAGTTCATAAAAAGAAAGAAATTGTTCAAGATGTTACTTTACATGATCTTGATGTTGCTAATGCAAGACCACAAGGAGGTCAAGATGTTTTATCAATGATGGGACAATTATTAAAACCAAGAAAAACTGAAATAACTGAAAAATTAAGATCAGAAGTTAATAAAGTTGTATCTAAATATATTGATCAAGGAGTTGCTGAATTAATTCCTGGAGTTTTATTCATTGATGAAGTCAATATGTTAGATATTGAAATTTTTACTTATTTGAATAGAGCTTTAGAATCAAATATTGCTCCTATTGTAGTATTAGCATCTAATAGAGGTTTAACTACTGTAAGAGGAGCTGATGATGATATAAAGGCACCTCATGGATGTCCACCAGATTTAATTGATAGATTATTAATTGTTAAAACTTTACCATATAATCAAGAAGAAATAAAAACTATTATATCTAAGAGAGCAACATTAGAAGGATTAGCAGTTAATTCTGAAGCACTTGAAATACTTGCTCAACAAGGTATTACAGTATCTTTACGTTATGCTATACAATTATTAGCACCTGCTGGAGTATTAAGTCAATCAGCTGGAAGATCAGAAATAACTAAAGAAGATATTGAAGAATGTCAATTTTTATTTTTAGACTCTCGTCGTTCAATTAAAGTTTTAGAAGAAGGTAAGGGATTCCTCTAATTATGTAATTTTAGTATAAATACAACAATAATTTAAAATATATATATATATGTATGTATGTATGTATATTGATTGATTATGTAAAACGTTTACCTAATTCATTACATTCTTGTAAGAAATCAGTTGCAGCAATTATATCAGTACTTCCATAAATGACTTTTTTATTAGCTTCATTACCTGCCCATTCTTGTAAGTTTTGATATTCCAAATAATTCCCACCTCCTACAACAAATACTAAAGATTCTTGATAAGATTGTCTTCTTGGAGGTTTTGAATGTCCACCTCTTGATTTAGGATCAAAATATAAATAATCATCAGTTAATTGTACAGAAGTAGTTGAAGCATTATTAGGATCCATAATAGCTTCAACAACATTAGTTATTGGTAATTGCTTTTTCTCCGGTATAAAATTTTTAATTTTACTAGCAATTGAACTTAATCCTTCAGAAATTTTACCTTCAGTTAATCCATATAATTTTGATGATAAACCACTTAATAAAGCAGTTGAATTAGTATTTCTTGAATTATTATAATTAGAATTAATTGAAGTATCATTTAATGAAGATATATTACTTAATTTAGTAATTTCTTTAAATTTTAAAATATAATTTAAAGAATTAAGATCAACTTCTGGATATTTTTCACTGAATATTTGTTTAGCCTTTACTGAAAAATCTTGAGGTAAATCAACTAATAAAGTTAAAATTAAGAGAGTTCTTAATTTATCAAGAGAATTATCTCTTTCAGCTTGAGTTACAAGTAATTCAAGAAATTCCTTTTGAATTTTTGGATCATAAGAATTTTGTTCAATTTCAAAGAATTTATCTAAATTCTTTGCTTGTAATTCATTAATTAAAGCTGCCAATATATCCATATGCATATCTAATGTAGCTTTTCTAGCAGTTAATTCTGGTAATTTTTCAACAGCTTGTTGAATATTGGCAGTATCATTAGCAGCATTTGGATCAATATCACTAAGTGATGTTATACCTGTTTTATTTGTAATTTCTTTAGCATCATTTTTATAAGTATTTAATTCAATATCAGCACTTTCAACTACATCTGGGAAAGGTAATTGACCATATTTATTCCAAAAGAAATCCTTTGGATCAACATCATAATTTTTAGATGTTTGTTCTTGACCATTATATTTATGAATTTTAATAGTATTTCTTTGAAGTTTAAATACATCACTTACCATACATTGATAAATCCAAGAATGAGCAAACATTGATGCTAAATCAATATTACGATCCAAAAGAATTAATACTGGTCTTTGTTGAATTGATTGAGTATTTAAATTCCGAGAATTACTTATATAATCTCTTAATTTTGAATCTAATTGTCTAGCTACAAATTCAGCAGGTCCACCTTGTTGAGCTCTAATTACTGGAACATTATTTAAAGTTATAATAGCTGATAATAATCCATCTGCTATTTGATGAGATATATGTTGAATAGTATCTTCATTAGTATCGACTCTATTAAATTGAGTAAAAGTATTAGGTATATCTAATGAAAATAAATTTGGTTCAGTAACAATAAAATCTAAATATTGATCAAATACTTGCTTTATTTTAGATGATTTACCAGAAAGTGATACCTTTTTAGCAAAATCTTCTAATAATTCTCGATTAATTGATGATGTAAAATTAATATAAAAACTTTCATATTTATCTTGATCAAGATCTTCAATAACTTGTACTATATTATCAATGGTTGGTTCTATGAAATAAATGGCTGGAACATCCAGTAAAGCAGTACGTTTAGAACCAATTAATGAATGAACCGTAATTCCACATCTTAAAAGGTCATTAACTCTTAATACTGATGATAATACGGCTCTTGATTTAGAATCTAAGATTAAAACTTTCCAAATAATTTCTTCATTTTTAGAAGCTAGAGTTAAATCAGCTGATCCATCTTTATTTAAATGGAGCATACGCTCAAGACTAACAATTTGTCTACCTCTTAATGTTTGATCTGTCATTGGCATAACTATAGAGATTGTTATTATAGTAATTGAGTTTATGCCAGCTTTTATTATACCAGTTGAGTGTTTTTCTTTTGTTGGTTCGCGACACGAATTGGAATTGGAATTGGGCGCATTAAATTACTTGTTTACTTACTGAGGTGTTAATTACTGAGTCTATGGGGTATATACATTAAGTTATTTACATCATAGGTGGCATTCCCATTGGTGGTGCCCCTGGAGGTCCCCCTGGACCTGGACCTCCAGCTCCTCCATCTTTTAAGGATGAACGTCCTGCTTTTAATAATTCATCACATAATAATAAATTAGACGCAATACCTGTAGCAGCAGAAATAGCATTTCTAAATACTCTATAAGAATCCCAAATTCCATCAACTGTTGGATCCATTGGTTCACCCGATTTTAAATCAACTCCTACAATATGATTATCAAGAATTTCATCTTGACAATTAGAAATAGTTTCTAAGGGATCTAAACCAGCATTAGATGATAAAGTCTTTGGAATTATTAATAAAGCTTCAGCAAATGCTTTAACTCCAGATTTATTTCTTCCCTTTAATATTTCTTTATTAGTTAATAAACTATTATGACAACTTAACCAAAATGCTCCAGCTCCTGGTAATATGGCTTGATCTTTTAATACATTTGAGACTGATCTTAAACCATCTCTAATTGCATCTTTAGTTTGTTGTAATACATGATTATTTGATCCTTTAATTAAAATAGTAGCTGATTTTGGTTCTTTATTTTCCGTCACATAAGTGAATTTATCTTCACCTATAGTGTTTTCATAAACTAATCCGGAATAACCTAATATTTCTGGACTTAAATCATCAACAGAATTTTGAGCTTCACCTCCACAAATTAATTGTAATCTTTCCATATTTCTTCTTTTAGCTCTTCTTAAGGCAAGAATACCATTTTTAGCTAATACATCTAAAGACATTGGATCAATACCCTTTTGATTAATAATTACAAATCCTTTATTGGAATTAAGTTCACAAACTTCATTCTTTAATTCTATAATTTTCTTTAATTTTTCATCAACAAACCTTCTTTCTGATGCTACTAACTTTTCTCTTTGTTCTGCACTTGAATAAAAGAATCCAGAATTAACTTCTGTCTTTTCATATTCTAGTGATACATTTAAAATTAATACATAAGCATTTTCAATTCTTTTTGGCATATCTGGATGTCTTGCTCCATGATCTAATACTAATCCTTTAATTAATTCTGTTTCTTTAGAATGGCCATGCTGCATGGTCATTATTTCAATCATATGTAAATCAATATTTCTTGAATCACTTTCTTTAACTGTTAAAACTGCATCAGTAACAATTGGAGTTAATACATCACTTAATTCTTGATTAACTTTAGTTGATAATGAACTTCTAGCAATTTGCATTAAAAATTCTCGATCAAAACTTTCCGGTATTTGTTTAAATATATCTAAATATTTTAATGAATTTTCTCTAGCAAGTTCAAATCCATCAACAATAACTCTTGGATGAACTCCTTCACTTATAAATCTTTCTGCTTGTTTTAATAATTCTCCAACTAATAAAATGACTGTTGTAGTACCATCTCCAGTAATTTCATCTTGAGCAGTAGCAGCTCTAGCAATCATAACTGCAGTTGGATGTTGAATTTGCATTTCAGTTAATAAAACTTTCCCATCTTTTGTTAATTTTAATCCTCCTGATCCATCAACTAATAATTTTAAAGTACCCTTTGGGCCTAAATTCGAAGCTAAAACTTGTTGTAATCCTTGAGCTGCAGCAATGTTGACTTGCAACGCTTGCGAACGTCTGATAGACTCGGCCTTCGGATTTAACAATTGAAGAGACATATCGAACTTATAGTTATTATGGGTTTAAGCTATATAGTGGTTGATATGCTTTTTCAATTTGGCTCGACTTTTTCTGATCTTCGCCAACGCGCTCAAATCGGGCTAGAAAAAAATCGAGCTTTAAATTACCCGGATATTAGTTGAAATATTCAAGTGAATGAGAAATGCACGCTTTGCTTATATTTATCAGCAGTGTTTTCACTTTTAATTCATACCTCGGACCGGAATTGCTCACACTACCGGGTTTTAATTTTTCGTATCATTGACCGGAATTTTTCGTATCAATGGTAAATCAATTCTTCATAGCGATTAAACATTCACACAATAATTTTTATTTTGATAGCAATTATCAAATCAATTAGATCACAGTTCATTGTTATTGAATCTTATATCTACATAGCGCTTCTGTATGGAGTCAGGACCTGTTGGATCAAATTGACCGAAATTAGTGAGCAAAAAAACTGCTCTATGTATACCTGTTAAAGAAAAGCCAAAAGATTAATATAATGAACTTCAAAGCAGAAGAATTGGCCAATGAATATGTAGAATGGCTAGGGAATAGGTTTTTCTTGGAACCCGACCTGATGACTGTAGAGTATGAGATATCACCTTTATGGAATTGTTTTAGTTACAGTGATTTTAAAGGAATAAACGGATTCCCTGATATGGAAGTCGATCAACTCTCTGTGGTTGAGCAGGAAAATTAAATAGAAATCGATACATTCACTGAGGAGTGGACCTGTGTAATAATAATAAAAGAGCACTCTACAAGTATTATTCTGAGAAAGTAAGAGAGAGGTTTTGGCACATGGTTATTGATAGTTATCCTGAATTTTATATTGACTTAAATTCAGAAGTATTTAAACTTTTGAGATATTGTATCTCAAGCAACAACGCAAAAGATCTGAAATCACGATTTCTCAATTATTCTAATAAAATCGGAAGTATGATAAAAACTAAAACACTATTATCTTATTATTCTTTGTTTGAAATATAAAAAAATAATGGTCCCTAGCAGGATCGAACTGCTGATCTTGGCGTTATTAGCACCACGCCTTAACCAACTGGGCCAAGGGACCAGAACTTGTTGCGAGAAAAATTACTCACTTTTCCAAAACTTGTAATTATCACGTGAATATCACGTGTTTTGTGCGGCTTTTTATCTAAAAATAGGTGTAAAAGTATATTTTCTATCCTTCGAAATTATAATAGACAGAGATACATTAACTTTCCTCCTTGTGAAAAATTCGGAGACTTAATCGATTTCTTCTCTATATTTCTAAAAATTTATAATATCTACACTTTATCTCTTTTCTTTTTACTGAATTGAGGTTTTTTACGTGACAATGAGTGTGTTTTCACTTGTTTTCTTTCATTTGTAATTGTTTATTCTCTTGAAGGAGAAAATGCTGCAAATTTTCTGGAAAAATTAGCAATTAATCAAAAAAATAATTAAAAAATGAATAAACTAAAATTAATTGTTACCTTGATAGTGTAAAACTATTGCCAATACAACCACAAAACTCTCTCTATGATGCTTTACTTGAGGTGTGAAAACATTGTTTATGAAATTTTAAATAAATCTAAATAAACTTCGGGATTATAATCAAGAGTTTAGCTAAATTTTTAGAGTGACACTTGATACTCTTATCGAAAAGGTTGCGAAACTGAGTTAGTTAAAAACCTTCAGACTTCAAAAAGTTGCCATTTAAATCACCAGACTCTATTTACAAAACAGCTACCGTAAGACCAAAAAATGCTAACTTGATATTAATTAGTTTTCCCATTTACAGAAATATTACTAAAATTGATTATCGTTACAATCACAGAAAAACTAATCCTAAATTCTTATTATTACATTTTATAATAAATCATCTATTTATAATAAAAAATTACAGTACATTCAAATTTCTTAAGCAATACTTCTTCAACAATATTGCTTCCCTCTACGACTTCTTAGAAGATCACCTATGCGAGGTTGTTTTTTTTTATCCTGAAGTAGAAATTCGAAAGCCTAATACCTCAAAACTTAAATAAGAGGACCTTGATAATGTCTGTGCATTTATGTATTTGAATAATGACAAAAATTAAGTTCTACATAAAGGAAAACATAAGCTACCTACGAATTTGTTTTTCATCACCCACTTAAATTTGCTTGAATCTTTCTACTATAGTAGATGCGCGTTGTTGAAGCTATTGGCCATATGTTCAAAATTAAGTCTTTTTTGAAAATTGAAGTAACACACGACCGGGACATCTGTTAATCGACGCTATTTGTAGACTTGGATCTAATAATAAAAATTGAGCGATATGTAGAGAAATGGGACTTAGCAGAAACGTGATGGAGATTTCAAAGTTTAGATCCGATATTGTATATGATTTTTGAAGAAAGTTAACATGATCTAATAAGCATATACAATTTGTAAATAATACCCAGGTAAGATTTGTAGATAAGATTTGTAGATAAGGATTAGTCCGATCATCTTGTATCCGGTAAATTCCTCCTTTTATATAGCTATGAAAGATACAAGTCATCTCTATCTTAATCCAGTACCCTTAGTTTGGCTGGTCAAAGTACAATAAATGCCAGCTTAATTAATTAAAATTGCACAACTCAAAAATGACAATAACCACCTGTTCTATTGATGTAATCCACATTTACATCTTCCCTGTTGTTTCTGAATACTAATGATAATTCCGCGCTTCGTCATTCAAGTCCATTAGACACATTCGTCCCTAACACCCTCTACTAGTGCCGGCGTTTTGTCAACACCACAGCAATTGCAATTACAGCACATACTATTGATATGATGCTTGCGACTAATATTATTATGTAAAATTTCTGTTTATAGATTGGTTTAGCTCTAGCTTCAGCATTGCGTAAGTTACCATGAGAGTTTAACTCGCTTAACTCTTGCTCGAAGGGACAGCACCGAACATGGAATAAATACAAGTTTAGGTAGTCGAGTGTATACGATGAATGTAGATGAGTAGATGGGATGTATTTATAGGTAATAGACATAGATAGGAATAAGCGATGACAATGTGTAGAGCAATGGGAGTTAGCAGAAATGTGATGGAGGTTGGAATTTTTAGAAGCGATATTGTAGAAGAATTCTTAATCAAATTAGGTTGATTTAATAGGCATATATAAATCTGTAGCAGGTAACCAATAGGATTTGTGGGTAGGTAATATGGATTGGGTCGGTCGTGTGTTAGTTCAATTTGGGAAGAGGGTATGGAGAGAATTGAATCCGCAGCCAAAAATTTGGTGGATATGGACAGAAATTAAATTTTCGCAATCTAAAGTTTTGAAAAGAGGGTGGTCCGAACTTTTTAAATATTGTAAAGCGTCTCGAATTTGTATTTTCCTTGAGGCAAGGAAAGTGAAAAATAAGCATGAGTTCGTACGTTGATACGCAACAGAAGATAGTAATTATGAAACAGGGCCCAAAGGAATAGTATGCGAAAGCATGAAACAATTATGAAAAGATTGAAAAGTAGTTTTCAGTTGAATTAGTATTTGTTTATATGGCCTCGTTGTTAAGTGGAGAGAGTTTAATGGTGAACGTAAGTTCGGCATTGCTTTTTACGCTATGACAACATGGGTGATCTCTCTTCTGAGAGAAAACCTGAACAGTCTTATATTAGATATCTAACGATTCTATGTATAAGCACTGAAGGATTTAGTGGATTACTAGCCGATGGCAAGTGTTCAACTAAAAACTTATTTGGGGGTCTGCCTTGGTAAATAGCCGGATTAATTTCTGTGATTTATCAAGTGTAACCTCCTCCATGGTTGGTTATGTTAAACCTTGTGTTCTCACGAACGCTAGTGTTTAGCGGACATCATACCAGGGGAATTCAAAGAGGGCTATTTGGATGTAGTAAGATTGCGACTCTGTGGTAAAACATGGAGATGCGAGCTTCTACCAGTTGAATTTATTTGACTGTAAACTTGAATAACTTTTGTTATGAAGAGAGCTTTCGGGCTCTTGGATTGACTGCGAAGTTCCTTGTGAACTTTTAAGATAGTTATCTGGTTGATCCTGCCAGTAGTCATATGCTTGTCTCAAAGATTAAGCCATGCATGTCTAAGTATAAGCAATTTATACAGTGAAACTGCGAATGGCTCATTAAATCAGTTATCGTTTATTTGATCGTACCTTTACTACTTGGATAACCGTGGTAATTCTAGAGCTAATACATGCTTAAAATCCCAACTTCGGAAGGGATGTATTTATTAGATAAAAAATCAATGCTCTTTGAGCTCTTTGATGATTCATAATAACTTTTCGAATCGCATGGCCTTGTGCCGGCGATGGTTCATTCAAATTTCTGCCCTATCAACTTTCGATGGTAGGATAGTGGCCTACCATGGTTTCAACGGGTAACGGGGAATAAGGGTTCGATTCCGGAGAGGGAGCCTGAGAAACGGCTACCACATCCAAGGAAGGCAGCAGGCGCGCAAATTACCCAATCCCGATACGGGGAGGTAGTGACAATAAATAACGATACAGGGCCCTTACGGGTCTTGTAATTGGAATGAGTACAATGTAAATACCTTAACGAGGAACAATTGGAGGGCAAGTCTGGTGCCAGCAGCCGCGGTAATTCCAGCTCCAAAAGCGTATATTAAAGTTGTTGCAGTTAAAAAGCTCGTAGTTGAACCTTGGGCTTGGTTAGCCGGTCCATCTTTTGGTGAGTACTGACCTAACCGAGCCTTTCCTTCTGGCTAACCTTCTCCTCCGGGAGTTGGCGAACCAGGACTTTTACTTTGAAAAAATTAGAGTGTTCAAAGCAGGCCTTTGCTCGAATATATTAGCATGGAATAATAGAATAGGACGTTATGGTTCTATTTTGTTGGTTTCTAGGACCATCGTAATGATTAATAGGGATGGACAGGGGAATTAGTATTCAGTAGTCAGAGGTGAAATTCTTGGATTTACTGAAGACTAACTACTGCGAAAGCATTTTCCAGGCACACTCCTGCTAATCAAGAACGAAAGTTAGGGGATCGAAGATGATCAGATACCGTCGTAGTCTTAACCATAAACTATGCCGACTAGGGATCGGGTGGTGTTCTTTTTTTGACGCACTCGGCACCTTACGAGAAAT